CCACCATCTTGTCGTAGGGAGCCAGCTTCTGCTTCCGAATCCTCTCCACACGGAAGTCGTCCTCCTCGTTGGCCTTGTCGTACTGCCCACGGATGAAGTACTGGAAGGTCCCTCCCCGTGGGTTCTTCTTGGCTGCCGGCTGGGTGAGAGGAGAGGACGGGACTTGCGTCGAACTCACCTTTGACCTTTGACAACTTCTCCTCCTCCGTCGGACGAGACCGGACGTTCAGCAGGCCGTTCGCCATGCCCACAGCGATCGTGCTAGGAGAAAGTGAGGGTGCCTTTGTAGACAAGGGGAGAGGCTGGGAGGAGGACGGAGGACGTGGGGATTGAGAGAGCGCAGGATACGAGGATGAGAAATCTGAATCAAGATGCGAGCAAAGGAGGGACGTTGAAGAGCATGAGCGAAATATGAGAGTCGTCATGATGAAGAGAATGCGACAAGTGAAGAACAACAATGAGAGCTCGTGCTTGTGGAGCATAAACGTTCAGCTGATCTTTCATGAGTGATGAAGGAGCGGGGAATGTTTGGTCGTATCACGTCAGGCTCACCTCTGATTTTGACTGAAGCCGAGCGACAAGATGGGCTGTTGGTAGTCAAGACTGTAACGAACTCTGTACTCCTGCAGCACCGTGATCAAAACTTCAACCGGCCATGCATTCTTATCTCCATCATCATCATCATCATCATCTCCATCATCATCTCCATCATCATCTCCATCATCTCCATCACATTATCATTCCAACCTGTACATCGTAGACTTTCAGATGATGGTCCAGAGAACCGGAGAGGATCCTCCCGCCGTTCTCATCGTACGCCAGGCAGGTGATGGGCTTGCTATGGTTCGCCATGGCATGTAGCACCCGGCCTCCTGCCAGCACGTCCCACACCTTCATCACGTTCCCCCCCGCCGTAACCATCACTCCTCCTCCCGGCAGCATCAGCACCGCTTGCACTGGCCCGCCATGATCCACCGTAAGCACGCTGGCCCCCTTCCTACAGTCCCACAGCTTCACAGTGTGGTCGTAGGAGCCAGAAACGACTACGTCCTGTGAAGTCGGGCTGGTAGTGACGCAGCGAACGTGGTCCTTGTGTCCTTCAAGATTCATGGTCTCTTCTCCAGTCGCCACATCCCAGTACTTCACGACAGCGTCGTCCCCGCCTGAGATGCAATGGAGCCTGCCAGGTAGAGTCAGTCTCCTGACCCCGGTTTGCTGCCGCCGCCGTCCCTACTCTACCTCCTACTTCTCGTTTTTCCTTTGTTCTCGATCCAGACTACACATCCCCTCCTCACTTCCTCACTCCATGCATCCATCCCCTCTCCCTCCATCCATCCCTCCCTGATCTTCACCTGTCTCTGGAAAAGCCGCATGAATGCACCGGCTTCGAGTGGCCCTTTAGCATTCTGAGCATACCTCCTGACTCAACATCGAACACTTTCACTATGCGCTCCTCCCCCGCTGCGACGAGAAGTTTCCCGTCGTCTCTGAAGCTGGTGGTGTATACAATGTCCTTGAACCTGCTGATCGTCTTCTTCACTGCCTTCCCCCTTGACCCGTAGATCTGCACTCTGGTAGAGTTGGTGACGGCAAAATCGTAGGGGGCAGCAGGAGAGAAAGCGACGCAATGCACAGCTGCATAGGCCTTGGTGACCAGGCTCGTCTTGTATCTCCTCCAGTGTCTCTGCTCGGGCGTCGAGGCCTCTGGTGCCCGCGGCGCTCGCTGCATCTCGAGCTTCCTGAAGCCATCGCCGTGTTCCGCCATTTCGCCCGCACGTGAAGAACTCGAACGGTACCACATCCCCGCTCCAGCCAGGTGGCCCCGCCGATAAAGGGGTCTAGTACCGGTATTTTTCCCGTAGAGACAGAGGGTGTGTGAATGGGGAGGGGGTGGGTAAGTTTGCAGGAAATCGCAATGGCAGCCAGGCCGCCACCAGGTTTAAGGATGATTAAAGCAAAAAGCGCGATGATGACAATTGTCAAAACCTCACAGTCTATCAGGGAAATGTGAGTTCTATCTCATGATATCAATGGTTCGGATGTCACTATCGCGCTTTTTAATATTTTCTACTTTTCGTATTCCTTTTTGCCGACTTGCAACCAGCAATGTCACGTAATCCCCGAAACCCTGGCATGTTACCTCCGAGTCCCCCATCCCATTGTGCTGATCTAGTATGTATTTGTCTTCTCTTGTTCTTATGTGTGTTGTTTTCAGCTTACCCGTCATTATACGATCCATTCCGTACGTTGAAAGTGTCCCGTTCGCGCAGTCGGCTGAGGACAATTCGTTTTTTCGAATGCTCGTACACAAAGGGCAGGTCAGGGTCCACTTTTTTGCATAACTCTGTGCAAGCCTAATTGAATTTTCTCAAGAAATCTTTCTTGTTCAGATGGCCGATCAGTGACCACAGATTCTCCACGCTATACGTGCAAAGAGTCCGTGCATTGAAGTCATAGTCTCCGTCTCCAAGCATATGATTCTTTCTTACCACGTACTGCTGTACTTGAGGGTGAGTATCTGACTTCATTGGATGTATTTCTTCTGGTGTCTGACCTCGCCACAGCGTTGTTGCTTGTCATTTTTGCAACATACTTGTCATGAATTTTCTTGTAATCTTGTTCAGTCGTTGCTTTCTTTTCATTGGTTTTCTCCAAGTCTTCGTTTAACAAGCCTATGACTCGTTCCAAAAATGGATGCGGCTGTCGTTCCTTCCAAACAAAGCAGTGCCAAACGTTCCTTTTGCAGGGCAAGCCGTTCGGTCAAATCCGTCTTTTTTTCAGTGATATCGCCCAAATCTGCGTCGCAATCTTCGAATTCTTTACAAATCCCAGCATTAATAATCGTTACATTGATTTTCTCGAAGTATTTGCAGCCTGCAGAACATGTCTTTCAATCTTTGTGTGTTTTTGAAAGCAAAGATATCGTCACTAGCAAACATCACCAATTCAGAAACCTCTGGCAATCCAGCAGCTTGTAAAATTGAAACTGCTCTTTCGAAATTACATATGGCAGAGAATTCATGCTCTGAATTTTTCTTTTGTGCTTGATACAGAGAATCATGCTCACTCAGAATCCCTCGGATAATTTCACATCGGGTGTTGCCATCAAGGGTTCTGAACGTTTCACAAACTGTCTGAATGAATAGCTTGGAGTCTGCCTTGGTATGCTTCTTTGGAGGACTTGGATCAACATGTTCATCCGACAATCTTGCATACCTGCAGAATGATCACACTACTGGTAGGGCAAGAAAGCAACATCTCAGACTTACCGCAAGAAGTAATCGTGAATCGTGGATTGCAACGAATTCAAGTCTTCGAAATGTAAGGTAGACCAATGTACGATTCGGGAAAAAAGAGTTCAGTGCTTCTTGTGCATGTTTTCAACTTGTGTACGAAGTCGATTCAAACGTTCTTACATTGCAGTTGGTCCTGCATGTAGGTTTCTAGATGATTGTTTTTCGAAAACCTTCGTGTCATAGTAGAGCAAACATCTCGCAAATCCTTCTGGTGCACGTTCGTAAACATCTCCAAGGGCTTTTAGCTTGCGTTGCACTTCAAATAAAGATACAGAATGAATACTTAACTTCACAGATGTTGAGTCGCTGAAGAGAGAAGATTGTTGTCTTCACACTCCAAAGATAAAGTTGCTGATCCTGACATTGCAAGAAATCCAAAAGCTTGAAAAAAATGGTATCATCCCACTTCGAGTGTTGAAGATACGCTTGTTATTACATCCAATCTGTTGGGTTTTGAGTGATTGTACACACGTTGTGCATACAGGCACACCTTGCCACTTTCGAACGCTGCTCTTCTCCCTTTGTTTGTGGCATGATTGGCATGTTTTTGTCTTCCACGCCTTCGGCTTGCCCATGGTAAGGGGGATCACAGGTTTGCCCGCCAAAGATCGGATTGGAATTTTGTCATGATTCCCTGCCATGGCATGCATCACCCCCTAAAAACACTGCCATAGTGCCCCACACACACTGCATGGAGCGAAGGGGGAGGGGTATTTAACTAATTGTTTGTACGGCTTAATTCTCAAACCAGGGGTTGGCCCGTCTGTCAATTCGAACATAGTACGGTAGTTCAAAGGCTACCCCCGTGCTGGTGTGCCGCCGCCGGTCACCTCGGAAGCCAGCTCGGAAGCCTTCTGGGCGCGGCCCGTGGCCCAGGTGCCGGACTTGAACCGTCAGCCTGGCAGTGCCACCGTACCGTGGCACAGACGGTCGGACCCGGGCGATCGGATGATGACGGGCGGCGGCTGTCCGTCCGATCATCTCAGTGTCACTGACTAGCGGCTGCAGTATTGAAAGCAGTGCTCAGCGGGATGGCCCAAGTTGTGGTTACTGTGACAACGCCAAAATTTGCAAGCCACTCCGCATGTCCTGCTTCGCTCTCTGCTTGAAGCGATGTTTGGGTTTGGTTGAGGTCTTGAGCAAAACGTCTTGAGCCTTTGCAACCCAGTGGCCCTAACGAGACGCTTGTGATGATCGGTGGCATCAAGTGAGATGAAGACGTCAGGAGGAACTACCGCACGCCCGCTGATCGTCGTCAGCTCATATGCCATCGTTCCTTCTCTGAGACCCGGCAGGGAACACAAATCATCACCAGGATCGCGTCCTTCAAAAGGCGCCGGGCACGCACCTGTGGAAGGAGGAGATATGAGGGTTTTTGACATGCGTAAGTCTGTGGAGATGACGTATTGTCAGAGTTGGTATTGGGGATGTATTTATTCCAGGCACTCTATCACATGATGCTGGGGAGGCATCCGGGGGTCGCGGATCCCCTCCTCCTTTCCTCATCGATCTCTCGGCACTATCCTTGCAGTCCGGAGTTCATTGCAACTACTTGAGCGTCGCGTGTCCACCCGTACGGTGTAAGTATAAAATCGTCTTCCACATGATTCACTCTGAACTTGTAGAGATTCTCCTTTGGAACGACAAACACAACCTCCACCTTCCAAGTCCCCCCTTGCTCAATGCCCAAAGATTGCAGACAATCATACATGAACCGCAATTTAAGGTCATGGGTCTCTGCAATCGTTGCCTGTATGAAGCGCACCAACTTGTCATTCGAGTCCACAATCACTGCATCACAGCCCCCCTGATTCCATTTCAACGGCTTCAGGCACAACCTTGCTGCCCCTTGCTTCAGAGCCTTCTCGACTTCCCTTCCTTCAAGAGGTATTACGCCACACCTTTGCCATTCGTCGTGCTTCTCTGACTCGGCTTGATTCTCTGACCTGAGGGTGACCTCCAGCCCTGGCTCTCGTCCTATCCGAGCAAAGAACAGCATCTCAAACAAAATCCCCCGAAGAGACGGATTCCTAGTCATGTCAGGGAGCTGCTCAATCTTCCTCACAAACGATTCTCCGAGCTTCTCTGCTAGCTCCCTGGCAACAAACCTACTGATAAAAGTCCAGTACACCTGGTTTCCGATTCGATACTTCCCATGCAGCCGATTGACAAACCGCTTTGAACGGTCGCCCGCGTTCATTTCAAAGAGCGTCTCGTAATTAGAGACAGAGTTCATCGCTGCACAGAGATCTTGGATAGCTTGATCTGTCGTACATTCGAACATATGGCGACATGAGCCTCCAACAATCTGATACTTTGACTCGACATCTCTCGACCTTGTCTCCTCCGAGCCTTCTTCCGCATCCAAGCTCCATTCCATTACACCAGCCACACTCTTGTAGAATATTTCGTACTTAATGGCCTCCAGGTACTCCTCCAGTGTCCACGAGTACACCATCAACTCCTCTACCTTTTCCATTCTATCTAGCTCAATCTTTTTCTTTTCTCGAGAACTCATCGACGTCGTGATCACAACCCGCCGGTTTTCCCAGTCATTGTGAAGCCAATACATGCATTCACTGAGCATCAGATCATGTACATCTAGTGGGTTGACAGAGGAAGTATATATGCAAGGGGATGCAAATACCTGTAGTGAAGGTAGCTTAGGGAAAAGGGTGGGTTGTCAAGATTGGAATTCCATTATAGTGGGTGGGGTGGGAAATTGAAGGTACGGTCACATCGGTTGGGTGTAGTGAGGGAGATAAGGGGGGTGGGTCAAACAATTTGTCACTCTGGGGGGTAGGGGGTTCTGGTCTCTCGTACTGTATGTTTGAGGTGGTCTCTGTACCCTATGTTTTATTATCCATTTCTGGGGTGATTGGGTACTTGAAAAACACATTGGAAGGGGTCCATCCCTCGGCATCGAATTCAGAGGGTAGAAAAAGGAAGGGGTGCTGTGGGTTCCCCAGAGTCGAAGGAAGGGGTACTGCAGGGTATCTAAAGGAAGGGCGAAATACGGAAAGGGGGGTAGCTTGCTTGCATCAAATTCAGGGGTACTAGGCTGTAGGGAGGCTCACTGGTAGGGTGGATGCATTGGGGACCACGGGGTTGGAAAGTTACTTCCCGGGTGTGCTCTGCTCTGGGTAGGTGATTTGGGATGATGAAGTATAGGATGATGGGGGTGCTTGAGACACCACGAGTATGGATAAGAGTTCTTGAATAGGTCAGTGGCAAAAAGGGTGGGGTGGTATCATCACAAGGGGTAATCAGTGATGGTAGGGTGGTATCGGTTGAGTAAACAGGGAAGGGCCCCACGCGCCTCTCCCGCCGTCGTCATGTTCATGCAGGCATGCACTGCCGCCGCCGGCGCTGCTGGCTTCTATCTTATGGCCTCAGGCAAAGCCCCGACGTCACTTTCGACCATTCTTGACCAGCCTATGGACGTCAAGGTCGCTACTGGAGTCGCAAGCTCGTGTGGATTGCTCTTGTCCGCTCGTTTGGTAGAATACATCTTCTACAAAGACGACCAGGTTGGCAAAGGTCCTTTCTCTCAGACCTTGGAGTTCATGGCAGCTTCCCTCATGAAGACCATTTCTAGCAAGATTGTCGTGAACAAGTGGATCGATGAATACAACGATCTCCACAAGGGCGAGGAGCCGGACGCTCGCAACGTCGCATATGCGAAGCTTGTGAACGCCTACTATGAGCTTTCTACGCTCTTCTACGAAGTTGGATGGGGAACTTCCTTCCACTTCTCATACAGAATGGCGGGAGAGTCATTCTCTGAGGGCATGCGCCGCCACGAGTATTATTTGACCAGCTTTCTCGGAGGCCTCAAGCCAGGTTCCAAGGTCAACATCGTTCGTGGGCCTGTGAGTGCTTTTGACGAGGATTGCTGCAGGTGCTTGATGTCGGATGCGGCATCGGTGGACCTCTTCGTAGCATTACCCGATTCACTGGATGGGACATTACCGGCATCACCATCAACGAGTACCAGGTTAACCGCTGCAACCAGCTCGCGGCAAGGCAGGGGCTCAGTGGCCAATGCCGCGCTATCCTCGGAGACTTCCTGGCCATCCCTGCTGCAAACAATTCTTTTGATGGTATGCCTGCAGATTTGTTTGTTCTGTTGTAATTTGCTTTAGGTGTTTATGCTATTGAGGCCACTTGCCACGCCCCCGATCGCCGCAAGGTGAGATAACATTTCCGATGAAGTCTCAATATCTTAGTTCATCCTCAGGTGTACTCCGAAGTTTTCCGTGTTCTTAAGCCTGGTGGCTACTTTGCATGCTACGAATGGTATCTATTTCACGCTAATGTTAAAAAAATTGATCTTTTCGAAGGTGTTTGACGAACAAGTATGATAAAAACAACCAGTACCACAGATGGATCAAGAAGAAGGTTATTGTTGTCGCATGCCTTAAAGCATTGGTTGAATGATTGTGCAGATCGAGGAAGGTGACGCTCTTCCTGATATGGCTTACACACATGAAATCGATGATGCTATGAGAAGCTCTGGGTATGAAGAACAAATACGTTTCCAATAGGGTTGACTTATTGGCAGGTTTGATATTCTTCATACACGTGACATGAGCTTGGACCCCAACCAGAAGTTTCCATGGTACGCTCTCGTGCCGTTGCTGATCACGGAAAGCCTGACTTGAATTGATTTAGGTACCATCCCCTTCTTCCCAGCTGGAACCCCTTCGTTCAGAGATTTCAGTTCAATCCTGTTGGACTGTTTCTAACCACCTGGGGTTTGCGCTTGTTGGAGGTGTGCAGTTTTCCAGCTCAAACGATCGAATTTTGATGGCTTTGTCCAGTTTTTGTGGCTCGCCCCTAAAGGAACCTCTAAGATCCAGACCATGCTTCAGCAGGGTGGAATCGGCTGTGTGAAGGTAATTTTACCTTAAATTTTAGGCAGCCATTGATGTTGTTTCAGGGTGGTCAGAACGAGATCTTCACCCCCATGTACCTCGTTGTCTGCAGGAAGCCACTCTAGATTGAATCGTGATGTGGAATTCTTTGGTGAATATGTTATTCGGAAGATATCGTGTCGAGATTCTCTCCAAGCAAGTCTTTTGTGAGAATGATGATTGGCTAGTGAAAGTCTGTCATTTTGCTGGGTTCTCTTCTACGTATAGAATTTTTAACCAGTCAATAAATGTGATAGCATACATGAGGATCTGTTCCGTACAGTGGGTTCGAACTTGTCTGCAGGTGTCAATCAAGGAGAGTATCGTTATGGTTGTTTCGGCCTTGCTCCGCTCTGCGACTGCCTCACACCAGTAAGAGTTGTTTGCATAGGACAACGCTGCCTGCACGTGCGTTGGCTCCATTTTTGTCGGACTGGACGCCCGAGCCAGGGGGCAAGGCAGGGAAGGGGGAGAGCCAGGGGGAGCGTGAGGGGAGTCCGAGGGCTGAAGATGAATCTTGGCTTCCCGATCCTGCTGTGTGCGGCTCCCATGGTGGGTCAGAGTGACATCGCGTTCAGGTAGTTCACACAGGATCTTGTCCCTTCCTGGCTGACTCACTGGTGGGCTCAAGGATTCTCACCCGGCGGTGGGGCGCCTCTTTGGCGTACAGCGAGATGCTCTTCAGCGAGCGGATCGTGGAAGAAGAAGAGTGAGTAGCGTGCCGATCGTCCTATTTTCTCTGGTGCCTCGAACCCTTGACGTCTTCCAGTTACTTAGCAGAGAAGCTTCAGAGTTGCATGGAGGACCGGCCACTCATCGTTCAAATATGCGGTAACGACCCATCGATCATGGCGAGAGCAGCCTGCTTGATTGAAGACTTCTGCAACAACAAGAGCCATGGCGTAGATGCAATCGACATCAATCTTGGTTGTCCTCAGAAAAGGTTAGAGATCGACACAGGAAATGAGCTCAAATGAAATGGCTTGTCTTTCACAGAGCCGCAGAGGGGCACTATGGCTCTTATCTTCTAGAAAAGGTTTCATCCAATGCTGTTGTTCGCTGAGTGTAGTGCTTTGACATGTGAATTCCCAGAAAGATTGGAAGCTCGTACAGGAAATCGTTGAATCTATGAGCAAGAGTGTAAATATCCCGATATCATGTAAAATTCGCCTTCTACAGGTATCTTTTTTTTGACAGCATGCTTCGAGTCCACTTTCTCACCTTTGTGCAGACTGAAAGTCAGACGGTAGAGTTTGCAAAGCTCTTGGAAGCCGCTGGCTGCTCCCTTCTAGCTGTGCATGGCAGGCAGCGGGTAGGATAGACCATTGTTGCTGCTCTGCTGACTGAACCAACTCCTTGCTCGCTCGCCGACCAGGGATCACAGAGACATGGCAGGAAGGGACCTGCTGATCTTGATCAGATCGCGGCAGTGAAGAGAGCATTGACTATTCCAGTGATAGGTGATGGACGGGAATGGGTGCAGCACGCTCCTCCTTGACCGCTTATGACAGCCAACGGAAACGTGAGATCGCCGGAAGACATCTGGATCAATCTAGAGAAGACGAGAGCAGATGGGATAATGAGCGCAGAAGGACTGCTAGCCAACCCTGCTATCTTCAAGGTGCACGAATGGTATCGGAGTGCTGAACTGATGCGCAAGCGCTAGCAAGCTCTCCTCCTCCGCGAAGGGAAAGATTACCAAGGAAATCCTCTACGGCAGGTCTGATGAGGAGCATTCTGATTCTTGTTGAGACCTCTCAAGGTGGCTCTGGAATACCTTGACCTGGCGGAGGAATGGAAAGTTCCCATGGACGTCCAGGAACAGCATGTCTCCCATGTGAGCTCCCAGCCGTATCCTCCTGAGTCCTCGTGATCTTGTTGACCTGCAAGATTCTTGGCCTTTCTTCAGCCACTGGCGGAGCTTCCTGGCAGCACGTGCTTGTTTGTGGAAGTGGGTGCCGGACTGACCACTGTTGAAGAGGAAGACAGCCGCGGAGAGGACGAAGGACCTTTCGCTGGAAAGCAAGCAGGGAGAGGCGGAGGAGGAGGAGGAGGAGGAGGCTTCCCGCCCTCGGAGGCTCTGGCAGGTGAAGCAGAGGCTTCATGCGTGCAAGGACACGGAAGACTTGAGGTGAGCGAGCGGATAGGTTTGCAGGTGTGACAGTTGGACTCTAACTTGATCTCACAAGGAATCTCGTTCGGCTGATGCTTCAGCCAGATTGAACTTTTGAATTTTGGCTCCTACGCTTCCTTCATCTAGATCGTTCACCTCAGTGTCTTTCGCTGATCCGCAGTCATGGCAACGCCACGGCCACATAGAACTGATCTGAAACCCGATCATGCAGTGCAGAAACCAGGCTTAGTCCGAGATCCGATCCGACTAGACCCGGGCCCACTGGCAGATCCTTCGCAGACTATCAATGGCAACGCTGCGGCGGGCCTGGGGCCTCACTGACTTGCGAAGGGCCGGAGTCCGACACACTGAGAGTTGAGTCACGAGTCACGGGCCAATCAGATCTCAAAGTTTAGATTGGCCTCATCCCCGCTCGTCGCAACGTGCAAAGCACCACTGTAACCGTCGGCCCCTGGTTTCTAAAGAAAGTTTGACATGTCTATGAATTTTCATAACTATTTCGGAAATTTTCATAGAGCATAACAACAATAACAGCAAACTTCGATTTTGTTTTCAATTTATGTTTGAAAGGTACCCTGTAGGGAAAACCATCGGTTTGACCGACCGTTTTCTGGGAATGGCGCGAGGGAGGGATCGACTAACAAGCAGAAAGTGCTACATCGCTTCTCCTTCTGCTGCTGCGCCTCCTCTACCTCCTCTTACTTCCTCTCCTCCTCCTAGGACCTTCACCTGTTACTTGCTATCCTGGGCTCGCATCTTCCAATCCACTCGCTGACTTGTGCAGTCATAGATTCCTCCCACTCCTGAACATTCATATTTGTGTTGTACTGTATCGCCGTCGTCTTGATATTGCTTCCAAACACCATCCTTCTTTCATTTGGTGTCCTGCATTTCAATTTCCTACCTTAGAGCCAGATTTTCGCGCCCTCTCATCTTTTAAGCAACGGCCCATGCGACCTCAGAAACTACATTGACCAAAATGTGGCGTCATGCCATACTGCAGCTTTACCTGGTGCTTGCCATGACTGTGAGGCAAGTTTGCAATGCACCAGTCATCACCAGTATACGTCCGAGCAACATGCCAGCAGTTGGGGGAGGTGATACGACCTTCCTTGTCATCGGGGGATCAAACTTCGGTTTCACAACGAGCAACATCATGGTTGGCATCGGCACATCCTTCTCCTCGGAAGTTTCCAATGCTGTAGACTCGCTCGTGATCTGCAAGATTCCTGCAGGAACAGGAGCAGGCCTTGATGTGTTCGTGAACGTCTCTGGTGCAGTCACCACACTGCTCAAGTCCTTCAGTTATGATCCGCCGATCGTCACCTCACTCAACCCCAACAACGTCCCAACTGCTGGCTCAACGTCGCGGGTGCTCGGGAAGAACTTTGGAGTTGCGAATGTGTCTCCGGTCATTCAGATGGCAGGAGTCTCTCTTCAGTCTTCATGGACGTCCGATTCTAGCGTGCAAATCGTAGTTCCTCCAGGCGCTGGAGGAATGAAGTCACTAAGTATTGGAGTTTCAAATCAGGTCTATACTGCTGTCAATGCGCTGTCATACAGTGCTCCAGCAACCAATCAGGTACAACCCCCAGTTGTCGAGACGATAGGAGAGCTTGTCTCTGTTTCAGGATCCTTCTTCGGGGTGGTCGATTACACCGTATCTTCAAAAAGCGGTTTTACATATTCAGAATTCACACAATGGATGTCCGATTCATTTATATATTGCAAAGTTGCCAGAGGGGCAGGCTGCTGTATGGATCTGTCTGTCACAGTATCTAATCAGGAGGGTGTCAAAGCAGCTGCCACTTCCTTCTATGCCCCTGCCTTGGGAGCATTTCAGAAAGATCCGCTCTCAACAACGATCACAACATTGCTGAATCTAGATGGATCAAGCTTTGGTATGTTTGATTTTACTATGCAGGCTCGTATTGGGCGGTCAGCTGGTGTCTCAACACGATGGAGCTCAGAGACATCCTGCGTTGTCTTGTCCTCACGGGGAGTTGGAGGAGCACTGCTAGTTGTTGCGAGTGTGGCAAGACAGTCCGGAACATCGAGCTCCGCGTTGACCTACGTCTCGCCAAAGCTCAGCGCCGTCTCTCCTGTGGTTGGGTCACCTTTGGGTGGTTTTGTATTGTCTCTGACAGGTAGTTCCTTCGGAAGTGACGACTACTCCCCTCTTGTACTAGTTGGGATGTCCACATGTCAGACTTACTTTGTATCGGACTCTAGCACGAGAGTTGTCGTCAAGAGCGGAGTGGGGGCGAATCTTGCTGTCTCCATCTCATCTCAAGGTCAAGTAGGGATATGGAACAACTTCTTCTCCTACCAAGCACCCAATGTCACTTCGATCAGTCCTGCTAACTCGCCTACCGCCGGGTCTCTTCAGATCTCGATCTTAGGGAGCAATTTTGGGTCAAGTTCTCAACCGGATCAGAACATTGTTATTGGAAAAACTTCTTGCACTCTTACTCTCTGGAAATCAGATTCATCCATGACGTGTGTCACGCCAAGAGGTACTCGATCCGGTCTGGACGTCAGCGTGAGGAGCGGGGGGCTAGTCGGGACATTCACAGCAGGGTTCTCCTTCGACCGTCCTGTGATAGAGTCAGTCTTTCCTGGTGTAACTGCCACCGCAGGAGGGCAGAGTATAACCGTCATTGGCAAAAACTTCGGAATCTTCGGGAGCTCGCAGGTCACAGTGAAGGTGGGATACACAACCTGCTCCTCCTCTGCTTACGGTTTGAATGAGTACATGTTGATCTGTGTTCTTGCTCCCGGAGCTGGTATAATGCTACCAGTCTATGTGGCACTGGACGGAGGCTCCTTTACAGGGCAAGTGAACGCGTTCTCATACTCGCCTCCAACACTGCAGGCTGTAAATCCATCCATCCTCTTGCCTGCTGGTCGTCTCAAGCTCACGCTCTCGGGCCAAGGATTCGGAACCGGATCGGACAGTCAGAGCGCTGCTGTTCAGTCAACTGTCTCCCGGACCACCTTCTGGATTTCTGATTCTTCTCTTCCGTTCTTGTATGCTGCAGGAGTAGGGAGCGGTCAATCGGTGAGCGTGTCAGTGGGAGATCAAAGGCACTCGCTCAAGAATATCGCTTCGTTCTCGATCCCTCTGCTAAGCTCCACCCAGCCTTCCAATGTGCCTTCGCTGCTTCCGACTGTGGGGATAGCAGGACAATGCTTCGTGGCGTTCGACACGAGTGGAGCCGTAAGGGTGCAGGGGCAGATGAACGGGAGAGGAAGCGCTTCTATGACTTCTCAGTGGACTTCTGATTCAAGTTTACTCTGCAAGCTCAGCTCGGGAGCCGGAGTCCTGATTTCAGTGCAAGTCACGATCTCTTCGTTCTTCAATTCCATCTCCTCGTCTCTCAGCTTCGATCTTGCCAAAGTCAAATCAGGTCTCCCTTTCCAAATCTTCCCAAGAGCGGGATGACCCGTGTCAGCCTTGTCGGCCTCAACTTTGCAGGTGCTGACTACACGCCGTCTTTACGGATCGGGCAGACAGCCTGCTGGAGTAATGTATGGAACTCAGACACGAATCTCGTGTGCGGGGTACCTGCTGGCCTAGTCGCGGAGCGTGTGATCGTCACCATCCTGAATACCGTGGGATCTTCAGCTGACGCGCTCTCGTTTGACTTGCAGACCGTCACGTCGTCCTCAAGGTACAACCTCCGGTCAGACGTTGTCAACTCCTTGACCCTCTTGGGGGCATCTTTTGGGTATTGGCAGCCAAACACATTTCAGGTGTCGGTGGGTTTTTCCCCATGCGCCTCCACAGTATGGAAGAGCAGTTCCTCGCTTACATGCCTTGTGCGTCAAGGAGTTGGTTTGGCAGCTGATGTGCAGGTATTGGTTGAGTCTTCTGTTCAGATTCAGAGGAAGTTCTTCTCTTATGAGTCACCGACAATTTCAAATGTGAAAGGGGCAAACCTGGCAACAAACTCGATCGCGGCATTATCAATCTATGGTTCGGGATTTTCCCAGGTAGATTACACTATTCAAGCTCGAACTGGCAGAACTCGAGCGCAGGCGACAACATGGTTCTCACAAACCAGTGCAGTCTGTCTTGCTCAAGCGCAAATCCGTACCAGTCTGCAATTGCTGACCACATTACAAGTCTCGTTGGGAACCCTCTCAAACGTCATCTCCTTTGATGCAATCCAAGTCACGAGTGTAAATAGTGTAAATTTGAGTCAAGTACCGACTATTCTTTTATTTCTTTCGTCAAATTATCTGTACAATACGTTCAAAGACATGACCCTCAAGACGGCTGTTGGTTCCACTTCGTCCCCCTATACAGTCTGGTCTACGAGCTCGCAAGTCACATGTAAAGGTTCATCTACAGCATCAGCATCTCAAAGAATTACATTATCTCTGTCTAATCCTCTGCTTAGCTCTCTTTCCTCAGCCTTCTCGTTCAATCCAATCAATCTGTTGCAGTCTCAAAATCGACTCGAGAGCATAACGACATATTTCTATGCAGTCGGCCTTGCTTATGAAGATCACTCCCTCGCTCTTCGAGTCGGTGTGACTAGTGCACAACAGACAGCTTGGAGATCCTACACGGCGATGCAAGTGAAAGTCAGTTCCAGTGTAGGCAGAGAAGTTCGTCTCATCGCTTCTGCTTCTTCGGTCTTGGCGACATCTTCTAGTTCCAATGAGTTCACACTGCCGCTGGCCAGCTCGACCTCACCCTCCAACAGCCCTCCAGCTGGAGTCTCACTGATCGCATTCCTTGGCACTTCTTATGGATCAACCTCGTACTCGCAGTCAGTCCGTGTAGGCCCATCTGAGAGCGTTAGGACCATCTGGACATCGGCATCGTCAATCGCGTCTATTCCTTCTTTCTCCATGTCAAATGCCATGAATGTCGTCATCACTTCAGGATTACAAGCCGGCACTGCCTTCCGCTTTTTCTCATTCGATGCTATTTCCATCTCTTCAGTTCATGTACAAAACATCCCAAATTCTGGTAATCGCCTTGTTTCTTTCTCTGGATCTTCATATGGATCTTCATCGTATACTCTCCGCCCAAGTTTATCGTTTTCTGTCCTTCAAACTGCGTCATGGACGTCTGACACAGCCATTGTATGTAAGGTCATTGCCGGCGTCGGCAACAAGTTGCCGTTTGCTGTCGCTCAAGGGTCCGCCTACACTAACACAGGAACTATCTCAGATGTGATTTCCTTCGACTCTCCCCAGCTGAGCGGCAGCAGCAAGCAGAATATGCCGCAAATAGCTCCCTCCCTTGTCACGATCTTCAGCTCTGTCGGGTTCGGATCTGCTGACTACAGTTCTATCCTTGTTCTTTTGAATGGCAAGCAAGTCTTGTCCTCACTGTGGACCTCAGACAGTTCAATAACTTGTCAATTGGCACCAGGAGAAGGAGAAGGTCTCAACTTTGCAGTTCAATTCCAGAATGAAATTTCCTTTGTCACTCAAATGTTTACCTTTGATGCCCCTGCAGTGTCAGCTGCTCTTCGTTCCAACCTTGCGTCAAACAGACATTTCTCAATACTTGGATACAACTTTGGAGTCGTCGATCTTTCTATCAAGGTATGCGTTGGTACATTAAGCCAAAAGACGATTTGGCAGTCCGTCACCAGTCTGGTTGCCATCGCTGAACAGAGAGCCAGGACGAGTGTGTCTCTGATTGTGACTACTTGGCAGAGAGAGGGCACGCTCTCCTCTTCTGTTTCGTATGCTGTACCAGTCTTGTCAACACTGTATGCTGGGAACGGCCCTGTGGTCACTTTGAATCCTCTTGTCTTGTTTGAGTCTTCAACAAGCTCAACCCCGCTTTCTGAATCAATGCGGATTGGTTTCACTGCATGTGAAAGGACTCTTTGGATATCAGGGACTCAAATTGCTGGAAAGGTGTCTTCTGGCGTTTCAAAGTCAGCAGGCATTGTTGTAACTTATTGTTTGTCTTCAAATAGTCTGTCTCATGCGTATTCCTACGATTTGTCTGCACAGGTTGACAGAGTGAATATCCCCGTAGCAGGCGCAATGATCGTTTCTTTTCCTCTTCTGACATTCCAACCTCTGTGCTATACACCGACAGTTCGGATGGTCTCAGCGCTTCAGAGCACGAGATGGAGCTCCACTTCAAGCATCTCATGCTCTGTGAGGATGCTGCCCGGGAGAACACTGTCAGTTCAAGTTACGATTGGGCGAAGTATCGTGACTGTCACGGAGGCAACAAGCTTTGATACAAGTGCGATGTCCTCTATTTCGACCACAAACTCTTTTTCACGAGGTCAAACACTGTACATTTACAGCAAACCCTTGTCCTTGAATCTTGAAAGCACCCTTGCATTAAGAATAGGTCCATCGAAGGTCTTGGAAACACTGTGGTTGTCTTCAACCAGTCTGTCTGGGAGGGCTGCATTCGCATACGCTCGGAGTCAATCTCTCTCTCTCTCTGTTGCATCGCTTCAGAGTTCAACCAGCCAAGTGTTTTCGTATGACTCCGTTCAGTTGTCCTCTGCAATTCGCGGTAATATCTTCAGTACCGGTGTGATTGCGATAAATTTCAGAGCGCTGGCTATCGAAGTGTTTTCTCTTACAGCTTCTGTGAGGGTAGCCTCTACTGTTTCCTCCCGCTCCATGTGGACGAGTGACTCCGCCGTCCAAGCTCTCGTCTCCTCTGGTGTCGGCGGCTCCCTATCCCAGATGCTCACCGTCGTCCTGCAAGTCTCCTCTCTCTCTCAGCTTCTCAGCTACGATCGGCCTACGCTCGCGTCAAGACCGGCCAACTCTCCCACCACAGGGAACGTGGACCTGCAGCTGTCGGGGGCGGGGCTGGGGAACTTCGATGCTTGTCCTGTTGCTCAGGTGGAGCGTTTTGTGTGTCGGGCGTCAATGTGGAAGTCAGACTCGTCGATGGTGTGCAGGGTGAATGAGGGGGCAGGAGCAGGGCTGGATATCAGCGTGAAGGTAAAGGAGCAGGTCGGTACTCTCAGCTCTGCCGTTTCGTTTGACACCGGAATCATTCTTGCGGTTTCACAAGCAAATTTTCCTTCCTCAGGGAACTCGATCGTATCTTTGATTGGAGTCAACCTTGGAGCTTTTTCTATGACATCTTATGCTCGAGTCGGAGGGACAGCATGTCAATACACCGTCTTTCAAAGTCAAAGTCAAATATGGTGCAAGGTAGCTGCTGGAGTCGACCAAAACATGCAAACTCTTGTGTCTGTGGCCTTTCAGCAGTCTCAAGCTCTGGCGCAGACTCTTTCCTATGATATAGGATCAGCCTCAAGTCAAGGGTTGGTGTCCTCAACCACTGGGAATAACGTGGTGGAAACTGTTGGAGCATACCTGGGAACATATGATTCGTCGGTGCGATCGAGAGTAAGTCAGACTGAAATGCAAGCTACTCGATGGGTTTCCGACACATGCTTGCAAGGAATCTGTCCGGCAGGTGAGGGGCGAGGTCTGAGACTGGTGATTTCGATCGGGGCTAGACATTCGACCATGTCAGAATCGATTTCTTTCGCTAGTGTTGTATTCGTGGACAAAGGGCTAAACTTTGTAGTGTCTGTTACGTCGTATCTTGCTGCCGGTCATTCGTTCGCCCCGTTTGATACCACATCACAAGTTAGATTGCAGCACACTGCTAGTGTACCCACCCATTGGTTTTCAGACTCTTCTCTCTCCTGTCTGTTGCCATATACCACTGGAGGGGGAAAGAAAATGATCATGACCATTCATGGAAATACGGAGACGTCCAGAGATTTTATATCGTTTGACCTACCTGTGTTCTCTGTAACGCAGGTGGTGAATTTGCGGGCCACTCGGTCAAACTTCTTCGTCACTGGGAAGGGATTTCCAATGTACGATCTCTCTGTTTCTGCCTCCATCAGCGGATCCAGTGGTGAGGTGACGATTTGGACAAGTGCTACAACCGTTCATGGCATTTTCAGTGGTCAGACTCTAGCTTCAGGGTCGATCTCTCTTACAATGAGCGGCATAAAGGCAACAGTCAGTGAGGCGTTCTCCATGGATGTCCTCAAAATCAGTTCGATCGCTCGATTGAACTATGGTCCTCAGATGTTCGGTGATATGTTGATAGGAACAAGCTTGTCACGTACAACATTTTCACCTGCAACAAGAATTGGAGGAACATCCATGCCAGTTTCGAAATGGATCTCATCTTCAGTCTTGACATGCAGAGCAACTCCAATGGAGAGGCGTTCTCTTTCTGTGTCCTTTACAACTAACGGAGCAGCAACCAGCATCACAGAAAGTCTGTCATTCGAGCAGTCGTTTTTAACTTCCACTTTGCAGCAAAATTTAGATGTTCGAGGCAATTCTTATTTGGTAATATTTGGAGCTTTTTCGGAGCATTCGATGAAAACCCGTGTTGCATCATCAGCTTGTCGTTCGACTGTATGGCAGTCAGACTCAGTTGTTAACTGTAACTTCGTCATACAAACTCCTCGTTCCATGGCTTCGATCATCTCTGCCGCCTTGAGCAGTATTCATTCCATCACAAACTCATTGAGTTATGACAGCTTTGTTCTTGACTCATACCTTTCGAGTCAAAACAATGTAATCAACCTTAATTCCATATCTGTTCCCTTCGGCCTCATAGCACAGGCTACTGTTAGACTGCGAATGGGATTTTCAAATGCAGAGAGCTCGGTCTGGAGATCGGCCACTTCACTTGAAATCAAAAGTGTGATTGAGAACGGCAGAAGTTTGGCATTATGCTTGACATCGAGTAGCTTGTACACAAGTACGAATACCCATACGTTTGATCTGTACGTCTCCTTCCAATCGGTGATATCCTCGTCGAATTTTCCAATTTTGGCAGCGACAAAAATCATAGGCAAGGGTTTTGCTCTTTCTGATAAGAGCATTGGATCCCGAATTTCTTCTACATCATCGGCATCCACAAATTGGATATCAGATTCTAGTGTCACTTCTACTTACACTTCGTACGCCTTCCGGACATTCTCTACCGTCATCACCATGTCTGCTGTGACCAACACCTTATCTCAAGCTTTGACTATGGACGCTCCAATCATTGATGGTATTGCACTTTCATCAACGAATATTGTGAAACAAAAATCGATCCAACTTCTATCTCTTGCTTACATGGACGATGTTAGGAGCGCAAGTGTTCGGGTCGGCAGTACAAGTTCTCTATCCACTGCATGGAACAGTTCATCGTATGTCTTCTGCAAAATAGCAGCAGGCGCTGGCCACAGCAAAGGCATCTACCTCTCCATCCATTCCCTCGTCTCCTCCGCTTCTAGTGCCGTCTCCTATGACACTCTCGCGATCTCCTCCGGCCTCAATCAGACGCGCTCGACGGCAAACACCCGAGGAGTCCTTCTCTCGCAGCTGCTACCGCCGGACTCGCTGCAGGTCGTGTCCTCGTACTCGGCGTCGACGAGGATCGGACGCACGTCCTGTGAGTCCACGGGCTGGATATCAACCAGCGAGGTGCGCGTGCAAGCCCATGCTCACGGTCGGCAAAGCATGAGCCTGTCCATCACGTGCGGGCGCGGGGCTTCGACTGTGTCAGAGCTGCTGACGTATAGCGCTGTCACCGTGAGTAGCGTGCAGTCAGTCAACGCAGGCTCAAGATCGACATTTCTGATTGCTTCTCTGTCGAGAGTCAGCAGCTCCGCAGCAGGACGCGTCGGCTCGACAGGATGCGAGATCTCTACATGGCTGTCCGTGACGTCAGTGAGCTGTATCTGTGCGAGAGGTCGGAGCCAGCTCGGCACGCAGGCGGTAGCGTTGACCATCAGTCAAGCGACGGGAAGCGTGAGCGGCAGCGTGAGCTTCGACACACAGCAGATCACGGGAGCAGAGCGCGGCAACCGGTACATGGGGATGGTCAGGTCGGTCATCGTCGGGGCTGTCGGGGCTGTCGGGGGGGCAGCGTCTGTATCAGCGAGTCTGCGACAAGGGAGCACAGCATGCGAGCGATCCTTGTGGATATCAGGCTCCTCTCTCGCAGGGCGCACGGCGAGCGGGCAAGCAGGGAGCATGCGGGTGGTGGCGAGTGTTGCGGGTCAACCTGCGTCTACGTCGCGTGCCGCGAGCTACGATGTACCGATGACGTCCGAGGCGTTGAGGACAAACGTGGGAGGCCAAGGAGGGGCGAAGTCGGTGCAAGTGTGGGGCCAGGGGTACGGGCCTTCGGCATCAGCATCAGTGGGGAGGAGCTCATGCGAGAGGTCGGGGTGGCTGTCGGACACGGCGATACAGGGGACGACGTCAGGAGAGGGCTACGGGGGGACGAGAGGGGTGATAGTGAGCAGTGGGAGACAGGTAGGAACGCGCTCAGCAAGTGTATCATATGATGCCGAGCGATTGTTATCCTTGATATTCAGTGGGAACTCATTCTTTCCTGGACAAGGCAATCTTATGTTGCCACTCAAAACGTTTATTCGTTTTTCTTCGTCGTCCAACTTCAACAAAGTTTCCCTTGGTATTCGGACTGGTTTCACTGTTTCCTCCCGCTCCATGTGGACGAGTGACTCCGCCGTCCAAGCTCTCGTCTCCTCTGGTGTCGGCGGCTCCCTATCCCAGATGCTCACCGTCGTCCTGCAAGTCTCCTCTCTCTCTCAGCTTCTCAGCTACGATCGGCCTACGCTCGCGTCAAGACCGGCCAACTCTCCCACCACAGGGAACGTGGACCTGCAGCTGTCGGGGGCGGGGCTGGGGAACTTCGATGCTTGTCCTGTTGCTCAGGTGGAGCGTTTTGTGTGTCGGGCGTCAATGTGGAAGTCAGACTCGTCGATGGTGTGCAGGGTGAATGAGGGGGCAGGAGCAGGGCTGGATATCAGCGTGAAGGTAAAGGAGCAGGTCGGTACTCTCAGTCAAGTGTTCTCGTACGACGGACCAGCAGTGTTCCGAGCAATTCCTTCCTTCTCAGATACTGTCGGTAACTCGATCATCTTCGTCGAGGGGCTGAATTTCGGTTGGTCTTTTGCAAAGATTGAGGTTTGGGTTGGCAGTTGGGCATGCACAAATGTTCAATTTATTCGCCAGGACTTGCTGAGTTGTACCACACCCGCCGGGTTCGGGCGTGATCTACCCATCCGCGTTCGAACAGGAGGACAGGAGACGTTTACGGCTAGACTCTTTTCTTACCTTCCTCCCACTCTATCAGGGGTGTTGTCCAACTATGGACCAAGCTCCGGCGGAGGCATTGTAACTTATTTCGGGAAATATTTCGGATATGAAAATTGCTCTCCTCAAGCATATTTTGGTGGAACTATCTGTGCAACAAGCTTGTGGACATCTGATTCTGCTGTCACGTGCTTTTTAAACGGTGGATACGGGTCCCTTTCGGGTCTGAGTCTCAATGTTCAAAACCAGACGACAACGTCGCTGATTTTTGCGGCAGGATACATTCCACCAACCGTTTCCACAGGATCACGTCAGAATCAACCGGCAACGGGTGCGGTTCTAATATCAATTGCTGGTCGGGATATGTCAATTGCATCTTATACACCTGCATCAAGAATCATCGGAACATCGTGTCCTCAAACTCTTTGGAGGTCTGACACTAGTATTGTATCCATGTCAGCACGGTCTGGTATGATGTCATCAAATAGTGTTCTGGTAGCCTCCATCGGGGCGATACGATGTAGTTTGACAGAGTCGGTTTCATATTCAAAGCCTGATTCCTACATCTTGCCAGGTGCTCCCGGCAACACAATTGCCAAAGTTGCGTCATCCGTGCTTTTTACTTCATCATCTATGGACTGTTCATTGAAGGCCAGGATGGGAGCGACGTCTTCACAGATGACCCTTTGGAGTTCGTATAGTAGCTTGTCAACAAAATTCCAAAGGTCTTCTGGGGCATCCAACTCTCTGATCGTGACGATGGGAATCCAAAGCGGTACTGCATCTGCTGTTCTATCTTACGACATGCTATCTTTGACAGCGTCGTCTCAGTACAATCTAGTTGAATATAGATGGGCGATTCTGTTTGTAAAGCCCCAAGTCTTCAAGTTCGAACCTTTGCTTGACATCTCCTCTGCAATAAGAGCTGGAGTCACAAATTCCCAAGCAACCAGTTGGGTTTCCTCCTGTTCAATCTCGTGTAAATTTGCCACATTGTCAAGTCACAGCAAGCAGGTAATTTTGTCAGTGTCGCAAACGTCGCAAAGTCTGACGGAAATCATTTCCTACGACAAGTGCAAAGCAAGCACCTTGTCCCGAACCAACTTTCTTGCTGATCCCTCTGATCTTATTTTTACAATCAGCGGCTTGAATTTCGGTGCGTTCGATTCATCGGTCTCTATGTCCATTGGCAATAGCAGAAATCAGTTTTCGGAATGGAGCTCCGAGACGAATGTTTTCAGCAAAGTTGCTCCATTCACGGTTCACACGATGAGTTTGATATGCTCCATTGATGGTCTGGTAGGTAGTGTATCACAAATATTTTCCAGTGATGTTCCACTTGTGTCACGATTCTCAAATAACTTTCCATCCATTATCAGTCCCTCTGTCGCTTTAAAGCTTTCGTCTCCGAGACTTCGAATCAGCGGCACAAGCTCTCAATGTACAGCCTGGATTAGTCAATGTGAACTAGTATGCAATATCATGCCATCGATCTCTCGCACAGCACATTTGAGCATGTCTTATGGTGTTATTCCACGATCATTGACTTCTGCGTTCTCCTTTTCGGCACCAAAGTTGAGCTCTGCACTCGCATCGAATTCAATCTCCAGCAAAGATGGAGCTACAAGTTTGACTGTCATTGGTATCTTCAATTTGCAATTCGACAATACAGTTTCTATCCGGGTTCTTAAAACTGTCTCGAGGTCAACATTGTGGATCTCTTCAACATCCACAAGCTGCAGAACCAGTTCCTCTACAGGGCACACGGCCAATACAATGTTGACTGCATCCCTTCAAGTTGGTTCCACTACCGAAATTTTCAGCTATGATGTCTCCATTTTAAGCTCCAGTGCAACACCAAATCTGCAGTCACGTGAATTCAGGTTGCAAGTATGGTTGGCCAGGCACGATTTCCCGTCCTATTCTGAGATTATAAGAGTAAGTACAACGTCGTGCGAGTCCACGGCTTGGTTATCAGCCACGACTCTTGCTGGGGTAGTTGCGGCCACAACCACACAAACTTTGAAGCTTGTACTGACTACTCTCGTGACGCCAAGCACAATTACTCAATCCTTCTCTCATGACTCATTAGTTGTAAATGTTTTGATATCCAACAATTTTCCTTCAACTGGGAGCGGTCGCATCGTCATCCTCGGTACAGGTCTCGGTCCTGTGCAAACCTCGTTGGCTGCCAGACCTAGTGGAACAGCCTCGGAGGCCGTAGGCTGGATCTCTGACTCCACCATGAAAGCCAAGGTCTCCGCAGGTGTCAATGACCGCAGTAGCTGGCTCGCGTGTACTGTCATGGGACGGCCGGGCTCGGTTAGCAGCCTGCACTCTTACGACCTTCCCTCGCTGTCATCGTCGTCACGAACCAACTTTGCCGCGTCTGGCGGAGCACTGATCAGTGCGACAGGGAGCGGGTTCGGAGTGCATGGCGTGAGTCCGATGATAGCCGTCGGGGACACGTACGCGAGCAGCAACGTCTGGGTCTCAGAGACCGCCATGAGGGGTCGGCTGGCACCAGGGGTAGGGGCGGAGCTTCCCATGAGAGCGCTGGTAGGGTGCTGCACGACGGGCACGAGCACCCAGGTGTTCTCGTTCGACAAGCCCACGGTCAGCAGCATTCAGCCTGCGTACGCAGCGACGACAGGTCTAGCATTGCTGTATCTAGCGGGCAGGAACTTTGGCACCTTCGACAGCACGGTGTCGATAAGCGTAGGAGACACCAAGTGCACGGAGAGCACGTATGTAAGCAATCTTGTCTTGTCTTGTCTTGTGTCGCCAGGAGTGGGAGCCAGCCAAACTGTACGGGCTACCGTGGGAGGTCAGGTAGCCGAGTCGCCGGTGCTGTTCTCGTACATGGGGCCGACGGTGCTTGGGATAGGTCGACAGAATGGGCCAGCGACAGGAGGGGTGCTCGTGACTCTACAGGGAAGGAACTTCGGGAGCTTTGAGAGCAGTGCGAAAGGGAGGGCGGGAACGGCAGCGGAGAGGACAATCTGGACAAGTGATACTCAACTGTCCTTTGGTGTTACAGGTGGATCGGGTCCTCAAATTACGATAGTCTTGACAGTGTTTGATCAAGCTGTGTCCAATCTTGTTGGTTTTTCATATTTGAACTCTCGTATATCTGCTGTTACTATGTCGAACATAGGAAGTTCCGTCAGTTTCAGTGTTGCTGTTTTTGGGGAGTTCAGCAGCTCAGATATGTCTGGTAAGGTTATCTTGGGGTCTACAGTTTGCCGCAGCACCTCTTGGTCTTCTTCAACTTCGATGTCTTGTTACTCTGGTTCAAATCCTGGTAGCAGTTTATCCATATCAATCACAAATGGATTTTCTTTTGTAGCTGTGACGTCGTCTGTTGTGTCATACGACATTCCGCCGTTGGTAACATTCAAGTTTGGTGATGCTCAATCCTCAGTTTTCGATGTGCTTGGTAAGGGATTTGGCAACTGTATCATGACTCAGCGTTCGAGAGTGGGCTCGTCCATTAGCATTGAAACGCAATGGTTGTCTGATACTTCTTTGAAAGTTCTCCAGATTTTGCAAGTGTTCCGATCAAAATCTTTTGCATTGAGTATGAGTTCACAATGTTCTTCGAGAACATCTTGTCTTTCATATGAGAATGGCATGGTATCTGCTCTATCACAACAATCAAATATCCCATTGTCTGCCAAAATAGACCTGTCAGTAGCAGGTTTAAACCTTGGAATATCGTCAGGTAGCATATGGGTTCGAATAGGAGAATCAGGATCGGAGCGAACAATTTGGATTTCTTCAAGCCAGGTGCTTGCAAAAACTGTTGAAGGAACAAAACGGTCGCAGAGATTGACCTGTAGTATGTCTGCTATCCCTTTCTCATCGCTAAACACAGTTTCATATGACCTTGTACTGTCCAGGCCCAGTGATGCTGAGAGAAACACTGGAGGTCGATCTGCTGCTGTACAAACTTTATCTGGAGTGAATGGATATAATTCACGCTCAGAAAAAGCGAGATTTGGATCAACCTCAGCAGAGCGGACGGTATGGAAATCGTGCACCAACATCAACATCAAGACATCTGCAAGTACAGGAAAATCAAACACAATTGCTATCACAACAGATGCTGCAGTGAATACATTCTCCAATGCCTTCTCGTTCGATACATCTCCTGTGATTTCAAGCTGCAATACACAAACCGCCACGATCCAAGTATTGTCTTTGTTTACTTCAGGAACTTTCATTACATCAAAATCGAGAATAGGAGAGACTGCAAGCAGCAACACACAGTGGAAAAGTTCAACAATCATTTACAGCAAAATAGCAGCAGGCGCTGGCCACAGCAAAGGCATCTACCTCTCCATCCATTCCCTCGTCTCCTCCGCTTCTAGTGCCGTCTCCTATGACACTCTCGCGATCTCCTCCGGCCTCAATCAGACGCGCTCGACGGCAAACACCCGAGGAGTCCTTCTCTCGCAGCTGCTACCGCCGGACTCGCTGCAGGTCGTGTCCTCGTACTCGGCGTCGACGAGGATCGGACGCACGTCCTGTGAGTCCACGGGCTGGATATCAACCAGCGAGGTGCGCGTGCAAGCCCATGCTCACGGTCGGCAAAGCATGAGCCTGTCCATCACGTGCGGGCGCGGGGCTTCGACTGTGTCAGAGCTGCTGACGTATAGCGCTGTCACCGTGAGTAGCGTGCAGTCAGTCAACGCAGGCTCAAGATCGACATCTCTGATTGCTTCTCTGTCGAGAGTCAGCAGCTCCGCAGCAGGACGCGTCGGCTCGACAGGATGCGAGATCTCTACATGGCTGTCCGTGACGTCAGTGAGCTGTATCTGTGCGAGAGGTCGGAGCCAGCTCGGCACGCAGGCGGTAGCGTTGACCATCAGTCAAGCGACGGGAAGCGTGAGCGGCAGCGTGAGCTTCGACACACAGCAGATCACGGGAGCAGAGCGCGGCAACCGGTACATGGGGATGGTCAGGTCGGTCATCGTCAGGGCTGTGGGGGCTGTCGGGGGGGCAGCGTCTGTATCAGCGAGTCTGCGACAAGGGAGCACAGCATGCGAGCGATCCTTGTGGATATCAGGCTCCTCTCTCGCAGGGCGCACGGCGAGCGGGCAAGCAGGGAGCATGCGGGTGGTGGCGAGTGTTGCGGGTCAACCTGCGTCTACGTCGCTTGCCGCGAGCTACGATGTACCGATGACGTCCGAGGCGTTGAGGACAAACGTGGGAGGCCAAGGAGGGGCGAAGTCGGTGCAAGTGTGGGGCCAGGGGTACGGGCCTTCGGCATCAGCATCAGTGGGGAGGAGCTCATGCGAGAGGTCGGGGTGGCTGTCGGACACGGCGATACAGGGGACGACGTCAGGAGAGGGCTACGGGGGGACGAGAGGGGTGATAGTGAGCAGTGGGAGACAGGTAGGAACGCGATCGGAAGGTTTAAGTTATGACCATTTTGCCTTGCAAAACGCATCGGGTCAAAATCTTGCACTGGAAAGCAGATCAGCACTTCTTTTCGGCCTTTCAAAATATCAACTTGGCCGTTTTTCTGCAAGTGCAAGGCTTGGACAGTCGTCTATGCCAGGATCTTTGTGGATGTCGACAACGTCGCTCTTTGTCAGGATAGTAGCAAGTGATCAACTACGTACTTTGAGTCTCATAATCTCATCGTCTACATCAATATCAACTTCCACTGAAGCAATGTCGTATGATGGTCTGACAATGAGCTCCGTTCAGGTTCAGAATTGCATCGTGCACGACAAAATATCAATTCTCTCTTTTGCTGGGGCCAGCGGACAATCTTTGTCAACACGTGCTGGAAGAACTTCCTTCGAAGCAACAACTTGGACCTCCTTTACCTCAATTCAATTGAAATCTGTACAAGTAACCTCAACAACAAGAATGACGGTCTCTATCGCAATCAAAACAGGTTCATTGACTCAAGCTTTATCCTTCAATGCCATCGAAGCCTCTACACTATACATTTCAAACCAGCCAAGCACTGGGAGCGGTCGCATCGTCATCCTCGGTACAGGTCTCGGTCCTGTGCAAACCTCGTTGGCTGCCAGACCTAGTGGAACAGCCTCGGAGGCCGTAGGCTGGATCTCTGACTCCACCATGAAAGCCAAGGTCTCCGCAGGTGTCAATGACCGCAGTAGCTGGCTCGCGTGTACTGTCATGGGACGGCCAGGCTCGGTTAGCAGCCTGCACTCTTACGACCTTCCCTCGCTGTCATCGTCGTCACGAACCAACTTTGCCGCGTCTGGCGGAGCACTGATCAGTGCGACAGGGAGCGGGTTCGGAGTGCATGGCGTGAGTCCGATGATAGCCGTCGGGGACACGTACGCGAGCAGCAACGTCTGGGTCTCAGAGACCGCCATGAGGGGTCGGCTGGCACCAGGGGTAGGGGCGGAGCTTCCCATGAGAGCGCTGGTAGGGTGCTGCACGACGGGCACGAGCACCCAGGTGTTCTCGTTCGACAAGCCCACGGTCAGCAGCATTCAGCCTGCGTACGCAGCGACGACAGGTCTAGCATTGCTGTATCTAGCGGGCAGGAACTTTGGCACCTTCGACAGCACGGTGTCGATAAGCGTAGGAGACACCAAGTGCACGGAGAGCACGTATGTAAGCAATCTTGTCTTGTCTTGTCTTGTGTCGCCAGGAGTGGGAGCCAGCCAAACTGTACGGGCTACCGTGGGAGGTCAGGTAGCCGAGTCGCCGGTGCTGTTCTCGTACATGGGGCCGACGGTGCTTGGGATAGGTCGACAGAATGGGCCAGCGACAGGAGGGGTGCTCGTGACTCTACAGGGAAGGAACTTCGGGAGCTTTGAGAGCAGTGCGAAAGGGAGGGCGGGAACGGCAGCGGAGAGGACAATCTGGACAAGTGATACTCAAGTTGTACTGCAACCTGCTTCAGCGCTCTTTCCTTTGTCAGTGATTTCAATGACTGTTGCACGATCTATCAAAACAGATGCTCGAATATTCTCTACAGATTCTGCCTTTGCTTCTCTCTTTTCTCCATCAAACAGTCCTGTTCTTCAGAGAACAATCTTGACGGTCATAGGTCAGAACCTAGGGACTTCGGATTATTCTCTCACTGTGCACTTCTCTAGTTCAGCTGCATCGTTTTCGTCATGGTTGTCTGACACATCATTGGTGTCGCTGCCCTCCGTAGGAAATGGCCAAAACCTTACCGTCAATATGGTCAAAGACAATCAAATCTTTGGATTGAAGTTGTCGTTCTCGTTTGACTCCCCATACTTATATCAGTTGCCTTCCAAAAGCAACTTTCCTGCTTCTGGACTTGGACGTACAGAATTGATAGGTATTAATTTCTGTGCATTTGATACAAGTCTCAAGGTGAGAATACTTAGAACGCAAGTCCAATTGAGTGTGTGGACTTCAGATTCATCTATCACTTGTTCAAGCATTCCTCCAGGGATTTCGTTTGGTTCCATGACAACTGAAACAGTGTTTGATAAGTATCCGTCAAGTGGAATCGTGCAATATGACCAGCCATCGGCAAGCCTTGCCTCAACCAGTAACCTTGCCCTTCGCAGTGCTATACCTCAACGACTTGCAATTTTCGGAAGTGCTCTATCCGTGTTTGATCCAAGCTTGCAGGTCAGAGTATCTCAGAGCGTATCTGCAAATTCTCGATGGATATCCGATACGGCTCTAACATGTCAAGTCACAACAAGCCATTCATACTCTCTCAAAACTGTCTTGACTGTTGGCGTTCTTTATGGCACCACTACACAATTACTGTCATATGATTGCGTACAATTATCTTCGATTTCAAGTTTGAATGTTATCCCACGGACAACAATGAATATATCAACAATGAACCTGATAAGACAGACAATTTCTCCTAGCAGTCTATCCTTGAGAGTTGGGGATACCACTTGTGAAAAAAGTCAATGGGGAAGCGATCTCAGTCTGACATGTAAGCTTGCTTTCTCCAGTGTATCATTTTCACAAAAACTTAGTTTAACTGTGGCAATTTCGCTGTCTTCGTGCACTAACATGCTCTCGTACAATGCGCTGGCAATCTCATCCTGTACCCAGACAAACATTGTCAAGCAGACACAAATTGTAGTTAGCACATCGAGCAATCATCTTGGCATACATACCTTTGCCTCACGCTTGAAATCGAGCTCAGCTTCGGAAACAATTTGGAACTCACTGTCCTCACTCACACTGCGTTTTTCACCTGGCGTGTCAGCTTCTTTGCCAGTTCGCATAACCCAGCTCAGTCTTGTAGGAACGATTTCAAACATTCTCAGCTTTGACGGTGTTAACCTTGAATACATCAAGAACCGTGATACACCAGATAGCACTGACTCGCTTTTGTATGGATTACTTTCCTCTACATCTGATTTCACCTTATCATTTCGAATCGGTGGAAGCTCATGCGAAACGACGCAGTGGATTTCTCAAAGTGTGGTGCATTGTTCGGCTGCTGCTGGTTCTAAAGGAAATCACAGTGTGACTCTCACTTCTTTTGCAGCTTCAGGCACTGTTACTGCAGCATTCACTTTCGGACCTCCATCTATGTTCTGTCCAGTAAACCAGACGCTAACAAGCAACGTGGTTGTGATTGATGGAAGACGTTTTGGAGAAAGAGACTTTTCACCGAAGATGCGAGTTGGAGCCTCGGGCTGCAGCTATACACGGTGGATCTCTGATCGACAATTGATATGTAAAGACGCAGCAGGAATAGGAAATCAATTAGCCATGGTTGTCACTGCAATCGCTCTGAAGAGCACAAACACGAACTGTTTGTCTTACAAGCATCCCGTTGTCCAACAGCTCTTGTTGCCGAATGGACCCAGCGTGTTTTCGAGGCCCAAAATCCTTGGATCGTACCTCGGGCCGTTTTCCGTCAGCGCAGGTATGAGATTGGGTCACTCGTCGACGGAGATCAGTATCTGGATGTCTGATTCAGCTCTGAGTTGTTATGCGACCGGTTCTAGTGCATCAAGACTCACAGCTGTCGTGACCGCACAGAGTCTGTTGACCAGCCTGACTCAAGGTTTCACTTATGACTTCGCAGTATTTCAATCCAGTTACATCAATGGCAGTCGCAATTCTCCGACCCGTGGAGGCGTGAAATCAGCGCTCTTGATTGACTCAATCTCATCATCAGATTTATCGTCGTCTGTGAGACTAGGTTATTCGGTGATACAAAGCTCAGAGTGGCTTTCTCTGTCATCCATCACTGTGAGGCCAACACGAGGATTAGGTCAAAAATTGAAGCTTACTCTTACAATTTCAAATCGAATCGGGACCTGTTCGGATTTCTTTTCATATGACGCCTCCAACCTGACGAATTCTTCTTCATTTGAGCTCTCAATCGAAAACAAAACAAGCCTTCAGTTGACTGGAATAGGGTTCGGCTTCTTCGGTATTTCTCCAAGATTGAGGATTGGATATTCCCTGACTGAAAATTCCATGTGGACTTCCGATTCGACTGTATCTTCCCTGGCTCTGCCTGGTGTAGGAGGAGACTTTTCGGTTAACTACAATGATTTGTTCGATAGCGGAAGGATTCGATTTTCATACTCTCATCCGATAGCATTGAATTGGACTTCACTATCGTTCCCGTCCATCCAATTGCAAGGATTGAACTTGGGAAGGTGGAGTGATTACACATTGCAAACACGTTTGTCATTTACAAGCTCCGAACAAACGATGTGGTTTTCCACCTCATCAACATTTGTCAAATTGCCAAACGCACAAGGTGGGTCCCTCCGGATCGTGATAACTGTTGCGAAGCAATTAGGATCGTCCTCTTCCTCCGTCACATTTGATGCACCATTGAAGATTCTGACGCAGAATTCTCCACTGCTATCGAAACAATTTCTGATGTCAGGCCTCGGCATGTACAGCAACAGCATTGCAAGTAGAATTGGGTCGTCGGGGAGCATAAGCACAACTTGGATATCAGATTCAACTATCTATGTCAGAACTGTCTCTAGCTCGCAATCGTCTCTTTTCTTGATGTTGACAACTTCAGTCCTGGTCCGCACCTCGACACGTTTGTTCTCGTTCGATTTGCCACTTCTAATGCTCTCGATGGCCAACATTCCAATCACAGCTACTTGGGTTCAGAGCACAACAAGCAACAATTCTCATTTTTCCTCTAGTGCCAGAGCGAGATTTGGTCAGACAGCTGCCGAGAGTACAAGGTGGCTGTCATACACCTCCATTATCTCAAGAGTAGCAACGGGATACAAGGGCACATTGACACATTCTCTCACTGTTCAATCAAGGCTCTGCAGTCTTACAAATGCTGTGAGTTACGATTCCATGACTGTCGAACTTTTGTCTCTATCAAATATCACCACAAACTTGTGCTCAAAGTCTTCTACCTATATCGTCCCATTTGCACACCCAAGATATATCGGAACGGCCTCATTGCGATTCGGATTTACTTCAGCGGAGTACACAGTGTGGTCCTTTGAGACAGCAATCTACACTAAATATCCCTCTGGTCATTCAAGAAGTTTGAATTTGATTCTCACAGCGTCCGATGTCTCTACCGTTACATCTCTGTTTTCTTTCGACAATCCAACGATCTTGGAAGTCACGGGGGTCGAGGGAAACCTCTTTGATGGAGCCCAAATCTTGGCCTTTGGAACCAACTTTGGAATTTACGATGCATCAATCAATGCCGTTGTTGAGATTTCTTCAGACAGTACAAACAAAGTTGATCACTCCATGTGGACTTCAGATACAAGCATCCTGGTGTCTTTGTTGCCAGTTTACGGAGAACCTTTCATGTACTTTCAAAGCTATGGCTATCGAACACCAAGTTTCTCGATTGACTTCCCATTCGTTCCAAACGTAATAAGCGCGAATCCTAGTGTGCATGATACTCAAGGAGACTTGAATTTCACTGAAGTGATCGGAACAAAGTTCGGAATCAGAGATTATACCCTTAGAGTGACCCTTGGAGATACAATCGCGAGGAATACTATTTGGATGTCATATTCTTCACTCCTCTGCACAGTTTCAGCAGGAGTTGGTGAATTCCACAACTATTTTGTCACCATTTTTGGCAACATTGGTGTAGGATCATCATTCTACAGCTCTTATAGGACACCCCTTCCGATTGACATCAGAAGCAGCCATGACACCGATGTTTCTCTTGTGAATGGAAGATTCTTCGGATATGGAGCTGATTATACTGTACGGGCTTCCATTTCATGGTCATCTTGTCCAAGCTCATTCTGGATTTCAGACAGCTCTTTGTCATTGAAAGTTTCCACAGCCCAGGGTTTTGGTTTAGACTTGATCGTGACAGTGGATCAACAATTGGGGACTGGGGTTAACAAATTTTCATTTCAACCTCCTGGAGTGTCATCAGTATCGCAGGAGGACTTGATATGCTATAACGTCTCGACTCAAACTATCTTTGGCACTTATTTTGCTACTTTTGATGCTTCTCTTTCACTGAGAATTGGTGGATCACACCAAAGAAGCACTGTATGGGCGGCAGAGACTTCGATTACATTGAAGCCGACCGGTGTTACCGGTTCCTCTCTCAATGTGATGATAACTGTCAGTCAGAACATTGGTAGCATGTCAAACATGTACAGTTCATGCCTCTCTCAGATATCATCAGTCTTTCCTGTGAATCTGGGTTCTTCAAGATCTGTAGCTGTGTCGGTGTTTGGTCGCTTTTATGGCCGTTATTCGCCTACTGCAGTTGCCTCTGTTGGGATTACGACAGCTGCAAGTACTACATGGACTTCGGAGACCTCGCTCACCTGCATCTCTTATAAAGCTGATAGAGGCATGCAGCATATGCTCAAAATGACCATGAACATCCTTCCGACTACGATCACAAATGCCCTGAGCTGGGACGGGCCCTTTATCTCCTCTTTCAATCCCAACAATTCTCCCACTTCTGGGACGATCACTACGACCATGTTTGGATCTAATTTTGGCTCTATGGACACTTCCCTTACCATTAAGATTGGTCAAAATGTTTGCAGCAGTTCAAGGTGGAAATCTGATTCACAAATGATTTGTCAGATACCTCAGGGGGTACAATTAGGTCAAAGCGTTTATTTACAAACAGCAAATTCAACTAGTATTGCTACAGTATCCCAAATTTTTAGCTACGATAAACCATTGATCTATCCAAACAGTCTTCAAATCGTGGGGAATCTGTACAAAAGCAATTCAGTCACCGGAAATCCAGAAGCAAATGGGAAGGATCTGATCGAATTCTCCGGTGCAAATCTGGGAAGGTCTGATTTGAACAAAATCTCGATATTTTACGGCCCTAGCCAGAACAAATCTAAATATCAGTGCTCCGTAACAGACAAATTCTCCTACGTGAACGAATCCAGAGTTCGTTGTTTTACCGATCCCCAAGGGTATTCAAGAAACTTATCATTCATGGTCTATGTTGGATTGTATTCTTTTGGTGGTACTGATTTGTACAGTTATCCCCCGATCATTTTTGATGGAACGTTGCGAATCGACAGGAAATCATCAGACCTGATTCTTGATTCTACACAAGGCGGACAAGCGTTCAGCTTTGAAGGGCGAAATTTCGGCAATGTATGGGAGAAGATGACTGTACGATTCTTCAGCTATTATGCTTCAAGTGCAAAGTTCCAAACTGTGATTCAATATGCAAACTCAACGAGTGAGAAGCTAAATGGGTTGCTAGGCCCAGGGGTAGGCTTTTCTGTCATATTTGAGATTGAAATTCAAAACGTCACGGTCAGAGGAAAGGACACTTTCAGTTTTCCGTTACCTGTAATAGAAAATGGGAGCTTGTGCACGGCCAATTGCGGAAGCAATTGCAGATTTGCCTCAACATTAGATTCTGAGAAAGTTTCTTTCCGAGGACAAAACTTTGGAAACTTTCCAACTTTGATCTCGATATTCTACGGTAGAGATGTCCCGTCACAGGGTTGGTCGCGACGATATCCGTGCGTTGTCAACTTCTCGAATGATACCTTCATTTCATGTTTTGCAAGCCCGGGAACCGGCAAAGATCTCTACCTTGAAGTGAACATTGCTGGGCAAGTAGTCCGAAGTCATGACTTGGTAAGCTACCCTCCGCCGTACATAGACAAGATGTATCCAATGTTGGATGGAGGATCAATCCCATTGAATTATGTTTTGAGAGATGCTCTCGGTAACGAAGTGCTTATGATCCAAGGTGGAAATTTTGGACCAGAAATTTCACTCGTCTCGATTGCTTTTGGTCGCGTAGGTCTAAACTTTTGGACTGAAGCCAGATTGATCTATGAAAAATCAAATGTGTCCTTCATCACGTTCTCCCCAGGAATAGGGTCCGGGGCATGGTTAACGATCCGTCTCGAAGTAGGTGGACAATCAGTTTATTCTAAGACATACTTTTCGTATCCGTTCATTCAAAACATCTCAGGTTGGCAGGTCGAAGCAAGTCAAAGCAAAGTTGTAGGAATGCAATCTAATACGATTTATCAGGCAGGGATGAATCAAAGATTCTATATTCTGACCGCCTCGAACAACGGAAATTTGTTGACTCTGGGTGGAGCAGAATTTCAAGCGACCATATCTGGCCCTGCATACATCACATCCAACTCTGTAGATGGTCAGGACGGTACATATTTCATAGATTTCTTGGCAACTCGTTCAGGAGAGTATGTCGCCAGAGTATTTCAATTGCCGTGGAGGAAGGATGTTGGAAACAGTCCATACACGATATTGATTTCTTCCGAGATGATACCAAATGCAAGCATGACAGTAGCATCTTTCAAGAATTCAGTCTTGCGCTGTGGTAGAAATGAAAGCCTGCTGCTAATCTTGAGAGATCGATATGGCAATACACTGGAGAACCAATGGTCGCAATATCATACTGAGGTCAGCTTTTTGAGCAACATAATTGTCCACCAAGACAGTGACGTTGATGTGCTGAGTTTGCATCTCTTCGGTACAAGGAGTGGCCCCTTTTACATCGAAATTTTCTTGAACTCTACTAGCATTTTACAAAACCCCGTGCGAAATGTGCTACAGCCATCAAGTGCCAGCGCCAGTGCAACTCAAACATCGCTGGTACAGGCTACGATGATTGCTGGAAGCATCGTAAGGATTGCATCTATCATAGCAAAGGATGCATTTGGCAACATAGCATCACAGGGGGGGGATTCAATCAAAATTAGATTGCCCATTGCTGAACATTTATATGACTATCAAGTCTATGACCAGTTGAATGGAACATATCATGTGTATGCCATGGTGAAATTGCAAGGAAATTTCAGCTTACAACTTTACGTAAATGATGAATCTGCAGGTTCACCTTCATTCATACTGAAAGTACTTTCGTCTTCACCTGATGCACAATTTTCAAAATGCAGCGGTGTTGGACTGACTGCTGCCACAGCTGGCATTGTCAGCTATTTTCATATTGTGCCAAAGGACAGGTATTCAAATGCTATCTCATTTGGATCCAATGATCTGTTTCGAATCTATATACAAAATTTGTTAACGAGAACATTTTTTTCTCCTTCAGATTTGTATCTCGCAAATGCAAGCTTTCAGATTGGAGTTTTCTTAACGCAAGCAGGCCACTATTACTTGAATGTCGTCAGTTCCGGTCAGATCTTCTGTAATCCTCCAGTTCTTCTACGTGTAACTCCGCAGAGTTATGATCTGAACGCATTCGCTGTCTCAAAATCGATAAGCGGAGGCATCCTGACAAGCTCTTCACTGCAGTTCGAAATCTTTCCTCGAGATAAATACGGAAATACAGCAAATCTCCGTGGATTTCTGAATATCTCTGTGCAACCTGTGGTGAATACTACTCAAGCGATATCTTCGAATTCCATCAAAGTGACATGGAATCCAAAGGTTGCAGGAGTTTATACTTTCAACATTAGGACAGTATCTGGTGAATTGCTTTTCAAAGGTCCAATTTCATCAAACGTTGTTCTGCAAGCAGGCCCAGCTTCAGCGCAGCAGAGTGAGATTGCAAGAATTGCTTCCAACAGACAGGTTGGCAATACAATAGATGCCACAATCATAGCAGCAGCAGATACCGGCATTCTATTGAATACAGGTGGACTGTCGTTCACTGTTTTTGTCCAGAACAACAACAACAAGCAGTCTGTTGCTTCCCTTCCAGTCCTTGACTTTGCAAATGGCACATATGCTGTCGTCTTCTCTGTCACCGTAAGCGGCTCTTACTCCCTCTCCGTCCGTCTTGGCAGTCAAGATATCGGAGGAAGCCCTGCCTCCTTCGCCGTCCTTCCCGGTCCCTCGTTCCCAGCTAACACGCTGGTCTCCTTGCAAGACGGGCAGGTGGTGACGGCAGGGCTGGCTTTCTCTTTCACAGCGCAAGCTCGAGACGAGTACGGCAACGCGCGAGGAGAAGGAGGGGATGGTGTAGAGATCGCTTTCAGACATGCCAGCGGGGGAAGTGTACAGGTATCGGGTCTAGACTTGCAGACCGGCGAGTACAGCTTCAGCGCGCTCCTCACAGCGAGTGGCACCTACACCCTGCAGGGCACCTTGCTCTCAAGCGACATCTTCACTGCACAGCCTCGCTCGATCTCTGTCAGCCCTGCCTCACCTACCGGGTCCACTGCCGTTGCTGAGGGCTTAGGGCTCTACCATGCGGTAGCCGGCGAGGAGGCTGTTATCAGGCTCTACGTGCGTGATGAGTACGGCAATCAAGTAGGAGCGCTGCCATCCGGATACATCGACACTGTCAGCCTAGTGATAAAGAGAGGGAGCGGGGAGGGCTTGAACATAGGAGTGAGGAAGTCGGCTTTCACGTCAGGGGTAGAGGTGAGATACACAGCTACTCAGAGCGGATTATATACAGTCTTTGTGTTGACTCAGAGCATCATGGTTCAATCTTCTCAGGTTGAAATTCAGGCAAATGTATTTGATCCGAACTCTGTAGACCTGTCTTTTGCAGCAACTTATTCGTCTGGAGATGTTTTCAATGTTACTTTTATTATACTTGATTTTTTCACGAACGGTGCTACTATTGGAATTCTCAGAATAGTCATGGCATGTCAAAACGGGAGATCGATTTATGGCTTCGAGAACGTTTCAAATGGTACGAAAGTAAGGTTAACTGCCACCAAGAAAGCTCAAGATTGTCAGATCGCCCTATTTTCAGAAGCTGAGATCCTCCTTCGGACCAAGTATATCACATTTGTAGCGGGAAAAGTTGACTCCCAAGCCTCATCAGTGAACTTTGTCTCTGAATCTGTTCTCCAAGCTGGAAATATTGGACAAATATCGATTTATCCAAGAGATCAATTCTATAATCCATTATCAAACTTTCAGATCACTGCTCAGGAATGTCATGGTAAACCGTTAGTCATAACCGCTATACAGAAAACATCCTCATTCAGCGCAATAGTGCAATACACGGCCACGAAATCTGGCAATTACTCCTTGTGTGTCACAATCAATGATGTAAGTTTGGCAGATAAACCTAGTACTCAATATATTTCATCGATTCCGATTGCGACTACAATTCGTTTGGAATTTTTGCAAGGCAATCAAAATGTTTCACAAGACGTAGCAGGGAAAGCAACAATTTTATCTGTTCAAGCTTTTGATATGTACATGAATATTTTCGATCACTACAGTTCATCTCAAAATTCGATTCTTTCAAGTGAAGTGTACTTGAAAGACTCTCTCGTCCAGATTATGGACTTTATTGGATTCAGCAACTCATCATACTTATTTCAGTACATGATGACTAGAAGTGGTGCATACTCGATCCAAATCAAGTTAGAATCGTTGATTCTTGTGGTTCAACGTCAAGTTACTCCATCCGAATTTTTCTTTTCAAACATTTTGATCGATTCTAGTTACATTGCAGCCAATGAAACAACAAGCATTCGGCTTATCCCCAAAGATTCATATGGAAACAATGTTACTCTTTCGCAGTCCTTGTCCGCCGTTATTCTTTCCTCTGACGGTCAAGAATTGTCAACAACACTGTTTTCTCAGGCTGACAGGATGGTTTCGGCAAGAATATCGATAACTCGATCTGCAGACTACTTTGTGATGCTATCCTATCCATCTTTCGAATCCAAAAAGCTCAAATTCACCATTCTACCAGGCGTAGTATCTGCACAGAATACCTTCGGTCAAGGAGTAGGGTTGGTCGGAGCCATTGTACAATACCAAACATCTTTTCTTGTTTATTTCCGTGATCGTTTTGGAAACAAGTTGCTGAACTCTGCTGACATTCAGCTTTTTGTCAAGATACAAGATGCTGCAAATGTCAAACAAATTAGCATAGAGCAAGTCGACGCTGATAAAAAGTGTGTGCGTTATCTACCTACCTCAGTAGCAACGCTTGCCGTATTCGTATTCATCAGAACAACATCAGATACTCCAATCATGTCAAGTCCATTCAATGTTCAGGTATTCGACAAACCAGATACGATTTCTGCGACAAAAACATACGTTATTCCACAGACAGAGAGGAGAAATGTGAAAGACAAAAATACTTTTATCATCATATCGGTTACAAATCAAGGAGCGGGAATGATAACAGGCGGTTTTAGCTTCAATTGCTTGCTTGCAAGTCCAACCAACAAGCAGTCTGTTGCTTCCCTTCCAGTCCTTGACTTTGCAAATGGCACATATGCTGTCGTCTTCTCTGTCACCGTAAGCGGCTCTTACTCCCTCTCCGTCCGTCTTGGCAGTCAAGATATCGGAGGAAGCCCTGCCTCCTTCGCCGTCCTTCCCGGTCCCTCGTTCCCAGCTAACACGCTGGTCTCCTTGCAAGACGGGCAGGTGGTGACGGCAGGGCTGGCTTTCTCTTTCACAGCGCAAGCTCGAGACGAGTACGGCAACGCGCGAGGAGAAGGAGGGGATGGGGTGGAGATCGCTTTCAGACATGCCAGCGGGGGAAGTGTACAGGTATCGGGTCTAGACTTGCAGACCGGCGAGTACAGCTTCAGCGCGCTCCTCACAGCGAGTGGCACCTACACCCTGCAGGGCACCTTGCTCTCAAGCGACATCTTCACTGCACAGCCTCGCTCGATCTCTGTCAGCCCTGCCTCACCTACCGGGTCCACTGCCGTTGCTGAGGGCTTAGGGCTCTACCATGCGGTAGCCGGCGAGGAGGCTGTTATCAGGCTCTACGTGCGTGATGAGTACGGCAATCAAGTAGGAGCGCTGCCATCCGGATACATCGACACCGTCAGCCTAGTGATAAAGAGAGGGAGCGGGGAGGGCTTGAACATAGGAGTGAGGAAGTCGGCTTTCACGTCAGGGGTAGAGGTGAGATACACAGCTACTCAGAGCGGACTGTTCCTGCTAGAAGTGGTGATGAATGGGATGCAGATTTTTACCACACCAAAGATTCTTCAGGTTGACTCTGGAGCTGTCTCTGTAGGACTTTCATCAGCATCAGGATTCGGATTGATTAGGGCCATTGCAGGAGTCTTGGCAACCTTTGATATCCTGTCCAGGGATGTGTATGGCAACAATTTTACTCGTGGAGGCCTTCTTTGGAGCATGATTCTGCAAAACAAGCAAACTGCGATGCAATCACGAACGATTGCTCAAGATCTTAATAATGGAAGGTATCAAATCAAATATAACGTGACTGTCTCAGGCAGTTACATCATGAGTGTCATCAGAGATGATGTTCACATCTCAGGAAGCCCGTCTCAAGTACAAATCGTGGCATCAAATGCAGAGCCGACCAAAACTTACTTGACATCCTACCAAAGTATTTCAACAGCAGGTGTCATTCTGAAGTTCTGTCTAGTCTCCACGGACAAGTATGGAAATCTCGTGAACTTCCAGGATTCTGTTGGATTCACTATTGGCGATTCAAAACAGGAATATTCCACCATAGCGATGCCATTCTCGGATTCGAATTGCAATGAAATAATATTCACCCTGACTCAGAGTGGAAAATACCCCTTGCACTTTTCACTAGATCAGGCTCGATTTCAATCTGTCGTCATGTATGTTTACCCTGGCAGTACGAACAAAGCATATTTGCTGTCTTCATTAACTTCACTACTTAGAATACAAGCTGGAGATACCACGACAATGTTGCTTCTTCTGCAAGACAGGTATGGAAACAACGTCACATATCCGAATCAGATTGCTGTGATGCTGAATTCCTCTCTGATTTCACCGTACCCTGTGCCTATTGCAGATGACTTGGTACTTGTCAATTTTTCGATCACAAGCTCTGGGAGCTTTGCTTTCTCTGTGAAAATTGACAACATAGTAGTGATGCCTCTTGCTCAATACATTACAGTTCTTCCAAATTACCCGGTCGCTGAATATTCATCCTGTTTGAACTCGGTTTCTTTGCAAACTGCAGGCACGTTGTCAACAATCCAATTGTCCTTACGCGATAGATTTTCTAATGCAATCAATGAGAATATTTCCGTGACATTAGTTTCTGTCATTCAGAACGATCTCAACTCAAGATCGATTTTTCCTGTCACTTTCAAAGAAAATGTTTTAAGTTTCCAATTTGCCCTGACAAGATCAGGAATCTACTCATTGTCATTGGAGCTGAATGGGGATCAATTAAGTGATTGCTTCTTTTCTGTTCGAATATTACCGCAAATTCTATATCTTGGGAATTCAGTCCTTTCTGGTGTTGGGTCACTCAAAACCTGTCTGCAAACAAGTAATTGGTTCTACATATTCCCAATCGACCGTTATGGAAACCAGGCATCCTTTCTGAACCAGCAAATCGAGTTGAATGCTACGGTAAGAGAAAAGAGCCTGTCACTTTGGTGGTCGTTTTCGAACTTGGGTCCGTACTTATCTTTCGTTTACAACCTCACAGTCCCTACAGATAGCACATCGAGCGCGACTTTGCAGATTTTTCTCATTCAAGCTCAAGTACAAGAAGTTATTGAGGTGCCTCTGCAGATATTCACGGACTGCGGGGCTTTGAGCTTGACTCAGTCCAGTCTCTCACTGCTTCCTCTTCTCATCCCAAGGGCTGGCTCATTAATCACATGGAGAGTTATACTGCTTAGCAGCAAGGGTCTTGAAATGATGGTTCCAAACTTGAATCTCAAAGCGACAATATCTGGAAATGACCAAACGTTTACACTCATGAATGTCGCTGTCACTGCATTCGCAAATGGCACATATGCTGTCGTCTTCTCTGTCACCGTAAGCGGCTCTTACTCCCTCTCCGTCCGTCTTGGCAGTCAAGATATCGGAGGAAGCCCTGCCTCCTTCGCCGTCCTTCCCGGTCCCTCGTTCCCAGCTAACACGCTGGTCTCCTTGCAAGACGGGCAGGTGGTGACGGCAGGGCTGGCTTTCTCTTTCACAGCGCAAGCTCGAGACGAGTACGGCAACGCGCGAGGAGAAGGAGGGGATGGGGTGGAGATCGCTTTCAGACATGCCGAAGGGATGTTCCTCAACGGAAAGTCACAAGACTTGGGCTCGGGAACATACATAATATCAGTTCTTGTACAAAGAAGCGGCAAATATTCTGTTTATTGTAATTCTTCAAAACAATTGATTGATTTACGGATCTCAATCCAAGCAACTCCAAACAATCCATCTCCATTGAAATCATACGTAGTTTGGACACTTGTCGAAGGAAATATGGCTTCTTGTGCTGCACCTTGCAGTGTAAATGTCTCCTACATCTTGCAAGACTCTTTCGGTAATGTTATTGATGGAAACGATGCCCCCACTATGTTTTGGCCTGGGCTATCAATACAAGCAATAATGGACCGATTTCAAATCATTCCCTATCTCGAATCCGACCTGATTTTAGCGTCAATCATACTGACGACATCAGGACAATACAGGATTGAGGCCACCATGTTGGACGGAGTCATACAAGGGGGCATACTCCAGTTGTTCGTGATTCCTTCTACAAACCCTGCAGATCTAAAATTCATTGCTGCTTTGAATGAGATTTTCACAAGGTACAATGAAGAAATATTGATCTCAGTGTCAGTTGAGGATATTTTTGGAAACTCAGTCGATAGCTATAGTCTACCTGATATCAATCGAGCTCAAGGAATCGTCTTGAAAGATTCAAGGATGCTTTTTAACAATAGCCTAGAGATGGTCCAATGCCCGAGCACATGTATATCTGTAAGATTCAGGTTTCAATGTGACAACTGCACTTTGAACGTTCTGTTCACTCATGGGTCACAATCTACTTACCTAGCTAATCCATTGACATTGTTCGTGTCTGAGGAACCTGAGCCACAGATAGTTATTGCACAGTTCGACAATTCTTTGACTTCTATCCGTGTTGACATGTCTGGTGATACATATTTCGCTTTCCAAGAATCCTGTACAAGTTTGTTAGGGAGCACCTTCATGGACAAGCTTGGAGTGATGCCATCTTGTTTTTTGACCAGCAAACAAGAAATAAAGATTCTGCTGGGCAACAATGCCTCCCTAGTCTTTTATGACCAACTCTACTTCTTGCCAGGATCCTTGAAGACAAGAGCCGGTACGCCGATGGGAGAGAAATCGGCTCTCGTCATTCCTCCAGCCCAACTTGAAGCTTTCATTGTTGAGATTGACTGCGCTGACACGCTGGGGCCAGGCTCTGATCTCTTCCTCAATGTGAGGTTCAGACAAGGGCAGACATCGAGGGGATTGAGCTTAGACTGGAGCTTGAAAGCAGGTCCAGGTACAGACTCACTCCGAAAGTTGCTGATGGAATCCAAGAATCTGCAGAGTCTCAACATCTCAGGAAGTCTGCTGTTGTATGGGTACACATATGAGTTCTCCTTGCTTGCTCGCATTTGGACAGGGCAGACTTGCATAACGTCGAAGCAAGTCAACCTGATCAGGTCCTTCATTCCAAGTTTGTCTATCACAGGTGGTCCTGTGATTTCCATACCCTTGTACTCAGACATTGTAATCAAGGCAGTGATCCACTTGCCTCCTGCAGTGCCTGATCGCGTTGGAATAATGTGGAGTCAGGTAGACGGGGATTTACTGAATTCTCTTCAAAATGGCTATTTTGGAGCAGAGCTTTTATTGAAACAGTCAGAGTTGAGTCCTGGAGCAACGCTCTTGTTGAGAGTGATGGTTTACAGCAAAGAGGGGAGCAAATCGTCTATTCAAAATGTTTCGCAGCTTGTCACGTTATCTTTGAGTCCATCTCCTTTGTCCAATCGTCTCATGAGATCCGTTATGTTCGTTAGAGCTACAGAAGACTTTTATCTTTACACAGACCGATTCTTGCGAATATTAGCGACAGATAAACCAATATACATCTGGAGCTGCACGTCTCCAACACATGATACATGCTTTCAGGAATCCAGCGGCATAGCAGAAAAGTTGCAGTCTGACTCTGCTCCGTTCCTATTCGTCCCACAAAATTCTCTCTTGCCCGGCAACTACACGTTCAATGTTCAAATCATCATTGAATCAGGACTGAGAAAAGCAAACTTAGTGTATGACGTAGTTGTGAAGGGGAGTCCCTTGTTCGGCCTTAACTTGTCCTCTTCAATCGTAATATTCCCTGATTCATCGGGCTGGCTATCCGTACTGGGTAAGTTGAACGCTACATCCACATCAAACTCAGGAAATACAATTCTTGAACTGCAAATTGAATCAGAGCAAATCTCGCAAAGCAAAGTGGACAATGGATTATTGCTTTCTTGGAGACTAGAGCCCTTTCCTGGTGCATTTCTCAGTCGAGGTATCTTGTCAGTCAGATTTTCAGCTGTCGCAGGGAACCTTGAAGGTTTTGCTAGGGTTGATTTCATTCTCAGACCCCCTATGGGAGGTAATCTTCTAGTACAAGAAATCGTCTACGTGTATAGTGTCGTTTCAATCTACCAAGTTAACTTCGTAGGCTTCCAGGCTCAGTCAGAGGACTACCCACTTGTGTACTCCCTTTATCAAAGCATCAACAGCTCAGCAAATGGGCTGCTGTATGTGGACTCAGGGATCGATTCAAACTTTCAGATTTATCATTCCGAGACCATCTTGGGAGCTGTGAGCATAAGTGGCTTTGTGTCGTCAGTACAGGGAGAGAGCGTCGGGTATCAGCATGTGATCGGATCTTCCCACGACAAGACGATCGATGTATCGCAATCTCTCGCGCAGCTTCAGGCTGCTTATGGAGTGCTGTCATCGTTGATGCAGGAAGTTTCTAGAACGGCAAATTCGAAGGCGCTCAAGCAAATCGCTTTCATATCTCTTCAAGCAGGAGAAAAGTACTCGCAACTGAAGAATGCTCGAGGAGGGCCTGAATCTTCGTTGCAGCTTGATGCCTTAGACTCACCCAAGATGTCATCGGCTTTAAAACGCTCAATCAGTGAGAGTGGAAGCAGCCTTAGTCCAGACTTGTTGGCAGAGCTGCAGGGAGTTTCAGAAGATGTCACCGATGTCTTTGCTGAAGCCATTCTTTCAATGTTTTCTTGGCAGAGCTTCGGCATTGGTTTGACCGATGCTATCTCAAGGCTGGTCAACTTGTTGAAACGGGTAGAAGACTCTTCATCCAGCCATGACCATCCCATCTCTCAAGTCTTGTCAAGAAGAGACCAAGACTTTCATCTCACACAACTAAGCGCATCTTCCGCTTCTCAGCCCTCGTCTGAGCTCACGATCCTTGCAGCAGACGCTCTGTTACAATCTTGGAACTATTCGACCCTGTCGAATGATGATGTTGGAAGCTTCAGCCTCTTATATGGCAAGATCTTGACTAGTTTAATGGGGAGCACAGATGAGACCTTGAAACTCTCCATTGCAAATAGTTTCCTCACTGCTTGCAAACACTTTGTGCTCATGGTTGACTCAGAAGTACCATGGTGGGTTTACACAAGCTTTGTCGATGATGTTGGAAAGCTATGCGTTATTGTACAACAGAGCAGTAGCCTATCTAGTGTGATGTTACAGATATTGGATTATTCAAATCAGATCATAAGAGGCTCTTTGAAGATGATCGTCGATGGCGAAGAATCTAGACTCATAGAAACCAGCTTTGCAAGCGTGTGGACCAAAAAGGTTCTAGCAAACGAATTGTTCTCTCAACATTCACGTCTTTGCATGCTCAGTAATGGATGCATTCAAACGGCCCTGAACGAAGCATTTCTTCCTGAGCCAGCAATGGACGTAACCAGTGCTGGCACGTTGAGCATACAAATCATTCTGTGGAAAACGTTGCCAAATGCTTTCACCGCAGTGTCAACCAAAGCAATCGCACTCGGCCCCATCCTACAACTGAACGCCACAACATCCCGCTTGGAATTGAACTACATGTCACATTACCGCAAGTTGAGAGACGCCTGGTCTGTCACTTTCGACATCCAGAGCCTCACGTCAGTCCCTCGTTGTGCCTGGATCAGTGACATGGCTACACTCGACACTGTCGGTCTGGTTGCTGACTGCGCGACAGCTGGGAAGCTGACGTGTTGGAGCTATGCTAGAGGGAGCAGACTAGCTGTCATCTACGTGGGGCTCAGCACAAACAGCGGAAACCAGCAGTACAGGAACATCAGAACAGCAAGCTTTCAAGGGGCATACTCCCAGCAGAGCGAGGTTGCTTCAACGATCTCATTGCTGATTGTGATCACCACCTCGGTTATCTCTTTCGTTCACTTCCTGCGGGTGGCAATGTTTGTACGCAAAGTTTTGAATCGATACCTGGGTTTCAAAACGACTGAGTTTCGCAAACCAGGTGACACATTGACATCTTCGGTAAATGAATCTGTGGAAAATTCGTTCTCTCTCAGACGGCTGTTCTTGCATCATCCCGTTACAACGTTGCTTTTCTTTGCGTTTCAGCCATTCCCAGTCTACCTGCATAGAATTTCAGTGTTGTCTGCCTCGATCAATTTTCTCTTAGCAATGAACTTTACTATGCAAGCAATGAGAGTCTTCGTGGAAAGTGATTGGGCAGCGCAAGCCACCGTTATGAGCATCTTAGTCGTTCCTGTCTATCTCCTTCTCCTCTTTCCAATCTTTGCTCAACAAGAGTTCGAACATGTAATGTTTCGAAAGAAAGGTCGAGTTGTTCCTGAGGATGTGCCAGACTCTCGAGAAGCAGAAGCATCTGCCACCGAAGCGCAAACAGCAAGGAAATCAGGTCGTCATCATCGAAGGAGCCGAAAAGCCAAAGGGAGAAGGTCACGAAGAATTGACGAAGAGCTAGAGTCGGCGATGGACGTGACCTCCCAGACCTCCGACATCATGTCTACTATGTCATCACAGAGTCCTCAGGGTCCTACCAGAGGGTCACACGACGACAGCCAACGGCATCCGTTCAGCCCATCAACTCTCCGCGTCTCGATGGTCAACTGGTCTGTCAGTTCTCCCAAGACTTCTAGTCTTGTCAGTACAGGAAGTAAGCGAATGAGCTCGAGCATCTCGAGAACTGGAAGAGAAGGCCTCGGAAAGAAATCGCAAGCTTTTGAGACAGAGATCGAAGAGGAGGAGGAGGACTTGGAAGGGATCGCCTTCAGAGTGCACGAGTCGGGAACTACTTTCCCTGTAGTCGGACAACACTTTGGGCTGCCGTACGAAGAGATAGTTCTTCCTCCGGCTCCTCCCAGCACCCCTAGGTTGCATGACGCGCAGCATCAGGATCATGATGGCAATGACCAAGAGCTCTTCACGCAAAACCTGCTATCTCGTCTAGAATATTTGACTTCTTCCCCGCAGAGTGCAGCACGAGGCTCCCGTATCCCCGAGGACATGTGGCATGCTGGCTCTCCTGTGCAGAGTGACGTCACGTTACCGCACCAGCTGAGCTTTGCGGAGAGAGAGGAGAGGCCGACCGCGCAAGACACTTCACAGGCCATCCCCCTAGACATCTCCGAGCTGCAGACCGGGATCCCAGTGACCCATCAGGAATCCAAGGGGGAGACGGCATCGAGAGCCCTTACCTGGACGAGCGTCATGTTCGTTGCTGCTCGGTGGGTGCTGTTGAACCCTTTGCTCTTCTTTCTGGCTGCTGTGGATGCTTCAGGCGCTTTCGTACTCCGAACGAGCCCGAGCGTCAACGTCATCTTGTTTAACGTCCTCCTGTGGTACCTTGTTGACCAGCTGAGCTTCAGCTTCGATCCGTCGTACAACCATGCGTGGGAGAAGGCCATCGCCCTCAGCATCGTTTTGTGGGTCATCCTGCATGCCGTGCTGCTTATTGGAGTCTGGGCGATGCGTGCTCGGATTATGAGATCGTAGTGAGAGTGTGGTGTAGGTATTGTTCTGTGAATAAACACTTCAATCAAGGATTCCAACGAGTCTACTTGTTTTTGAACATGTCCTTCGGGATGAACATGGTGTTGGTGATAATCCATGCGAGGATAGAGAAGATGATTAGCGCACCAACGACAGGGACGAGGAGAAGGACGGTGCCTCCGAAGTTCTGCCCAAGGACCTCAATAGCAGGAAACTGAGGCTCAACGGCAGATGAATCGACGGTGTTTGCAGCTTCCGAGACATCAGCTGCCATCAGAGACGCTGCGTCAAAGAGGTTTTGCATGCTATGAGCTCTAAGAGCCACTTGAGGACGTCTTGGCACATCCTTGCAGCCCCTAACTGCAAGTTTGTTGACGGTCAGACCCCCAGGTATGCCGGTATGAGTGAAGCCCTGAAGGTCGAGGTGAACAAGAATGGTTTCAATAGAACAAGATGAAAAGGTGTGTCACCTGCACTGCTACCAAGCCCAGCACACATAGCAGAAACCAACGAGTCATCTGTGAAACCTACACTCAGTCAGCACAACTAGCAACAGCGCGATAATACGACGCAAACTCTTTCGAGAAAATCCTTCTATGACGGGACTCTATAGGTATGATAGAAGCAAACTGTCTTGTCTTCATCTCTTAAACATGTCAGAGGCATGTATATATTTCAAATCCTCGTCCTGTCATCATCTTTTACAGCATTCTCATCATTCCTTTGCCGTTCCCTTCATTGAATCGAGGGGGCGGCCATCTCCATTTCTTATATAAGCAGGTGACGGCCCACATCCCCACTAACACCTGGGCCGCCGGTGAGACCCAGGGTGAGACCCACCGGCGGTGAGACCTCCGATGCCCAGACCGTACCGTGAGACTGAGACCTGCCGGGGCCTCATGCGGCCCAGACCTGGGCCCAGACGGCCAGTCGCCCGGCCGGGCCTTCACGGTCAACGGTTCCCAGGTTCCCAGCCATCATCATGATCCGCGGCGGCTCGGCGTCTCAAACGCAGTTAAGTCACTGAAGGCCCTGTATCAGTTCAACGGTTTTAAAGCCTTTGAGGGACAGCAGTGGGCCGGATAAAAAGGGTGTCGGGACCCGGTTGACCTTTTTTTTGAGTGATCCTACAATGCGGCTACTCCTGACCAGTTTGAGTTTGTTGGCGTTCGTGATTGAAGCCGATATGGTGGAGCAGAAATTCTCTGAGTTGCCTCCTGGCTGGAGATCAGAACAAGACAGGTGAACTGTAGACCATCACTCTCAGATTCTGTCTGACGCGTCTTGCGCAGGTTGACGGGACAAGTGTACTACTGGGACATCGTAACCAAACAAACCTCATGGTCGAAACCAACAAAGCTGACAGACGAATCTTCTCTGACGACGAGGCCATGTCATGGTCAAGCAATACTGCAGGACTTGCCAGAAGGAATCCTTGGAACCATGCACTGCATGGGCCTAGGTTCAAGGTTCGGGGTCCGATCAGATGGGTCTGGAGTGGAGGTCACGGTTGACGGCTGCCCTGACCATGCATACTTCGAGGATGTCAGGACTGCAGGTGGGAACAGTTGCAGGTCTGGAAAGGGCACAATTCATGGATCAATATGGTCACATCGAAGTGCGATGGGGAACAGGCAAGAATGTACCAGCAGGTAATTTCTAGAACGACAGCAAACTGGTCTGAATCTGGAGTGTTGCCGCAGCAGCACTAGTCTCTTCAATGAGGATCAAGTTAATGAGCCATTTCTTGCACTCGATGATTCGATATATTGTGCTGAAAGCAAATCTGCTTGTGAACTGGAATGCGAAGAAGTCCTGAGTTATGAATGTATGCCATACGATGAATCGGAATTGAGTACGAGCGATGTTCGTTGATCCGGGCTGTCTCTGTTGTTGATGAGCTTCTCAGGATTATTTCCCTAAATCTCGACATCTTTCTTTCACTATTCCCAAGAATCCGACGGTCAAGAATGACTCAAAGATTTTCACTCCAGAACAGGAGATTCTACAGAAATTCGGAGGTGCTGATAAATTACATGTTTGACAGGTTTTGACATCTTGACAGGAGTAGTCGGGTTTGCAGTGAACGGGGTGAGAACAAGCCTCCTGTTTCAGTGTGCGCCATGAAAGAAAAGTTCTCAGGTCCCTTTTGTCCATCGGCACTATGATTCGTCCGAAAAAGACGACGATAGAGGGAGCATCAAAATGTTGTTCGACAGCTGCGGAGGACATTCCGATCCGTTGAATCGATATCATGTAGAGCAGGACTTGATCTGCCTTCCATGATGCTTGTTTCACAGTATCACATTCCTCCTCTATGTTTGATGCAGGAGAGTGACTGTACCACCCCTCAACGATCAGACTGGTGGTTGGCCTTGCATCCTGAGACCCAGGCAAGTCTCGGTTTCTTGTATTTCGTTGGAAATGCTTAAAAGTTGAACAATGTAAAGTGGCCCAGGCACGCATCGATGCAAGGTACAGGGACAGCAACAAGGCATGAATACGCATCTAACATTCAAGCTATCACATAAGATGGCACACCAGCTTCTGCTCTGATGGGATGGGCGCTGGATGGGTTCCCGATCTTTGCCCCCTATGACCCTGAGACTGGAGAGCTGCAGGTGAGGTTCAATCCTTGACAAACTTGAATGATCGTCAAGATTGAGCAGCCTTGCAGGTTTCAAGGAGGTTTTGTAATGATATCAGCCAACTTGATGAATGTAACGGAAAGTTCCTAGCAAATTCGGGTGAGTTTCTGTAGCTCATACCAGAACAATTTACCACCATATCTTGTCAAGCTTGTTCTGATCTTTCACAATCACCTCGATCATTATCAGGATCTTACGCCTACTTTCTGAGCCCTGTGTACCCGTATCTTCCATCCTGCCTGCGCGGCACAAAAATCGGAAATTTTGTTGAAAAGTACTCGGAGAATTTGAGGTGAACAATGGCTCTTGTTCCCCAGTTAAACTTACATGCTAACTAACAGTGTATGCTCTTATGAAAAGTACAAGGAAAAGATGAATTCGTCCGAATCATTTCAATCTCGAGGGCGATGTCAAAGTAATGACAATCTCGCTATCACTTGGCACTACTGACGCCGATGATTCCTTTCTTTCAGTCTCAGTATCGAGTGCCGGCCCAACGATTAAACAGAAATCTTCTGTGCTCAGTGTAGCTCTGCATTTACTTGTTATCTGCAATCTTCCACACTTGTTTCAATAAATTCACACCTAAAGTACGGTTAGAGTCATATCCTTCGTCACGGTGCGCAGCCCTTGACTCTTTACTCAAAGTTAAGTTAAAGATCTGTACGAGAGTACCACTGCAGCCAGATATAATATTGACTACAACATACAGTCATATCTTGACAACAATCGTGCAAGGTTAACTATCACATTGGAACATATTGACTATATGGCATACGTTCTAAAAATGTTTTGTGCTGGCACAGGTGGTTCACTACCCCTGTACCCCTCTGGAAAGCATCGAGTACCCACCCATTCAAGCAACCTCTTTTTCTCCCAGTCAAATGTCAAAGATCGCCCCTCGACCATGCGACCCTCGTGTCTCATCCGCTCCGCTAGCCTAGTAGGGTTCGTACTAGCTGACTCCGTAGCTTGCTCTCTTCTGATGACATTTCTCCTTCCTCCTTGAAACCTTCGCGCCTCTTTCCACAATGGCGTGACTTCATAGTCAATCTTTACTAGTACTAACATGGGATATGCTTACAACCTGAATCTTCATTGATCCGAAATTGATTCTTTGCAGGATCCATAGCAACAGCTATGGCATATTAACAAGTGCCCATCTACAACCATGCACCGTGTGGTACGGGGAAAATTTGGTCACTCAAGTTTCATCACAAGAACGGAGGATGTTGTACTTGGGAGCAGGCCGTCAGTATCCGTGAAGGGGGAGCGAGTGACACGTCAGCCTGGCCTGGCCTGGTTTTATCCAAATCTTCCTTGGGGTAGGATATGCATATGTGCATGAGGGAGCGCTTACTCTTGCCGTAGGTGCCCCGCCAGGACTGAACAACAACAAATACCGCGGAGCTGTATTCCTGAATCTATGGGAGATCCTTACTTTCCTCTGTTGTTTATACGTTGCAGGCGTACTTCCATACATTGTAGCCTTCGTTGAATTCATAGACCCCAACAATGGAAGCTGCATCTTCACTGATTCCAGTAATTCCATGGACCTTCGCCGTGCCTTCTCGATCGTCGACCTTGCTGTTGATGTACGTTGTCGTTCGGAAAGTCTCATGGAATTGATTTTGATTTTGTTGTTTATCGTAGATTATTTTCACCTTGGATATCTTCATCAACTTCCACACTGCAGTCTGGTATATATCCAAGGTCGGGGCTCCTCATTGGGTGCTCATTGAAGATTTACCAACGATTCGAAGAGCGTATTTGAGAGGGAGTTTCATCATAGATTTTGTTGGCTGGATACCTTGGCAATATGTTGATTGTACTCCTTACATGGCATCTGGCCTAAAAATTCTCAGGCTGTTGAGGCTTTTGAAGTTGTTTCGATTGTACAGGATTAAGCGAATGATCAAAGTTCTTCATCAAAAGTTCCCCAAGTCCACCTTTGTCGTCACGTCCTTGGAACTTCTCCTGACTATGGTTCTATTCGCGCACTGGACAAGTTGCCTATGGTTTGTCGTTGGATATCCCAACGGTTGGGTCACCCTGCAAAACATCGTGACCGATGGGGAAAGAGTTCCAAATCAGCGATTTTACGAGTGGATATCGAGCTTCTACTGGTAAGACCTGCAGATAGTATGTACTGCAGACTCACGTTCAAGCAGGGCTGTAACAACCATGACTACAATCGGTTGGTCTCCGTTTCTGCGTTGGCATGTTTGACCTGAACTGCTCTGCAGGGTATGGTGATATTTCTGCTCATACTGCAAACGAGCGAGCGGTTCTTTGTTTCTCGTGCACCTCTAATGAATTGATGCAAGATTCGAACAGATTTCTGTTGTCGTCATGGTGATGGGATGTGCCTTCCTGGCATGGGTGACAAAGTCTTGCTCTTTTACCAATGGCTGCTGAATCAGCGAACAGGTGACAGGACGAATCACTCGAATCCTTACTCAAAAATCCGGTTGCATATCCAAGTTTGAAGGGAAACTGGAGGAGTTGAACGAGTACGACAGTCGTATTCTTGCATGGATCTCGCTCACCAGAACTCCAGGTTTATGGATGCTAGAGGCATTTCCAAAGGACTCCGCAACAAGATACGGTCTCTCAAATATTCTTTCTGCAGCAAACGTGAGACTGACGGGACAAAGTCAGATCATACTATGGATTGAAATTTCCTATGCAGGCAATATCTGAGTTGATCCTTGTGTACTGTTTGCTCACTCAGATGCAGAGAATCTTTGATGAGAATGAGATCCTGAATGACTTGGAAGGAGACATTCGAAAAGAGACAACCTTGGAGTTGTACAGGTAATTTCAGGAGAAGGTATTTGAAATTCCTCCGATTAACTACTTGACCGTAGAGATATCGTTTCTAAAGTCCCCTTGTTCAATTTGTGCTCGACGGCGACCCAGAGAGAAGTTTGTTATCGTCTGGGACACCTTTATAAAACTAAGGGGACAAAGATCTTTGACGAGAATGAAGTGAGATGCTTGCACTTGCATTTGACACTGACATCTAGTCATCAAATGAGATTTTTCTTTTCCAGCTATCACGTGCGATCTACATCGTACGTTTCGGGGTCGTGAGCATCAGGAGCAAGAAGAAGGTTCGAATCATCCTGTTGCTTGCAAGCATGACCTTGGTAATCCTTGAAAAATCAGGAGATCATGAGGGCTCAGCGAGGAGATCTAGTCGGAGAAGCAGGGATCCTAGGCCTCACCCCCAACGAGAGCTACGGCTTCACCGCCATCGCAGAGACCATGTGCGAGCTCTGCGTGTTGGACGTGAAGGACTTCCAAGAGATGCTGGTGCATAACCCAGACTTCTTCCGAGTCATCGAGCGGGTCCTGTACTACCATGTCATCCAGTTGGAAAACCGCGTGCAGTGCCACGACATGATCGACAGATCAGATAAGTGGATGATAAAATGGGACGCGATAGCCCGCGCTTTCAACACAGAATCTCCAGAGTTCAAGTGTTGCGCAGGAGAGAAAGACGCAGTTGAAGATGATTCCTTGCTGCTAGCAACGCAGTTTCACTTTCAGCTGCGATTGGTTCAAGGAGAAGGCCTAATTCCAGGAAAGCTCTTCTTCTTTCGACTTGAGTTCAAGTCTGATTCGGACATGGCCACTAGCACAGTCGCTGATGGACCCATCTTCGACTTGCACGATGAGGTTGTCAATAGCGAAACTTATGAAATCTCACAGACTATTCGAATGCTGCTCAAGCACGCTCACAATGATTGGGATCGGTTCCCCGACTTGAAGATCTCCATTCACCAGATCCGCGTGCAGAACAGTCATTTTGGAAGATCCTTCTCAAAAGGCATTCACCTAGACTCGTTCGAGTATGCCATGAAGGCGAACTCTATGGAAATTTGGCAAGGTGAAATCTGTTGGAAAGTTATGATCGACAATCGTTGCGCGTCTCTTGATCAGTGCGAGGATCAGCAGATGATGGGGGTGACTTTGAAGCCAACAGGCTTGCAGGAATTGGCCCCTTGCAAGCTCTGGTTCACTACCAACGCTTCACGCCTCCTCCGGCACAACTCGCGATGGCGACAAATCCTTGACATACTTCGCAAGACCTCGGCGTCCCCCTACTTTGCCCAGAAGCAGATCGACAGCCTCATTGCCCTGCGTGAAAGGATAGAGGAGAAGCTTCGCCAGCTCAGGATTCAACGGATGGAGTACGGCAACACTGATGTCTTCAAAGCCCTCAAAGGCTGGGCGCTGCCTTGCATCAACAAGTCAAGTCAAGGTTACCCAGCAGACTCTCCCAGGGGAGACGAAAAGCGGGCAATGACGAACAATGTGAGCACGAATTGCGATGATCGCATTGAAGAGGTAGCATCTTTCCTCGCTTGGTTTGATTGCGCTGCTTACGATCACCTGAGCAGATGCGAAAAGATATGCAGGCAATGAGCAGGAGCATCTATATACTTTGCGAGGAGATCTCAAGTCTCAAGAAAGCCGTTGTTGGCAAAGGAGGAAGAACCAACGGGCAGCGATCTAACTCGTTCGCGTACAGCAGTGCCCAGGACACCGCTCGAACAACGGCGATGGGGAGGATTCCTTTGGACAGAGAGGAGGGAGAAGAGAGAAGGCGAGAGGTCAGTAGTGTGATGATAGCAGCGACTGAGCCAATTACTGGGTTTCCCCTGCTACACCAGACAGAAATATCTTCTACATCTTCAGAGCGACAAGCTTGAAAGATTTGTTGAAAGATTGCTGTTTGATTCCGTTGAGGAATGAAAAGGAGTAGCAAACTACACCAGCGTACATCTAACATGCCTGAGTCAGAGGTGTGAAGTTCTCGTATAGGAACTCTCAGGCATCTGGGCGAGAAACTCCTTAGAAATATCAAGCCCACCTCAGACCAACACAAGGACAGCAGAAGCGGCAGCTACCCTAGGGTGATGCCCAACTAAGTCTTTTAAAATCACTTATTCATATGTGAGTAAAATTGTGTACTGTTTGAGGCACCCCGACTGCCTGCGGTTTTAATGGATCCATGATGCGCGACCGATGAGAGGGGGGAAGGAGGAAGAGGAGCGAGGAGCGAGGAGGGCGGAGGAAGAAAAGGAAAGAGGGGGCATGCTCATGAGAGCAGGATGCAAGGCTGTAAGATATGGTGATTCACGCCCTGACGGATAGCTTTCACTCTCTCCGACCTGGCCAGTCATGGGTTGTGGAGCAAGCGCACAATCGAGCGCTCATGATCCCAGAGGGAAGGAGGGGAAAACTTCAGAGGACGACTTTGAGGATCCAAACAACTCTGTGGATAGCAGAGGAGATCAAAATCGCAGCAGAGAGGATGGTGGAAAGGAGAGTACTTTGTCAAACTTTCTCTACACCATGTCTCGTCTGAAAGATTCGGGCCTGAATTACGTCTTGAATCGTGATAGTCAGAAGCTCTTGAAAGATGAGAATCCGAAGTCGAACCATGATAGGAAAACCAATGGCATCCTTACTAAAGACACGAAGAGGACGATGAGAAAGGAGAAGCTAGTGAGGTCGTTTCGAATGATGGTTTGCAATCCCTTCAGGAGAACAAGCCCTCTATCAGACCTGCTGGTCAAGTGCTGCTTCCCTGCGCTTCGTGACTTTGCGAGGAGCTTTGGATTCAGTCTCCTCATCATCAACGCAACCCCTGAGGCAGACCTTCTTGACAACCATGTGAACCTACGAAGACGTGTGATTGTTGAGAATGAGTTTCATCTTTGTCTTCAGTCTTCACCTGACTTTGCTCTGCTTTCTCTGTTGGATCACTCAATCAAGTTGTATCAACCGCTTCCTCCTTGGCAAATCTCTGAATCTGATTTCTTTGCATTCCTCGACAAAGCCAAACAGGTCGACGGGGATTCCGACGCAAGTTTCTCGGATGAGAGCCAACTGCTCTACAGCAGTGACGACAACAATGCTCGGATCAAAGTTGCCGATGTGCTCAAGCAATGGTACCGGCAATCTGAGAAGCTGAGTGGACTGCCATTCTTCTTCACCTTGCCCTCCCATGACGAGATGTTCCGATTGGAAAAGTCCAGGTCTGGGTTGATGCCGACCTTTCAAACAGATGATCACTTGCAAATGGCAAAAGAGTTGTCGATCTTGAGTCAGTTTTTCAGTGAGCACGACGTCGTTTTGCTGCCGAGTGAGGAGACTTTGAGTGCAAGCAACCTACAGGATGTGAGCGATGTGAAGGTGGAGGATGAAATGAGTTTGCTCAAGTTTGATCGCGACCTCTCATTGAGCCAACTGGAGGCGTCCAATGACATTCTCGATCTTCAGCCCCAGGAAAGCGTGAATGAATGGAGCAAACCCACGAGCATCGAAAAGGAGCTCAGCAGAAGCAAAGAGAGCGTTTCCGAGGTTCGAGGGGCCTCAGCGCTTGCCACGAGCTCGAGGCCTTCTCCTTACATGTATGCCAGCAATGGACAGAAAGAGATCCTGTACAAGTATGAGTCAAGTCTGTTCGAGCAGCTCTTCAGCTCTGCTCCTCCTCGTCTCGTCTTTCAGCACCCGCAAGGGTTGGTGACCCTTCCGGCAGGGATGCAGTTCCAGTACCAGGACCTTTTCGAGGAGAGGGAGAGGCTAGACTGGAAGGTTGTCTCGCTTGTAGGAGGGAAGGGACAAAAGAGCGGAGGAGAAACTTCTTCTCGAGCACGAGGCGATCAACTTGCAGGAGACGACGACCAGTCTCGGCTACCTCGGGATGTGCGGAGGATGTTGAATTCTCTCACCCCTCAGAGGGGGGAGACGGTCGATATGCTCGATGCTTCTGCTGCGTCTGAGGAGGAAAGGCCGGCCAGGCTGAAAGCTGAGACTTTGAAACTTGTCTTCGCCTCCCTGGAGGTTGACGGGCTTCACCCTGCAGCGTTCTCGCTAGTGATAACCATCCTGAAGAATGGGAGCGAGGAATCGAGAGAAAGTCGCACGAGCAAGAAGCAAGCTCAGAATGGCGGAATGCTCAGATGGCATGCGATGTCGCCGCTGGAGATCGAGGTGGAGATGAAGGAGTCCAGCATCATTTACCTGAAGCTGTTCGAGCATCGGAGACTGGGAGAGAAGCTCTGCGCTACTGGAAGCGCGTTGTTGAAGGATGTTGCCATTGAGCTGGATGAGTTCTCGAGGGAGACTTGGAGGGTCATTGACCTTGTTCTTAATGACCACAACTCATCGGCTAAGAGAATGAGCGTCAGACTGCAGCTCCTGTTCCAACCAGAATCCTCAGGGATGAGTCGTGCGAGGAGAGGTTATGAATTGCTGAATGCGCACGACTATGATGGGGCATGGAAGATGTTTGACGATGCGAAGACGAGGTTCATCAAACATCGCAATGTTGTGATGACAGTCGTCTGCAATGAGATGCTGGTGGAGGTAGACAAGAGGCGATCAGCCTATTCCCCTTCAATCATGCGGCGCGTGGGATGCATGGGCTCGTTGATCAGCAAACATACCGGAGGAGAGGAAGAGGAGTTTGCAACCTCGTGGCAGCTGGAGAGTGAAGAATTCGATGCGCTCCTAGAGAAGGTCGGATCGATGAAATCATCTCAGGTTCAAGGCCTGAGGGAACTTCTCGAAGAGTCGGTGATGACTTCAGCAACGTCCCGCAAGCTCAAGACGAATGACTTCTTCACCAAGAGCGAGGTCTCTGCCCTCCAGCACTTTATGACGCACATGAAGAAGCAGCTGTTTGCAAGCATGTCGGCTCAACTGGCCAATGAGATGCAAGGGAATGGCGAGAACGTGGGGACAGACGTACAAGACGAGGTCACATCGCACGTTCGACTGCAACAGTCGCTAGTCAATCAGTTTGACTTGCTCCCTCATCTTGAGGCCCTGAAGGGCGATGTACTGCAGTACATCTTTGAAGATACAGCAACGGCTGCTCCCCTGTTCCTCCTGCAAGCCGCTCAGCCTGGGGTGGGCCTGACAACCTTCACTGCGTTCGTTGCTTCCTATGTGGTTGAGAAGTACGAGAAATCGGAGATGAAACCAATCATCATCTCCCGATATGTGGGAGAGACCTTCTTGAGCAGAAGCATGGAGACGCTGATTCACTCCATCTTCCTGCAGCTGCAGGCGGAGGATTTGATCTATAGGCAAGAGGCCAACATGAAGGGACTGGCTGCTCCTCTCTTCCTCGAGAAGCCCAAGTCATGGGTTCGGAAGCTGCAGAAGGACTATGGAGTCCTGTCGGACTTTACCGAGCTGTGCTTTCAGTTTCGGACCCTGCTGGACTCGGTTTCATCCCGTCGTCCAGTCATCATCTTCTTGGATGGCATGCAGGACTTGCAGGATTTAATCTTCCTCCTCCGATATCAGGTCGCTGCCCCCAAGTTAGATATCCGAATTGCAAGTGGTCTCAGCAGTGAACCTTCTAGCTCATCCTCCGTACAAGTCGCCTCCTATCAGCAGATGCAGCTGGAAAGTCTCTTCTCCTGGCTGCCTTCTTCAGGTTTGAACCCTGTCGGCGCATTCCTTCCTGCCAACATCAGGATCGTTATCTCGTCGTCCTCTCTTGGCCCCCTGGATCTCTTCCTCCAGTCTCAAGCCAGTCGCAACACGATCCGTGTGGTCAAGGGAGTTTCCAGTGCAGACAAAGTCATGTTGACAAGCATCCTGCGCTCCATGATCGCGAAGCACTCTGAGATGGTGGATGACGAAGTGGCGGAAGCGCATGTCAAGCACGTTGCCACCTTCTTGAACGACATCCACCATGAACTTCTTGCTTCTCACGACGGGTTTGTTGACCTCTCTTTCCTCGCCGTGAAGCTTCGACTTCAACTACTTCTCGGCATCTCCATGGGCCGCCTGATGCGCAGGCCCGGTAACTCTCTTGCGAGGGAGAGCATCCTTGCTGTCGTTTCCAATCTGGAGGAAGTCGAGCGGCTGCAGCAGTGCAGGTCTATCGATGACGTCAGCCTTGTGCTGTTTGAGATGGCCGGCCATTGCTATGGAGAAGGTTTGCTCCGTCGGCTCCTCAGTCTCCTCTGTGCGACCACCTACGGCATGACAGAGGACGAGCTCGTCGATGTCCTGGCGACTCCTGAGAGGCACATTAAAGGCGCACAGAACGACAGCATGGCACAAGACGCGATCCTTTCGCAGGTGAAGATGATGCGAGAGAGAGCGAAAGTCGACAAGCTAGGATGGGAGAACGTCTCTGGGACTGCTGCTAAGGTCAGCCACCTGGACGTTCTAGCGCTGATTCAGATGCTCGGCCCCGTCCTCAAGGAGAGGACTCATTACTCCGCCAGGCTGCTAGTGTTCTCATCCCAGAAGGTGCTGGAGGTGGCCAAGAAATATTGCTTCTCGAGGGGGGCGGCGAGGGAGCACACGCACATGCTGCTCGCTGCTTATTTCTCGGGCTCTCAGTCCGGCCATGACTGGCACAGGATACAAGATGAGGACCTGAGGGTGCAGATGGCGGAGGCGTGTAGGAGGCACCTCAGCCGGTCGACCTCGTTCCCTGCTCAACCTTGGTTCTGGGAAGTTGCGATGCAGGAAGTGACGAGTGAAGAGAAACCAGGAGAGCAGGTAGGAAGGCAAACAAGAGTTTTCAACCTGAGAAAGATGCACGAGTTCGTTCCCCAGTTGATCTCTGCAGGTCTTTTTGAAGCTGCTTCAGTCTGTTTGACGGACCTTCAGTACATCACCGACAAGTTCGAAGCTGGGTTGAGTTTTCAGCTTCTTCAAGAGTTCGTGCTCCTGAGAAGTGCAAAGTCCTCTGCGCAGACCAAATCATATTTCCACGATGATTGCAGCCAGATGGAAGAATTTCTCATGAGGAATTACAACTTGTTGATACGGCAGCCGATGATGATATATCAAAGCGCCGCAAACTCTTTGAGCAACGGTCCTTTCCGGTCATACTTGCGTCACCTTCAGACTAAGAATGCGAAGCCTCCATGGTTGAAGGGCATTCGATTGGGACACGAGAACTCTCTCCAGAATCTTTGGACTTTACAGGTCCGTTGTCCAACCATACCGTTCCCTTCTTGTTCATTGTTCCTCCTGCTTCCTATCAATTTGTTGTTGATTCTTGCCTGGACCATTCTCTCCACCACCGCTCACTTGAATCTCTTCCCCCTTCCTTGTCTTGCTCGACCTCCCCTCTCCTCCTCACTTCAGCACACTGACAGCGCTCTACAGTGGCACAAGGAGCCGATCGTCAGCATGTGCCTTTCAGCCGATGGCTCTAGGTTAGCCACCTCCTGCATGCAGAAGCAGATCTGCCTGTGGAGTGTGGGGGACGGAGTTCTTGTTCACGCCTTCCAGCACAACAGATCAAGGATCAGCGTCATGTGCTTCTCAGATCCTCCGCACCAGCTCGCAGTTGGCGACGCTGACGGCGGCGTCAGGATCTTGAGTATTCGAGGACAGACCAAGGTCAATGTTACCGAGGACTTCGGCCTCCTTGCGCACAAGGCAATCGTGAAGAGCTTGTCGTTCCTCGGACATCTCAAGATCTTGTTGTCTGCTGCCTCTGACGGAGAGATGAAACTTTGGTCAACTGCCAGCCTGACCAACTTGCGGACTATCCAGCTGCACAAACTTCCCCTGCACCAGCTGCAGCTCCTGACGTATCACAGTGTCAACTCTCCCAAGGATTCTTCCAAGGAGCCGCAGAGCGTCGCCCCTGCCAAGAGCGACCTCGGCATTTCAGGGAACTTCCATGTTTGGTCTTGTTCGGATGATTGCTCCGTCAAGGAATGGAACCTTCAAACTTGCAACTGTCTCAAGGTGAGGAGGTCGAGGAGTGGGGCGGGGGGGCTGAAGGAGGAGGAGGAGGAAGTGGTGGTGGTGGAGGATTTCTTGATGTTAGATCTTCTTGTTATGTTGGAATCTCCTAAACATCTTGGAATCTTTCAAGCTGAAATCATTGCAGACCTTTGAAGGGCACAACAGTGCTGTAATCACCATCCGCGTGAACCTCCAGCTGGACATGTTGGCATCGGGCTCTCGAGACGAGACTTGCAGGCTCTGGAGCATCTCTAAGAACACTCTCATTGGCGTCATCCGCCATTTTGTTCCGATCTCGCACGTCGATCTTGATGATTCTGCGGAGGTTGTCTTGACAGTCTGCAAGAACGGTTTCCTCAGAGTGTGGGACTTGAACACGTTGAACCAGCTGTCGGAGACTGACATCGCATCTGCTCCTGCTGGCAACAGATCGGGCACGAATCGGCAGGGAGTGATCTGCCTCCTGGACCCTCACACTGGAAACTTCCTCTCAGCAGCTGCCGAGCAGGTCAGGGCCGTGTCAACGCGCTTCTCGAGCTTCTCAGTGAACCGGATGATCGAACCCCCCCAAGAGGAGGAGACCTTCTTCAGCTCTCACGCTGTCAAACTCCTGGAGGAGCAAGGCCTGCTGAGCTTCAGCTCGAGCTATCGCGATTCCCTGCTGAAAGTCGTTGCGATGGACGACCTGCTAATCACCTACGGAGGGCTGAAGCAAGTGAGCATCTGGAACGCCAAGACAGGAGATCTGTTGCGACGGTTGGACAACGAGGAACACAGGTTTCCCTTCCTCGTCCTCTCTGATTCCAGACTCACCGGTGGGATGTTTTGCCGAACAGAATCGCAGGGCTCGACTTCTCTCCTGAGTACAGATGGCTGTTAGCAGCTGCGTGCAGTGATGGGCAGGTGTTGTTCTGGGACACCAGATCGAAGGTGTTCCTTCCATCGCTCACTCGAAGCTTTCTGATCAGTGACCGCAGGCAAGCAACCATGTCAAATTATTCTTCATCCATCCAGCCCATTTCCGCCAGATCACCACGATTTCATTCTCACCGAGAGAGAGGACTTTTCTGACAGCCTCTGTTGACAAATGCGTCCGGCTTTGGTCGTTTTCACTTGAAAGTAGGTCGACACTCAAGTGTACAAAGAGCTCTGACGCTGATGTACATAGAGAACGACAACTCCAACAGCCTGCTGCAAGAATCGAGAGGGCCAACGGTCGGCTCAGGGCTAACTTCTGGTGACTGGACACTTGCACTGCTTTTCCTGGTACCTGACACTCTTTGAAAGCCTCAGAGAGTCTCAGGGTCGTCATGAAGTTTGTTCTTGCGGGCCATACAGAAGCCGTGTCGCACGCCAGTTTCTCTCCAGACGGCAAGCTGATCGCCTCCTGCTCGTGGGATGGCTCCGCAATCTTGTGGGATGCTATCAACGGCAGTCAACGATTCCTGCTCCGACCGGTCGGCCTCCCCCGCGCCTTCTTGTGCACGTGCTGGGCTGAAGATGGATCTCTAATGGCTGCTGGCACCGAAGACGCGTCGATCTACGTGTGGAGGTCCAAAGACTCGCGGGAGGTGAGGAGATTTCGATCTTCAGCGGCTGCAGACGTGCCGAGCCATATCACTCTCGAGTCGCTCCTGTCAAACCCGTTGAAAAGCCTGCATGCCCCGCTGGGTCACTCCGACTCGATCACGTCGGTGAGATTCTGCAAGAAGGGAAAAGTGATCCTCTCCTCGTCCATGGATGGAACAGTCAAATTATGGTCGCTGGAGCAAGGGCAGTTCATCAGAAATATTCTCCGCTGTCCATCAAAGACAAACGTAAAGATTGTTCTCTAGAAACATGTGCATTGAACTGAGCAATGTGCGTGCAGGTGATGTCGATGGGCTTGACCAAGGATGGAGCTGAAGTGTTTGCTGGATGTAGCGATGGACATGTGAGGTTCACCAAGATGCCGAGGGTGACGGAAGCAGCAGCAAGGAATTCTGCGCAGGAGAATGGAAAACTTGACAGGAAGCGGAGCTCTCGCAGGTCATCACCTCAAGCATCATCTAAGAGTGAGAAAGCGAAGCTTCAAGATGATTGGATCTTCTTCGAAGAGGAGAGAAAACCCAAGTTCGACCCGAGCCTGGATTGCTTGCAGGCTTGCATCGAGTACAACCCTGCCTTTGAGAAAGGAGGCGCCAAGGCCTGCATATCCTTTGTGGGGCTGGACCACCTGACTTACATCGCTTGCGAGGGCAGCAAGGAGATCGAAGTCCGCGACCCGAAGAACAACTACCAGCTCATGTCAAAGATGGAAGGGCACAGCGACGAGGTCACTTCCCTCAGCCTCGACCTCGAGAGCCACAAGCTCCTCTCCTCCTCCAAGGACGGCTCCATCACTCTATGGGACACTCACTCGGGCGACGCAGTCTTCTCGCTTCCCTGCTGCCGTCAGGGGCTCTCAGAGGCGTCTATGGATTTCAGTCTGGAGCTCGCGGTGACGGGGTCGTTCATTGGAGACGTTCAGTCGATCAACTTGCGCAGCCAGCAGTTCATCAAGCAGTTCTCCGACTCCGATGCCCCGGTCGTGCGAGCGGAGTACATCAACGATGGGCGACTGCTCGCTTACGGATACCAGAACGGCTTGATGTGCCTGCGCGACTACAGGCAGAGCGACAAGGTGGTCAAGATCCAAGCGACAGGCGATGCGAGGGAGCACAGGCGACTGCCCAAGTACAAACCTCAAGATCTCAAGAAGCTCTTCACGTCCATTGAAGGGCTGATCAAGTCCAGCCCAGAGAAATCGCAGGCCGAAACTCCGAAGATGCATGGCATGAGATGTACAGCAGATGGCAGACTGCTTGTCTGCGCGTACGATCAGACGGTACAAGTATGGGATACACGTCAGACCAAGGAGAGCCTAATTACGGACAGCTCGCATACCTCTACGGTTCCTACCAGCCTATTCCTGACCAGCTCGCTGACAGTGTCACAGGTCACCGCGCTCTCGCTGCTCGATAACGATGACTTGGTCGTGTCTGGCGGAGATGACTGCCTGCTGAAGATCTGGAGCATCCGAGGAAAGCCGATGACGGAAACGCCCGACGCTCACTTGGTCGCCTCCATCGATCACCTAAAGAGCGTGAGGATGGTGAATGAGTTCACTTGGAGCTACGGAGAAAGGCTCTTCCGAGTCCCCTCGCCCTTCGTTTCGGTCTCCTATCACTGCAACCAGGTCGTCTCCTCCTGACCCTGCCTTCCACCCTTGATGATTCTGATTGCAGAGCGTCCGCTGCATCGGGGGCAAGACTTCCAACCTCTTCTTGATCGCGACGTCTGACGGAGTCCTGCATCCTTTCTCGCTTGTCAGAGGCAACAAGTCGCAGCATTGAAAGATAGAGAGAAGATCTAACATGTAGAATATTGTTCACTCAAGATTGTAATGTAGCCCAGGTCTATAACAAACAACCTTCAATAGCAGAAAGGACAAACATCACAATACAAAAATAACAGGAAATAGCTAGTATGATTCCCGTGTCTTTAGAGTCTGCTTTTAAGTCTTTAGATTGTAGAGCAGATTGTACTGCTAAGACAGAGTGAACTTCTTCTTTAATGACTGAAATGGTGAAATCCAGCACCAGCCCAGATAGTTAGAGTTATTTAGAGGTGTAGGATGTAGTCCGGACAAATATATACACTCATAGATTATCGGACAGAGAAAGGAGGAGGAAAGAGGGAGAGAAGGCCCTGAGGGAAGAGAGAGGAAGAGATTGAACGAGAGCGGGAAGGGGAGATTAGAAAGGGAAGCCTATGGGGAGCCGCCCCGGTGCCGTCGGCTTCGGGGCCTTCCGACGGCGCCTCGGAGGGTGGGGTGCGTCTTTTTGGCGTTGAGTTTCGCCGAAATCATCTTCTTGCGACAGGTTTTATTGGTTCAACGTGTACCGGCAAGCGGCTCGTGCAGGACTGAACTTCGTGACTCTTTGAGTGCGGCGAACTGAATCTCAGCTGGAGGCCGCATTACGACAACTACTTTAACTGGTTATTGTTCAGATACAATCTCTGCAAGTTCGAAAGCTTAAAGAACTTCCCTTGTTAGCAAACCATCGGCAGAGATGTAGTCAACCTTGTTAATGTTTTTTCTTTGATCGTAAGTACGATAGTAGGCGATCAAGAACTCAGAAGCCTTACTGTTACCCATCTTCCGTGCTGCTCAATGTCACGATCCCTGGCTTCCTGTGAGCGCAATCAGGAGGCTGAGTCACTGAACTGAACAAGGGTGTAGTAGGAGAGGAGAAAAGAGATGTCCGGCGAGACAAGAGACAGATTCAGAAGCAGTGCTTCAATCATTGCAAGCAAGGCTTACGAAGCATACACTCACTGTTCTGCTGGCTCCGAGGGCTCAGTGAAACGATTTCCCACCTACTACCGTACCAGTGCTACGGTACCGGGCCCCGCGGCACCCGTGGAAATTTTGGTTATCCATCTTTCGCGGTCGGTCACACTTCAAGGGGCGCATCCCAGTCCCAGGACGCATTGAAATGCACGGGAGGAGGAGGATAGCAAGGGGGGCGCTAGTCTTGTGCTTGCTCGGGCTGTCGTCCTGTTACGTTCACCATCTTCCTCTGCGGGCTCAAGGAAGCTCCTCACGATGCCTCATCAACCGGTCGCCTGTGAGAACTTCGAGGAGCAGCATCACAAGTCTCAAGTCAAACTTTCAGGACGACCTGGAAAGGTGTGCAATCTCGCTCTTGTGCGACCTCCTCTGACATGTCTTGCTCGCTCTAGACAGCTTGAAGAGCTATATAAAGAACAGGCCGAGCATGCGAAACGACACTATTACAACGATGGGCTTCAATGGCCGACGATGCATTACCCGCTTTCAGTGCCAGCTTTCACTCCCAACGTTTCCATTGGAATAATCGGACAGCATTTGGTTGGGTCCAAAGTCCTTCAAGAGATTTTAGGGCAGGAGCGAGAACGAGCGAGAGAAGAGTTTAATCTGAACTTGCAAGTCTTGGCTGTTGCAGAGCATGGCAAGGGCTCTGGCAAAATGTTGTTATCGGTACACTCTTGAATAACCCTTGGCAACAGATCTAAGGAGTTTTTGTCTGATAGGACGAGGACATGTCTCTTGAGTTTATCAATGAATCATGGGACAAGAGCTCTCAACGATACGACGCTGATCGCTTCATGAAGCATGTCTCCACGTCTGGAAGGCCGCACAAAGTCATGCTGGAGTGTTCTGGAACTCCACAGGAGGTAATACCTTCTCTTTCTTGCTTCTATTTCCCAAGTAACGTTGTCACTGTCTCCATAGCTGTATGAACAGAAGGGACTGTGGGATCAGATCTGCATGAATTTTGAGACATGGCTCTTCAATGACATGCATGTGGTAACAGCTGACCAGTACGATACCAACGTGTCACAGCACATTCTTGCAACCGTTATGACGGATATGGAGAATTTCGAAGGCATTGATGATTTGTGGGAAGAAGAGGAACGTCGGTTGGGCCCTCCAACTGAACCCTTTCAGGAAGGACGGATGGAAGGAGAGTATTACAACTATCTCAAAGGAAACATGAATATCTCTAGGGAAGAAATCCTCAAGGAGCATATCAGAGTCTTTGGAGTCGATCCCTATGAAGCGGCAAAGGTGAAGCAGAGCAGAGAGAGGAGCGTTGAGAATCAGAAGCGATTGCAAACCGAAGAACGACGTAAGGGTGGTCGCATCAAGTCAGATTCTAGGGGCAGAGGAGGAAGACGAGGGAAATCCAATGATCAGCGCAGAAAGAGTACGTAATCCTAATCAGCCTTGTTATACAATTTAGTTTCAATGCTGTGATGGAAGGTTATTGCTTCTTTTTCTTGTCTGATCCAGTATCCTTAGCAGCGTTTTCCTTGTTTGCCTAGTAAAGAAAGTCAAAGATCGTTGTTGAAACAGCCTCTGCAGTCTAGACTCATCACATACCCTTGCATGTTGAATTATCTCCCTTCTCTTCACCTACGAATTGACGAAAATTCACAATCTCACGTCCTCTGGATTATCAAAGTCTTTGCAATCGTACCTGTACAAGCAGGGAAGCTGCTGCAATGAGGGTATGAATCACCATGTAGGCGCCTATTAGGAGCAATGGTGTGCTCCAGACCACTGAGAGAAAGACCCCATGCTGCAAGCTAGAGTCACGTGCCACCTCTCGAGCTCCGGAAGGTGTTACCTTGTCAAAATAATTCTGCGTAGAGAAGGACTCCCAGTGTGTTGACTGTCGGCGAAAGTTGAACAACAAGGAGGGGAAGGTCAAGGAAAATCACTCACCAGAAATCTGTTGAGAGGTTCAGCCAGGTAGATACAACCCATCATGAAGCAGAAGAGCACTATCTGAATGTTGCTGTTCCTCCGCGAGAGAATCTGATGAGGAAAAGTCAGCTGAAGTTGGCCAACGCCTCTGAATGTTACCGCTAGCAGTAGCATCGTGAAGTGGAATATACCCAACGCAATAATCCATGTCTCAGTCCACTCCACAGCCGAAACAAACCCCTTCACGCTATTCTTGAATTGCATCCACTTGTTTGAAGGGAGTTAGAACCAGATCATTTCAGCAAGGCGACAAATGAGTTGAGAAGACATGGATAAGGTGAACGAGCATGAAGACGATCGATCAGGCGCATATTTGCTGTCATCAACCATGAATACCTGGCTTGGATTCGCCGATAGGTCAGCCATATCGAACTCCGATGGGTCGCCAAAGTAAAACATCTTTCCAGGCTTTGGCTTTGTAGGAATGGCACCTAATGAAAGGATGAGGGAGAAGAGGCGGAGGTGAGGGCATGTACCTGTGACATTGAACGCTGACTTAAAGATCTCAATCGCTTCGTTGCTCGCGTTCGTCAGCGACTCCCACATGTCTTCCAGCATTCCCTTCTCCGCCCCCATGACGGGAGCACGCTCATCCCCTCGTCCCCTCTCAGGCCTGTATCATCCCCCTCTTTTCCCTGCCGTCCCAATTCGATGAAATGTGTGGGAGGGAGAGGCGAGAAGCAAGCCATGCAGACAAGCAGCGCTGACACGATCGCGAGCTAGCAGTCTTCAGAAGCATCTCATGCCAGACGGGAGCTAGCAGTCTTCAGAAGCATCTCATGCCAGACGGGAGCTAGCAGTCTTCAGAAGCATCTCATGCCAGACGGCACATCATTGAGAAGAAAACGACGAGGGGGGAGGTGTAGAGGTCGGAAGATCGATGAGGTCGATCCAATTTTTATTGGGCCTTCTGATTCTACAGCCATGGCTCGTGACGACGGCGTTTGTCACGTATGAGGCATCGGCTTCCTTCCCCTTGTGCTCCAACTTCTCCCTTGAGAGCAATCATCAGATCGGCTTCTTGTTCGGGTATGTCGAGAACGACGGCGCCAAGAACCGTACGTCACCTTACCTTCCTCTCAATGCGACGTGTCAATGTACATCGCCGCACAGTCTCTTCATGAATTTCTCCGCTCAGACGCTGGATACATACAATGCTGTGGTTGCGCTGTTTGAAGCAGGGAAAGGATCTCAGAATTCAACTTTCAAAGGGAACGCCACTGTGAGCAACCATTCCAGCCCGACCAATCTCACTCACTCCAACGCCTCCGCCTCGACCACCAACTTGACTAACGTGAATGTCACTAACGTGAATGTCAGTGAAGCAAACAGCAGCGTTACAATGGACATGAATGCTTCTTCGAGCTCCTCCTCCAACCTCACGAGCAACACGAGCTCTAGTACGAATGTTTCGACGAGATCCTTTGAGGGCTGGGGCAGAAAGCCGGGGCGGGTGTTGACCTCCACGTCGATTCCATTGATCAATGTCTCATGCTTGAGCCCGTCGGATGCGGAAGCACTTTGTAAGAAGCTGAGCATTGCGAACGAGTAATGATGTCCTGCCGTCTTCCAGTCCACTGATTGCTTGTCTGCAGATACTGTCCCTCAGCGACAGACATAGTGATTGTAGTGCAGAAGAACATTGTGGTGATCAACAACATCACTAAAGTCGTTGTGCAAGCAGCCACAAACAATGATTTCGTAACGGCGCTACAAAAGGAGATCGCAGCATTCCTGACTTCATTCTCCTCGTCAACATTCTTCATCGGCAGCAACATCGGCATAGGAAAAGCAGCCAACATAGTACTCTGGCTCGGATTTTTCATTTTCCTTGCTGGTGCAATTTTATTGTGAGAGCATGCAGGTGTCAAGGGTGGTCATAGGCTAACATGGAGCCTCAGGGAATGGATTGGAACGAGGACGAAGAAATTCAAGCTTCAACTGCTGATTCTCGTCTTGAACTGCAAGTAGTGATGGACCTTTTCCGAATCTCATCTCTCAACAGGCACGATGAGCATGCTGGGCTACTTGACCATGGCTTTCGGTCACGGAAGATCGACACACTTCAAGGTGACGTGGCGGGTGAACGAGGCGGCTAAAGCTGATGAGGGCTCAGGTCATGTTCAACGCAACTCGCAATGAGTCCAGCGGGCAACTCTACTTCATAGGCTCCCCCATCCGCCAGTCAGACGTCTGCTGATCATGACTCGCAGCCTCTCCCAGGGCTCACTGTTGGTGCAGGTGCCTCCTGTCTTCTACTCGCGGTACATCATGTGGCTCTTCACCACTCCCTCCCCCATCTTCCTCCTCTGCCACTTCGCCAACGCGCTGGAGACTTTCATGGGATCTGCGGTGATAGCAAGGAGGAGAGCTTGTTGGGAGCTGACGAGAATGCAGGCGCTCGACTGGATGATGATCTTGTGCGGGATGGCTGCGATCTATGTGAAGGTGAACAATAAATCGACGATGACCGTATACTGAAGTTTGAGATGCAGCAAAGATCCGCAGATTTCGCTCATGCAGATGTTGCACTTGTCGAGTGTGTGGGATGCAGCAACACGAATGTGATCGTGTGGGTTCTGTTTGCTATCGCAAGTCTCTTCTTCGTCGTTCTCCTCTATCGGGTGCGAGATTTCCACTTCCATGAAGGTTTGCGATGCTGATAGGCAGCGATAAAGTTGATTGTTATTGGAGAGCGATCAACGCTTGAAATCGACAAGAAGCTGGTACGTCTCTTCATGAGATTTCCTGCGCTGCTTCTGACGAGCATCAAGGCTTATCGCCGACTGCTTCTGTTTGTGATGATCACCTGGAGCGCGTAACTTAGTTGTCTCGTGCTCCCTGGGCTCTCACACATTCCTCCATGTCAGGTTCCCGATCCTCTGGTTCTTCAGCGACAAAGGGTTCGGTCTGATGCCTTCAGTGAGCCCTCGGATGTGGGTGAGGAGGCGAGAGGTTTGACTGGCCGGCAGGACTGGGAGGTTCTGCTGTACGTCATCCTGGACGTAGTGGCAAAGATCGGGTTTGCGGTCCTCTACCTGTACGAGCTGAGGTCCTTGCGGTGGAGGAAGAGACTCTCATGTGAGTGAAGAGAGAGGTCATGATCAAGTCCGAGGAGAGGAGGACGAGGACTGTGAAGAATGTGGTGAACGAGGGCACGAGCACGGTTCGAAGAGAGTGCTAGAAGGAGGGGTAGCACAACGACAGTGGAGCTGGAGCAACAGCAGCAGAAAAGAGGAGCAGGAGCAAGGAGGGGGATAGGGGATGACGGTAAGGATGACGATACGGCAGATCAAGAGAACATATCCAAGGTGAACGTGAAGACTGAAGTCCCAGCAGAAGATGGAGGAGCCTCGTCCATGTCGAGGTCTTGCATGCTGACCTGTTTAAGTCTTTTCTCCCCTCCTCCCCTTCCTCACTCTTCTCATCTCTTCTCCCTCCATTTCTACTCGTGCAGTCCGCTTCCTTACATCCTCTCCTCTGTCCTCCATTCTCCCCTCCCCTCTCTCTGTCCTCCGCTCTCCTGACGTCAATCTGCAGTGGCCGACATTCGGCGTTGACGTCAACGTCGTCCAAGCAGAGGAAGCAGGCAAGACGAGAGCGACAAGCTCGGCAAGTGAATCAGCTGGAGAATATCGGAAACGACTAGCAACTTGTAAATTATTACGTGCAAGATGTTTATATGACATGAGTAAAGATGTGCAGTTGTATGATTACAGAGCACGTGAAGTGGGAGTGACTTCGATGTTGCAACCAGAGGAGTGATTTCATGTTACAATCTTTGCAGTATTTCTATGTTACAACCAGAGAGTGAACTTGTCTTATACGTGATGACAAGAATTCTCACGTTTTATCTTCTCTCGAACTTGATCGTCGTGAGAAGTCGATAGGGGAGGCTGGTGAGCCGAAGTGGCTGCCAAAGGCAAGGGAGGAAGGCCTCTTGGAGAGGAAGGTGAGGGAGCGAGGAAAGAGGGAGAAGAAGATCACAATAGCGGGAATTGCAGCTAAGCAAGTTGCCACAGCGATCTGGAAATCGAGATGAGAGGGAGGAGAGGAGGAGAGGAGGAGGGGAGGAGGGGAGGAGAGGACGAGAGGAGGAGAGGAGGAGAGGAGGAGATTAGAAAAGATCATGTTGACGTGGAGAAGAAGAGAAAAATGAGAGAATCGTCAAGAGGGAGATAAGAGTGAGGAAGAGAGAGGTATAGAATTATGGTTAACTCACTGGGATAGCAGTGTTCACTTGGCTTGAGCTGCTCAGGGATGAAGACTTGTTGGCCATCTCAACAACTACATCGTCAGCTTGCAACTGGAGTGAAAATTATTCCCCACATCAAACCGAGTTTGTCAAGTCCTACCTGACGTACAATCAGATATCGAGCTGTGGGTAGAATTTCTGTCACATCAAAAGACATGTTCAGAGTTGTTACAACTGTTTGTATGAGCGACCTCTCAAACTTCCATCTGACGCCGACTTGACGAGCTTGTAGACCATCTTGACATGGGAAGTGGGATCCAGAGGAGAAGCAAGCAGCCGGAAGGTGATGGCAGTGAACTTCAGCTTCTGTGTGTTTTCTGATGTCTGCGGTGTATACAGGTCGTTCTGAGCGAGTCAAGGGTGAGAAGGAGAGACATGTTTGATACTTCACTGTCACCTGAGAAGATAACAAGAACTGATTCTTATCATAAAGTCCCAGCAGAGTTGTCTGAAGAAAAACAACATCAGACCTCACTTGCCTGACTTCATCTACTTGACGTGTTTGTTTTCTCACTCACCATCGCTATCTGGACGTCCCCCAGGCTGGTGATGTTGCTCGCATTGCTCGCATTCGTCTAACAACCAAGGTCAGTTACGTTTTCTTCTTTTCCTCTCTTCTGATCTTCTTCTGTTCACTTCTCCTCTCTTCCAACCTGCTTGACAAAAGCCAGTCCAACCTCCTTCCAGCTGTCAAGATACCTAACAGCCCCGCCGACTCCCTTGCAGCAAAGTTATGAAGGGTAGGGAAAGAAGAGGAGAATATGGATGACAAGATGAGGAGGAGGCAGTGAAGGAGAAGCAAACCAGGTTGGTACCTGCGCAACGCACTGGCAGGCAGAGTTGATGGTTCGGGGAACGTATCCTGAAATGAGCACATGGCATTCACTTAAACAGGCAAGAGAGAGAAGGAGGGATTGCGAAAAAAAAAAGAAGAGGGAGAAAGGAGGAGAAAGGAGGAGAAAGGAGGAGAAAGGAGGAGATAGGAGGAGTCGAAGTCAAGAGGATGACGTAAGGAACAAACCCGCAGGACAAGCAGAGCAGTCGTCTTGAGCAATCCCAGATTGCATCAGCTGCATTCTCGAATGAGCGAATAAAGCAAGAACGGAGAATGCCTACAGTGACAGTGACAGCAACAGGAACGATAATAGTGTTACTTGGCACGGTGCAGATTATCATCTTAGATGAAATCTGCCCACAAGCTTCACAATCCGGAGACTAGATGCATGTAAGTAAAGGTGGCGATGGAAGATATCAATAACCATTCGCAAGGAGCAGATCTGTCCGGCTATTTTCACTTCAACTTGAAGAAATTCATTGTTAGGATCTCCAAAGTTTTCTCTGCCAGCAGAAAAGCTCAACAGTTATTTCTTTCGAGCACTTGTTTTCACCCCACAACAGTGAGAGGAAGCCCTCCGCCATAAGGAACAAGTGAAGGCTGCAGGTAGAGTGAGGAACATGGCACTGACCACGAAGGGAGCAAACATTTATGGTAGAGATGGACGGACTTGCATAGTTGAACCAACACAATCTCTACGAGATGGATCAGAAGTGTGATCGAAGAAGAAGAGAAAAACAAAATGAACTCAGACAAATGAAGAAAGAATGTACCGATTCAGTAGGCACACAAGTCACGGATGGAAGGCCAACAACCTGTTCTTTCAAGTCATGATGTTGCGGTCAGAAAAGAAAAGAGAACACACGGGAGTGAGACTGACTGGATGTTGAGATCCAAATCCGCCAGGAACGACACATGTTATCGTAGAGCTTGAAAGGACCTCTCGACAGAATCAGCATGACGAATGAAGTCATCTGCGTTCACTTTGATGTTTGTACAAGAACTTGAGCCAATAGACACCAACATCTGGTTTTGCTGATTCTGGATCCCTTGCAAACATCTGCCCACCATGGTAATGGTCTGACCACCTTTGCTCTTTCAACTCAGATGAAACCACGGGAGAAAGAAACATTCCTACCATCTGTGGGACCAACGACAGGATAAATGTAGAGAAGATTTTGAGGACTCGATGCGCAACTCGTTGCAGTCAACGTGAGAGAATCCTTTGAGTCCAGTCAATGAACATCGAAACGCAACAATCTGACGCATCTAACTGACTTGAGACTCCTGACAAGGTCCAGAGATACACTTGAGAGTACCAAAGCAAGAAGTACCACTGCAATGATATCACAAGTCTCGAACATGGTAATGAGCCGAAAGGTCGGCGTGATAAAAAATACAATCAAGTGTACATACCTGATGGACCAGAACGCACTGTCATTGACTCGCAGATCAAAATTCACAACACCAAATTTCGAGACTGCGGAGATGAGATTGAAGCTGTTGGAACACGAGGACAACTTTGCATTGTCGTCTGCAAGGCTCCAACTTGGCAATGCGATAGTAGCAGTACAATCCCACGGCCTCACTTCTGTTATAGTCAGAGTTCCAGTGGGACAAACATCTGAACAAGAGCAATAGTCGAAAATGTACTGTCGCATGGCTATGTACGAGCGCGAAAATGTGTAACAAGTAGTCAAATTCGCAACGCCAGTCAGCGATGCTGGATTAGAGAGTTCTGGCAAACACATCTGAAGAATAGTATCCGTCAGAGACGAAACCCCATTGATGATCGCATGACCTGCATTCCGACATTTGTACCTGACGTTAGGATTGACAATGTTGCATTCAAGCAACAAGCCGTGCAGTTCAAGATGAAGGACTGGAATGAAGAGTGAGTAACAAAGGTTAGGTCGACCAGGACGAGTATACCTGCCATTCTTGAGCTCTATCCTTCGAGCTATAGATTGGTTGCAGCATTCTTGAAAAATTCAACATGCAAATTTCAACTGGAAAAGCCACTCCATCCAACGAAATGAGTGACTTGGAAGATATGGATGTGACAAAACTCTGATCCCACGATCTGTGAAGAGTTGCAACATCAATGAAGAAAACAATACAAAGATAGTGAACTTTGACATCACCCAATATTGTTTTGATCCACAATATGCCAGTTCATAACTAGTTTGCTCGTTTGTGTGTCAACAGAAACAATCAGGTCCTAAGGACAGCAAAAGTCAAAATGTCCCGGGCACACTCTTTGTACATACTACAATTCTTGCAGGCAACGCCTCCGAGCCTCTTCTGCACCATTCGCACCGTCAGCTAAGACTGTAGACAAGAAACGAAGGAAACTGACCCATTGGTTGCGACCCTTCCCGACAACCAGGTCCCCTGGATGGCCTTCATGGACATCAAGGCATCGCTTCCGGCTCCTCCGACCCCATAACTCAGAGAGAGAAGAAAAAAGCGAAAAAGCATCTGCGATGAAATCCATGAGACTATGAATCTGATGTATGTGAGTGAACACACAGAGCAGCAGGCGGTTTACATGTGATAGAATATCAGTCAGTGAACAACAAGTGTTGTTGTCATTCCAATAGTCATTTCACGGCTTTGCTCCTCTCTATCTTCATCTCGGATCTCGTCACACTGCCCACTAGTGGCATGTTTATGAAAAAAAAAAAAAAACAAGGTCAAAACATAAAAAAAACAATCAAGTTCACGTCGGTTCAACGGTTGGCGGACTCCGGGATTCAGTTAACGGCCCAGGCCGGTCGCCGCGGGCCCGGCCCGGAGCCTCGGATCCGACGGGCTAATCTCCGTAGTTGCTAGGCTAGGCTCCCAGGCCCGAAACTTAACTGATACCTTTCACGCATAAGAGCTGCTCCGGCTCCTACCGTCGTCCGGAGGCTCAAGCAGCTTGCGGGCAGCGGCGTGTCGACGGACAACAAGCCGCTGAGCGGTCGACACGCCGCTGCATACAAACCTCCTTCGCTGCCGCCGAGCCTCCGCCCGGCTTGTGAGCCGCTACTCAGTGACTATCAGTTAGCCTGATTGTCCTCGTACTGATTTTTAACTTAACTTTGAGTAAAACTTTTCGCGGCCGTCTGCCGCAACGAAACCCTTTAACGACCGCAACAGCTCATGGATGCAGAGATTGTGATGTGGCGAAGGGAGAGGAGAGGGCGAGGTTGGGAGGAGGAGGAGGAGGAGGAACTTCACTCAATGCCTGTTTGAATCCTTCATCTGCTGATCTGACATCATAAGTTCTGCCTTTCTCCCTATTGATGTCTAGTAAGGTATCGATGTCGCCTGGTGCAGAACAGTTGTGAAACCATCGTTGTCGCTCTGAGACATCCGCTACCAGGCGACTCCCAGAGCTTTCACAGGAGCAAGATGTGGATCACAAGAGCAAGATCCCTTGCAGTCATGCTCAGGCTTCTACTCGTGAGTAGATTTGCCATTGGCTGGAACGTCTCTGTAAGCAACTACTACGGGTCATCATGTTCGACCTCGCAGGCTGGCAACAAGGAGATCGTGAAGCCTGACTGCATGACCTTGACGAGCAGAGCGCTGATAGTGTGCGACCAGAGGGACAGCAGCCGCCTGCTGGAGATCCTCCTAGACGAACGCGCAAACCCTGTCGCTTCCAAGACCATCGTCGACCAGCCCAGTGGGCTGATCCGAGGCATTGGGATGGACCATGTGGGAGTCTGGTACTACACCAACCCGAGAGATCAGACGGTCAACCTCATCGTCGAAGGCAAGTCTTGGATCCTAGCAGGCCACCGCGTTAGTGTGAACCTGCGGACAATGACTGGGAAAGGCCTATACGCTACTTTCCGATCCCCGCACGGGGTTGTGGCGGACGAGGCTCAGAACTTGTTCGTGACTGACCGACTTGACCATCGAGTGCGAAAAGTCTCGAAAAGCAACAACTTTGTGTCTTATTTCGCGGGATCTGGAATTCAAGGTTTCCGAGACGGGGCGGCTGGTGACGCTAGATTCTCGGAGCCTTTGGGGATTATTCATTTCAGAAACAAACTTTACGTGGCAGATTCGAACAACCATGCAATCAGAAGCATTGATCCCATCTCAGGGGAAGTTGCTACTGTTGCTGGAAATCAACAAAGAGGGAACTTGGATGGAGCGGCTTCTCAAAGTCAGTTAGACACCCCCACGTCACTAGTGGCGTACAAGCAATTCATTTTCATCGCAGAGTCTAAAGGAGGAGTCCGGGCTGTTGACCTGGACAGTTTGAAAGTCTTCACTCTTCACCAGCTGCAGAACGTGATGCTATCGGGCATCGCAGTCTTAAATAATCCATACTTTACACACCCCCTCGTCCTGGTCTCTGACTTCCTCGGGTGTAGAATCTTGAGTCTGCCCTTGGTTGCTGACTGCGCGGGCAAGCTTTTTTCTTCCAAGGCGTTGGACAAGTGCGGTGTGTGCGGAGGAAAGGACGAGTGCGTGGATTGTGCGGGAGTGCCATGGGGCAAGGCAGTCAAGGATTCCTGCGGGACCTGTCGAGCTGATGGGGGGGACTGTAGTGAACCCAACGGACGCGTGGAAGGGGGGGCAGGCGATCTTGGATCGCTAGCAAGGTCCTTCGGGGTCTATGCTGGCAAAGTTGCTGGAACTTTCAGGTCGCCAACCTTGAAAGTTGCTGAGAGTCCTCAGATGAAACCTGTTGTGTTGCCGAGGACTCAAGTAGCAGTCCAGGTGAACAACAGGTGGGGGCTGCGAGTAAGCACTCTGTATGGGACCGGCATGTGCCAGCCTTGGTACTCCCAGTCGAGCTATGGGAATCAGCTGAATCGCCCGGAAGGAGTTGTCTTCGACTCGCACGGGCACTTGTACGTGGCTGACACGGGCAACCACGTCATCAAGATGCTGGATTTCTCTTCTGGGAAAGTCTTGCGGACCATCGGGACTGAGGTTTCCAGCACGAGCAACAGAGGGAGTCGCTTCGGCGTCTTCAACGGCCCGTCAGGCCTCTCGTTGCGGGGAGACGGCGGACTGTACGTCTGCGACTCCTACAATAGCGCCATCCGGAAAGTCGACTTGACGAGCACGCCACCTCGAGTTTCCTCCCTGCAGCTCCAGCGGCCGATCTCCTCTCCTCGCGGCATCGCCTTCCATCCCTCAGGGTCTCTCCTTGTGACAGATGCTGAGAAGCGATCTCTGTGGGAGGTGGGGAGTGCGGGCATGCAACAGTTGGACTCTCGCTCGTTCCCTCTTGGGGAGCCGCGGGCTCTTGCCTGTGACCCTCATGGTGACATCCTCGTCGCTGATCTCAGCGGACGCGTCCTGCTCTACCAAACGCGTCTCAAGAGCTGGCGAACCTTGGTGAGTAAGGGGGCGATGCCTGAGGAGCAGCAGGACCGCCAGCTGGCCGTCAGCTCCCCCTCGGGCCTGGCAGTGGACGGGAAGGGGAACATCTTCATCGCCGACAGGGGCTCGCACTGCATCTACATGCTCGAGGCGAAGAGCTCGAAGCTGCTTCTCATCGCCGGCAACGGACATGCAGGACGTCGCGACGGGGAGAGGGCGCAGTTCTACCAGCCTTACGATCTTGCTCTCTCTGCAGAAGGGAAAGTGCTGGCGGTGACGGAGAAAGGTTCCTGTCAAGTCCGCCTCATCCATGGGATCGAGAGTTTCCTCAAGGATGACTCCAAGGTCGCAGTTGGCTCGCCGAGCTCGACGCCCAAGGTCAGCAAGCCGGTCAGCAAGCCCGACCAACCATCCCCTCCTCCTCCTCCTCCTCCTCCCTCCAGCTCTTCGAGCTCCAAGCACGCGCAGGAGACTGTCAAGACGGAGATTCCCCTGACTTCTACTCCTCCTGTTATGACAGCGACGAAGGAAGACCCGGACGCGACCGCTGGCCCCTCAGAGAGCCTCAAAGCAGACCAGCTCCCTTCCAGCTACAGGGAATTCGACGAGCTGGAGAAGGAAGCCCAAGAGTCAAGCAAGGGAGTCGTTGATCCGTTCGCTTACACGTCAAAGATCGACAGAATGAAGAAGGCGGAGGGAGAGGAGCCAGACAGCGACAAGTCGGTTGCTGACCTCGAGGTAGCAGGAGGAAGAATCGTGGACGTGAAGGATCCAGAAGCCCTTCCTGCTGATTTCGTTGCTCGAGTGGAAGAGGAGAGGGCGGGAGCTCCTGATCTTGTCAAGAAAGCAGACGAACTTCTTGCGCAAGCAGGGTCGAGCACGTCAGAGATCGACAGGATCAAGTTGAACTTGGAGGGAGAGCAGGAGGCGCAGGGTCGGGGGGAGCAGGTCGAGGGGAAGGGGACTGAGCAGCAAGACTCTCTCTCGTCTGAGATCGAGAGGATCGAGCAGGAGATCGCGGAGGAGGATGCAAGAGAGATGGACCAGGAGAAGCTTGACAAACTTCTGTCGCCATTGAAAGACTCCCCCGCTCCCTCTGGAAGTGAGTCCTCGTTGCCCACGTCAGACGGCACGAGACCCTCCTCGAAGAAAGGAGCGGAGGAGTTTGAAGAGCTTTTTCCTCCTGATGACCCGGGTCAAGATGACAAGAGCGCCAACGTGTCCACGGGAAACTTCCGTAGCGCGTCCGTTGTTGCACCTGGACATCATGGCGGGTCGGAGGACATGGCAGACGGCAAGAGACTGTCGAATCCCCATCCTCCTCGCCCTGGTCATTTTGATGACGGCTTCTCAGCAAGTGCAGACGTTGAGCTGATGGTGATGGCACACAGTGTTTTGAGGGATGAGAAGGAGCTGAGAAATTTGTGCTGTAGGTACCTCATGACGACAACATCCTGACCTTGGGGGCCGTCATGCTTGTCTTCTTCATGACAGCCACGTACTACAAGTATGGGAGGAAGTTCTTCCGTTCAAGGCCGTCGAGCGATGTGAGGTATGAGATGGTCAGCCAGGCTACCTGACTGTGTGTATGGGATGTAGAAGATCCAATCTGAACCTTATGATGCATTTGTAAAATCATTCACTTTCATTACCTCTTTTAACCGCCAGAAAGAAAGACGGGAATGCACAAAGAATGCTGACAGCTGAGAATTCGACTGGGCCCGCTGAGTGGGGCTCTAGCTTAGAAGCTCTTTGCGCTGTCGATCAAGAAGATCTTCGTATTGTTGGATGCGATCTTGGAGCTCCGACACCTGCAAACCCGTGGGAAGAATCAGGACATGAGAGATGAGGAAGAGAAGGGGAAAGGGAAACGGAGTGGGGCTGGAAAGGGGAAGGATGAGGGGGAGGGGGAGGGGGAGGAGGAGGGGGAGGGAGGGAGGAGGATGATCGCACGACCTGAGAGTTCAAGCTCTGGATAGCCTCATCTTTCTTGTTCACAGTTGCACGAACTTTGGAGTTGATCTCGTCAAGCTCCACGTGCTTCTTGCGGTTCAGCTCCTTCAGTTCCCACGCGAAATTCGCCTCCGCGTCTCGAACTTTCATCTCCTCCTCCTTCAGCTTGTTCTGGTCAAATGACGTTAGGATGGGAGGCGGCACCGGCAGGCAACCTCAAGCTCCTTCATCATTTCCTGCATGAGTCCTAACTTCTTGTTGTACTCGATTCGGATCTCTTGAATCTTCGCTTCCTCGTCGATCTCAGCTTGCTTCAACGCGTTCTCGGCGCGAGCGACGGCCTAGCAAGCAAGTGACTTGACCTTCCTCCTCCCTCAGGGCCTTTGGTCGTCGACCTGAGCCTTGCGAGCGACTTCGTCCTCCAGCTCGAGCACTCGCTCGTTGTTCGCTCTGAGCCTCTCATCGACGGTGCTGCCCACGCTTGAGCTCAAGAGCGAACAGCAGAAGACAGGTCAACCTGTGCTGCTTGAACAAGGAGAGGTACTTGTCCATGATCTCCTTCTCTGCTTCCTTCGCTTCTTTCACCTACGGAGGAGTAAGACTGGCGAAAACTCTTGCTGGCTTGCTGGGAGCTGACCTGCTGCTGGTAGCTCTCGGTGACTTGTGCGATCTTCCCTTCCATCTCAATCTTGAGCTTGCCTTTGACTGTCTCAGCCTCCTCTTCGAGCCTACAAGTTCATTACATCCAGTCTGAAACCCCTTGAGGCATGGCTACCTGAGGATCACAAGCTCGATCTCTTCGTCACGCTGTCGCTCCATCTCCTTGAATGCTAGAGCCTCTGCTTGCTTGCGTTCCTTCTCCATCTTGTCCGTCATCTTCAAATTCCTGGACGTCAGAAAGAAAACAAGAGAACATCGAACTCAACATGAAGCATCCATTGCTCCTTCTCGATCTCGAGTTGCTCTCTCAACTTGCCCAGCTCGGCTGCATGTTTTCGTTGAAGCTCTTGTTCCTTCTCCGACCACTCTCTCTGAGCAACGGCGAGCTTGCGGGAGTCATCCATCACCTGTGATATGATATCTCAGAGAGACATCTGCGCTTGTTAGTCGCAGTACCTGCATTCCATACATGTTCTCTATCCTTTGCCTCTCGCTCTTGTGAGCTGATTCCATTCTCTCACGTTCCTGGGCATCGGTGAGCGGCACGAGTGGGGACACGGGCAACATCAACTTGAGCCATGTCCTCTGTCATTCTGATTCGCTGAGCTTGAAGCTGCTGATCGAATCTTTCGTTCTGCTCTCGCAGCCTGTTGCTGGCTATTTCTCTTTCTCGCTCAACGGCCTTCACAAGCGATCAACACACCCGTTTGAAGGGTAACAATCCACACCTTTTCTCTTTCAGCGAGCATCCTGTCTCGTAGGTCACTTACAGCTTGTTCGTGGAGTTCTTGCAAATTCTGAAAGAACACAATGGTGTCAGACCATGTTGATGATCAGTTACAGTCAACATCAGTCGATCTGGCAACGGACTCTCACCACTCTCTGTCTCTTGAGCTCTTCAGCATTCATCTCCTCCATTCTCTTGACCTCTGTCTTGTGCTTGGAAAGAATACGTTCGATTTCAGGCTGTAGGCCTTTCACCTTTGCAAGTGAATTAGAACATGAGTATGTGCGAATTCAAGCAGGAAGCGTCTACCGTCAACTCCTTGATTTCTTTGCTCTTCTCTTGCATCCAGTTCTCTCGCCTTATCTTCTCAGAGACCATGATACTCTCTCTTTGCTTCTTCAGATTCCTTTCATGCTTGCTTTCAAGTTCCTTGATGTTGTCTTCATACTTTTTCTTCAACAAGGAGAATTCGTTCGCCATGTCTTCACACTTTAAGCTCAATCCTTCTTTGTCATTGACCAACTGCTCGATGAATGACAGCTGTCTCTTCACCTGGTTTTCATATTCTTCCCTTTGCAGAGACAGTTGAGACTGTACGGTCTTTTGGTGCTCCTCTTTGAGCATCCTCTCAGCTTCCCGTTGGCGTTGGAGCGAAGCTTTCAATTCTTGGATCGTCTTCTGATTCTGGTGCAGCTCCACTTTCATGGATGCCATCTTTGCCTTGACTTCGCTGTAGACTTGATTTGCTAGGTTCGCCTGGTTGTTGCTTGCAAGGCTTTGCATCTCCTTTGTTGCTGACGGTGACGATGGCGTTTCCCTCCCCGACCGCTTAGGGGAGCGAGGCTCGTCGGATCTTGGCTGCACTTTCGATATGTACTGCTTAGCAGGAGACGAGCGAACTGAAAGGTTCAGATCTTGAGAATCATGGATCGTTGTGTCCTGATCCACAGAGTCAAGATATGACAGTATGCTGCAACGAAGGTCATCGATTTCCCGATCGAGCTCCTCTGTCTTGACGTGAAATTCCCTTTGATATCCAGCCGGGGAGCCCTTTGGTCTCTTGGAGGTGTATTCTTGGACATCATTTTGATGTTTTTCATCTGAAAATGAAATCGTAGTTTCATGATGCTTCGTATCCATCATCGAAGCTGATAATTCATGGCTAAATTCAGCTTTTTCGCTGGGTTCGCCAAGGATGCTTGAGGCTGATTGCAGTGTCGCATCATGGTTGACAACATTCTCATGCTTGAGAGGAGAGGAAGACTGTGAGAGCGGTCTGTCACTGTCATGGATGCTCGCATTGTCCAAGAAGAACGAGTCATCATCGTCCTTGAAGTCGTGCTGTATCTCCTGCTGATTGCCATCTTCCTTGAAATCGTCATCTTCAACCTTAGGACATTCAGACAACATTCTCAACTTTTCCAATGACTGGTCCAGCGAATTTTGAGGCTGGCTATGTGAATCTTCATCACGCGCCGCCGTATTTGCATCAACTCCTTCCGACTTATCGAAGTCTAATTTCATTTCTGCCTTAAGTCTCATCAAAGCACGCTCAACCTGAACTTCGCGTTCTTGCTTCTGTTTCTCAGCCCTGTCAATAGAACATTTCTTCTTGTCTTTCTCCATCTGTCGAGCCCTTGAATCGTCCCTTGTCTTCTCTGATTCCTGTTTTTGGAGTCTTTCTTTCAGCAGCAATTTGATTGAGGCCCTACACTCCTTCTGTGCATTCGACAATATTTTTCTGTACCAACGTTGAATCTTGACAGCACTGAGCACCCTTCGTTTACCATGCTCTGCTCGCGCGGCCAGATATCCTCTAAATTTTCTATTCTCTGACCTGTCCTGAGAAATCTCATAATTTGGCCCAGCAGGAAAACTCTGCCCTGAGGTTTCTTCACTCACGTACTTTTGTGAGTAGGAGGATGACTGAGCACCTGAGTCGTTCTCATAGCATGTCGATGCCTTTGAGGATGCAGCAACACAATCTTCAACCAGAAATTCTTCATCGTCATCATAATTGTCCTCCAACTCCCCAAAGCTCTTGAAATCGGAATCGTTCTCCCCCTCGGTCGGGAAGTCATCTTTGGGCATACCCTGGCTCTTCGCTCTCGTATCATTCAGCGGCTTCAGTAAAGGCTTGTCTGCCGCTTTCTTGACATCACGTCTCATCGACGAGAGAGGTTGCCGTCGCAACTCTGCAGAATCCCTTGCATGTAACCCAAGGGGTTTCGAAGTGGACTGCAAAATGACGTCAGACATTTACGAAGGCTATCATACAAGTCAGATTGACCACGAAGTCTGGAAACAAATGGTGAGAAGAATCGGCTGCGCTGCTTGTGGAAGCCTTTGAGCCGAGAGGTCGCGGCGGCGCCTTGCCTGTGCGCGGACGATGCATGGCAGTTGTTATTCCCTCACCTTCGGAAAGGGAACGTGCGGTACTACCATGCCCTGGGTGCAGAGTAAGAATCAGCGAAGTTTGAAAAGAGTATCTCCAGACAAATAGCTTGATCCCCAGCAATGAAGCTAGCACGCTCTTGGATACAATCCTAGTCACCACAAACCAAATTGTCTGACAATATTGACCAGCCATTGGCCCTTCACTCTTTCTATCCCACATATCTGCCTCTTACACACCACATAATCATGCACTACTGTCTCTTCTTCTCCTTCACAGCATGTTCCCGCCATTCCCTCCATCAATCCGCTCATCGTCCGCCACCATAGTGGTGACGGGCGGAAGGCGGGCAATGGTGAGCATGTCGAATGGCGGGGGCAGCAATTGTCAATTAGAAAGTATGATGATTTTAGGAATTTCCGAGGACCCCACCTAGTACCCCAACACCTAGACAAAAGACCTGTACCCCTGTCCGCCCTCCATGGTACTAAAACGTACCCCTACAGATACCTCAGCTCCTACCCCGTCTTCCTTCCATTCAACTTTCACTAATATCTGAGGCAGGCCTCCCACATTTTAATTAGGGCCCGAGCTCCTTCGCTATGCCCGACGGATGAGGAGGATGAGGGATGAGGCTGGAGATGGTCAGAGCCCTCCAGGACGTGAGGAGTGAAGAACAGCGATGATGCTGTCGGTCAGACAGTCGCGCTGTGTTCGCCTCTGTCCTGGGTGACAGACCTTGAAATTCATCTTAAAGTCTTTGAAAGCTTCTGTCCCTGGTTAAACTAGAGACAGGAGCCGCGATGGCTTCCCTTCCTGAGGAGTGGTATAATCCTAATGCGAAAGGAAAGGTAAAACCTCTGCCGGTGCGGAGGATCGTGGACGACTTGCTACGACAAGGATACAATGACGATCAGGTTATGGAGTACATGAGCTCGAATTATCATGATTTCGTGGAGGTAGAAGGTATCACACGGGAGAAAATCGATGCTGTGCGAACCAGACAGAATCATGAGATGAAAGGAGTGCCAAGGGAGAACAGAACCTCCTACCGAGAAGCCTTGATCAAATGCCTCGGCGCCCTCGCCGTGCCTTGGTTGAACAAGCTCAACAGTGTTGGCAACAACCGTCTTGATCTGAACAAGCTTGGTATCACGCAAGTGCCTGAGGAAATCTTTGACAAGACAACCAGCAAGTTCATCTTCAGCCTCTCGCTCTCCAACAATCTGCTGCATCATCTGCCAAGAAACGTGCGAGAACTGCAGGAGGTGACCTCTGTCAACTTGTCAGCGAATCGTCTCAAGGAGCTGCCTCCTGAGCTAGGGGACTTGAAGAAGCTCAAGATTTTAAACCTTGAGAAGAACAAACTTAAGCTGCTCCCAAATGAGTTCGGAAATCTCAGGAGTTTGGAAACCTTGATTCTTGCATACAATGAGCTGGAATGTCTCCCTATCACACTTGCTCGTCTCAAATCTTTGACGGTCTTGACTGTTACGAACAATCCTTCCTTGCAAAGTCCTCCTTCTCATATCATCGACTCGGGATTGAGAGCCATTCTAGGTTTCCTGGAGGTCTTGGACGAGGGCAATGAAACCGGACGGCTTTGGCTATCCGGGTTCAAACTGAAGGCCATCCCTCCTGAGGTGATGGACCCTCGGACGTTTGACTCTTTCACTAGATTTCAAACAACTTTGACAGAGTTGGATTTGAGTAACAACTCCATCGCGAGCATACCGGATGAAATCTCTCTTTGCAATGTTGCAAACCCAACGGCTAGCCGTTTCAGTGGGTTGACTTCGCTTGAATTGTCAAACAACTTGCTCCATGCGGTCCCTCGTTTCATTGTCTCCTTGTCGAGATTGAGAAATCTCAATCTCGAGAGAAATGCTGCTTTGAATGTGTTGCCGGTCGAGCTCGGAAACCTGACAGACCTTACCAATCTCCTTGTGTCGTCGTCCAGCAATCAATCCAAGGATCAAAAACCATTCCAGAGTCCACCGCCTGAAATTCTAAATCTTTCGTTGGAGGTTTCGACGTATGACAAGGAGATTGGGATCTATCGACAAGGGTCAGCCGGCATCACAGTGAATTACCTGAGAATGATCAACGACTCAAAACTCTCAAAATGCATTTTGCTCTCAAACATGGGGTTGAATGTATTTCCTCCAGAACTACAAATTGCTGCAGAAACGGTCTACTTGGAAGCAAGTGATAGAAATAAGCAATCTGCAAAGCAGGAACGATTCAGAAAGACATTTTTGGAACCATTGGATTCGTTTTATGAGATGGAAAGTATAACATTGAGTCGAAACCTGATCAAGAAGATTCCTGAAGCCATCGGAGCCTTTCATGCCTTGAATTCACTTGACTTTGCACACAACCAGCTTGTTGCATTACCTGATAGTATCGGAATGCTCACCAATCTAACAGAACTGATGCTTTCGTACAATCTGATATCATCCATACCTGATAGCATCAAGAAATGCGTCATGCTCGAGACGTTTCTGGCCCAAAGCAACAAGATCGTTAAGGTTTCCAAGGGCATCTTTGAGTGCAACAAGTTGAAAGTGTGTAGGATGGATCACAATCTGATATCAGAGCTGCCTCCGGAAATCCTCGGTGCTAGTTCGCTGACAGTATTGAATTTGTCTTTCAATGGCCTAAAAAGCCTCCCTGATTCTCTTTGCAGCCACGTACACTTGAGATTTCTTCACCTTGACTCGAACAAGCTGACTGAGCTTCCGCCCTCCATCGGAAGATTCGAAGAGTTGATTGAGTTGTCTCTGAGAAACAATGATCTCACTGAAATCCCTCCTGCTGTTGGAAAATTGTACAATTTGAGAATTTTGAATATTGAGGGCAATGACAAGTTGGTTAGCCCCCCCTTATCTGTTGCGTCGCGCGGCATGAACAACATCAAGGTGTTTTTGAACAGAATCACTGCAGCTGGAATTACTAAAACCCTCTCGTTGCCGTTTACAAGCTTGCAGACATTTCCACAACCTGTCTTCGGCTTGCACCATTTGACGAAGCTAGACCTATCGCACAATCAGCTGAAGGCCATTCCCAAGGAAATTTCAGCTTTCACAGAGGTGGTTGACTTGAAGTTATCATTTAATCGGCTCAGGTCAGTTCCGGAAGAAGTTGGCCTGTTGGAACATTTGCGTACTTTACATCTGAACAATAACCAACTGAGAGACCTTCCTGGCTCCATGGCTGGTTTGGCAAGTCTCTTCGAACTTTGCCTACACAGTAACAAGATGCGACACATCCCACTGTGTCTTGGCGCCTTGGAGAATGTACGATACCTTTCGATCGCTGACAACCCAATTGAAGATCCTCCACCAGAGATCGTCAATGGACTGAACGGTTCAAAGGACACTTTCAATTATGTGAAGAATATGTTTGATGCCTTGTCTTCTGACTTTCTTAATTTTGAGTCTTTCAATCTTGCGAGTATTCCGCAGACTATCCTTGCATTGACTAACTTGCAAGTAATTTATCTTGGAAAGAATTTGTTGAAGGACATCCCTCCAGCTCTGGGACGTTTGAAGCGTTTAAATACATTGTGTCTGGACTACAATCAAATTCAGAATGTCCCTGATGAGATCCGAACATTGTCTGAAATTCAAGTGTTTGACCTCAGCCACAACTGCCTCTCTACATTTCCAACTGTCGTGCTTAATATGCAAAAGATGAAAGAGTTACGTCTGAACAGCAACAAGATACACAGCATTCCAGAACGAATGGATCAACTATCAGCTTTAACCTGTCTTGCTGTCAGTGAAAATCCGATTGAAAGCATTCCAGTCAATGTGAGCAAGCTAACATGTTTGAGAGAATTGAGGTTCGATGGTACTCAAATTCGCCGAATTCCGGTGGAGCTAGCTAATCTTTCATATTTGCGCTGTCTGAAAATGGACGATGCAAAAATGATTGATCCCTCTCCCGCGATCTGCCAAGGCGGTTTGCAGTTGATCATGGACTACCTTTCTTCGACTCTGAGCGCATCAATTTCCAAGCGGCTGAACTTGAATCAGAGCTATCTCTCTCACTTCCCTGATGTTGCCCTGCAAAGATTACATGGCTCGATCACATGTCTGCATCTTTCCAGAAACAATTTCACCGACCTTCCAGAACAGTTTGCCAAGATGAGGTGGTTGACTGAGCTTGACTTGAGTTACAATCAGCTTGGAAAGGTGCCTCTCGCCGTCTGCAAATTAATCAGGTTGCAAGTTTTGAATCTGAAAGGAAATGTTGACATAAGGCACTTACCTGTGGAGTTGGGCCACCTGAAGGAGCTTTCTAAGCTTCATGTCTCCAGTGACTTTCTTCTGTCGCCTCCAGCTGAGATCGTGAAGAAAGACAAGCCGAATTTCTCACAGAACGCTGCCCTGGGAGTTGTGGAGTACCTTCAGATCGTGTCTGAGAGCAGGTTTGCCAGCTCCCTTACCTTATCCCGCATGGGGTTACGACAGTTTCCTCCCGAGCTAGTAACAGCGCTGAGCTCTTTTTGGGAGTACTCAGAGGCAAGAGGAGTGTTTCTGACCGGCGAAGGAAACCTGAAGTATCTACAAGAAGTCGTCTTGGATCATAATAACATACAGATACTCCCTGCCGTCATCTCGCAGATGCCTTGCCTTGAATCACTCAACGCTTCTGCCAACCTGATTCAGACCTTACCTGCCTCTGTTGGAAATCTGATCTCCCTCAAGTCACTCGATCTCAGCAAGAACGGGCTAGTGGCCATCCACGAGGAGATTTCGAACTTGGTGAACTTAGAACAACTCAAACTGCATGAGAACGAGATCACCGAGGTGCCGGAGTGTATCAGTGCACTGCAGAGCTTGAAAGAGTTCTCTCTCAGTCAGAACAACCTCGTCCAGCTGCCAAACTCCTTGCCCCAGCTCACGGGCTTGAAAAATCTGCTGGTTGCAAAGAACAACTTATCTGTGGACTGCGGAGGCTGGGGGCTGCCAGGCATCTCATATGAAGTTGGATACATGACGAATCTAGTTGAGATTGATCTTACCAAGAATGAGCTGCTGAAAGTTCCTCCGATGGATGTCTGCAAGGGAGCATCAAAGAACATCCTGTACTTCCTGAGAGCGCTGTATGAAGCCAGGAAGTCTAACGCGATCGATCTGAAGGAGCTTGACTTGAGAGAGATTCCTGATATTCTTATGCTCATGTCTAACTTGCACTCGATCAACTTGTCGTCGAATGCCATTCGATTCATCAAGGCAGATGTGAAGAATCTGACGACGTTGACACACCTCAACCTTGACAAGAACGACCTGGTCACGTTGCCTGACGACCTCACGAGGATCTCGAACCTGATTTCTCTGAGCTGCAACTACAATCAACTCAAGGCTCTCCCCTTCACATGCAACAAGTGGGTCAGGATGGAGAAATTATACGCGACTGACAACAAGATTCGTCATCTCCCCGAGACCATCTGCGAGATGCCGAACTTGACAGACCTTGACCTCGACAGGAACTGCCTGCTGGACCTGCCGGAGGCGTTTGTCCTCTGCACCAGCCTCACTAGGCTCAAGTTTGACACGTCGGAGATGGTCAAGGGGAGCCCCGCAAGAGAGTTGCCAGACGGGATCAAGAGATGTGAGATCCCCGCTGAGATTGCGATCCGCGGAGTTGAGACCATTATCAATCACTTCTTCAAGATGCACGTGGCATGGACATCTAAATCGCTTGACTTGAGCGGGTTTGGGCTGCGTTACGTCATGAATGATGTCTGTAACTTGTCAGTCTTGACGTCTCTGGACCTCTCAGAGAATCGATTGTTTTGTTTGCCTTCCGCCATGTCTGTTCTCACAAACCTCAAATCTTTGAATCTTGATCGCAATCTTTCCTTGGATCATTTTCACCATCACCTGCACGTTCTCACAAACCTGCAGAAGATTTCAATCAAAGCCGGGCTGCTTGATAGCTGGCTTCATCCCGCCATAGAGATGAAGTGGCCGCCGACCATCGTTGCAAGAGACGCAAAGCTCATGATCAAGTACCTGACGGTGCTCAACGACTGTGTGGGGTATGAATACGTCGAGAGCGGTCACACGCATTACGTCTCCTCCAACAAGTTGGACTACAGGTTCGTTCCCCATGAGGTTGCCTTGGACCCCGTGACTGCTGGCGAGATCGACTCGGATGCCAAGAGATCGTTCCCTAACTTCCCTCCTGAGATCGATCGACTCGGCCTGACCAACCTGACGTGGCTCCAGCTTCCTGGGGGTCGAATCACCTCTGAAATGATCTCTGAACACATACCCAAGATCCCCAAGTTGAAGAAGCTGGTGTTGATTGATCAGGAGATTGAGTACATTCCACCTGAGATCGCTATCCTTTCCAACTTGGAGGTGTTGTGCTTCACTGGGAACAGGATCAAGGAGATTCCTGACTTGATCTTCAAGATTCAAACTCTCACGAAGCTAATCTTGGTCGAAAATCACATCACAAAGGTTCCCAAGGAGTTGGGGCTGCTGACCAACCTGACGGACCTTGTTCTCACTTACAACAAACTGAAAACACTTCCCAAGGAGATCGGAGAGTTGTGGAAACTGGACTACCTTGTGTTGGATGAAAACATGATCACTGAACTGCCGGACTCTATAGAGCATCTGACAAGCCTGAAGGAGCTGTCTTTCAACGACAACCGAATCACTCGATTTCCTCTCTCCCTTGGCGCTTTGACTCAGCTGGAGATTCTGGAGTTTGCAAAGAACCCTCCGATAGTCATGCCCCCGAAGCAAGTCTTGAAGTGCGAGGTGCAGGTAGTCATTGACTTCCTCTACCGACTTTGGCACTGCCGAGTGACATCAAAACTTGACCTGAGAAACTTTGCACTCAACGAAGACACGCTGCAGGTGGTGGTGGGGGAGGTGTCTATGTACTGCACAGAGCTAGATCTCTCCAAGAACTCTCTTACCTTCCTCCCTTCAAACATCAGGGAGCTTTCAGGCCTGAAGAAGCTTGAACTGTCGCAGAACAACCTGAGAAACCTTAACCTGGAGATCGAAGTCGAAGTTGCTCAGGTCGAGCAAGACGAAGACGACATCGGCCCAATCAACCTCACGCTGATGAAACTGTACAAGAGCATCGAGCTAGAGGAACTTTACAACGTGATGGCGAAGGATCATGGTGTTCGAAAAGTCATAGATCTTGTTGAATTCGTCAAAGACAACCAGAAAGTTGAAAGTTTGCCGATCGGCCCCCTCGAGAAGATAAGATTGATAGATGCAGTCTACGGTCTATCCCAAGAGAACACCCACCTGGAGGATGAGTATGAACAAGCCTCTGAAGGAAGTTCTAACGAGGAGGGTGAGGATAATGTGGAGGAGGCAGAAAGGGAAAGGTCAAAACCCATGGAAGAATTCCTGGAGGATAATTTTGCTGGGCAAAACTTCAAGGTTGACTTCAGCATGATCAAGAATGCTGCGCATGCGACGAAAGTTGTGTTCTATCAGGCCATCCTGTCGGTGAAAGCCAAACTGATAGAGCGGAAGCGCAGGAAAGATCTGAGGGCACATGACAAGACGGTTGCAAAGAAGGCTTCAGGGTTTAAGAGAAAGTTGGAACGGATGGAGGCAGGAGGTATGCCAAAGAAGAAGGGAAAGAAGAAGGGGAAGAAGATTTTTGCTTCGGAAGAAGAGAGGCTAGAGCATGAGAGAAAGGCACAAGCAAACTTCTCAGAAGCTCTTGCTCTCCAAGAGGCGAAGAAATCGACAATTGACGACATTGTCCTGGACGCTGAGATGGGCGGGGGGCTGGTGAAGCAGAATATCTACTCCGTTGCCACCTTGACTGAGCTTGTCGAGTTGAGATGTCGCAAGAGCATGTTAGAGTATCTTCCTGAAGACATTGGGAAACTCACCGATCTCACCATCTTGGACTGCTCCAAGAATGACATCCGATGGATACCTCCAAGTTTTTCAGATCTGGTAAGTTTGAAAGTTGTAGATCTGCGAAACAATATCCTCTACGAACTTCCTGAGAACATCGGGAACTGCCAGTCGCTCTCACAACTCTATCTGCAACACAACAAGCTCTACAACCTCCCGGCTTCACTGTGCAAAGCACCTCTGAAGACGCTGAGAATCGATCACAACAATTTTGACATCCTTCCAGAAGCTCTTGACAAGATCCTGGGTGTGGAAGTTTTCTCCTTCTCGCACAACAAAGTCAAACGATTTTCCAACAACTTCGGGCAGTTTGCGAGGTCGCTGACAGAGTTGAAACTCGCGTACAACAACTTCAGCATGATGTCGATCGTGTTCACGAACATGAACAACCTGAAGGTTCTTGATATCTCAGGAAATCCTGTAAGTCGTACATGCATCCCTGCTCACGTCGATGCTGAAATGTTTGCAGGTGAAGAACGTTCCGGATCATATCTCGAGCTGCGAGAAATTGGAAGAGCTTTATGTGAATCTTTGCAGCCTGGACAAGATCAGCATCTACTTGGCAGAATGCAGGAATTTGAAAGAGCTGCACTATGATGGAAACGACCTGATGAGATATCCTCCCAAGGAAGTACAGGTCAAGGGCCCAACGACGATGATGCGATATTTCAGACAAATCCTTGACTGCCCCAAGCACAACATGATGCTTCTTGACGGCTTCGACTTGTCTGACTTTGACAACATCATCTTGAACTACCCCAAGATAACTTGGCTGGACATGTCAAATAACAACCTGATGAAGATCCCCACAGAGATCAGGCAGCTTCAACAGATCGCACTTGTGAATGTCTCGCACAACAAGCTCGGCTGTATCCCGAAGATTCTCACTCTCATGTACTGCATCCAGGACTTTGCCATAGACGGCAACGGAATCGAACAGATTGAGCCGAGCATCGCACTGCTAACAGGGCTGACCAGGTTGTCTCTCTCGGAGAACCGGATCTCTAGGATGCATCCAGCGCTGTTCAAGCTCACTCAGCTCACCATCCTCAACCTCAACAGCAACAGACTGCAGAAGATCCCAGAGAGCATCAGAAACTTGGAGCAGCTCGTCACCTTCTCCTGCGGCAGCAACTTCATCGAAGACATTCCTCCGGAGATCTGTGAACTTGACAACCTGCGGCAGCTTGTCTTGTTCGGCAACAACATCCGCCATGTCTGCCCAGAGCTTGGAGGCCTGACGGGGCTGGAAGTCCTATCGCTCTCTCAGAATCAGCTCACAGACATTCCGAAGCAGATGTTGAAGACTCTGACCAACTTGAAGGAGCTGTGGTTGGCTTTCAACCACCTTCACAGCATCCCGTCCAGCATCGGGTACCTGAAGCACCTAGAGCAGCTCTGGCTGCAGGATAACGAGCTTGAGAGTCTTCCGCCGCAGATCGGGAGCTTGAAGAACCTCAATGTGCTGACTCTGACCGGCAACAGGATCTCAGAGCTTCCGGACTCCCTCAAGAGACTGGAAATCTCCCAGTATCACGAGGGTCACGTGGACAAGAACAAGAAGAATGTTCACGTATCAGGTGAAGAAGGAGCGGAGTATTGGCAAGACCTCGAACTGGATCGATTTGTGCAGGAAAGCTACCCGCTGTCTTGATCATTTGTATATAATGTTTATTCTTTGATACGCTTTAAGTTGTACATCTCAATTCAATAAACTTGTGACTTGATCCATAGAATCCTATCATCGTGAAATGCGCTATCAACAGTTTTGCACCCAACGAACAACGATCATTGGGGAGCATGCTATGAAATGTTTAAAGCATGTTGCAATATTGTGGAACATGATGTCTCTTCATGGATTTATGAAATTCGATCTAGATATTTCGGAGAGTTTGAAAGTGCTGAATAGAACGACAAGCAGGGCAGTAGGCAGTAGAGTGAGGGCAAAGAGAATGAGAAGGCGAAGAGGAGAAGGCGAAGACGAATCGCACAGGGCACAGATAAGAAGGATATCAGAAGTATATGTACGTTACGAGTTGCGAAGGATTCTCCACATCACACGTAGCTCGACACCATAGAAGATGAATGACTATGAATGTACTTCGCATATCTCAAGACAATACACGAGCTCAAACTTGTTTTCCGTACAGTATTCCAAGAGCTGATACATTCGAATCTTTGACTCTCATTCGAATCTTTGACTCTCATGCTTCAACCGCATTCCGCACAAACTTCTTAATCAGCCTGACCTCTTTCTGTATCCATTCCAGATGTCCCCGGTATCGAACAAACTCTTCCTACATCACCTTATCTTACACATCCCACATCCAATCTTGTACCTGCTTGCATCTCATCTCCTGTATCCTCAACCTGCTCCTCTTGCCCCTCCTGTTCCCTCTCCTGTCATATCAACGGTCTAAACCTCCGACAGAGGACCTCGCATGTGGGGGTGATGGCTGAAAGGGGACCAACTAAAGGGGTAGTTTCCAGTATGTTTTGCGGGGATATGCCGTGGTAGGGTAGTAGATCCCCATATCAAAGAGGTAGGGTCCTTCTCTTAGGGCGGTGCCATGGTAGGATGCCAGGGATCGGAAGTAGAGGAAGTGGCGCGTTGAGGACGAGACCTGCTCCCTCCAGGTAGACTTGACTTGTCCTCTCTTAAGGTTTCGTGAGATCCGTCCTCCTGATCTCATGTTTGTGTTGTTTGCATCTGATTCTTGCATGGCAGGCTGTTGTTCATTGCAACTTTGGTGTCTGCATTCCGTCCGATCTGCGCATTTCTGTGGATTCCTGCCTCCATCTTCTCTAGATTCACTCAGTCTACACAGCCAAGAGCTGCTGTTGAGCATTCGCGGGCTTCTGTGTCGTCGAGACTCGGCAGGATCAGCAGATCAATCGTTCCCAGTGTCTCTCTATCAACAGTGTCTCAGGCTGTTCCAACCCCCAGCTTCATTTCAAGATCCATGACCATGCAGATGAATGGTGAAAATAAGGTAAATTATATTCTCGATCGATCTCACCACCACCTTCCTTCTCATCCTCATGTCAAGCATCGCTTTCTTTGTTCTTTAACCACATTCTTAGGTGAGTGGACGGAGAAAGAGAAAGGCAGCAACGTCCGTAGGAATAAGCGAAGAATCTCAGAATCTCCCCGATGGCAAGGGCCCACCACAAGACGCAGGTATTGCAATGCTCGGACCGCAGCGAAAGCGGAGGCAGGCAACCAAAGTGAGTGAAGGAGCGAATGCCGTCGATGAGACAAAGCCTACAAAGAAGAGGACATATCAAAGAGCAAGAAAAGTCAAGCAAGAAGATGATACCTTGGAACCCATGGTGAAGAAAGAAGATGATTCTTTGACAATGATGGTGAAGAAAGAAGAAGAAGTCACAATGAGCCAGTGCAAGGATGAGATCAACAGCTCCGCCGCTGACGACAACAAACTCGAAGACTCCAAGTCAAGCGTAGAAGCTTCCCCAGGTTTGAGGTGCGCCTAGAGTTCAAGAAGTGATCTTGTTTCTCCAGAAAAGAAGAGCAGAAAACGAGTCCCCATACAGCCGGGCAGCTTGAAACCTCCAAAGGGATGGAGGGACATTTATGACCTGGTAACAACTTTCGTGTGGTGAAAAAAAAATGACTGACATTCTTTCAGGTCGTTGAGCTGAGGAAAGAAAGAGATTTCCCGTAGACTGGGCAGGGAGCGAAGCGGTACGTGACACAGTGAAAGCGTTGCCGCATACTGGTCAGTGACAAGGGAGCCAGTTGGGGCTCAACGAGGAGACAGGGATGATGGATGAATTCCACGCACTCGTTGCCTTGATGCTGAGCAGTCAGACGAAAGTGCTTAGTATATGTTATCCATGAGAACCTGAGCTGGTTGGCAGGACCAAGTTGTTGCCGAAGCCATGATCACGATGAAGAAGAGGGGATTGACGGTCTTAGTGCCTATCCACATGGCATACCTGACTTTGAAACATGATTTGCAGGTTGACTCTGTCTTAGAAATGTCGGACAAAGAGCTGGACTCCATGATCTCTAAAGTTTGCAAATACTCGCCCAACTGCCCGTGTCATCTCAATTCATGTGATCAGGTTGGTTTCCACAACAACAAGACGAAGTTCATCAAGCAAGCTGCCATGATCTTGAAAGAGAAACACGGTCGAGTCGATCGCTACATGTCTTGTCTTGCTGATCGATGACTCTGTAGGAGGGAGGGTTCCTCGCACACTTGAAGAGCTTTGTGAGCTTCCAGGTAAACAGAAGGCGACTGTCCTCTTACTTGACTCGACCCGTTCAGGTGTTGGACCGAAGATGGCGCTAATCACGCTCAAGGCTGCGTTCGGAATCATTTCCGGGATCGGTGTGTGCAAGAGAAAGTTTTGCTGTAGTTGAGAAACTTTTGTAGGTGTCGATACGCACATGCACAGAATGTTCAACGAGCTGAAGTGGGTGAATTCTTCAACGCCGGAGAAAGTAAGGAGCGGTGGGTCAAACCTCTCTTTGCCTGACATTGATCATGGAAGACAAGAGAACAGCTCGAGGGCTGGCTACCCTATGAGGAATGGGGTACACTGCTCATGCATACTTCTGTCGTGTTGAGGAGAGAGACAGGGAATATCAACGTCTTGTTCGTTGGACTAGGACAGGGAATACAGCAGGTGCAACTTGCAGCGGTCAGTTTGCACGAGATGACACCTTTACCATGTTCACAGCCTGCTGAAAGGATCAAACTGGTTCGCAGATGTATCGACTGCTCCAAGGTTCTTGTCACTTTCAGGAGGAGTGGAGGTCATCATTTAACCTGTTGTAGCCTCTAGAAGCGATCAAGCTCATCAAGTTTCTGGGCGCTGATGTGAAGGGAACGGTCGACAAGGAGACAGGAGAAAACGCGCTGCTGTATGCATGCAGGTGTCTTAACTAGTACGCCGCTGAGTCATCGCACGAGTAACATGCTTGCAGGCAAGGGAAGGTTGAAGTTGTCAAGCAGCTGCTAAGGATAGGCTGCAAGGTGAGGACTGGACCTCCTCTGACTTGATCCCACTTGACCCGCGGTCTCAGCGAGACCATCGCAACACCATTGGAGAGAGCGCCCTGGACATAGCAAGGAAGCAGCAGTACGAGGAGCTCATTGCAATCTTGGAGAACAAGAAGTTGAACTAGAGATTTTTGCCACATGTACGCTCCGAGCCTCGTTGCACCCTACTCCGCCACACCGCCCACTAGCCTCGGAATTTCGTTCTCCCGATAGTAAGCTCGAGGTCCCGGCAGTTTCGTTTGTTTTTTTCTTTTACAGATTGCCTTGTCTGGTTTTTTACTTTTTATTTTTTGTTCCCCCCCCTTCCTTGCAACCCATCGGTCCATGCAGGGGTGCCGCTCTTTGTATCTTGCCTGAAGCTTGCTCTCACGCGCTCGACATTCCTGCAAGCACAACATCATCTCGTCCTTGACAGAAGTAGAAAGAGACTGTTATGATCCTCCTCGCCTTCTTTGTACTCCTCGGCACCTTTCCTGTGTATGGAAATACCAATATGCTATCAGATTCGAACCGCAACCCGTCGTGTATCAAAACGATCTATCATGCATTCAACATGAGGATCAATTCTCTTCATGACAAGCTTGATTCCCTGCGAAACACTGGATATGATGCAATTCAGCTGTCTCCCTTACAGAAGTCCATTCATATGGCGAATGCGGGATTCGAATGTGGGTCTGAGTGGTGGGCTCGATACCAGCCTGTAAGCCATGAGCACATCGAGGGCCTTGGCAGTTTGGAAGATCTTCAGCGACTGTGCAACAATGCTCGGGAGAAAGGAATGATCGTCATTGCCGATGTAGTTTTCAACCATGTGTGTAGTCTTCTTTCTTGCGTCCCCTCAAGTCTTCTGACAGTACCTTGACAGATGGCGGTTGTTGCGAGCAGAGATGAGTGGCACAGGTCGGAGAAGGATTCAAAACACCGTGAACATCTCCTGAAGCGTCTAGAGGAGAGGTTTGCTCCGCTCACTCGTGCAGACTTTCACCCATGGAAGGATTGCAGCAGGGACCCTGATTGGGACAACGAGAACAGGTTCGAGGGGTGGGGAGCAGGCGAGTGGTCGGATTTGAAGCCAACAGAGAAGGTGTTGAGCATCCACAAGAAGCACCTGGATGTCCTCATGTCTGCAGGAGTGCGGGGGTTCCGTTTTGATGCTGCCAAGCACATCAGGCCCTCTACTCTGAAGCTCTACGTGGATCACATCAGGTCGAAGCAAGCTGACTGCTTCATCTACTTCGAAGTGCTCTCGGGCGATCCCAACATGCATGCAGAGACCATGAGCATCGCCGAGTCCACGGATTTCCTCCTGTGCTGGAGGCTGAGGGACATCATCCTTGGCCAGAACAGCAGGATGTTGCACGACCTGCCCGAGCTCTCCCCCTACAGCGTACGCTTCGCCAGGAACCACGACACGATCATGAACCAGGAGATGGCTCACTCCATGGGCTACAGAAGGGACGATCACAGGTGTATCCTAGCATGGGTTATCATCATGGCGATCGATACAGGAACCGTTCTGGTCTTCCCCGAGGATCACGACTTTCACCATCAGGACAAGCAGCCAGTGAAGAAGGCCATCGCGTTCCGCAAAGAGATGTACCTTCGGCAGGCACCTCCGCATCGGCTGCACTTCTTCAACGCGACAGACACCCCGCCTGCGGATGAAAAACATGCTCCTCCCTGCCAGAGTGCTACGGCGGAGCAAGAGGAATTGATGAAGGACTGCGCAGAGCTGGAGAGTTTTGCTGCTCAAGCACAGCGACAGCGCGTCAAGAGGATTATGCTGGATCATGTCAGCTCCATGCGAGCACATTTGCAGCATGAAGACAGCAAGAGGCTACACAAGAGAAAGCATCATTCCATCAACGATTGCCGCGTACATGACCAAGTTGTTGCCATGACGAGGGGCGAACATGGCTTCATCCTGATGAACATGTCAAAGAAATGGGCCGAGCTGAAGAGCATGGCGTTTGAGGGCTCTGAGCTCGTCGGACATTACAAGGAGCAAGTTTTCGGCTTCGGCATAGAGATTGATGAAGCGCATGCTGTATCGTCATGGGCAGGAACGCGAGGAGGCAGCATCAAGATTGGCCCGCAGACAGCACTGATCTTCATCAAGCAGAAGTAGCTGGTCACCGGGTTAGTTCATCACAGAGCAGAAGTCAGGCAGATCCTTCATAAGTGAGGGCCCGGCGGTTTCAGCCCGGAATGCAACTCAGTCTTTACTCAAAGCCTGTTAAGTTAAAAATCAGTACCAACTCAGTCAGTGAGTGATGGCACCTTGTTACTAGCGCACAAAAATCTCTATTTCTGGTACAGACGTATATTGTTATTTGGTTTTTTCCATACAAAATATAAATATATTTAGTAATCATATACTACAAACAGTGACACGAAACACTACCATGTATCATGAAAAACATTTATTGAATCAGTTATTTTAGACATATAAAATGAGTTATTAAAATATGTACGAAGATATTGCGTCTACGGTTCTTTATTGGTAGAATTTTAATACCTTTTTAATTTTAAAAGGACTGCGCCCCCACGACGACAGCCGCTGCCAAATATTTCGTTTTTTATCTCAAAAAAAATGCTGCAGCTTTGAAAATTTAGCGAAATTCTTCAATATGAGTTGAAACGAAAGAAGGTGCGGTCGAGATGGCCAGCGCCGAGGATCTGTAGGGGCAGGAGGAGTCATGCAGGAGATAGAAGGACAGAGAGGAGGGCAGGGAGACGTGTGAGATTAGATTCAATGCTAGCCAGAAAATGTCCTCAGCCGAGATGTTCCTCAAGGAGAGGAGGGGCTGAGGCTGCAACGAATAGAAAAGGACGGAAGAAAAATGTGGCCGTTGACCGTGGGAAGCAGCAGTTAGTTTGATCCTTCTTAACACGGTTGACCCCGTCACTGTGTTCATTCTTGTCTTAGACAATCTTTGTCGAGCAAGTCAAAATGAGTTGTTGAATTCTTGTGCCAGCATGTCTGTTGAAGGTTTGAAGGAAGTCAAGCTCCCTGCGGGTGTTACCGCAAAGGATATCCTCCACACTGCCCCCTACAATGCCTACAACCCTCAGCAAAATCAGGTAGATGCAATCTTGCTCAATGCAACAGGTTTCCTCTTACAGTGTTGTTATAGACGAAGCACTGCTATGCCAAGTACAACGAATTCTTCAGGCAAACTTTCCCCGTTTCATGTCACTGTCGTTGCATGCTCACGGATTTGCAGGTGCGCTGGCGTGCATGGCGAAGACGCCAAGGAGTGCAAGAAGATCAAGCACCACTTTATTTCGTTGTGCCCCGTTGAATGGGTGAGGAGATAGGAGTAACAACTTGCCTACGTCTTCATAACTACCTGATGCAGATTGAGAAGTGGAACGACCAGCGTGAGGCGGGAACGTTTCCGGGTCCTTTATAAATCTGTGCATCCTTTGGAAGGACTTCGTGGAGATTTTAGGCTTCAAGGAGTCGACATGATATATATTACAGATGTTCATGGATTAAAGAACATTTGACGTTTGCACCCCTGTTGTGAAACTTCCATTCGCATCGCCATTGAAACTGTTGATCGCTTTTCTTGTCTTCACCTCACTAATACACCTTTTCAGCACGTTTTCCGTTCATACTTCGCCTTCTTGTGTTTGTTGTTGTCCTCATGCATCGTGTTCTTGCACATCGATTACAGACAAGTTCGTTCTATGCTTTTCCTTCTTTCTTCCTCCTTCACTTCTTAGAGACCAACGTGATCCATCGCATGATCTTCTCTGCGCAAGACATCACCATTGAACTCCACAGATCTGTCGAGCTCACTTGACAGCTCATATTCCCCAATGGCGAAAAGCTGTCCGCTCAAGAGCTCAGCTGCTACTTTCTGCATGTCGCGCTCTGACCATAACGACGATTCAGTGCTGGTATCATGAGTATCGGCCACTTACTGCCAGCGAGGATGTGCGGCTGCTTCAGAAGGTCTCGAGTCTGAGTGTAGTGCTCGGGAATTCCCCTGATCGTGCTGAAGAGAAATCATCGGATACCTACTCGCACCTCCCCTCCCCCCCCTTTCCTCCTCCTCCTCCTCCTCTATCATCTCATCTCATCGTCTTCCCTTCCTCTATCCCCGCTCCATCTTTCCTCCCTTCTTCCACTCTTCTCTGTTTCTTCTCCTCTCCTCCTCACATCTTTCGCTCTTCCTACTCGTCTCCCTCACTCCTCATTTTGATCTCCACCTGTATCTGCCATCCAGTGAAGCTTCAAATCCTCCGGGAGGAGCGATCCCACCTCGATCCCAATCCCAGAACCACTTGCGCAACAGAACTTCGTAACCCTAGTGGCATAATCAGTAACTCAGTAACGGTGACAATCGAACGGTTGTGACCTGATACAGCAGGAAGAGACTTTCTCCTGAGTTCTGCAATTTCTCATCAGGTTTGCATGACGGTGGTAACGCGATCGTCATCATCTTTGACCTCCGCCTTGTCGAGCTTCTCAGAGATGAAGAGCATTTTAAGATGTTTAGCAGTGACAAGTTCAGCCCAGGCCCCCTATCCACACGTTCAACGACGCTATTTGTTTTTCGAGCTCCTCATTGTCACCCGAAGGTTGCTGAAGTAGAAGATGAGAGGTTGGAGCACGTCGATTGCCTGACATCTGATCCTAGAAACTTGTTTGAGGACACGAACATGAAAGGAAAGCTTGCGATCACAATGCTGAGATCCACGGCTCTTCCAGATAGTCTTCGAGAGAGAACAAACTTCCCTTCTGTGACAACGTCAACAGCTCCATGATGACATCTTATGCAGCTACTCGTCCGCTTCTTCGGTTGAGATGCGCAAAGATGCTATCCCTTACAGCAGGAATGACGTAGTACAACCCCATCGGCGTCTTCCAGATGAGCCGAAAGTTGAAGAGCATATTGTTCAATGCCTGCAGGTGAATTAAAGAGAGGAAGAATCACGGAAAGAAACAAGCAAGGAGCAACAAGCAACACGTATCAACGTCGAGAAAATGGTTCTGAATGTTTCTCGTCACTTACTTCTATCGCTGCCGGCGTGTCTTGACTCATGGTTGCGAGCTCATCTGCCGTTAGAGGGATTCCAGCATACATCATACGAATCAAAATATCCCTGTGTCTGAAAACAACATTATCATCATCATCATCATCATCATCATCATCATCATCATCATCATCATCATCATCATCATCATCGACTCCGTCCAACTGTTTGCAATGAAGCATCTCCTTCACCTGTCTGTCAGGAAGAAATGTGCCACACAAAGAGCGGGCCACAAGATTCTGTCGACATTCTGGTGTCGCTCATCTTCACAATCTGTCAACAACACATCAACTGCACAACAAGAATTTCAGCCTGTCAACCTTCCAGGCAGTCAAAGTTAAGATCCAGACTGTAACCGTAATCTTTGCACCTCTCGTCCTGCAAGTTTGTACTGTCAGAACGAGAACATCTTCGACAAGGAGGAGCAGGCACTCAAACATGACGCAGAGACAACGAATTGAAATGAGACTAACTTGATACAGTGTGACACACTGATTCACTGAAGCTTCAGACGCGCAAGACGCTAGCATCATCGTCGCAAGAACATGCGCTTGTCCTTCCTGCCCGAGCTTCGACCCGCACAAATCTTTGAGAGCCTCGAACTCTTCTGGATCGAGATCGCCCAACTGGCTGAGTGATGGTTTGTAAGATGGCACAATGTCAAGACAGGAAGGAGCATATCGGCAACCTGCACTGCCCCGTCCGGAGGTATGGATTTTCATAAACAATCTTTGGATGGTGTGTATCACCATATTTACATCTGACAAGAGGTAGCAAGAAGAGAGAAGTAAATAACATGTTTGGTCTCAATCGTCGTTCTTCCTCTCTACTCACCTTTCCATGTGCAAGAAGAACATTCTTTGTGCGTCACCCCCCTTGATGTTTGGAACAGCCACAGGCAGAAACTCGACGTTGCACTTCTTCAGTAGCTCCATCGAATGTTTGACAGCGAGACTATCACATCCGTAAATCACATCGGCGGGTGTCAACGGAGATAACAAGTCCTCCTTACAAACCTGTGATCATAACCTCGGCAGCTGATGAGGAGACGAACATTCGCCGGCATCTTCTTGAAGAAGCATGCAAGTTCCATTCTTGCTTCTTCTCTCAACGCATGCCAGTCATCGAAAACGATGATCACTTTGTTGCTCTTCAAAGCGCGCAACACTTCATTCTCCCGCATGTCAGCGAGCGGCCTGCCGGCAATTCCCAACTACACCAACATGATGAGCAACACAAGAACCGTCCAAGAGCTCCTCACAACCTTCATCATTCCTCCTGCAAGTTCAAAGAAAGTCTCCAGACTTGTCACTTGGTGCGACATGTCTGACTGCTCATCGCAGTTGCACCATAACACATGACTGACTTTCTCTCGATCAAGATACCACAGGCTCAACTGCGCCATGAGCTCGGTGCGCCCGCACCCTGACGGGCCGTGCAGGAGCGCGGCTGTGTGTGTACACCTCCTGTCAAACGCGTCGAGCACGCTGACCATGATTTCAGATCGCCCATCATACGCCATGTTATGATGTACTCGCGCGCTCTGCCGTGTCCTCATGGCGGCGCAGCCGTTCCTCTCCGATAACCTGCATGCACCCTGATTGAGCTTCAAGGATCCTGCTGGAGCGATGGCGCGGAGAGCAATGTACAGCTTGACGAAATTGTCGCAGGCGGGATGCTCGGACTTGAAAGCTTCCATACTCCTTCTAGCTACCACATCCAAGTTCTCTTTCCCCATTGAGTCGACGATCGCAGCGATCAGGGTCTGCACGAAGGGAGAAAAAGTTGAGGAGCCTTCGGCGATTGTATCATCAAAGAGGAAGACAACAGGGCACACCCCCTCCTCCACCAAAATCTTCGCAAACTCGTCCCCAAACTGTCCCACGACAATCATGAGCTTCGGTACTTTAGGGATCACGAGCCTGATGGTGGTCAGGTCAACGTAATCTGCCATGCCATAGCCATCCTCTAGCAAGAAGCTCTTCTGATCCCAACTGGTTCCTGCCCCTGTGAGAAAGACGATGTCATAATCCTTGTCTTCCTCATCCATCATGTTGGACAAGCTATCTCGGCACAACTCGGGCAGGAAGGAGACTTCTACGTCGACTCCTGTCTTCGAGAGAGTCTCCGTGATGATGCTTCTGTCCTGATGCAAGCTGATGCTGGGGAGAGCCATGATCAAGCTCTTCTCCTCCCCCTCCTCCTCATTGCCAACGGGCGAGCTCCAGCCACCAGCACTGTTGCCATGGCTATCACTTCGCCCGAAAATTGAATTGAGGGGGTGGGGTACATGGAGTTACCCCTACCTATATAGACTTGTCAAATATCGAGAGCACCGGGTACAATATGGATGCACAGGGTAGGGGTGGTGGACCGAAACTCAAATGTTGTATGCTGCGATTGCAAGTTGTCGAGAGATGTAACGTGAGGAAAGGAGAGGAGAGGAGAAGAGAGGAGAGAAGAGGGGAGAGGAAAGGGAAGGTGAAGATAAGAGAAGAGAAAGAGAGGAGAGGAGAGGAGAGGAGAGGAGAGGAGAGGAGAGGAGGAGAACGGAATGTTGGGTGGACGAAACTTTCAAGGGCACCATCTACATTACATTCATTCACAAGACATCAAAGTCGCTGTACACTACAAACATCAGAAGATGAAAGTATTTCGTAGGGAGGGAAGGGAAGAGTTGTGTAGAGATGGAAAGACGCTCGGCTTTCCAACAATCCATGGCCACTCCCCTTCCTCCTCCTCCTCCTCCTCTTTCCGACCTCTGCCTTCCCCATCGAATCTTGCGGAACACCACGTGAGAAAAGGATGTCAAAGTATCGCAAGTTACCTCAACTTAGGAACTTGGGGGAGCTTGTTTGAAACATCGTCCTGAGCGGAATCAGCCATTTCATCATCATTGCTGATAATGTTGAGGGGGATCACCTTTCTCCCTCCCTCCTCCTCCTTCGTCTTCTCTTTCGTGTCCTCGCCTTCTTGATCAAGGACAGGTCGCCGGTTGGAGGAGATGAATGGCATCGTGCTTGCTGCTCGCTTCTCGACCAACTGCATGCAAAGCATCAGGAGGAAGGGAGCAGGAGAAGGGGGGGAGGGAAAGATCATGGGGAAGGGGAGATAGTGGGAGGAGAGGAGATGTAGTGGGAGGAGAGGAGATGGTGGTAGGAGAGGAGATGGTGGGGGGAGAGGAGATGGTGGGGGGAGAGGAGATGGTGGGAGGAGTGGAGTAGGAATTACCTCTGGATTCTTGGAGCTCCGCAGATTGTCTTTGATTTCTCTCTCCCTGACCAGAACGCTAAGAGCAGAAGGGGAGAGAAGGAGCAGAGGCAAGTAGAGGAGAGGTACGGACGAGAAAAGAAGGTAAAAGGGAAAGGGGACGACGTTACCTTGTGATGATGTCTGACTTGTTCCAGTAGCCATCATCTGCACACCAGGCAAATCACGATCATCGTCATCGTCAATCGCAGTCGTTATCACGACACCAATTATCATCATCATCATCATCATCATCATCATCATCATCATCATCATCATCATCATCATCATCGTGTTTTTTGCTCACTTGACATGTCCACACTGAGAGGATTCGAACGCAGCTTCAGCAAGTACGGCGGGATAATTTGTTGTCCTCCCTGCCGCAAGCTGTTCGATCTGTTGCGTTTCGACCGAGCAATGGGTGCTTTCTGCGCTGCGTCCTCCATTGACGACGACGCCATTTCCTGTCCCCTTCCTCTTTCAGGCAGTCCGTGGGGAGACGAGCTTGCAGGGGCAGGAGAGGCGAATTTCTCCTGCCTCCTCCTCCTCCTCTTCAGCCTCATGTAGATCTGTTCCACTTGGTTCTCCTCCTCCTCCACCACCTCCCTCATCACATCCTCAAGGTACGTCCTGACAAACTCGTTCCACCGCACGTTTGACCGATGGAACAGCCTTCTCTGCTTCACCACCGACTCCACGAACTTGGTCATCTGCCCCCTCTGCAGTGCTTCTGATACCGCTAGCTTCAGCTCCTCGAACCTCTCCTCTACCATGATGTCCACAAAACGGTTCCAGTCGTTGAACGATGCCACCACACACGCGTTCTTCATCCTGTACGCCATCCGCTCGAGGATTCTGCGGTTCCTCCTCAGCTCTTGCCACTTGTCCCGCCATAGCTCAAAGCACTGGTACATGGGTCTCTTCAGCCAACGGAGGAGGAGAGCGCTGCTAGCGCACATCTGCTCCCGCAGCGCGATCTTGGTATCCTGCACCAGGTCTGACCAGAGGAGGAGGCAGGTGAGAGCGTTCCTGTTCTTGATCCTGTTGACGATGAAACGCATGTGCGCCATCCTCTCCACGTAGTCATGCAGAGCAAGAACGCATCGCTGAGCAGGGCGCATCCTGAACCTCTCGCGGAACTTGGCGATGACAGCACGGAAGTACTTGCGAATGAGGACGAGCTCGTCGAAGGCTCTGAATGCATGCACCTTCCTTACGTTCAACCAGATCATGAGCGCATCCGCCACGAGGCTCCTGTTGTACCTTATTGACCGTATGATGTACTCCCAGTCCACTAGCGCCTCCCACTTGTGAGAAATTTCTCTCTTCCGCTGAATCGCCCGCGTGATCGTCTTCATCTCCAACTCTACCTTGCAGTACTCTCTCCACTTCCTCCACGCCTCGTACTCTGACTGTCTCTTCCATCGGATCATCGCGCGTTTGTTCTTCCTGGCAAGAGCAGACCAGTTCCACACGACTGATCTCAGCAAGTCACCTCCGAGCAGCGCCAGGATGTTGGAGCACTTGTCTCTTAGCTTCGTCATGATCTCGTCGTCCGGCTGCCACCAGGGACCTTCAACGCACATCACCTCCACCCAGTTCTCCCATCCCTTCACCATGGGCCCCCGTACGACCTTCTCCAGGAACCGCCTGCTCCTCTTCATCTTGCTCGTGTGCTGCATCCATGACAGGAAGCAGGCGGAGAAGAACTCTCCTGTGATCAGCGCCAGCACTTTCCCGCACCTCTCTTGCACTCGCTCCATCAGCATGGCAGTCTCGTAAAACGTCTCGTCCACCCACGCGTCCATGGCCTTGCTCAGGCTGCTGTTGAAGAACCTTGCCCTCGCTCGCTTGTTCTTCCCCACCAGCTCCCTCCACTGCTGGAAACACGCTTGCATGTAGTTCCCGCTCATCGCTGCCAGGAAGTTGGAGCATTTCTCCTCCAGCAGGCGCTTCACTGCGGCATCCGGCTCCCACCAGGAGCCCTCGGTGCACATGTACTCGACCCAGAGGTCCCACCCGAAGAAGAGCATCGCGTTCATCCATCGCTTCATGGCCCGGTGCTTCTTCACTAGGATCTCCTTCCACTCGCTGAAGCAGACGTGAGTCCACTGGCCTGACATGAGCGAGAGGAAGCGAGAGCAGCGCTTCTTCACCTCCTCCTCAAGCTTCGCGTCCGGGCTCCACCAAGGCCCGTCGGTCAGCATGTAGTCGTACCACACAGAGAAGCACAGGTGACTGGCTGAGCTCGACTGCTTGGCGAACTGCATGGCGATCTGAAGGGCGTTCTTGCGCTGAGCTTTCAGTTCGACATTCATCTTCATTGAACGGAATCCCAAGTACAAAGATCTCTGAAACAAACTCGCCGTTGCTCTCCTTAGCTTCGCTTTGAACTCCAAGCTCTGGGCCCTGAAAAACTTCCAGAGCAAGAAGCATTTGTACACAACAAGGTTGGTGAAAAAACCCATCAGCCTCCTCATCTTTCTCGCATGCAGCTCCTTGGCAAACTCCCCTCTGGTCAAGAAACCTCGTCCGAGCGCTTGTATCTTGCTAGCAGCTGTCCCTTGGATGTTTCTGCGAGCGACGTCGGCATTCATTGAGTTGAGATCCTGGCGCTCTGTGCGGGCGATGTTCGCAATGCTGGGAACCACCCGCGCTCGGATGAGCGGCATGCAGCTCGACTTGTTGTAGGAGAGAGCAGCGAGGAAAGAAACAGCAGCGGAGACGAGGGCTGGGGTATTGCCTATCAGCAATATCGGTCTGACCTTGTTGACGATGCCATGGCGAAAGAACAGCTCATGGGACCTCCAGTGCGCGTTGGCAATGTTGGTTGCTGCATGCAGGAAACCAAACTTGACGCGATCGGTGGTGTAATGCGGAAAATTGCTGAGCATACCAGCAATAGTCTCCATCAGGCATGTCGAAGTTCTCAGCGCCTGCTCCACCTGAGCGAGCTCTTCCTCGCCGATCTCATCCTCTGCCATGTTGGGAAACGCTGCTCGCATCCTCTCCTCTCTACCGGAGAAGTACTGGAAGTCGACAAGCTTCTCTACCACGAGCTCGTTGGCATATACGAACTGAGTCATAGCCAGCGATACCCACCATTGCAGCTGCTCGTGCTTCGAGTTTCGCACGAGCTTCAGCAGGCTGTGGGCAGCTCCCGACAAGACGATGGCTTTCTGCTGTGACATCTGATCATTGAGATTGTCTGACTTGGCCATTCCTGCCAGAGCCTTCGCTGCCTCTACTTGGTCGTCTACGACCGTCGCCGAGTTCTTCAGGACTTCGGCCAACGTCTGGACATCTTTGAACCAATCATGGGATTGTTCCATTTCAGCAAGTGGCAGATGATCAAGCTGTTGATCTTCTGTCTTGCACTGTTCTGTCTTGCACTGTTCCTATCTCATGTCTTGACCCCTCCCAACAACCCACATCAGTTCCCAATCACAACCCATTTGTTGTGATAGCACTACGATTCTTCAACTGTTCGCTTCTCTAACATGTCATTGCAAGCATGTTGATCATTCCTTCACAAAATTTTCACAACATGTGCCATGGAATCGCAATAGACCTTCTCCTCCACTCGCCCGCATCTGCCCTCCACTGGAGCATCTGCCATGCCTCAAGACTAACTGACAACTACTGCGAGGGGGTCCTCCCAAAGCAAAGTCTCCAATAAACTTTTGAAAATATCTTCTTTGAATTGAAAATAAAATGAAATTTACGGGTATAGTTTGAAATTAAGCAGGACAGTGGTCCTGGGGGTAGTGTGTGGACTCGTGGTTGACTTGGTCGTGCATACCAGACAAGAACACTTTTGACGAGAAAAACCGTGAAGTAGAGTGAGCAAATCGATGAAAGGTTTCATGTCTTGTCTTCAAGCCGTGTTCTATTTACATTGACAGCAAAGTTTGCCCTTGTGTTGAAGTTACCCATTCCGTCTCAGTTTACAAGTCCTTCCTTGCTGCATTCAGATTGCAATCGCATTCTTTCACCTTTAAAGGCATTAGATTCAAGAACCTAAAATCATCCTACAGACCTTGGAAGCAAGATTCTTGTTCTTGACTTTGAGCAACTTGATGGTGTCAGCTTGATTCATGACCATTTCCTCCTCCCTCACCTCCAATTGAGAAGCAAGCTGACTGCTTTTCTTCTGCTCTTCTTCGAGCATTTTGCGCAAAGCCTCACTTGTTGACCTCCAATCCTGTTGAACATTAAATCGTCGTCGTGCTTGCTCCCGTCCGATCTCTCACCCGCACTTCTTCCCAAAGTTTCGCGTTCTCACCCATCACTTCACTTAGTCGATACGAGCACAGAGCTTCGATCGAGTCGATCTTCAAAACCTTGGTCGGCTTATCCTTTTGCGTCTGCTCCTGCTCTTTCAAGTTGCGAAGAGTTTCCTGGTACGACTTATCTTGTTGTATAATCTCTTCTGCGTCATGCTTCACTTTCTTGGTATCAATCTCTCTTTCCAGTATTCGCTGTCTGTGTTCTTCCTCAGATTTTGTCGATGTAAACTCATCAGATGTATTGCCGATTGAAGCTTCAGAGTCGGAAACAACAGGTGGTAGTTCCTCTGCATCGACATCGAATTCTTGCTTTCCAAGCTTATCAACAATTGCTTTTTGACCAGCCCACCAACACTCCTGTCATGAATCGTTATCTATCGCTTGAAGCACTTGATTCTGAAGAATCTCACAGAAGTCCTGAGCAGAGCAAGGAGAAGCAGTACGTTCATGCATTGCTGCTTCAATCTGTATCTGGCTGGCATATGTCTTGAGATGTTAGGGTGAATTTAAGGGTCTACAACGATAGAGTCAAACAAATGCCAAACAATGCCAAACAATCTCTGTCCCTATCTCTCTTCCCACACTGTCGCCGGCAAGTGGCAAGTTACGGCCCGGGCAGCTCAGACACCGGACTCAGATCACGACCTTTAAGTTCCTTCCTCTGAGTCTCAAGCTGGCTCCCTGGCAGCCGCGCTGCGGCTCTCCGATACCGGCCGCCGGCCTACCGCAAGCTGAGAGTGGCATGCGAGTTCGAAGACCTCCTTCTCTCCTGTCCCTAAGGCCCAGGCCCTCTGGGCCTCCTCAGGCCTCTCCCCCTCTCCCTCTCTCCTCCTCTTCTCCTCTCCCCCTCTCCCCCTCTCCCCCTCTCGCTCATCCTTGATAACCAACGGCAGTGCTGCAGTGCCGCATTCCCTCTCAGCATACTCTGATCACCTCTCAAGTTTGACTCTGCCTGACCGTTTTGACATGGCTCTAGATGAGTGGGGATGAGGGCACATCTCTAGTGATTGAGGTTGAGTGGGGATGTGGGTACCATCTATTTCGGGCTGCGTTTTCACGATGGCAGCATCAGGATAGACGGCGCGTGAAGAGGAGAGAGAAGGAGAGACACGTGGAAAAGGAAGGGAGATGGCCACTAAAACCTTCAACGTCGGAGTCAAGAGCTGTGCCATCATCTGAACTCGGCACTGGTGCAAGACCAGTGATTGAACAACACCACCAGCGACCATGCGCAATTTAGTTCGAATTTTCCTGTCTTCCTTATTGGTTCTGTTGGCAATTGTCGTCATTCCAAGTGCTTTTGATCAGGAACAAGGAGGTGACCAGCTTTCCATCTTCGCCTACTTCGAGGATCTGGTGGGTTCCCCAAAGTCCTCTGCCAGGAAACTTTCGGCTCAGCCCACAGATGAGCATGCAGCGAAAAGAGTTTTACACCAGAGAGCCATAGCCCGCAAGCAAATCTCCACCGTCAAAGCTCCCAGTCTCGCCCACGTCCATAGGAATCTGGTCAATGCTACCAACCACACAAGTGCGGTCCATCCAACCACGAGGACAAAGGTGTCGGAGCACAAGGTCAGACTGACTTCGGGGCAGCTGAAGAGCCATGGATCGAACGACGCACGGGGCAGTGAGGCGTGGGAACGGCAGGCTGATGATGACTTCTTCGACAGCCTGGACAAGAACAGAGATGCAAACGAGCGAGCCAAGCGAACGGAGATCAAGCGGAGGAGTGAGTCTGAGGAAGAAGAGCACCAGGCAGCGGAAAGAGCTGAGGAAGAGAAGGTGAACAGACGGTATCTTGATGCGAAGAGGCGCTTCATGAAGCAGCAACAAGCCGCCAAGAAGTACACCAAGGACGCGTTTGCACGGATGGACGCTCATCAGGCCCATCTCAGGAGCGACTCTTTCGTGGGGTTCAAGTCGATAGAAGCGAAGGAGCTGGCAAGAGAGGTGGAAAGAGATCACCCGAATGAATCAGCATCACAGATAGCTGCTCGAGCCCTCAAGTTGCTCCATGTCATCATGAAGAGTCGAAGCGAGAGCCCGTCGTTGCCTCACTTGGACTCCGTTGGCCCGATCGGACCTGCTGATGATGTTCATTGAGTTGAAGACAGAGGATTGAGTTCCAGTTGTATATTTCTTCTCCTTGCGATCAACCTCTCATCATTTCTTCTGTCAACAGTCTGCACATGGGCACTATCAAAGCTTGTCTCTTTCTATATCCCCTGTTATTCTCTTGTTCAAAGTAAATTTTTCTGATTTGTAGCTACACCGCTCCGGCACCCTCGCCGGCACCCTTCATCTAGTAGAAGTTGACTATCTTCCCGCGTCCTTGGAAGTGGATTATGTGAGGACAAGGGAGGCTGCGATATTCTTGCAGGCTGAAATCTTTTCTTGGCGTACTGAATGAACTGACAACTAAGAAAGAGAGGCAGAGGGAGGGGTTATGAACAGAAACGAGGAAACCAAAAAGAGAAAAAGAGGATTGACAAAAGCCAATCTAAAACTGATGCTCTCAATGACACTTACAGTGAGGAAGAGCGCAGCTGTGTATGAACTTCAAAGACGGTCAGAGTCTTGATAGTCTGGACGACAAGTACGGGCAGACAAGACATTGGCTGGTAGCTGGGGAGAAGACTCTGGGAGTAGTGTTAAAACAAACCAAACTTCAATGTATCCTCCTCTTCTTCGACTATTCAACAAATTCCAGTATCGTCTTGTCTTGAAGATCCTTCAACTAGGTAAATTCAACTTATTCCTGCCTTTATGATATGTCAATTAACATTGCGATCTCCGTCTTGACTATCGTACATCCCTCCGCCTTGAGTCTCGCTCCGTCCCTCGAGCTCGCTCCTCCTGACGCTTATCATGGAAGGCGGTGCAAGCACAGACGCGCTCTTCTCTTGGCTCCATGATCACAACAGCATCTTGCCATGGCATGGACTCTGACGACGACAGCACTGAAACCTTGTTTCGGATCCTCTTAGACGCGACAGACCCAGAGGCAGAAGGATGCTCTCCGATCCAAGACCTTGCCATGCAGGTTGACGTACCGTACTACTCAGGAGTGCCTGCGCGGAAAGCCTCCGGGAGACATATGCCTCAGCCTGAAGACGTCTGCTTATCTCTACCGTACAAGCCTTCAAGCCTCCCGAGTCCGCCGTGACCGTACTATGACTGATCCCGGCCAAGTTAAGCCGCGGGCAGGCTGGCCCCGGTGACGCCGGTCACGGCCGCACCGTCCGGCGGCGTCCCGGAGTCCACACTGACAGAACTGGTGGCACTGCGCGGCGTCCGGCGGCGACTCAGCCTAGATGAGCCTCCGGGCCCGGGGGCCCAACAATGACAATCGCCGGTGAACCCCGTGGATCACTTGCGGGCGCGGCTGGTGACTCGCGCGGCCCAAGTTGCCGCGCAGTGCGGCGGCTTACGGGTACGGTACGGTCCGAGGATGATCGGATCAGTGAGTAGCTCAGTGCGGCCGCGGGCCGCCGGCCCGGCGGGCCCGCAGAAACTGTTATGTAACGTTTATGTAACTGCCTCCGGAAATAGAGGGCAGCAGGACCATGTTCGCGCTCCTGTACCTGACGGCGGGGATGTCGGAGGGGGCGATCAGAGAGCATGAGATTCAGAAGAACAGTGACATGATAGACTTCTGCACTCAAACATACTCCAGCATCAAGAACCGAGAGTACTGCATCGACGTAAGTTGATCGAGCACTTGAACACGTGCCCGTTGTTGTGTGCATCTTGAAAATGTGCAACATGATCTGTGCTCTGTTTGCGTGCGAGATCGAACTATCTTTGATGAGTCATTCTGACATTTCATCATAGAAATTCGTCAAACCAAGCTTCAACTACATGCAGTTCTGAACTTCCTCAGCCGATGGGCATATTTGTGACTTGTGTTATGTATGTATCAACCTCTATTGGAACAGATCATTCTTTGCTTTATAAAAGAAGACATCCTTGGAAGGATGTAGTTTACTGAAAAACAAGATGATTTTTCGTGTAAACTTTTCTTTTTGAACATTCCTGTTATTTGCTTATCGATTTCCTTTGTTCAAGTAATTTGTGTCATTTGCGTGAGGCAAGATAGTCAGCAGCTCTTGGATCAAAGTTTCCGTTGAAAGCTGCTTGAGCTGCTCCAGCTGAGCCATATGAACTGCATCACCAGGTCCTGCTCCTCTCCCAGCATTCGCCGTCCCAGTGCCGTCGACCTTCAGTCCTTGGTTGTCCCTCCTTGCAGAGGCAGTGTGGGCCAGCTGCTTCACTGACTCATCCAAGGCATCGGACTTTAGCGCCTCCTGGATCTCCTGGAAGCTGTTCGATGGCACCTGCTCCTTCTTCGCTCCTGTGTCGCCCCCGTGCAACATCGCTCGGATGGACTCGAAAGCATCCAAGACTCCCATGTCTGCCGCCTTGTGCGCCCCACCGTCAGCCCCCACCTGCCCATGGGCAGGGGGCCGAGGACGATCCTCCTGCCTCGCTCCAGATCCATTCCACCCCCTCATCGTCCCTGCTCTCTCTGCTGGCGGCATCCCCCTCGGAGTGTTATGCAAGTGGCCCTGCAGTAGTGTCAGGAGGGTATGCGAACACTCAGAACTTACGGGATGAGGAGCAGTCAGGGACACGTCCTTGGTAGTGGAGGAAGAGAGCATCTCTCTTGCGTGAGGGTTCGAGAAGTTCTGCTTCCTGCTCGCTCCAGCAGGATCTCTCGGCATGGGGAAGTCGTGAGGATGTTCTGCCCTGTACGGAGGAGGCGGACCTCGCTGACTCGCCTGAGGCTGAGGAAACTTGAGGCCGCGGCCATCAGCGCTGTTGGTGTTCATCATGTTCTCATGCATCTGGCGGAAACGATGAAACGTGTTCATCGCCTGCTGCCTGGGATCCGCAGAGAATCTCATAGCCTCTCTCGCTTCCGCGTAACTTGGAGGAGGTATCCTTCCCATGCCCCCTTGGTCCGTCCTCGGCATGCTCGATGGCATCGGAGGCATGTGCCTCTCTGAAGCCATGCTCCTCCTGTTTTGCGAGCTCAACTCCCCATGCCCTTGCATGCGGTCGCTGGGTCTCGGCTGCAACTGGTTCACGTCGCGTGCTGGAGCAGGGTAGCGTTCGCTTTGTCTGTCATTGCCCCGATCCCTGTCCCTGTCCCTGTCCCTGTCCCAGCCTCGTTCCCTGTCCCTGTCCCTGTCCCTGTCCCAGCCGCGTTCCCTGTCCCTGTCCCTGTCCCAGCCCCCTTCTCTGTCCCTGTCCCTGTCCCTGTCTCTGTCTCTTTCCCTTTCTTTGTCCTTCCATCTATCAACCGTTCTCTCTTGATCCCTTTCACTAGCCTTGGACCGTTCAGGATCCGCTGTTCCTAGGCTTGCCGTTGGCTTGACTGCTGCCATACGAGGATCTTGTGGCCTTGGCGCTATGGTCGATCCTTCCTCGACTCTTCCCTTACCATCGTTGGCAGGGAATACTTGAGCAGGTGCCCCCTGTGGATGTCCAAGAGGTGACCGAACAGGATCGGAAGGACGATCTTTGTAGCCTTCTGGCCTTGAAGTCTTGGAGGCTGCCTGAGAAACTTCCTGCAAGGAGGTCAGCAAAAGGTTGAGGAAGCAAGTTGAGCAATACCTTATCATCACTCCAGGATGACGGCCTTGTTGCGCCGGCTCGGGAATGGTGTGACTTGGAAGCATCAGGGTTGTGCTTGCTCGAGCTCGAACCTTTACTGTCCTTAGGCGCAGAGTTTGAGTGCGACGAGGAGCCGTGGGAATGAGTCTTTCTGAGCACACATATGGCGTACAATTTGTCATCGGCGATCGATTCAGCAAACTCAGGGACGGTCATCCTTGCTAGGGTGGGGCTGAGAACGTAAACTTGACAATCTTCACCGAAGCTGACGACACCAGCTCTTTCTTGCTCATCATGGCTTGCAATCAATCTCTTGTACACCTTCTCGTTCGTCTCAGAACCGCACATGTCGAAACGGATTACAGTCTTCTGCCTCGTCTTCGAGAATTCAAGTTTCTGAAGAAAGTCTATAAGAGCTTCAGGCCGCATTCGTCCCACAATCTCAAGATCTGCTGGCAGCTCCTGCAAATTCCCTCCTACGCTCAAGGCTGCTGCCTGGACTTTGGTTTTGTGAGATCCTGCCTTTCCTATCGTCCCTTGCCAATGTTGAGAAGCAAACTTCCTGTCGTGATGGCTCGACTCTCTTTGACTGTTATTGTGACTTTGACCTTGACTGTGACCTTGACTATGACCTTGACTATGACTCTGGCTTTGACCACTCGAAGATCCCATCCTTGGGTCATGGGCTCTTTCTGATCTTGTAGAATTTCTCTTGGGCTGATCTGAGTGATTCGAGGCGCTATCACTATGCTTGGAGTGTCGGTCAGCACGAGGTTGTGAGTGGAGGGTCTTGTCATCATCATGCAGCTGAATCTTAGACTTGAAGGTATCAAGGCTTTGGATCTGAGGGAGAGATTGTTTCACTGGAAGCGCTTTGCTCGTAGATTCCGAGGGCTTCTCGTGCATGTTTGCTCCGACCTGACTAATCCCAGCTTTTTCTATTTGAACGGATGGCTCTTGCTGACCTTGCGCCTTTTGACCGGAGGGCTTTACGCCCTCAAGAGGCTTGATCTCGTTCAACGCTTCCTTGGACGCCTCCGCCCTCTCGTTGACTCGATCGAGACTCGGCTGCTTGCCCGAGCTAGTGTCGACTACACTCTTTCCCTCCACTTTGATGCCCTTATTCGCACCCATGGCTTGGACCGCTGGTCGCATCGACTCATCTTTGTTTCCAACGCTTGACTTCTCCGATCTTATTTCCTTCGGCTCAACTTTGATAGCCGTGGGACGTTCGTACTTATCCAATTCTTCAACCGACAATCGCACGAGTTTCGAACAAGGCAAGGTGCCAGACAAGGCTGCAGATCGCAGGACATTTCTTGACCTCAACGCCATAGCGACAACACGGTACCGCTTCCTATATTCCTGATTGATCGTTGAGCCGCACTCTGTCCAGAGACTTTCCTCGAGCGAGGATGCCGTTGTGCCGATACTTCCCTCAAATTCTGATGAAGATGCTTGCAGAGCTCCCATGAACGAGCAGGTCACCATGTTCCGCACTTCTCTCCTGATGTCTTTCTGCGAGGTCAGAGTGACCAGCCGCTCCTTCAGCTTTTGCTCAGAGTCCCTGATCGCACATAAGTCGCTGTACGAGCTCTGCCATCTCGCCGGCAGCTTCGTGAACCATACGGGCAGACCTGTATCGCTCTCCCCTCCTTTACTCCCTTGCGATGTACCTTTTGAGCCCGCCTTTGAGCTTTGCACCTTCGGCTTCTTGACAATCTTTTGATTCGCGTCTGAATTGGCTGAAGTGGAATCGACTGCTTTCTTCACGTCTCTGGGTTCTTGACTTCGTTGTTGACTCTGAGAAATCGATCTAGCCACAGTCCTTGAACGATTTCTGCTTTCATCTTCTTTCGAGCTGTCGCTCGAGTCAGAGTCACTTTCGCTTTCACTATCGCTTTCACTTTCATAATCGCTGTCGGACGAAGCAACATTTTTCTCAACATCCTTCGTCTTCTTCACACCTTCAGAACTGCCAGCACTTTGAATCCCAGCTGAATCTACAGTCTTCTGCCTCTTCACTCTCTCCTGTGTTTTAGTCCTCTTTGTTCGCTTTCTTAAACTTGGATTTGATTGCTTTTGAGCTTGCTTCTCCTCCTTCTTTTGAAATCTGACTTGCGCATTGGACGCAGCAGATAGCGCAACCCGATAAGAGCTCGAAGAGACTGGCGTTGTGTTCGGATCCTGCTGAGCATCAAACGGGAGCACCTTCTTCCAGTGGACCCATTCAAGATTTCCCGTGCCATAGAAACGAGCTAATACCATGGCAGGCCTTCGATTTCTTAGCAACTCGTTCGATAACTGCGTCCTCGCTGGCTCTCTGATACAAGCTGGCCAATAGGGGTAGCAAGCGTACTGTGCGTACACGACTGATCCAGGTCGCAGTAACCTTCGTGTTGAGAGAGGGATATCATCCTCCACATTCGAGTGCCCCCCTCCCTCACCGTTATAGAGCGCTGTGACCTCCTCCTCCTCGTCCCACTCGTCTTCAGGTTGATCGCAGCTCTTTCCCACTTCTTTGCAGAAGAAAGTCTCTTTCCCATTGACTATTTCGGCATTCTTCAACCTTCGCCACTTGTTACATCCGTCACATTGTGCCCAGGAGCACATGCTTTCTGCCTGTTCCTTCTCAATCAATTCCTCGATTCTCTTCTTGACCTCAGTCAATAGATCCAGTCTGACAGCGATTTTCTCCCCTTCACGATGCAAAGCTTTAAATACACGTTGATCCTCCTCGTTGCTTGCAAGCAATTCCTGTGCCTTCTTCATCCAATTTTCAGCACCTTCGACATGAAATTGGAGCAGAAAGGTTTCATTTGCTTCAAACTTCAGAGCAGTTCCCACTTCAAGCAATGACCTGCACCCTTCAATATCGATCTTGTAGCTCAGGAGTTCTTTGCCCTCTCAATCCAGTCTTCAGCTGCTTCTAACTTGGCACGAAGCAGCTGCAAGGTATCTTGAATCGCCGGATCTTCTACACCAAAGTCTGTAGGGTAAGCAAGCTTTCTTAGACTTTCGACATCGACTGACTTGTCCACAGCACTCTGTGCTTGTAGCCGCCAGAGAGTTTTCTTCAACTCCGCAGCATTCTCTGGCTCTACCACGAGGTCTTCCAACCTTGACAGGAGCTCCTGGCATCTATCAAGAGTTGGATCATTGCTCTGAATCGTTTCATGTGCAGCAGCACTCCATTGGTGAATATCAAGCACACATCTCTTGATTTGATCCCATTCTCTCCGTGACTTCAACACCTTGATTTCATTTCCTTCATTGATCAAGCTCACCAGGTCCTGCATTGTAATGCCACTCTTCCTCTCATGTGAGCTTCGCCGACACTTTCTGGTCTTGCGAGGAAAGCTCAGAATCACTCGAGCCCTTTCGAGCCATGCAGACGCACTTTTCCAGAGCTCCTTGAGCTTTTCCTCTTCTTCGGTGACTATGGGGAATCTCTCCAAGTCATTCAAAACCATCCTCAGCACGCGCAAGTCTTGCTTCTCACTCTCAAGAAAAGACATGGCCCTTGACCTCAAGTCCTGTAGGTCTGTTTGGCACTTCAAAAGCCTTGCTGTAAGCCTCTGATCCACAACGATTCCAAGTGCTTCATCCAACAGTTCATTCAAAACCTCCACCGTACACCTGTTCTTCAAAATGCGAATAGTCTTTCGAGCGAAGGCTAAACCTGCCTCAGATTTCCTTGGCATCTCACTCGTTTCATTGACCGGCACATCTTGATTCCCCTCACCCGTGTCAGCTACACCAGAACGAGGCTCGTACATCGGGCCATCTGCTAGATTCTCCATCGCAATTGGCTTCAGCCCAGAGACCTTTCCTGCTGACTGCACAGTCTCCACCGGCTCATCGCCTCCCATGAATTGAGAATCCTCAATGTTGAAGCAGTTGATATCGTTCGCATACTTGGTCCACTCGAAATCCATCTCCGTCTCGCGGCTGATCTCCAAGCAACTGCGCGTTCCCATGTCACGACCGTAGTCCGAATCATCGCTGTCCGGTTCTTCGAATCGAAACGCATCAGCCTCAACGCAACTTTCTGTAGTTTCTTGCTGCGCGCATGATGTTTCCTTGCTTTCCTCCATCTTTACATCTGCAGACGGTGCTGTAAGTTCGTTTTCTGGACCGTTGTTTGTCGGAGGTCTTGGGCGCTGAAAAGAAAGGTTACAAAATAGCACAGCGATCTAAACAACAATCAGAAGTACCTGAGCAGAGGAATCTGGATCATCTTCCTTGCTATGCTGTTCACGAGCGGAGGACGTCTCGGGCATCTCCTCATCAGGACTGAGGCATACTGCTGCATCTTCATTCTCTTCGATTGCTTGCGGCTGGTCACCCTTGACCATCTCCACTCTAGCGGAGTTCTGCTCTGGGAGAGGCTGAGATCTCTCGCCTTGCTCCTCTTGACGCTCGTCTCTGCTCATGATCTGCTTCTCAATCTTTCTCCTCCCCTCTCTTCTCACCCCTCCGATCCACCATCCCTGCCTGCTCGCTCGGCCATACCACCCCCCACCCGTCTTCACCTCTGATTCCACCTACCCCAATGCACCAGACTACCCCCTGTTATCCATCTCCTCATCATCTCATCTTGTGTACCCCCACCTTTGTGATACCACCCCCACGACGAAATGCCCTCCTTTTTGTACTATTTACTACCCCCCCAAGGTGACACATGATTTCAAGTACCCCATGTATCGAAAGTCGAATGCTCTGTCTTCACCCGTGCATGTTACCCGACCACCCTACCCCTGATAAATCCCTTGATCATCCCCCCTATCTAGCTCTTCAGTACCCCACATTGCATACCGTACTACTACCACCCACCCTGACATCAGATGGTGGTTCTGTAGGTGTACTAGATGGCCCGGCTTTGCCTCGTGGCATCTGATTTATGCGCTGCGCACCGTGCGGTAGCGGCTTCAGTCACACGGCGGGCCGTACGGTGGGCTCATGAGAGTCTCATAAGGAATCATACTGTATCACCGTTCGAGGTTGGTCTGCGGCAATGGAACTGTGAACTTCAAGAGGACCTTACTCCCGGGTCAGCCATCGGATGCCCAAGTTCAGGCTTCGTCCTTCCGTACGGCGGGCCGCGGCGCGCGGCGGCGCAGCCCTGCCTCCGGCCGCCCGGCCCGTCAGCTCCACCAAATAAAAAAAAAGTGCCTTTTACACAGAGGAAAGCGCCGGGGAAGGAGAGAGGTCAAGGAGGAGGACGAAAGGAGGAGCGGGCAGTGCCGAGCACGAAGTGGAGGAGCCAAAGTATAACAAGTGAAGACAGCGGGAGAGAGAGGGAGGAGTGACAGATAGCCGTCGAGAGAAGAACATAGACATCTGGTTGGTATGTAGCTGATTACGTTGAGCTGCCTGGGAAATGTTTGTGAATTCAGCATCTTGTTGGCGACCGTTCAGGCCGATCCTGAATGAAGGAAACCCATTACATCCTTGTGCAAAGAATTATGAGGTGACCCAACTGGCTCGTCTGAGGCTCGATCATAGAATCCCGACGGTGAGCTTTATTGTTGGGTGTAACGGTATTCAATGACCCCTCACACAGATGAAACCACTTTGTTCACATCCCTTTGGAATGCTTGCTGAGACGGAAAGACTCGGAGTAAGAGCTGTTTCAATTGATAATGGAACAAAACAAGCTCACCACAAAATACCAGATGATCCGTGCAGTCGGGAACGAAGTGATCTTTGCTGCCCTCTTGTTTTGCTTTTCCATGTTCGTGAAAAGGATCTACACCAGCATCGAGATAGCAGCAAAATTTAAGGTGATTGTGATCACAACCTGCAATCGTCCTAAAATTTTCTACCAACTTGTTCCAAAATCATCCCTGAAAGGACCCGAATCTTAGTGCTCCATTGCAAACTTTTTCGGAAACATGGAATGTTTTCGCAGGACTGGGTAATCATGACCTTGTTTGAACTTCAATCTGATATGACTTAGTTCTATTTTGGGCCCCACTTTTCCTGCTCCTCAAGGCAATAGGAGGATTCTCTCCTCAAAATTCGGTATTCCTTTGAGCGGAACAATGTACATGACCGAGATTGACGTAATCTTTTTGTCTTAGATTTCCCACATGTTGACATTTGGGCCGTACCTGATATCATTCGCTACACAAGTGAGGTTCTGATGCAATCACATTCATGCCTCATGTTCGACAAGGGTTTCATCCAGTCTGGTCTGGGCAAGAGCTTTCATTTCCCCGTCTCATCCCAGAGCTTGTTATCACTCTCAACCATCATCGTGTCCATCCCATTCCAGGTATGACAGTTATCGTTGCCGCACATGGAGATTGACGGTGCCATTGATCAAGGTGTGGAGGCTTTACCATCTACATTTCTGCGACATCTCGTTACTAAAATCACTGGTGGTGAATTGTTATCGCATGTCGAAGAAAATGCCCTGACTCATGATAGCAGGAAGGCCAAATGATGTATTTCATATCTTTTATGAAAGTTGTCACCGTCGTTCACATGGCGCTATATCTCTTACGACTTCCATGGATTTCCAGCAAAGTCCTTAACCTTTTCCTTACAACCATGATGTTTGATGCTGCAACAGGCAAACCCATTCGTTTCAGGCAGTGACCTCTACAAAAGATATGAGTCATTACAAGAAGAAGTGAAGGCGCTGAGAGAGCAAAATAGACTTTTGAAAGAGGTCAGTGCATCTGCGAGAATACTAGCATTCTATTATGCTGACTTTGCAACTGCAGCTTTATGGAGTCAATGATATCCAACAGGGAGGCGTACTCCGTGTTCAACGCCTTGCAGAGCTCCAGGTCCTTTGTTCGGGTGTGTCCAGTTTGACACAGAGCTGACTTGACTGAGGCAGAATGCCTACGTAACCAAAAGGACGAAATCTGTGGAGGCGAGGAAAGGGAAAAAGGACCTTGAAGATGAAGATTAATGAAGGGGACACTTAGAAACCTTCTTTATGAAATTGGCCTTGCTCGTGGTCTTGAGTATTTTTTTTTGTATTTTATGTCTTCACGACATTAAAGCACGAGATCTTTACAGATTGTATTTGAAGGATAAAAGTCTTCCAATGTGCCCACTTACATGCGGTTGCTGTGCCACATAGTGGAAAAAACCTGAATGTGTGCAGAAATTCTTAGTCCCTTTCAATCATTTCTGCCAGCAGATTTCTTGGCTTGCACTCTCAAAATGTTGTTCAACAATGTAGAATCCCCGACCAAATGTCTTTCTGGTGCAGTGTCGATCGGTGCTTGACTCTCCGGTTTGGCAGGTGTAATTGACGGCTGAGGCAGATTCTGTTCCGACGAATCCAATTCTCCAAGGTTCGGCCTCTTGAACTGAATCGCATGCTCATCAACAAACTTGATGGTGGACCTTGCTGCTGGATGCATCTCTATTAATGTCAGACCGGCTCGATCCTTTCATGCGGCGACAAGGCGAACAATTCTGATGTCTTTATTGTTAGTGACCAACTTGGACAAATGGCGTTACTGTAACATCTTCAAGTTTGATTCCTTGAATACGAGATGGAGTCTTGCACTTAACTCACAGTCGTCTGCCGTAGACCAACGAGTGTATGTCCTGATGCGAACAGGGTCTGAAGGAGGCGAAGGAAACAGAAGCCCTTAGAATGTTCCTGTTCCTGTTGCGATGTGATTTCCTTGACACCGCTTCCCCGGCCAGGGCCTTCTTCAACGCAAGGAACTCGTGACGATATCTTTGCATTGGCGGAAGTGAGCACCAAAAGACTATTTTTCAATATCATGGGTTCACGTGTTCCAAACGATTACAGAGCTCGTGACAATTATCCTTACAACGAGTTATCGAAAACCTCTAGTTTCAATGAAGAGGGCGCAACTCATGCTCCAGTCACGCGTCCACAATCTTTGAATAGCTTGGGGTTATTTTCAAATATCCACATTGAAGCTAATATAGTTGATCAAACCATTCAGCATAATTTTTACTAGAAGGGTTCCGAAGTTCCGAAGTTCCGAAGTTCTTCACCAAGTGAACCAGTCACTGTCACGGTACGGTCCGGGCGCCGTCCGGACTGGGCCCTGACCGTAGAGTTCCGAGTATTTGTCTTTGGCTTACTACGGCGAGTCAGTCCGGATGCCAGTGAGGCCGAGTACGGGCCGGGAGCATGTCACATGTCACAGTTTTGACAATACCTAGCTCCCGGGAGCAAACTCAGCAAGCAGCCGTACTACTGCCTACTCAGTGACTGACTCGGCTGGCTCGTGTGATGGACCGTACTATCGATGATCATCGCTGAGACTCTCCGGAGGCTTCCGAACCGTAGCCGGGACTCCCGGGGGCCGGGCCCCGTCGCCGACGGTGACCGTACTCTCACTCACTGAGTCAGTCCGACTCCGGTCCGATACTTGACTCAGTGAAGGCCCCCCGGGCCGGTCAGGCAGCCTGCCCGGCGCGCCGACAGTTATAGAATAATTCATGAATCGGTTATTGTGGTTTTATGCTGTAGGGGTGGTCAAGTGACACCTTCAGTAGGAGAAAGATGGGGTGGGGTAGATGGACTTTCCGGTGTACTTCACCGGGGCCCTAAGGGAAGATGGGGGGGTAGGGAGGGGATGAGAGAACGAGTCTTGGGGAGGGTAGGGTCCTTTGGAGTGAACGAAGATGTCGGGAGTGAAGCGAGCAGAGGAGATCCTAGCGCGCGCCGACAAACTCGACAAATCATGCCCAGTTGTAGCCATGCACTGCAGGATCTATGCGCTCGAGCTTGCTATCAAGGTAAGAGCACTCCCGTGAAGACAACACACGGATTTTACCTGTTGAAATTGTGGGGAACTCGGGTGCCGGTGTGTGGAAAGATGGTCACCACAGGATTGCTAGAGAGTGAAAGAAGAGTTGAAGTGCTTACGGGCAATATCTTGAGGAGTGTAAAAGAAAGTTCCGATGGGCTATTTGAGGAAGGAACCAACCGAGAACAAGATGAACAATTGTTTGTGATGTGCAAAACACACTAGAAAACCATCTGTACAGGACGGTTGTCGAATTTAGAATGACGAGATCATAAAACTCAATAATCTTCACATTCGAATTTATGCAGTGGCATTGAAATATATTTACAGGGTCGGGACAAGAACAACAAAGAACAAGCAGCATTCCTGGCGGAGCTAATGACGAAAGTAGAGCAGCAGAAAGCCAGTCTTGGACATGTCCCCGACGCTCAAGCGCAGGTTTACTAAACACAGCAGTCATGTCGTGCTGTCTCTTTCTGAACAATGGCTCGCAGTGCGAACTTTTGGCTCTCAGTACTTTTCAGCAAAGTGATGATCAGTAAGAACGAAATGAGGTATCGACTGAGAGTTAAAGTAAGTTGCAGATATTATGAAGGGAGAGCAAGCAAGGCGACAGTCGTTGGGTTCCGTAACGCTGCAATCTTGATGGTCGGATTGTTGTAGAACCATACTTACAAATGTTTGCTGATATATCTCTTTGAATTCCATAGGAAATTTGCAAGCAGTTCGGAGAATTGAGCCCAGACATTGCCGAAAAGTATAAATATGCGAAAGTCAAGGTGAAATTCTTTGTATACGATACATGGACATTAATCATGGGTTGTGTATTTCAGGCTGTCGAAATCTACAAAGCCATTCAGGAGGGTGTAGTGCCTCTTCCTCCGCAGCTGATAGGTCTACCACCGCCTTGCCTTTATCCCACCGCGGCTGATAATGAGCAGGTGCGCAAGATGGGGATGGGCATGCAGAAGAAGAGGAGGATGATGGGATTCCCCTCCCTCCTCCCAGCGAATATCCACCGCAGGATCACGATCCCAACAGTGACCAAGGTCCGCATGCACAGAACTCAGTAGTTGAGGACATCCCTGATGTACCTCCTCCCTACCGTCAACAAGATGATTTCGTCAAACCTCCAGCTCCGTCTGTTAAGCCAGAACCAGCAAAACCCAAGAAAGATCTGGAAGTGAGAAAAGCTTCGCCGATGCCCTCTGAGAACAGAAGAGATTCAGGCGCAGATGCTGTGCCGGGTGTGCCTAACCTCCTTGCTGATGCTCCCAAAGCGGCTCCTCCTCCACGTTCCACCCAAGTTAGCGGGAATCTTGTTCCGAAGCAAGCTATCTCTCCTCGGTCTCTTGACAAAGCCGAGAAACATACCAAGTGCGTGGCGCATTTCGCTTATTGTTGCTGTTCAAGAGCTGAAGCTTGCCGACAGGTTTGCGCTTTCAGCTATTCAATTTGATGATATTCGAGAGGCTGTTTCCAATCTTCAGGTAATCTTCGCAATGCTGGAACATGCATTAACGCGATGACAGATTGCTTTATCTCTGTTGACGGATAAATGAAGCTTTTGACAACTTTAATGTGTTTCATGCGGCCGCGCTCGTTCCTCCCCGTCAGTTGATGAAAGTAGTCAACGAGCCTAGAAACTTCCAAACCCCACAGGCCGGGCTTGCCAACCTCAGCGGCTGGTCCGACAGTACTGCCATGATTCGGAATCCCCGGGGGGGCGGTCCCTGTGGCGGATCAGGGACGCCGCCGGCGGTCTCATTGAAACTTTGAACCGGGCGGCGGCTCGGACAAGTTCCGAGGGCCGCCGTGATCGGATCCGCCGCGCGGCGCTGGGATCTCAGTGCCAGACTCGACTCAGACGGTCGCCGGGCGATCGGACCCGGCGGCCCCGGGCCCCGCGAACGGCGGTCGCGTGGCACGCCCGGCCGGTTGAGCCGCGTGCGGTCACGCGGCCGCATCCGGGTCCGATCGGCCCCCGGCCGGGCCGGGCGGTCCGGGCATCATTGCGGCCCAGTGATTGTCCTCGTACTGAATTTTGAACTTAACTTTGAGTAAAGACTTTGATGGAGGTCAAGTTTCACCAACTTGAAGAGATGCGGGGAAATTGAAGGCTAGCTAGGCTAGAGGGGTTGCAGCAAACAAGGGAGGGGCTGCGAAACGACATGGCGGAAGAGCAGGTGGACACCAGATGATGGGGATGAGACTCATACCATGATGCCTCCGTTATGCCGGGTTAATCTGAGACTTTCCCCGGATAACTCAGTGACCTTTGATGCGTTGATGACAGTGAGACACTAGTGTAGTAAGATGAAGGCTAGGTGCAGATCTCGTTTGAAATCACAACTTTGAACCATGTCCGTGCCATAGAGAATGAGCCTCATTCTCTACGGGAGAAAAATGTCCGGAGAAGCTTGTCTATGCGCCGGCTGAAATCAGGACGATTTTTGGGATAGCCTTTGCAAGACAAATCGAAACTTTGAACTTTGTTCCAACAAGCCAACACAAGTAGAGAAAGGAAGTTGAATTTCTAATCACCGTGAGACTTAGGGTATTTCTTGATGATTCCACTACATGTAGCGGAACACCCGGTGAAAGGCCAACTTTGTGTCAGACATCAGGACTAGTTTGTACACCAAAAGTACTGGGGGAAGAGGGGAGGACAGAGAGAGAAAATATTTCAATACTTCCCTCGTCTTCTCGATGTCTCTCGCTGAATCAGAACGGTTTCTGTTCTCACTTGAGCCGTACAGGATGCTTCTTCCACAGTTTGCCTTTGCCCAGAAGCTGTACATGGGCGATCCGCTGATCACGGCACCGGGAACGTATTATGGTCCTTACAAGTATCATGCCCTTGCTCTGCAGTCTTGGATGTTTGTAACCAAACTAAACAGTGGACCACCTCCTCCTAACGAAGTCATCTACCCTGATTTCGACTCATTCTGTGAGATTCTTTCTCAGCATACCCGTTGCTCTTGACTGACACATGGTTGTTTCTGCAGATCGAGCTCACAACAACGGGCAGAAGCCTCCAGCGGGTTGTGTCTATTGCCCAGGATACTTCGAAGAACACCTGCAGGACATGCCCGACGCGAGGAACACTCGCCCTGCTCGTGTCGCTCACTTTTTGTAACTCATGCGAATGAAGCAATAGTGAGTTTGATCTCATCACTTGAGATTGTATGCATAGGCTCCATCAAATTGTGCATGTTCAAAGTTCTTGTTGACGTCATAGGCCGCGCGCTCGCGGTTTGCAACACCACACACACTTTCATCGAAGGTCGCAGCAATGTTGTTTCTCTCTACGGACAATGGAATATAGAGAATTCAGGAAAACAGTGACAGCTGAAAACTAACATAGCAAAACAATAGCATAGATAGTAGCGCGTCGTTCTGCAATGCTGCAAACCTCACAAAATTCCCCGTAAAAGCAAAAAACTTCTATTTGAAATTCAAAAATCGCAAACATGTGCGTTGCTGATCGTCTAGTTCAAAATCGGCAGTAGGTGTCCGTCCAGGAGCACCAAGAAGAGACTGGTCTGGGGACTTATTAAGACCCACTTTTCGATACGCTTTCCATGAATTGCACGTTAATAGTTCAAAATCTGCCAGAAAACAGCATCAGTGAGGATTGATCGACGTTGAGAATCAAATATTTTCACCTTGCATGTTCAGTGTACGATCACGTTTCTCACCCCCGTAGCTATTCGCTCTTGAACAACAAATTTCGCGAGATGGATCTTCGTTGGGTCTTTCTCCACCCGTGTGGCAGCTTGTTTCTCCCAACTGCAGATGATTCGAGTTCTTCTCCCAGAATTCAAGAGATTCTCTTTCCGTTTGCCCGCATGTCATTAAAGCGCATATTCCAACCGTTCCTGAAGGAAAGTATGGATTCAGACGAAAAATCAAATCAATCTAGGCTGGTTTGGTACAGAATCAGACATTTGTTGAATGCCTGTAAAACACGCGAAACTCGATCGCAACTATAACATCTCGAGAAAATCACAAGAACTAATGCTCATATCGATTGCAACATCGACGACAACAGTGTGATATCACAGGAACTTCGAATTGCAAGCTCGTCATGCTCAAGAGCCATCCGAGAATTGAGATATGTGATGACTTCAAATTTGTGGTAGAAAGGTCTCACGCGTGTACGCAGGAATGCTTACCTCTATCTGTCTCCATTTCCATCCCGAAAGCATGAGCTGAGAGGGAGTCGCATCCTCCTCCTTCATCTGTCGCCTTTCCCATTCCCACCATTTCACTACTCCACCATCGCCCCTGTCACCCCTGGCGATGGTTATCCCCTACCCCCTCTTTCGACCATCGGACCACCGGACACCCACACCCCCGATTTATTCATCCGATCACCCATTTGCTTATTCCTAGTTTCCGTTCCACCCTACCTCCCTGGAAGTGATATAATGAAACAGTACCCCTACTTGTATGAAAGATTACCCCACCATTTCAGCTTTGGTTACGCGGTTGAGAATTATCACCCCCCTTTATTCCTTGTGAAATGCGCAGATAAAGAAAAATTTGCCCTATTCACCCCTACACACCCAATGGGCCACCCTACCCCTACATCAAGAGTACTCCTTGTTTACATCGGAAAGAACATCCCACCCTACCCCAAGGGGCTTTTGTCCCTCTTAGTTCACCCACCCACCCTTTCAACAACCGGATCGCACGGCCAACACAAGTCACACATCCTACCCCCACCCCCTATTTTACAGAAGTACCCACCCCTTCGTCATGTACCCTATCCTCGACCTGCACGAGCACTACCTTGTCGCTTTTGAACTTCTTACAACCCCTCCACCCTCTGATTTCACACAGACTACCCCACCTATCTGGGTCTCTTCAGAAAACGCACCCCCACCTCTCCCTTTCCCATGCACCCCCATTTCATGCACCCCCGTTTCCTTACACCCCGTACCTTCGGGGGCCGCGGCTGATCGTGCGAACAGTTAACAATCTTCACTGAAGATCGCAGTGATTGAGATAAAACTAATTTAATAGGTACAGATTTTACAAGTGCTTGTATCTCAGTGTACCAGAGGGGACCCCAACAAGCACGTGCAATGGTTCCAAAAAAAACCACCGACGGTGTTCTCATAATCCTGAAACAAAACGTTTCGTTAAAACTCAAATCACCTAAATATCTCCCTCGAAAACATCTCTTTTGATACCGAATAACGTCTGTGGCCGAATAATGGATCTGAGCGGGGAGGAGGGTCTCTTTCTCAGTATGGAACCGGCCCGGGCCCGGGGCCCGGTTCCATTCAGTGTAGTCCGGCACTCTTTACTACTCAAAGTTGTTATTAGTCAAGTTTTTCTTGATTGACTGGCCCGCAACGGCGCGAGCTTGAGAGGCGAACATGGTGCCGCAGGGCCGTCAGTGTGAATGACCGTCAGCGTCCGACGGTGGCAGCGGTAGTAGGCACTGCAGTCAGACGCTGAGCCGAGTAGTCATGCGGCATCACATGGCATGACTGTGATGCACGGTGCCGGACACTGATCGTTGCCCGGCACCATGAAGAACTAGCAACGGCGAGTGGAAAGAAGATTCTGAATGATAGCCTCGGAGGGAATGAGGGGTGAGAGGGAGCGTCCAGCGCACTGAACGGCGCGGTTGCTCCGAAACAGGGGCACTGATACGCACGACTGAGACCGTGCTCTCGGAAAGGGAGGGAGAAAGTGTCAACACCGTTGTTGACTACGGTAGCTCCAAACTCGAGTAATACCTGACTGTCGATCTCGCAGATGAGCTCGTTGTCACCAGTCGACGACGTTGAGGATTATGAATTTCGAAGATCTGAAAGGTAAATCTCATCATGATACTTACAGTCACCGCTGAGTGATCGCCATGAAGGACTCCCAGTGACCTTGCCCGACATTCATGGGATCGATACCATGCTGACGATGAGAGGTGAAGTTCGATGAGAGGTGAAGGGTTGTAAATGCTCTCTGCAGTATGAGAAGGACCTTTACACCTCCGATGGCTCCTTATCATCGTGAGGAGTTTCATTCTGCATCCTGTCAGCCTTACACTTGAAGCGCTTGCAGCAGACCAAACTCTAGTGCCCGTTCACGATTTGCAGAACGATTGGAGAGGAGATGATGTGAGGAAACGAGAGTGGCGCTACATGACATGACAAGTCGAGCTCAGGATTCTCTGGAGAAGCGAATCAACTCTGTGGACAACATGATAAAAGACATCAAGAAGATCTTGCCGCATGCGAGTTGGGACCAGGTTGTGATGGGGGTCTGAGAGAAAGATGCAAGGTTAACGTCATGCAGGAGATGAAACCTCAACAAGAAACAGCAGAAGAACAATCACAACGTAGTTTGAACCGCGTGAGCTTTGATGAGGACAGGTTCTCATCCCGCAAGGACAACCAAACATATCAAAGGTCGCCATCGCAATTCTTGGAGGAGGTGCTGCAACTGCAGAACACAGAGATAACTTCATCTCCTCTTGATCATGATGAAAGGCAGCAGGCTGCAGCAAGGGACAGAAGTCAGTTTGTTCAGGCGGGAGTTCACGATTACAGTCTGCCTGTCGCAAGGGATCTCAGTTCTCGACGCGACTACCTTGATCTTGCTCATCAGACCTTCCTCGGAGCCCTGAACCCGGTGAAGTTTGTGCTGAATGAGTTTGCGCCGGAGGAGGACGAGAGGGCGTTGTTCGCAAGAGCAGGGGAGCTGTACCTGCAGGTAACGCGGCAGCTCTTCGAGAGCCAGGAGGCGAACGCGAAGCTGTCCAAGGCGATCTCAGTCATGACGGAGGAGAACAAGCGGAAGTTCGGGGAGATGGAGACGGAGGTGGTGAGCCTGAGAAACGAGTGCTTCGAACTCCAGAACAAGATGGATGAGGAGAGGGCTGATCATGCGAGTAAGGTCGAGAGAGTAGTGAGAGAGGGGGAGTCGTCCTTGTCAGCTGCAAGGGGGGAGATCGCAAAGTTGAGATCGCTGTCGGACAACCTGCAACAAGACAACCAGAGGATGAAAGAGACGCACGCGGCTGTCGAGGCCTCGCTGACGGAGGAGCTGGAGGCTGCAAGAGCGAGGATCTCAGCAGACAGCAGGACGATCGAGACTCTGCAGACGAAGATCAATGTGCTTGAAGAGGATCTCAACACGCTCTCGCAAGACTTCGAGGAGATCTCGAGGCAGAGGGCAGATTACAATGACATAGAAAGGGACTTGAATGTAGCACGGATGAACTACATCGAGAAGATGAGGGCCGAGACCTATTTCTTGAACAACTACCGTGATGATGTTGTTGGGATGGACACCCAACTGCATGCCCTTCTACAAGACAACCTTGAGCTAGCGAAGAACTGCTCCTCGTTGCATGCGGATCTCATGGTGGTGACGGAGGGCAGGGCGAGCCTGCAGAGGCAGCTTGCGTTCCATCTCGACGAGAGTGAGAAGCACGAGAGGAGACTCCAGTCAGAGCTCAAGAAGGTCAAGAGCTTGCTCTTGCTCTTCATCGGTATCAGCCGCAAGGTCCAGAAGATAGTGGCGTACGAGGGCTGGATCTCAGAGTGGCTCTACCGTAGGCACATCCGTCAACGTGCGAAGATCCTCCGCCTTGCGCACAAGAGAAGGTGGTGGAAGAAGTTGAGGAGCGCGATCCAATCGAAGCACAAGAGAGATCTTCGTAGCCTCAAAGCGCTCGACCTGTCGAAGATTTTCACCAGTCGCGGCCTCAAGTGCATCTTCACTGACTGGAGGGTTGTGCATCGGATCAGACGGCTGAGCTTGAGATTTCACAACACGTTTCTCAACCCGACGGCCCTGCTTTTCAACATGGTTGTCAGGTTGACACATCACTGCTGGGAGAGGATAGCTCTGAGAGTTGGTTTGTCGGCAGTTGGAAGAGAATGACGATGATACGCAAACGACTGACAGTGATCATCCATCTGATGCACGAGAGGATCAGTGAGAGTTCTTGTTCTTGTTCTTCTTGTTCTCCTTGTTCTTCTTGTTCATCATCATCATCATCATCATCATAACCTTCTTCTTGTTATTCTTGTTCTTGTTCTTGTTCTTGTTCTTCTTCTTCATCATCATCATCATAATCATCTCAGGCTTGACCTTTGTTGATCGATATGAGCAGATCAAGATATGAAGCCAAGATTTTTCAAGTTGTGGATGCAAGGGACCAAGGTTAGCAAACGAAATAGCAGCAGTGAAATGACTGATGATGTCATTTGCAGGTCATGAAGGAACTGAAATTGAAAATTGCAAAAGTGTGCATGATTGATGATTGCAACTTGAACTTTGAATCTTGAACGGTTGATAGATGTGCAAACGTTGTATGATACTTCCACAACAAGAGATCTTTGAATCATGGCGCAACTTCGCGATAGCAAAGACTCATGTGATCTTTTGTCGATGAATCTCTTTGATGAGCTCAGCTTTCAAACTTGCAGTGGTACAACACCATGGACGCCAAGATCTCCGCAATGATTTTGGCTTGGAGAGAAGTAAGAAGCTTCCCCTCTCCTCCCCTCCTCTTCTCCTCTTTCTCTCCTCTCCTCTCCTCTTTCTATCCTCTCCTCTCCTCTCCTCTCCTCTCCTCTCCTCCCTTCCCCTCTCCCCCCTCCCTCGCTTCGCTCCTGCTCTCCTGTCGGGATTGACTCGCAACTCTGGGCAGACTGCTCATGTTATGCGCGGCCTACATACCCGGCATCAAGGTTTTGTCAAGTTGATGTGGAGAGTGAGAATTCCTTGAAGTTCCTTATCGTGCATCCGTCTCATTGTCTTCTCAGTACATGTTTGAAGCAATCTTCGGAGAATGGAAGAAAACATCTCATCATCTCAAGGTGAACGTTCTCCTCCTGCTCCTGTTTGGTCGTCGTGATAATCTTGTCTTTCAGGTCCTCCAGATGAAGGTGAATTCAGCAAGAGAACGGAAGAATCACAAAACCAAACATCTTTGCTTTCAGTGGTGAGGATGTCATAACGAACATGTCAATAGTGCATGGATGACAATGATGATGATGATAATGATGATGAAGATGATAATGATGATGAAGATTATGATGATGATGATGATGATGATGATGAAGAGATGATGATGATGATGATGATGATGATGATGATGATGATGATAATGAGAAGGAGGAGGAGGAGGAGGAGGAGGAGGAGGAGGAGGAGGAGGAGGAGGAAAAGAAGGTTGGTGGTGCTGCCATTATTTTTGCTGTTGACGACAGCAGTGAGTTACACACGACACGTCTGATCTTCAGTCGCAGGCTTGTAGATTCAACTCTGTTCACTTTGGAATCTCCTGCCTCTGTTGTCCTCAGCAACATCTTTGAACGACAAGATAATCTCATTCTTGAGGTTTCTGATTTCTCAAAAACATCATTCCTATTGGTTCATATTCCCACCTGCTCCTCGCCTGCGATCTTCTTCATCTTTCTTTCCTGACATTTCTTCAGCTCACGTTTATCATCTGGACCAAGACATGCTCTATCCTCTCACTCCAGCAGAAGGAGACTGAAGCTCAGGTATCTCCTCCTCTTCCTCCCTCCCTCCCTCCCTCCCTCCCTCCCTTCCCCTCCTCTCTTGGGCTTTTTCCTTCTTGCCCTGTCCTGGTGTCTATCTACCCCTCCCTTTCCTCTCCTGCACTGCTCCTCCTCCACCCCCCCCCTCCCTGTTTCTTTTCTCGGACCTGCTTCTCCAGCCTCTGCTCGTCTCAGCTTCTGTTTCCTGCTTCTTTCCTTCTCACATCTTTTCGGTCAGTTCTGGAAAGACTTCAAGAGCAAGCCGGACATGGTTGTCTCTTCACCTCCTCTCTCCCTTCCTTCTCATATTCTGACTTCTAGACACTTCCCCTTCTCTGCCCTGCTCCTCGTCCTCTTCTCTTCCCTCCTCTCTCCCCCTCTCCCTCTGCTCCCCTCCTCCCGCTCTCCTCTCCGTCTGATCCTCCTGCAGCGCAACAAGAGCGTCTCGTCGTCCTTCTCGCTTCATCGTCTGACCCGAGAAAATTCTTTTCCATCCAAGAGAAGGCCTGCAGGAAGTGACCTGGTTCTCATGTAAATCAACCGCCGACAGGCGACCAGCCAAACAGTCAGCAAGCCATTCAGAATGCGCGTATCTCATCTTTCATTGTCAACCTGTCTTGTTCTACCCTCATGTAAGTCCATGGCGGATGTAATCGTAGAGAAGAAGGTCTACAACTTGCTTCCCCTGTCGGCAGACGAGCTGACAACAAATTGATCAACACGACAAGCTACCCAACGATCCTCACATAGACATTCCCGTAGATGTTGCAGCCAAAGACTCTTGTTGCTTCCTTGTTCAGCATCTCCTCATCCTCCTTGTGTGCAGACTGATGAAAAGGTCATCCAGTTACACACAAAAATGATTCGACAAGCGATCAAGAGCCACGGAGCCAAAGGCTACCCCAGCACAAGATTAGAGAGCAGGATTCCACTACACCAAGCATGCCCATGATGACTATTTCACTACTGACCTGTACGACTGCATAAACAGAGCTCACGACGCTCTCTTCTTCCAGATGGATTGGACTGTCAAAAAGAAATGACATGAATAGCAGGGACGTTCTTGTTATCACCGTAATACTCTGGACCTGCTCCTTAGCTTTCGCTCCAAAATCTGTAGAGATGTTGTGAATATTGTTATCAAAGATCTCCTCACGATAACTCACATTCTGCAGATCTTTCGAGCTCGATGCCCAGATGTTCGACTGGAAAATCTCTCCAGTCGTCTCCATATGCAACCTGAACGATCAGCAAACAAGATCAAATCCAGAGTTCTTCTTCGTGATGCAACCCTCACATCTTTACAAAAGGTCCCACAACATGGCAGCAAGCAAAGAAATGCTCGAGATTGATTGTCATCTTCTCAAGATCGCGATTCATTACGTGCGCCCATGAGTCTTCCCAGCTGTCAAAAGAAAGTTAGCCAGCCAGCCAGCCAGCCAGCCAGCCACTCAGTTGCCTTGCTTCATGTGAATCTTCATCTGTACGTAGTTTCCATTCCGATACAACCTTGTCATCCCAAGCGTCCTGCCAATCAGCGATCATATCAGCGATCATATCAGCGCAGGCTCGATCGCTCTCCAACAAACCTTGTAAGAGGTGATCGTTGGAGAACTGACATGATTGCTCTTCCCCTTCACGTTCTTGTCCTGATCTTCCAGAAGACCTGCAGACACCCACATGGACGAGTCCGAACCCTTGAAGAAATCCCTCCTCTTCTCCTCTTTCAACCAGACACGGGCAAAGTCAACAACGGCCAACATCGCAGTCAACGTACCGATCTCCCATGATTCTAGCTCGTGGATCGCTTTCTTGTTGGAGTTCAACTTGCTGAATGGATTGACCTCTGACGCATGCGCCAACCCCGCGTACGGCTCTCGCTCCTCTGCGTCCACAATGATAGGATCCCTCCGCCCTTGCTTGTGCAGGCCCAGTCCTTCCCCTTCCTTCCATCCCATCTTCAACAGGAGTGCGAACCCGACACTGTTCCTGACATCATCTGTCTCTTCCTCCTCCTTCTTGACTTCTTCCTCTTCCTTCTTTGTACCCTCTCTCTCCTTCTCCGTCGCCTCTACCTCCACCGTATCCTCTTTGTTTTCGCGCCCCTGGAGCCCCGTCTCATCGTCAGGTTGGCTTTTGCCGTTCATTTCGTCGTTCTACCATGAAGTCAGCTACATTCCAGTCGTGTCAAAAACATCATTGCTATCAACGAGTGTTCTCGAAGTACACATTGAATCTTCTGCTCTACGGCCAAGTACGAGGTAAATTCTATACTATTCAGTGCCTCGAAAGCTAATACAGCTGCTCACCCATCAAAGGCATTAGGACAGTTTCAACTTGTACTTGCTCGCATGTCTATCTACTGCTCATCTCTCTTGCCCTCCTCCTCCTCCCCTTCCTCCTCCTCCTCCTGCATTGTTGTTTCGGAAAATTGATCCCAGAAGCGACCGCATTTCGTTCTCACACCAACCCTACCCCATAGTGGAATTCATTACCCCCTACCCTCTGAAAACCAACAATCCTTCTAGAAAAGTACCCAACTTTACTCATGACAAAGTACCCCCACCCCCATTAGCCGTCAAGGCGCAACAGGAGGATTTGGTTCAGGTAGGTTTAGTTTGATTATAGAAGTTAGGTTCAGGACCAGCAGAATGGTGTAGTTTGGTGGGAGGGGAGGTGGGAAGGAGGAGGAGGAGGAGGAGGAGGAGGAGGAGGAGGAGGAGAAGGAGGAGGAGGAGGAGGAAGACTGCTAAAGTTGTTTGTTGAGGGAGTGGGAGAGTGGAGTAGGTAGAAGGAGGAGGGAGTGAAAGGCATGTAGCATGCGAGAGGAGAGGTACAGAATACAGCGCGAGGAGGAAGGGAGGGTGGAATTTAGCATGAAACCAGCCATGATTGACGCTGGGAGTTAGAACGCCATCTGGTGGAGAACACACTTGAGAGTGAATGGACGTTGACGGGGAGGTGAAAGTGGTAGAGGTAACCTAAGAATTGACGAAGCGAAAGAAAAGAAGGAGGACTAGAAAGAAAAGAAGGAGGGCTAGAAAGAAAGAAAGGAGGAGGGCTAGAAAGATAAAAAGGAATAACGGCCAAGGATAGAGAGCCAACTGTGAGTGTGTCTGATTGTCATCATCGCAGCACTTCATCGAATCCCCGACAATGGAGGGAGGGGGGGATGGGTCAAGGAACCGCAGGCAGGCGGAGAGGCTTGAAATCCTGTTGGAGTCCTCGAGGACGCTGATTGCGAGGCTGGCCAGCCTCAAGAACGAATTGAACCATCCTGACGTTCAGAGCCGCCTGCCATGGAACGAGAAGCAGATGAAGTCTGTGGCTCAGCACATGAAGAGCACGTTCCCTGCATATCCCAAGTGAGTTCTGGTCAAGCATGGAAGGGCTCTGACATTGTCCTCCCAGTCTACAGTCTCTTGATGACTCCAAGGGCCCTGAGGAGCTCAGGAAGCGCTCCAAGGCATCGATCGTCTGCCAGCTGCTCGAGAGGTACTTCCTCGCCTTCTACGACAGTGTTGATGTCCGAGAAGAGACGCGGATGCTCCTGGCTGAGATCGCGTGTGAGGGTCAGGGCATGCTGCTGCAGGAGATGCCGACGCTGGTTGCTGCCTTCATGAACCTGCTGGTTGCGTACATGGAGATGATCCTCCTCCTTTCTCTCATCGCAGACAAGGAGCTGATTGTCTGCTTCTACACCTACTGCTTTCAGTACGCCACTGATCTTCCTGTGACTAAGTACGAACCCGTCGCCAACTTGTTCCATCACGTCTGCCCGAGTTATGATGTCGCATGGCAATCTCTGAGGAGTGAGTTCGAAGAGGTGCCAACCTTCGCAAACTACGCGACATCGAAGAAGATGTCGGACTTCTTGCAAAGTTTGCTCTTTGAAGACAGGCGGTCAACGGCGTCGCAGTCTGTACTGTCTTACTACCAGTCGATGCGTGATTTGATCGATGGCGACTCATGCTTTGGAAATTCCTTAATTCATAGTGGGGAGAACCTGCAATATCCGTCAGGATTCAAGACAGTGGGAGAGCTGACTTACTGGATGGCACCGCAGATGGAAGACATGTTAACTTGGATGACGATGGGGCTGCTGGCATGCCCAACTTTGATCATACTGAATCACACCAAGGACAACGTGGAATTCATGAAGCACGTTCTAGAGGAGCGATGGGTGATTGAGTGTGCAGGACTGCAGATATGGACACATGTAGAGATGTACAAGATCTTCCATGACAAGAGCTTCATCTCGGAGTACGAGAAGAGTATGTCGAAGCAAGGTTTCAAGGCTGCCAAGGACCGTTTCAAGAAGTCGATCTCCAACTTCATCAAGAATGCTCCTAACGAGCACAGAAAGCGCAGGGCACTGCTGCATGTTCGGTGCGAGGGTTTCTTCCATGTGCTCAGCGACTCGCCTGGCCTCCTCGGCCCTCAGTGGTTCTCCGTACTGTCTCTGCTCTCCTTGGCCAAGTCAGAGACCCTCTGGTTCCTGCAGCATCGTGAGCTCCCGACAAAGAGGATGAAGGAGGGTGGGAAGGAGGCGGGAAAGACGTACAAGAAGCACGTGTGGCAGGCAGATTCTCCGACAGGGGAGGAACATTTCATCTCCCTCCTTGCATCCCTCCTTCGCCTCAAGAACCTCTCCCTCAAGTTCCAGCACGTTTCCTCCGACTATTTCTCGTCCTACCTTGAGGGACTGATCGGCTCGTCGCTGGCTCAAGCAGCCCAGGCAGCGGAGGACGGGAAGGTGTCGCAGTACATGTCGGAACTTGCTGAGGATCTGAGGCAACCCGAGCCGTCCAAGATGAGGAGTGTGCGTGTAGATGTACAGAGGCTAAACTGTTGGATCCGCAACAAGAACTACAGGAGCAGAGATGGTTTGGAGGCCATCTTCAAGAACTTGCAAAGAGCATATTATTCTGCCCTTGTTGTCGAGGACAGCGGAGAGACTGTCTTTAGCCATGCCAGTCTCGGAAGCATCTTCCTGTGGAACGACCAGCTTCTCTTTCATGCCATCCAAACCTTCTTCGAGATCAACCCAGCCAGCTGCTTGATTGCTGTCCAGGTCTATGATGACATGACCAGGTGTGCTCTTGCTCAGGCGTATCCCGAGGATATCGAGAGTCACGGCAAGCAAGCTGTGACGTTTGCTGAAGATCTGCTCAAAAGGCTGTGCAAGGCCTTCACTGTTATGCTCCGGAAGCTCATTCGTGATCGAGAGCAGACAGACGTCATCGGGTCGGCGATGGAAAAATCTCCTCTCGCCTCATCCCTCTCCTCCTTCTGCAGCCAGATCGCGCATGACTGTCTCACCATCAGAGTCTTCAACCGAGTCTTCAGTCCCCTCCAAGAAGTCGTCCGGGCAGTTCGACAGGATCTCCGCGACTTCCTGTACGAGAAGATGCTCACGGGAGGGATCATACAGCCAAGGATCACCTACCGCCAACTCCTCTCCTACCTCAACTCACTCTCTTGCCTCGAAGAGTTCGCCTCCATGTCGCTCCCTGACCTGCTGGGCACTGTACTGGAGGACGTCTTCGAGGACGCAGCGGTGGGGGCAGTGGGGAAGGGTTTCAAGCTTGACTTGACTGGCTCCTCCTTCAAGGACTCGACCTGCCTGTCCTACAGGGTGGCCGAGTGGTACGCCACCATGGTCGTGAAGCAGGACGTTTTCTTCGTTCCCTCCAAGAAATCTTTCGTTGGCCCCGAGCAATATGTCGAGGACTCCACCTCGGTCCCCTCCCTCATGTTCCTCTCCCTCCTCGTTGGGCCCAGAGGGTTGAGGTGCATGGACCGGGTCCTGCTCTCCAAGATCTTCAGGCTCCTCGAGAAAGTCCAGCTCAGCCTCAGCAGCAACCGGCCGACCCTGGCGAAGATAGCGGAGGACTTCAAGGTGCACGACTACAAGGAACTGGAGGGGCTCGGCCAGCTGGACCTCGACGACGCCTTCAAGGCCCTCAGCAGCATCGGATCTCTGCTCCAGCTGCGGCAAAACCTCCACCTCGCCCTCAGCCACGCCATGGAGCACTCCACCTGCCCCAGAGCCCTCCAGCTGTGCGTCAACCACACGGGCTCCTTCCTGCGCCTCCGGGAGACCTCGGAGCTGGACATGATCGCGTACGACATGGGAGGTAGCAACCATCTCTTCCCGGTCGACCCCAACTTGCAGCACACGGCTCTCTCCTCCGGCGTCTTCTCCAGGGAGGCCATGGCAAGCGGCCGTTGGAAGAACCTCGAGCTCCTCCTCGCAGGCCTCATCAGGTCCCATAACCTGCGCGACGACGTCGTGCTGACAGAGGCCTGTGGCTACGGAGGAGTCCTCAACGGCCCAGCTGTGGGCATTCTCGCTCTGCTCATCCTCGCCGTCAGCAACGAGCCGGAGGAGCAGCTTCGAGATACTCCGAGTGACCTCCTGCAGGAGCGACGCGTTTCCCACAGCATCGCCGTCCTCGTGCGCATCATGACATACCTGGCGTCGAAGCCCGCGAGCAAGAAGCAGAAGAAGAAGAGTCAGAGGTAGGGGAGGAAAAGAGCTTTGCTTGCTTCTGACCACCGCATCTGACCACCTCCTGCAGGGCTGCTTTCATCCTTATTGACAGGTTCATCGAGCATGCGGAGAAGTACTGCCCCAACGTCCGCAAGCACGCGCCTTCCTTCCTTATGTCTAGCGCCATTCAGAACCTCGTGGTTCCTGACGAGGCTCACAACGAGACAAACTTCACTGAAGAAGGGATAGTCGAGTAGTCTATGGCTCAGTCCCAAGGCCTCCTGTACCAGTAAAGTACCGCTAATTTCAACCGTCGGGCCCGGTAAATGGCCGCAAATCCCTGAGTGTGACTCGACTCCGAGGCTCAGCTCCGGGCCGATCGGATGATAGTACGGATACTCTGACGGATACTCTGACGGATACTGAGGTAGGGAGAGAGGGAAGGGAGAAAGGGAGTGAGAGAGAGAGAGAGTGAGAGAGAGAGAGAGAGAGAGAGAGAGAGAGAGAGAGAGAGAGAGAGAGAGAAGAGAGGAGGAGGAGGAGAGAGTGAGAGAGGAGGAGAAGGAGGTGGAGAAGCCAAGGAGACGACAAGGAGGCAAGAAGAAAACAATATAAAGAAAAGCTCAGGTGACCTCCCCCACATCCTGCAGTGGGATCGACAAGAGTGACTCACTGGTATACAGCGAGCATGCCTGATGGCATCAGCCCCAAGAACGAGGCATGGGAGCAGGACTCGTCCAAGAACTCAAGGCTCTCCCATGGCGGCAAAGAAAGCATTGTCTTCTTCATCGATATACACAAGGAAGAGTTTCCAGGCGTCGTATGGCCGACCCTCAACGGGTCCAACGGGTGATGTCATGATGAAATGTGCGCACGTGGGCTCACAGGTAGCAGGAACCTCACGTTGGAGCTGTTCAAGCAGTGTGTCTCCTTGATAGTCCTCACTCAAGCGCGAATCAGCAGGAACAATGAGTTCTGCTTGTGCGTGTTGTTGGATGGAGCGATCCTCTGCTCTGAGTTCACCAGCGACATCTCGCAATTATTGGATCAAGTGTATGCTCTTGAGGGCCAGGAGCCCTTCAGCGAGCTCGACATGGCGTCTGTATTCAACATCCTCCAGGAGAGGAAGCAAACTGTTGCCGTTTCACCCAAGAACAGCACAGGAGACAATCTCGTCAGAGGTATCCTCTTCTATGCCCGATCTCATGCCCCGAAGTTTGTTGAGGGCGAGGAGGCCTGGCGTGAGCTGAGCAGGGACCCGGATGTCGTTCTTGATGCCATCTTCGTTCACTCCACCCACGGCTCTAAGGAGAAGGCGCAGGAAATCTTTGACTTCTTCATTGACTTAGACATAGACAACTCAGGGCTGCCCTACACGTTTGAAAGTGTCTTGAACCCCAAGAAGTCAGTCTCTTTTCTCTCTCCTCTCCTCTCCTCTCCTCCCCTCCCCTCCCCTCCTCTCCTCCCCTCCCCTCCCCTCCCCTCCCCTCCCCTCCCCTCCCCTCCTCTCCTCTTCTCTCCTGCCCCTCTTTCGTGGTGCCTGTTGTTTCTTCCGCCTCCTCCTTTCTTCTCTCTTCCACTCTGACTATCTCCTTATCAGAGTTTTGCGCTGCGCTGCTCAGCTCGCTGCGAACGGACGGCAGAGGCCGAAGCAAGGCCTGCTGGTCAACGACCTGACCAAGATCGAGCTGACCGGGCTCACGGACAGCATGGACACGACAGAGGAGGAGGAGGATATTCCCGTGGGGATTCCTGTACAATAAAGCGTCGAGACTGCTCTTGTGGCCTCGTGTTTGCACTCGCGCCCTTCCTTCCATCTTATGGGCTGTGTTAAACTACATCTTTCTATGGAGGGTCTCATGGTTGTTGATGCATCCTTGTGGAGCTTTCGAGCTTTCCATTCTGATCCACCTCGATTGTGCTCCTGATCAGTCTCTTGTTCCTCCTCGTCCTGCCTGGCTTGTCCTAAACCTCATTCCTTCTTCCTCCTTTTCATCCCCGTCCTCCTCCTCATCATCGTCCTTCTCTCCCTCGTCCTCGACCTCGTCCTCGTCCTCGACCTCGTCCTCGTCCTCATCCTCCTCCTCGTCCTCCTCGTCCTCGTCCTCCTCCTCCTCCTCCTCCTCCTCCTCTCTCGTTCATGATCTACTCGACTTGCAGCTCTGAGCTCGTCATGAAGATTTCTGTCTCGAGTTGCCTGCCCCTCTACCCCTCCAGCACCCACCACCCACCTCCCTTACCCCCTTGGTATTCAGTACCCTTTACGATTCTTCACTACCGGTACTTTTGAATACTAATTTGTGGACATTTGTAGGTAGATTACTACTACCCCCACCCATGTACATGAAGGATCCTTGACCCCTGAACCTCAGGGTCCGTAAGAATGGCGCCGCGCATCTGCGATGACAAGAGATCAGGGAGCGAAGCAGGCGAGAAGGAGGAAGAGGACAGAAGGAGGGGAGGGAGGGAGGGAGGGAGGGAGGGAGGTAGGGAGGGAGATGAGGAAGGTTAAGTTGGGTTAAAGGAGACGGGATGAGGCAGATCAGAGATAGACGAACAAGGAAATGAAGAGGGGGAGTGGAAGACATCGTCAGGGACAGGATGAGAGATATGAGAGACGAGCAAAGCTGAATCTTTCATGTAACTGAAAAGAACAGAGACAAGAAGGGAGGTCATGGTCTAGATATCGATTAGAGACTGAGGTCAAGACAAAGAGATGAAGTAGATTAAGAGAAAAAATGTAATGGCCACGCAAGAGTGGGAGAGTGTAATGGAAATGAGTAAGAGGTCCAATTCTTTCATATCAAAGTGAACGAGTGTCGTCATCGATGATTTCGAGAGCTCTCAGACTTGAACCGTCCTCTGCCTCCTCCTTCCTTCATCTCTTGCCTCGCCCTCTGTCCTCCTGACGCACTCGGCGATCGCCAGGCTCGCTATGGCCAGCAAGAAGAAAGTCACCCAGGCAGAACTGGAGTCGGAGTTGGAAGACAGCATCGAATGCCTGCGACAGGTGAGCAGCTCACCCGAGAGTTGGTGCGTCTCCCTCACCTGCCATCCCCTGTACAGCTGGGTATAGTGCTGGAGAACTACGGGGGACCCCAGCACGAAGCCAACTACTTCGATCGGATCAACGAACTTGTCGACCATCTCAAGAAGATTCACTCTATGAAGGACGCGGTGCAGGAGACCGTTCCACTAAGTGTGATAGAAGACTATCTGGACAAGGGCCTGACCCCCGAGCTCTACACCAAGCACAGGCTCAAGGTGGCGGAGGCGTACAACCAGCAGGCCAAGGGGAGAATTGACTCGCTCAAGCTGCTCCATGACCATGTCAGGAGGTGACATGATGATGATGAGGATGATGATGATGATGATGAGGAGGAGGAGGAGGATGTGGCTATCATCTTGAAGGACGATAACGTCATTTGTTGTGATTGCTCCTTATTATGCCCTTCGCTCCTGTTGTTGTTGAACGCTGCTGATTGTTCTCTCAGCGAGGTCAAACGAAGGCTCGGGCCCTCGCCAGAGATCAAGTTCTCTGCTGCTGGTGGGGGAGGAGATGCACAGGCCGCCTCCAAGGAAGCGGAGGGGAAACAAGGAGGAGGGAATGAGGAGGAATCGAAGATCAACGAGGGGGCTGGAAGTGGGGAGGGGCATGAGAACGCTGGCGAGGGAAGGGGGAGGACAGATGCAGCGGAGGAGAAGGGAGGAGGAGGAGGAGACCAGGAGAACACATCTCAGCCCATGCAGGAGGATGTGCAGCAGGAAGCAGGGACGAGCGGGGTGGATGTGAAGAAGGAGGCTGAGGGCGGTGAGGCTCCAGTTGGGGGTGGAGCAGGAGCAGAACCTGCGGCGCAGGTGAAGGTCAAGGCAGAGCCTGGGACAGAGGAGGCGATGGATGTTGATCCTTCGGGAGATCAGTGAGGAGGAGGAGGAGAGGGAAGAGGTCAGGAAGGTGATGAAGGGGTATGAAAAGTTAAGTTGGTAGGGCTTATGTGACTTTGGAGAATGAAAGAAGAATATATTGCTAAGATTGCACAGAGCAAACTTGATCTAGATTACACGATGTTCAGAATCTGCAGACAGAGTCAAAGGAGATTGACGAAAATGAAAACATCACTCACCGACTTGAGCCCCTCGTAGACAGCAAACTGAATGCCTGCACAAACATGTCAGAAATCCCTCTCCTCCTGCTCCTCCTGCTCCTCCTGCTCCTCCTGCTCCATTTCCTCCTCTCTCCCCTCCCATTCCTTGATATTCCTTCACATGCTGATGCTCACCTGTGTTGGGCACTCCTCGGATACACGTTGCTGTCAGCCCCCGGTACAAGCTTCTTACCCCCTGGACTTTGTCGTCAGATGCAGAGAAAAGCATGCAGGTGGATCAGGGCAGAAACGATCGTGAGGGATGGTGGGAAGTGTTAGACCATGGTGAGAGGAGAGGAGGAGAGCATGAAGAGGAGGAGAAGATGAAGAGGAGGACAGCATGAAGAGGAGGACAGTATGACGAGGAGGACAGCATGAAGAGCAGGGAGAGCAGCGTGAGGGCAAGAGAAAAGTAGGAGGTACCTCCCGCTTGACCATCTGAGCTGCACAGTCAATCGCATTCTTGTACAGGATTTGAGCGCCCGCAGCCCCCTGAAGAGACGAATGAGAGACGATCTGGACGATCGGGAGAGAGAGGGAAGAACAATGATGGAATGATGAGAAGTGAAAATGATAACGACAAGTGAGAGGAGCAAGATTTGAAGGAAAGAATCATCGAGTTATCAAGAGATAATACATCCATTGGAGGGAGGACATGGGATTGTGTGCAAGGGAACAAAAGACATCGGGGAGAGAAAGAGAGGAGGAGAGGGGAGGGAGAGAAGCAGAGGGAGGGAAAGAAACCTGAAGTTGCATTCGTCTTCTTATCGTATCCATCGGATAAGTTACGATGTGTGCGACTGTTGCAGCTGAAAGGAAGAGTGAGAACAAGGAAAGGAAGAAGAAGAAAGGGAGAAGAGCGAGACAAGCAGAGGACGAGTAAGGGACGAAGAAGAGGAGGACAAGGAGTGGAGATGAAACAAGACGAGAAATACCAGAAGCGCCGGCAACCAACTTCCATCCCACGTTCTGCTTTCCGTCTTGATCCTTGTGGAACAAAGTCAACCGAGGCAGTCTCGTCCTTGCATTCGTTTTACCTTGGGTAGAACCTCTTTGAACTTGGCGTAACTGTAAAACTTGATGCCTGACCAGCATGTAAACACGTTGCAACCTGATGGATTTGCAGGCATGCTTGTATGATGGTAACAGGATAGAGCGTGTAAGAATGAAAGGTGCGTATGTTGCAACTGGCTGTAAACATTCTGCTGTTGGCATGAAGTCACCTTCGTAGGGAAAGGCTCCGATAAGAGTCGGTGAAACCCCACGGTACAATCCCATCAGTCCCTGAGGCGTTGGGAATCGAGACGAAAGACAATTGAAAACGATGCAGGTCGAGAGGATAAGGAATTGAAGAGGTAAAGAGAGAAGAGAAGAGAAAAGGAAGAAGAGGAGAGAAGAAAAGAGGAGAGGTGAGGTGAAGAGAGGAGAGAGGAGAAGTGAGGAGAAGTGAGAAGACAAAGGAAGAGGAGAGCGTCAGTTTGACGACTGAACATTCATCTGATGAACACCTCTTTCTCCACCACTCCGACTGCTGTCTGCCACCTGAAAAACATCATCAACTCCGTCTTCATCACGAATAAATACATTCACGCTTTGCCGATCAAATAGAACATCTCACAAGAGTTCACATTGAATCTCATCGATCAATTCGTATCACACAACCAAACTTCCTCAAAGTTAACAGCTTCAGATTGCAAGACAACATTCCATCCAAATGTTCTCTTCACCACATCTTCGTGAACTTCATGACATCTCACCAGGTATTCCCTGCTACTCCAGTCTTGATCGCTCCCTCAGTCATCAGCCTTCCCGCCATTCGTCTGTCACTCCTGTGAGAACACCACAGAGACAAGGAGAGGACACCAACGTGCGGATAAGGTCGAGGGGATACGTGGCAGCCACCGACGTCATGCCTGGTCAAGGTGATGACGTGAAGTCAAGGTAGGTTAAAGGAGACGAACAGGATAAGTAGGAGGGGAAGGAACTGGTGGAGCTGGAACAAACCTGAGGAGGAGGAGGACAAGTAGGAGAAGAGAGAGGAAAAGGATGGAGGATGGAGAGGAGGGGAGGAGGGGAGGAGGAGGAGGAGGAGGAGGAGGAGGAGGAGGAGGAGGAGGAGGAGGAGGAGGAGGAGGAGGAGGAGGAGGAGTCATTCACCAGCGAGACTGCCACTGAGAAAGTGTTGCATTCCCATCCCCGCAGCTACGCACAAGCTTGTCAATCAAGAATCGCAGCCTCTTGCTGCTCCACCTGCAACGGCTGGAACGTTGGCCGCAATGGAAGCAGCGAGCTCCTGCGGTACAATGAAGTGAGAGACGCGGAGGAGAAGAAGGAAAAGCACCTTATACAAGTCGTTGGTTGCATGCAGAACTCCCTTGTTTGGCACCATTCGCAAAACATTCACTGTGTTTCCTGTGCAATGTGTTACTTACCCGGTTGTTCCGCGTCTCGACTGCAACAAGAAAAAACAGAACGTTGAGATCAGGACAGACAAGCGAACCTCAGTCATGCAATCTGAACCTTCAATGCAACTCTAGACACAACGATGGTACATGAAGATCGAAACAACAATCACCTCGCCAAAGTCCTCGGATTCCCTCCTGTTCGATGACAGACCTGCGGGTTTCAGGGTCACAGATATTCGCTGAAATGACAAGCTCGCAGACTTGAAAGCAGAAACAATGCCATTTCGGCACTCTCCTGCCGTTCGTTCGACATCAGCGAACAGATTCAGTGAGCCCTCGACTGTACCGGCTTGTGCGAGCAGCTTCACCCTCTCCAGGGGAGCTACGCAAGTCTTGGCCGTGGCACCGGCAATCCCACCTGACAGCGAAGAAAGATAATCAACCCAAAGGCGCGATAGTAAGCAGGTTGGTGTCGCTACCTGCTATCAACAGGATGGCTGTCTTCTGGCCGGGAGGCAGCGCACGGATTTTCTCCTTTGCCATGGCAGCAAAGGGGTCGGAAAGCTTCTCCGACTGGACCACTTGCGACTCGATAGCCTGACTCCTTCCTCCTCCAGCTGCAGGAGACTTGACTTGCCCAGCTGCATTGATCCCTGAGGCATGCTAGTCAAATTTGGCCATGTCAAAATCGGCCTCCTCACTTGATGTGAACGTGCTCGTGACCCCTTCGACCCACGCCCAGGCCTTGTCAACAGTTAGAGACTGCAGGCGGACATCGACCTGATAGCTTGCAGTACCTGATGCCCTTGGACTGCCGCCAAGAAGTCATGACTCTGGGAGAGAAGAAGTCAGGTAAAGAGCGTCACAGCCAGAGTCCTCACCGGACGAATCTTGATGGAGGGAGCAACAATACCGCCGGAGGAATGAGCTGCTCCAATGCACGCAAGAAACAGGACCAGAAGCACTTCAATTCCAAAACGAGCTGGCATTGTTCTTGTTAAAGGACTTGTTCTTAGCAATCTCTCCTTTTTCTCTTTCTCTGTCCCTCCTTCGCTCTCGCTCTCGCTGTCTCGCCAAGGGGAGGCAGTGTAAGTGCCAATATCAACCTGCCACAAAACTCGTCAAAGCTCAGTAAATGATCCTTTCGAGAGAAACATCTGATTGCAATGAAGGTTTCATACATTCCAACATTCGAAGCCAATACTAGAATGCTTGTTGAATTCTAGCCTAGCACATGCTATGCCATGCCTTCGAGCACTCCTACCCATTCTTGTCGACAAGCTCTGATATCTACCTAAGATTCTTCCTTTCGCCACCGCCAAATTATCAAAAAGCGTTCACAAGGCTGTTTCTTCTAGAGATTGATCCGTTCTCGTACCATCTTCTGTTACCAAAGTCTTTAAATCAATCTAAGCCTCCTTCATTTTTTCCCTACACCTCAACTCTCCATGCCTATCGCACCCTTCCTTTCACTGAAACATGCATTCCGCTTCGTCGAGTGCCATGTTTTTTGGGGTCTCGTGCTATCTCCCATAATCGCTGTCTCCTCGTTCGCTTGCATCTTCATGCTCTCCCGCCTTGCTGCCCTACGACGTCGCCATTGCACCCTCCATCAAATGCTGGAGTTTCACCTTTCCCCCTTTCATACTACCCTCTTAAAATACCCTACCCCATTCGTTGATCTACCCCCATCCATCTCCTAACCCTGTGAATAGATAACCCACCTAACCCTTTGAATCGTCTGATGAATCTATTAGCTATACTACCCTGATCTTCATCTGTAAAAAGTACCCGTACTCATACAGAATTATTGGATTTACCCCTTTTTAATAACCCCACCACCCAATCATGATTGAAGTGTGATAGCAGTACCGGTTCTTTTGTATACCCACCCGTACTTTGCACTGTGGCACTAGTACTTGCATCTCCCCCTCACCCCACCCTCTTCGATTCCCACAAACCCTATCTTGGACTACCCCTGGCATCCCTTTAGTTTCATGACCCCTCAACACCTTCTCCCCATTTTGGAGGGAGCTTTCAAGCACTTCTTCTATACTCATGGTATCTATTTTTACTATTGAAACAATAGGCAATACTGATATAGTACTTGGGTGGTCATATCAACAGAGATAAGTCACAATTACCACCCACCTCTCTACCTATTTTTAGGTACACCAGAGTGTGATACCCCTCAATCTAGGTGGTGGGTCATTTGGACCAAGGACCCCACTTATCTACCCCTGATCTATTGGTTTTGATTTAGTAAAGATGACCCGTACTCCCTACTAACCCCTTACCTGAAGTTGGATAGGCACTTGCGACTGTACTCTCAGTGACGGAGGCCAGGCCGGCCGGATTCGGCAGAGGCCCGGGAAGTTTGAGGATTCCATGCAAGCAAACCAGAGGGAGGGGAAGGGGAAGACGGAGAGGGAAGGGGAGGAGAGAGCAAGCGAAGCAAAGAGACGAGAAGTAGAAGCTTGTAGAGAAAGCCTCAAAAGAGAAAGGGAGAGGGAAAGTAGAGGAGGAGAGAGTAGAGGAGTACAGCAGGCGTGCTGTTAGGAGATAACTGCGCTTGAACCAGAAAAATCTGGTGTATCTCCTGATCCTCTTCTGTTATAGCCGCTTGTACTCTAAAACGACTATCTCGACTGCAAATGGATAGAATATCGAAGGTTACTACTTGAGCTGTTATCCATTCAGATCATTTTACTGGCCTAGATCGTGGATGAAGGGAGATACTATGAAGCTTTGCAACAGTACAAGTCAACCTATTTTCGTTACAAGCTGAGGAACAATCCAGCCACGGTACAATGTCTTCCACCGCATGTTGTTGAGGATCTCTGAATTGCAATGACCAGATCGACTTGTTGCGATCAGGGGCTGTGAAGTTGTTGGAACACAAGCAGTACGAGGGAGGTTTGGAGCTGGGCTCTCTGCTTGTGGAGCATCTGGTTAGCGCCGATCCAGCGGCAAGCAGTGATTCTCTCGGAGCTGTAAAGAGCATAGCAGAAGCGTTCTCTGAGTGCAGGTTGGAAGTTTCTTTCGCTCTTTTGGTCTGGTTGAACCTGACATGTTGATGATAGCGGAGCGGAGGGACACCAAGTTCAGTATCTGACCAGAGCGATCAAATGGAGCAAAGGAACGCGAGAGAGCAAGGTGAGCATGTATGCAGATGCCACTTCATTCGTGAACGCTGGGCGCCGGTGTTGGTAGAGTGTGGGCGACGCAACTTTGCACCAGTACATTGCGGAGGCCTACCTCGTGAGGTGGTCTAGTACTGCTGATAGCAAGTGACCCGTTGCTGGCAGAAACTGAACAACCTGCCCCTTGCGCACATGCACTTTGCATGCGGGAATGATCCCAAACGTTTTGCAACTCTCCTGAGAGCCATGAGCTCCGAGTGCAGAGGAGAGGAACAGGTAGCTGATTGCCTGCTCCTGTCTGTTTGACCTCCGCTAGGATCTTGTATGGGCCCGTGCTATCCTACAATCCCTTTGCGCTAAGAACCTTGAACTTGCCGTTGGCTTGCTCGAAGAAAGCATGAAGACGGTGGGTGTTGCTGATGAAACTTTGTGGCGTTGTGAAATGCAGGGAAATAACATCGAGTTCAGGAAAATTCGTCTCTAAATGTCCGGAGTGTCTGGGAATCAAGAGCTATCGCAACAGCAAACTTTGACTTTCTCCGTTTTCTGGTTTTGGCATGTCAGAAGAGAAGTTTAAAACTGTTCGACAAGCTGACGGTATTGTAAATGCTGTTCTCATCTGTTAATGATTTTGCGGTTTCTCAGTATGAATATGAAGAAAATATTCAAAGGGATCCAATGTTTGCAGATTATGTGGAAAAGATAGGAGAGATTTTCTGCAATCACCCTCCAAGAGTAAAGATGGGTAAACAATCTAGATGTGACATTGCGAATTTTTTGACATCTCGTAGGATTTCCGGGGTTTTTGAATTCACTCTTTGGGGGTCTACAGTGATTCAAATCCAATCAATGAAGATTTCAACAAAAACATGAACAAGGATTTCACATGTCTTTATTCGTGACGCCGCTGTAGAAATCAATCACCATTACATCATCAAATGACGTAATGGGGGCCACGTACAAAAGTCTTGACACGAGAGAAGTTCATCATATTTTCCTTGTCAGTTTGATACATCTGCACCTCCTTGTAGTGATACTTGGGCATGTTTGTCTCCTTGAGTGCTGCGGGCCTTGAGCTCACCGAGTGGCTCGAGACCACCTGTAAAGGAATGCTCCTCGACTCCGTGCTGCTCGACGAGGGCGCGAAATTTAACCTTGCTGAGCTCGTGTAGGAGGAGAGCTGTCGGTGGTTGTCAACGTTCATGTAGGATATCGGCATGCCCGTCGGGTGAATGATGGGCTGGTTGAAGCTCTTTGTTCCAGGCTCAGAGATGTCAGAAGCATCTGTGCGACAAGAGGAGTAGGGGCTGATGGAGATGGTTCGTTGACTCGGCTGCTCTGATGCAATCAAACTGATCACCTTCTTGCTCTCGCTGTGCACAAGGTCTCCAGCGGCGGGCTTCGGGGACGTATGCGGGGAGCCGGGTGAAGTTGAATTGTGCGACGGAGGTTCTGTGCCTGCTTTCCCTCTCTCATGCTTCTCGTCACAGCTAGCGGAACTTTCAAAGGCAAACCCAGACTTGAGCCTCAGGGGTTCTTCCAATCCACTCAAGCACGAAGAGGCGCAGGCCTTGTCGAATGAGGTTTCCCTTGCATGGAAATTTTCTTTGTGAAAGCTCTCTGTCTTGGTTTCTTTCATCGAGTGATCTGCAAAGGACAGTTCCGTCAAGTTACCCACCATTTCCTGCGTTGAGTAGAGTGAAACGGCTTGAAGTGGAGAGTAATTGTTGACAGAGACGTGTACACTTTCTCCTTCTGAGACCGTATCATTGGGCTGATGAATATCGGATGGTCTTGCCTTGATCAAATCATTTGCCTCTCCTTTCCTGTCTCTGTCTTCATACAGCACCTTGTCCACGTGCGCTAAAGTAGAATCGATTCGTTCCAGGAGCTTTCGAACAGCACTCGGACTGCACTTTTGTGAGATGAGATCTGCATTCTTGATCTCATCTAGTTTTTCAATGTGTGATGACATCAGGGATTGCAGTGATTGAATCAAAGACTCGTGCACGTTCTTGTACATTGACACTCTCTTCAGTTCGTCCTGAAAATTCAAATTTTACCATGGAGCATAATCCTCCTCTGTTCATTTGATCTTGGCATTGGGCAAGTGGGTTTAAGTGGTAAACATGCTTGCATCATATGCAAAGGTTACTGAGATTTGTGATCGACAACTGTTATCAGCACACCAATCAATCTGCCACCGGAACGTGCATATCGAGAACGGGGGTGACCGCTGTCTAGTCTAGTAAACACTGATTTCTTTGTGGTTCAAGTTTCATCTTCCAATCCAACACGAGTTGTGTACAGCACAACGATCGCACATGCTGCCATGTTTCTTACCTCCAGGTCTTCGATCTTCTCCTTCGCTCTCCGGAGCTCTGCTTCCGACATGGCGCGCAGCTTGAGCGGCGAGGTTCGGGCCAGCAAGGAAGGGCAGATTGAATTTCAGCCCGCGGGACCTACCGCAAGTCAACGGAAGGGCAGGGGCTGCCGGTAGCCGCTTATTAGTGACTAGTGACTCGGCCCGCCGCCGTTTTATGCCCGGGACCCGGACTGGAGGCCGTTAGGTGACCCAGTGACTGAAACGCCGGTCGGCGGCGACGGCACGGTACGGTCACCGCGGCCGCGCCGGGCCGTCACACTGACTCCCGTCCGGCGATCGGCGCCAATTTGCCGGCCCGGGCCGGGGCCACAGCCGCCGGGCAGTCCGGCGCCCCGCCGGGGCCGGCCCGGGGGCCCCCGGGCCCGACCGTTCGGCGTCGGCGGAACTTCGGAAGTTGATCGGACGGCCCGGTCACTGGCAGTCACTCGGAGGGTGCCGATCGTCACTTCGGGGGCGGCCCGTGGCACGCCGGGCCCGTGTGCCACGTTGACTGCCGCCCGGTCTGGCGGCCCGGCCCGGCCGGGCCGCCCCGTTCACGGTTTACCGTACCCCGGGCCGGCGCCGCCGGAGCCTCGGAGTAGCACTGAACACTGAGTGGCGGTGTGGCGACCCGATCCGACGCCGGCGGCGCCGCAGCCCCGGTCCGGCCCGGCGGCCGCCGCCCGGCGGCGGCCGGCACACCGTGCCTTCCGGCCGCGGGGCCGGCAGATCGTTCGGAGCTTCGGCCCGTCACCCCGCCGCCGGCGCCCCGGGCCGGGCCGGCCCCGGCGGCCCCCGTGCGGCCGGCCCACACACGGCCGTACAGTCACAAGTTCCAAGTTCGTGGCGGCATTGAGTTGCCCCGGCGTTGGGTGGCACCCGGCGGGCCCCGGACTCTCACGCCACGGTGGGACCGTCGGCCCCCGGGCGCCCCGGCCCGGGGGGGGGGGGCGGCCCGGTTCCCGGAGTCCTCCGGACTCCGGGAGTCCGGACTGGACGGTCCGATCCGACTACGGTCCGATCTCACTGAGCCTACAGCGCGGCCGGGGCCAGCACTGCGGCAATGGCACCGTGTGGCACTCAGCCGCCGGTGACTGCCGCGCAGTCGCGGGCGGGCCCGGAGCCTGTGTGACCGGGCCGCGGCCCGCCAGCCTCGGCTCCCGGACTCGTCCCGGCGGCGTACCACAGCGGCGGCCCGGCCTGCGGACCGGCGTCCCGGCGGCGTACCACAGCCGGGCGGCCCGGCCGCCGCCGCGGTCACTCAGTGACGGTCGGACCGTTACGCCCCCCGGCCGCCCGCCCGCTCAGTGCGGCCGCCGCGAGCGCCCGGCCGCCGGTCGCGAGCCCGAGCCGGGGACCGTACTCGGGATGCGGCTCGGCCCGGACTCAGCATGTACGGTGACCGTACGGTACTTATTACTTACTTACCAGTACTAGCTGAGTAAAAGGAAGCCGGTACTCCGACGGCAAAGCCCGTGCCCGTGCCCGTGCCGTTTTACCGTGCCAGCCTGTGATCGGACAGAAGTAACCGAGTCAACTTATAACCGTGAACAATTTCCCACAACGCTTGACGCTGAAAAGCCGGAGCCTTGGATGTAGTAAAATTTAAAACTCGTTTCCGTTGAACTTCAAGGTCAGCGCAGATCACGCCACCGCGTTCTGAGGTCATGGACAATCGCAGCCAAATCCGACCTATTTTAAAGAAGTCAAGGCCGACCTCTTGCTCCAAGTTCACACAAGACTCCATGATGCAGCACAACGATGATGATTCTGATTGTGAGTGGCTCCCCTCTCCCCTCGATGCCCTCTACTTCCTCCCCTCCCATCCCGCTATCCCTGATCCCCTCCCCTCCCCTGACCCCTGGAGCTCTCCCGACGACCTCTGGTCCCCTTTCGACCAGCCAGCCTTCGACCAGCCAGCCTCGCAAGACTCCGAGCCTCTCCAGCTCATCCTCCACGACCCAAGCGAGGAGACGCCCGACCCAGAGCCAGTCTTCCCTGCCCCAGTGCTGACCCGGCCTTGCCTCCCGCTACCCCGGCCTTGTCTTCCCCCGTCCCCGGCGGCTCCTGCTCGGGCCATCATGCTCCTCGAGCCTCTGCCTGATCGCCGGAGCTCCTCCTCCCCCGCCTTCCTCCCCTCCAAGCTCACCCTCGGCCAGAAGCTCGACATCGTCCGCCGCAGCGAGGCCCCCAAGCACGACCTCGACTACCGCTCCCCGTCAGAGCTGGCGCGCATGTACGGCAAGAGCCGGTCGTCCATCTCCAAGATCCTCAGGCCCTCCTACGTCGGGAGGCTCAAGCAGCTTGCGGCCAGCGGCGTGTCGACGGACATCAGGCGGAGCACGAGCACGCTGCACCCGGAGCTGGAGCGGCGGATCCACGAGTACGTGGTGAGGACGGCGAGGGGAGCGAACTGGCGGCAGGAGGTGTGCAGGTACGCGGAGAGGGTAGCGGAGGAGCTAGGGGTGGAGGGCTTCAAGGCGAGCTTGAACTGGTATCATCGCTTCATCGCGAGGCACTCGCTGAGGAGCGAGCCAGCGGCGGCGGCAAGGAAGAGGAGGGGAGCATGGAGCTACTGAATGGATCAAGGAGAAGGCATTCGTTCAAGGAGTTGCCGTTTGAGCCATGTTGTTTTTTCCATTGCAAAAAGCCAAGGTGTATTATAGGTGTCTGAGAGATAGATATTCTTTATTAAAGAGGGAACAGGGAAGGACACAGAGATTAAATATTTGTGAACTCTCAGCACGTGTTATGATCTGTGCTCGATACTGATACATTCCTGCATATCAGGGACAATATGTGAACTAACTGATGGCGTCTGTATAGCTCGTTGAGATGAACCGTAGCTTGATAGGAATGGAATGAAATAATTGAAAAATCCATGAAGACTGCAATGATAGATAAAAATAGAGACTTTCGACAAGCAGCTTGCAGAGAAATGCATTTAGTAAAAAAGAGGAAAAAAAAAGGAAAAAAGGAAAAAAAGAATTGAAGATTGCTGACGGTCGATGACTGCATGTTTTACTACAGGTGACAACGGTGACTTTTTAGATAGTAATATGGTCATTGCAAGGTCATATCCATTCACCGCCAACCACGCACGAGTATATACATCCGCTGTCCTCGAGCTAACAGCACCTCATCCACAAGATGCAGCACAACGATGATGGTTCTGATTGTGAGTGGCTCCCCTCTCCCCTCGATGCCCTCTACTTCCTCCCCTCCCATCCCGCTATCCCTGATCCCCTCCCCTCCCCTGACCCCTGGAGCTCTCCCGACGACCTCTGGTCCCCTTTCGACCAGCCAGCCTTCGACCAGCCAGCCTCGCAAGACTCCGAGCCTCTCCAGCTCATCCTCCACGACCCAAGCGAGGAGACGCCCGACCCAGAGCCAGTCTTCCCTGCCCCAGTGCTGACCCGGCCTTGCTTCCCGCTACCCCGGCCTTGTCTTCCTGTCCAGTCCCCGGCGGCTCCTGCTCGGGCCATCATGCTCCTCGAGCCTCTGCCTGATCGCCGGAGCTCCTCTTCCCCCGCCTTCCTCCCCTCCAAGCTCACCCTCGGCCAGAAGCTCGACATCGTCCGCCGCAGCGAGGCCCCCAAGCACGACCTCGACTACCGCTCCCCGTCAGAGCTGGCGCACATGTACGGCAAGAGCCGGTCGTCCATCTCCAAGATCCTCAGGCCCTCCTACGTCGGGAGGCTCAAGCAGCTTGCGGCCAGCGGCGTGTCGACGGACATCAGGCGGAGCACGAGCACGCTGCACCCGGAGCTGGAGCGGCGGATCCACGAGTACGTGGTGAGGACGGCGAGGGGGGCGAACTGGCGGCAGGAGGTGTGCAGGTACGCGGAGAGGGTAGCGGAGGAGCTAGGGGTGGAGGGCTTCAAGGCGAGCTTGAACTGGTATCATCGCTTCATCGCGAGGCACTCGCTGAGGAGCGAGCCAGCGGCGGCGGCAAGGAAGAGGAGGGGAGCATGGAGCTACTGAAGGGTTTAAAATGCGATATTTCGACAAAGCCCATGGATATATGTTCGTGGTGTACCAACGCTGTCTGGATGGAGGAGATGGAGGCAGACAGGAAGGCTTCGAGCACTACAGACGATTTATGCGTTCTTCGTACTACAAAGCGTTGACATTTTTTCGCAAACTGAGGCTGTATGTCAGTAAAGTTTGAAAGAGATACCTTTCCTTTGCATTCACTCACAATAATAATGATGTTGATCTTCGAAGATTACATGGATTATCGCAACCAGAGCTTGTATTGTATTGATGCAGGGTGGGGTGGTCTGTCCGTGACACCCCCACCTCCATTTTTTCTTTGAAAAGCTGGGATGAGGTGGGTGGTTCGATTGATAGGGTGTTACAAAACTAACCTAGCATGATCCCGTACAAAAATGATCCTCAAGCACTCTCTCTCCTGCTCGTTTCTTTCCAATTTTCAAAGCTGGATGCGTCATGGTACCTCTAGCAAGCGACTGACTGAAAGGATGGGGCAGAGGGGAGGTCTGGGAGGTCTAGCCCCAGCAGCCCATGTGCAGAACTTTCATTACAGTGCATCGAAAATGACAAGATGAATGAACAAATGTGTCGTATACTTCACAAAGAAATGAAGAAAGAACGCAGAGAGCTACAACAGAGAAATCTCTAGTTTACTTTACGGAACCCACTAACAAACACCGCTCGTGCTGCGCATAACGTGTCCATTGAGATAGAGTTTATCCGAAAGAAAAAGTATCCTTGACGTCCAGATCTTCATAGATTCAACAAAAAGAATACATTCCATTGTCAATCGAACCGCAAAAGCCCAAGTTTCCTGGCTGCTGCCTCATCTCGTCTTTCCCTTTTCTTCTTCATCAACCATGTAAACCTCCCTGCTCCCCTCCTCTTGCCGCTGCCGCTGGCTCGCTCCTCAGCGTACCTGCACACCTCCTGCCGCCAGTTCGCTCCCCTCGCCGTCCTCACCACGTACTCGTGGATCCGCCGCTCCAGCTCCGGGTGCAGCGTGCTCGTGCTCCGCCTGATGTCCGTCGACACGCCGCTGGCCGCAAGCTGCTTGAGCACTCTTGCCGTAAATGCGCGCCAGTACGTTGGGCGTTTCAAGGCAAATCTAGTACTTAGAGATGCGGATTGCTTTTGCGGCTGATCGAGATTAGTTTGCAGTTCAACATCTCTATTATACATTTCTTGTTATCATACTGTACTCGTACACAGCGCCCTGAAGCAATCATATGGACCTTGCTGTCGTGAGAGATCAGGACGGAACGAGCATATCATCCGAGACTCTTTAAAGAGGAGGACGGTTGAAGTTTCTTCGGAAATAGATTCACGGATCACGGGCAGTCATGCTGCAAGATTTTGGGTTCAAGGGACTTCGTTGTTTATAACTCGTCTCACTCCAGTCATCTCCTCTCATCGACTCCTTGGCTGGCCTCCGCAAACCACCCACCCTACTAATTTTGAAACATCAGTCGGAATAAGGGGTACTGCAGACAAACTGACTGTGGCCACTTGCCCTTCGTTCCCGTATCCTCTCCTCTGATCCCGGGCCACTCTTGATCCAGACAGCTCGCGTCCTCTTTCCCCCTACAGCACACCTTCTCTCCTCATTGTTCCTTTCCCAATGTCAATGAGCTCACCAACATGGATGCGTCATGGGCCCTCTAGCAAGCGACTGATTGGTCGTTCACATACGGCTTGAGTAGGAATGCATACTGATAGGATGGGGCAACGGGAAAGTCAGGGAGGTCTAGCACGAGCAGCTCATGCCGAGGACATGTAATCCTCTTAGATCAACGTCGAATGAAAGGAAGGGGGTTGGTTGTAACCGTTCAAGGCAATTACGGGTCCGAATAAGAAATCTCGCTAGGATTATGAGCATGCCATAGATCAAGGCGATCAACGACTTACCAGTACAAATACAATCACGGGTGTCACAACCACGCAGGTCAATTGGGCAGCCACTTACATACATCCAGCAAATCTTCAGATCAACTTTGTTCTTTTTCAACGGCTGCATGAGTATGGGCCGATATAAATGATGTTGCCTGCGACGGAGAGAACAGCTAAAGGAAGTCATCGATTCAAATCATCACCTTCCAAACCAATATCTTGTTGGGTAAGGTACCATCGTCAAAAGAAGCTCTCGAAGCTGATGACAGAGCGAGGAAAACAACGTGAGAATTATCGCAACACTGACCCTTTTGTCAGGACACAATCATTACAATCATGACAAGGTTGGAGAGTTGACAATTTTTGTTGTTGAATCATGTATTTTAGAGACAAATGTTTCTTGTAATTCAATGTACTTTAGAGACAAGAAAATTTCAAAGTTGTTGGGGAAAATCCTGGATCGGAACAGTATGAATCGGATCAACTGAGCTGATTAGATGCATAACGAAGAATCTTGAACGTTCAGATACGTCCACCAGAAAAAACTCAACGCCCGCAATAAAGGTAAGAAATCAACCCAGAAGGCTATCCGACACTAAAATCCTGCTCATTGAAGACGAAAATCGGACATTTGAATCAATTTCCTTCGGCCCTTTTCGAAAAAATCGAGATACTCTTGAGAGAATGCCTCGCGATGAAGCGATGATACCAGTTCAAGCTCGCCTTGAAGCCCTCCACCCCTAGCTCCTCCGCTACCCTCTCCGCGTACCTGCACACCTCCTGCCGCCAGTTCGCCCCCCTCGCCGTCCTCACCACGTACTCGTGGATCCGCCGCTCCAGCTCCGGGTGCAGCGTGCTCGTGCTCCGCCTGATGTCCGTCGACACGCCGCTGGCCGCAAGCTGCTTGAGCCTCCCGACGTAGGAGGGCCTGAGGATCTTGGAGATGGACGACCGGCTCTTGCCGTACATGCGCGCCAGCTCTGACGGGGAGCGGTAGTCGGGGTCGTGCTTGGGGGCCTCGCTGCGGCGGACGATGTCGAGCTTCTGGCCGAGGGTGAGCTTGGAGGGGAGGAAGGCGGGGGAGGAGGAGCTCCGGCGATCAGGCAGAGGCTCGAGGAGCATGATGGCCCGAGCAGGAGCCGCCGGGGACGGGGGAAGACAAGGCCGGGGTAGCGGGAAGCAAGGCTGGGTCAGCACTGGGGCAGGGAAGACTGGCTCCGGGTCGGGCGTCTCCTCGCTTGGGTCGTGGAGGATGAGCTGGAGAGGCTCGGAGTCTTGCGAGGCTGGCTGGTCGAAGGCTGGCTGGTCGAAAGGGGACCAGAGGTCGTCGGGAGAGCTCCAGGGGTCAGGGGAGGGGAGGGGATCAGGGATAGCGGGATGGGAGGGGAGGAAGTAGAGGGCATCGAGGGGAGAGGGGAGCCACTCTCCGCTTTGATCAGATGTCTCGTACATGTTGATTTGTCGATTTGCTTCAAGTGGAAAACTGAGTTCAAATGGGCACGCGGAGATGGTTTTGATAGGACTTCTGGGGAGCTGGTTGGCCAGGAGAGACGGCAAGGATCGTTGCTAGCTGGTCGTTGAATGTTCGAGTAGCGGGAGCAGGAGGGTCGGTAAAGTGGAAGGGACAAACAGGTAGCAGCAGTGATCCCCTGCCCTTCTGAGGAAAAAATGTTCGGATTACTGTCATCATTCGGGTAGGTGGTACAGTTGGGAATAGAGGGGTGGGGGTGGCCAAAACTTTCGTAACGAAGTAAACAATTATCTTATCTAACTGAAAGATTTAGTCAATAACGTTGCAGGGAAAATAAAAACAAAGTGTAAAACCTTTTAGCCTGACTGCCTGCTAACATGCACCTCTTCGTAAAAATGGAATTACATCAGTAATAATGACCGCCTGAAGCCCGACCACCCCCTTCTCGGATAGCAAACTAGGTGGGTCATAATTTGAAATCAATCCTCTAGATACTAACTTTACTCATACTTAAGTAATAAATTTTAGTTACGCACGGCCAACGTGTGGCGGCAGCCGGCTGCGACCCGGGGCCCGGCCTGGCTGACTCAGTCGGAGGCAGGCACGGTTTTGGATCATTTTGACTAAAACTCCGCATGGTGCATGCGGGGGGCCGGGCATGGCGGAAGGAGCGGAAGGACGTTGGGGAGAACATGGTGGCACCCGCAGCTGACGATCTTGTTCTGCTCGTCACTGTGCTGTAGAACCATCCCCTTGGGTGGCGTTGAGAGGCAACAGAAACAGATCTGTGCTCGAGATAGGGGTGGAATTGTTACGATGGAGCTACAGAAAGCAGTAGGAGGCAGCGCGAAGGGAGACAAGAGTGCGGAGGCCTTCTACGCTTACTACAAGAAGGTGACTTACACTCCCATGATCTTTATCTATGTCGCGTGCTGCTTGTCCTGTCGCTCCTCCCTTCGACCTGGCTCTTGCTGAGATACGTCCATTGGCAGCAACTCGGCCTCTCCGAGGATGACACCAAGTTGCTCTTCGACAAACTCGCGGTGAGAGAGAATCTGTCATGTCCAGATCATCACGTTACTTGCTGTGTATCTTCCCGTCTCGTGTGGTTGACTTCTCTTCTCCTGCCGCCTGCCTCCTGCAACTTGATCGAAGTAAATCCCCTGCAGGAACCTCTTCCCATTACATTCCGTCTCGTAGGAGCCCTGTCCGAGGGCGACAGCCCAGAGAATGCTGAGATTTTCCATCATCAGCTCCTCGATATGATAGCAAAGTGCGATGAAGATGGTGAAGAGGAGAAAGGATCGAAGAGCGCCGAGGTAGCAGCGGCGCTGAAGCGTTTGGAATGGTATCCCAACACAGCTGCATGGCAGCTCAACATAGATAAGAAGGACATGAGAAAGAACATCAAGACTTTGCAAGATTTCTTGCTGAGAGAGGTTTCGGTGGGAAACATAGTGAGAATGGAAGCTGTTAGCATGATCCCAGCTATTGTGTTGGGGCCCCGGCCAGGAGAGCTTGTGCTGGACATGTGCGCTGCTCCTGGAAGCAAGACAGGACAGCTGCTCGAGATGGTGGTTGCAAGTGGGGAGCACGGGGCTCTGAACAGCGTGCTGCAGCACGGAGGAGCTGTGCTCGCCAACGATCCCGACATCAAGAGGGCAAGGATGATGATTCACAGGGCAAAGAGTTTGAGCAGCCCGTCGCTAGTGGTCACGGCTCTGCCCGGGCAGAGCTTCCCGAAGCTTTTATCCGACGACAACACTGAGCTCCTCTTCGACCGCGTCTTGTGCGACGTGCCATGCAGTGGGGACGGGACGATTAGGAAGTCGCCCTATACCCTCAAGCGATGGCACCCGACCCACGGCATTCAGATCCACCTCCTACAGCTGCAGCTGCTGCGAAGGAGCGTGGAGATAACCAAGGTGGGGGGCCGTATTGTGTACAGCACGTGCAGCTTGAATCCGCTGGAGAACGAGGCTGTGGTGGCGCAAGTGGTGGCGGACAGCAAAGGAGCTCTCAGGGTCCTCGACTGTCCTCCTCGGCTCTCGGCGCTGAGGAGGAGGAAGGGATTAACCTCGTGGAGTGTGCCGGACATGAACTCGATAGATCTCCTCTACGACAGTTTCGATTCGATCCCTGAGGCCCGGAACCACAAGGCGAGGGAGAGGGGAGGGTTCAGCAAGCGGGGGCTCCTGCGCTCCATGTTCCCTCCCTCCTCGGAAGACGCCGACAAGATCGGACTGGAAAGATGCATGAGGTTCTACCCGCAAGACGCAGACACTGGCGGATTCTTCGTGACCCTCCTGGAGAAGACGGGAGATGTGGACTTCTCAGGAGCTGTCGAGGCTCGAGAGGAAGGGAGCCTGAGGGAGGAGGAGGAGGAGGAGACGCAAGAGAGGAAGAGGAGGAAAGAGGACGCTCTGCCCAAGGACTACGTCGACAAGTGCACAAAGCAGGCTAAGGTAGAGAAACGAGTCAACCGCATCGAGCCCTACATCCCCTTGCTGGACGTCCAAGGAGGAGGCGCAATATGGGCCTCCATTGCCGACTTCTTCGGGATCTCTGAAACTTTCCCAGCTCGCCAGCTCCTCGCCAACTCCGTCCGTGTGCGCACTATCACCTTCGTGACGGCTCCTTCCCGTCGGGCCCTCAACGCCACCATCCCTGCTGGAGGCCCTCAGCCGGAGGAGGAGGAGGCAGAAGAAGGCAAGGCCGAGCACAGGCTCAACGTCGTCACAGCAGGGACGCGGATGCTCGAGGAGAGCCCCAACGAGGACACGCCATGCAGATACCGGCTGTGCATGGACGGCCTCGTGTTCATCCTGCCCTTCATCACCAAGTGATTTCCAAACTTTTCCCCTCTCCTTCCGCTCCTCTTCTCCTTTCCCTGCCTTCCCTTCAAACCCATTCTTGTCTCTGCCTTCCTTTCCCTCCCTTTCCTGTCTTCCTTTGTCTCCACACCCGCTCTCCTCGCTCTCCTGGCAGTGACACAGGGTACTTTGCTACAGGAGGATCGTGGACTTAGAGCTCGAGCCCTTCATGAAGCTCCTGCAGGATCGTCAGCTCAGCATGGCCGAGTGTCCGAAGCCCTTTGAGGTTTTCAGCTCTCCCCCTCCCCCTCCTCTTCCCCCTTCCCCTTCACAACTGCCACCACCACCACATCCTCCACCACCTCCTCCTTCTCCCCCTGCTCTTCTCCGCCCCTCCCCGCTTCTGAAACTTGTCAGGACATGGCCAACGGCAGCGCCATCGCCATCCTCCGCCTCAAGGGCATGGAGTTCCCCGTCCTAGTATGGCGGGGCAGGTCGTCGATCCGCCTCTTCGTTGCCAGGTTCGGCTGGAGTCTTGCTGGGCTCGGGTTGACCTGACTTGCTAACAGTGAAGAGTCGGAAAGCCTCTTGTCCAAGATCAAGGTCCTTGCCAAGTCTCAGTGAGCAGGGAGATGTTTTGTGTTTTTAATCTTCACAGACAGTTTGCATAGTTGATACACGCTCTAGATCGATCTCCTGCTCTCGATCCTCCTCCTTCTCCTCCTCATCTTCGGCCTCCTCCTTCTCTTCCCTTCATCATCCTCCCTTCCCTTCATTCTCCGTCCCCCTTCTCACTCCAGCGAGCTGATAGTCTTGTCCAGCTCCTCCCACTCCCCGATGATCCTCCGCGCCTGGTCGAGCTTCGGCTCCTTGGTCATCGGGTTGTTGCAGAGGTCGATGGTCTTGGCCTTCACCTTGGTCGAGTTCGAGCACCAGGTCTCACACCACAGCCACTCCTGCGGCAGCGAGAAGATCGGCACCGAGTGCTGCGCGTAGTTGGGCAGGTCCTGGTCCAGGTTAGCCAGGCTGTTGGGGTCCCGGGAGAGCTGGGAGTAGACAACCCTGAGCTCGTCCCCAGCTCCGATGGCTCTGAACCGGTTCAGGTCGACCACGTAGAGGGCGCTGATGTGGTACTTCATGTCTCCGAGGTGGGTCTGCCAGAAGCCTTGCTTCCAGAAGCGATAGCCTTCGATCTCCCTCTTATCGTCACAGAAGGGCGTGTAGGCGTACGGCCTCCCGCGCAGATTCATGTCCCAGAGCTGTTTGAGGTCCGACCTGACGACCTGATCAGAGTCGATGTAGATGATCTTGGGGACCGAGAGGGGAAAGAGCACGTCGAGCATAAGGATCTTATATCCCCAGATGATGCGCTGCTTCTCCGTCTGCTCGTGCAGCCACGACGGCCACTTATAAGTCACGAGCTCGTAGTCGAACCCGAAGTTCTTGGCCATGCGGGGGATGAAGGCCTTGAACTGCGGGGACAGGAAGTTCTGCAGCAGCCAGAACTTGACGTGGGACTTTGTGTTGCGAACCACCGACAGCATCATGATCTTGAGGAAACGCTCGTACAGGTGCCCTGACGCCAGGGAAAAGACATGTATCGTGTCCTCCCCCGACTTGTCTGTCACGGCCTGCTCGGCCGTGGCCGAGTCACCTGAAAACCAGTTGCTGAGGGAGGACCACACAGATCCATCCCCGTCTCGTCCTCCCTTGGCGTCTTGCAGGCTCTTGCTCTCCTGCCCCTTGCGCTTCCTAACGCTCGTCGGAAACGCGTCAGGTTCCCAAGAGAGGACGGAGATCACGCGGGAGGAGCCGAAGTTTCCCTTGTCTTCTATCTCGTAGATCTCCGATGACTTGCCCTCCGCCATCGTCAGGTTAAAAATTCCCGGCCTGGCCTTGAGCTGGTAGTACCCGAGGTTGCTCATGACAAGCGTGTCTGACACCAGCTTCGACTTGCCCTTGGCCGCGTGCTCGTCAAGAAGGTTCAAGTTCAGCTGGAGGCCAGCTGGAGGCTCTCGCCTGTCATCGATACAGTGCCCCGTGACGAGGATGTGGTCGAGGCGGTAGACGGCCGAGAGGACAGTCTCGTGTGCCGACAGCTTCTCGAGCAGGATGTTGTCGATGTCGTGGACGGCCTGAGAGGCAGAGACGAACCAGGCGTCGGGGGGGTGGATGATCATCGAGAGCAACTTTGACATTGGGAGGTTGGAGAAGGTCGCGCGGGTGTTGGACACCAGCTTGCCTTCCTCGTCAAACTCCAGCTGAGGCTTCAGCACGTAGCGGTAGTAGCCCTTGATCGGGAGCGAGCCAACCTCAGCCACGGGGTTGAGGATGACGTGGATGTGGGCCCCGAAGGCATCTGCCAGCGCCATGAGCATGGGCGACAGACGTTGAGCCTCCGCACAGAGCGGGTCGATGAAGGCCAGGACTTGGAGGATCGAGTCCTCAGGGCCAACCTTGAACCCTGTCATCCTGCTAGTCCACTGCCTGTTGGCCTCCTGGTCCGTCCGCTGGATGTTATCGTTCCTCTCGATGCCGATCATGTTGGACCCCAGCAGGGCGATAGAGCTGATGTACTCGCTCGTCACCTTGTCCGAGGAGATGGAGAAGGAGGCGACGTCGAGGACGGAGCTGACGTGCTTCGACCTGTCGTTCCACTCCGTGTCCTCCGCCAGCACAAAGTCTCCCATCCGGAAGGCAACGTCCGCCGTCACCTTAAAGACTCTCCCGGATGTCGACACGGCGCTCTCCCCCGCGGTCAGCTGGAACCAGTCGGAGATCATCCTCTTCATGTCCGCCTTGCTCAACCCGCCCTCCTTGCTCTTCTCCGCAGCCTCCATCAACGTCTTGACCTCCTCATGAGCCTGAGCGGTCGACCATGCAGACTCGTCCAGCAATTTCACGATCGTCCTGCACAGCTCCAGGAACTTGTTCCCCTTATCCTTGTCGTTCTTCATGGACCTGATGGCCTCAACCAGCACTGAGAAGGCTCCTTCGGCTTCCGGTGACCCCTCAGAGTTGTCCAGGTACGCCAGCCGAACGCGTTTGCACCTGTCGGAGGACGTTTGTGACATCCTCTTGGCAGAGGCGACCAGCAGGTCGCGTCCGATCTTGGACGAGAGGTCAAGGGCGACGATGTGGGTGACTCCCCTCATCGACCCGTCGTCCTTGCCGCACAGGAAGAAGGGGATGCGATCAAGATCCTCCATCGTCTTCGTCGAGACTTCCGCCTTGAGCATCTGCCTCGAGGTCGCAGGCCCCGAGACGATCTGAGCATGAAACCTCCTGTGCGCCTTCCCATTGTGGTTGATGATCTGGTTGTGAAGATCGCGCCTTTCATCCAGCTGACCGAAGTACGCCATCCTCTGCAGCACCATCATCTGCATCTGCAGCATGTAGTGGAACTGGTTCGGGTCCAGCGCTTGCCCGGCGAGGACGTTTCCATTGAGGACGCAGACGGGCTCGGTCAAGCTCAACCCACTCCTCTCGACGAACTCCGTGCTCTTCTTGAGAAACGCGTCATGAGTGGAGTTGAGGAGGGAAGGCTTGTACTTGGCCCTCATCAGTTTCCCGTCTGCATCTCGGTACTGGGCTCGAAACATCTTGGCGGCCCGCTTGAACGAGTCCTTTCTCACCTCGCTCTTCGATGCCTTCCCGGCTGTCTGCATTCCTTCGGCGTAAATCGCCAGGAACGACCAGGCAGCCCGACCTCCATGTCCGAGGTGAAGGGCTCTGAACAGTCGGTGCAAGATCACCGCGTCCCCCAGCTCCTCTGCTTCATCCTCGCTCTCGGCGTTGCGCGGCGATGCCTCCCATTGCTCGTCGAGGGACTTACTGTACTTGAAAGCGACACCGAAGCGGACGGGAAGCTGCTGCTCCATCTGCAGGACAAGTCACAACAAGACGCAGCCAAACAGAGCAACAGGGAGAAGAGTACAAGACAAAGGAAGCAAGTGAGACAGACACAAACACGCGAGCAGACGATAAGGGACCGAAGGAGAAGGAGGACCAGGAAGAGGACGTGAGGCCCAATTAAGAGAACGAGAAGGAAGACGAGGAAGAGGAAACGGAAAAGGAGGAGGAGGAGGAGGAGGAGGAGGAGGAGGAGGAGGAGGAGGAGGAGGAGGAGGAGGAGGAGGAGGTTGTGGAGGGGGGGGGGGGGGGGCGAACCTGTTCGAAAGCCCAGGAAAGGAAGGTGAGGGACTGCATGTCCGACGGGTCTACAAGGAAAATTGCCGTCCAGATGTTCCTGGCGATGAATCGCAGCTGCCCGGGCCAACCTCGCTGGAGGAGAGTGTCAAGAGAACGAGGCCACTGCCTGTACATGTCGTCCTTCTCGAGATCTGAAAATCATCGTTGAATGTCAGCCAACGATCAGGATGACAGGAAGAGCAAGGTCAACACAGACTTTACAGGTCAAAGTCATGTAGAGCATTGTCCACACCATACCCTCAAGTCACAGGTGCAACACAGGAGACAGGCATCAGCATGCACGACCGTTCATCCACATGACGAAGTTGTCGTTCTTCACGTCAATCTTGAAGGTGCTTCCTCCTCCCTCCATCTGTTCAGCAGGAGCATACAGAATCTTCTTGGTTGAGCGGGAGTCCATTCCGAGCTGCATGAACTTTTCGATCACGTTGATCTCATGCCTGTTCACCAACAGCCGGTCATTACAAACTCGAAGACCTCCAGGCACAACGAGTCTCTACGGACCTGATGAATCGATAAAGGGAAAAAGGATTCATATCGTCTTTCTGCAGCTGTCGGCCATTCACATGCACCTGTAAAATTTCTCAAGTAAGATTGTGCAAGCACGAAACTGAACAAAGAATGTACTTTTCTTACCATGTTTGCTCCTGGTTGTATGAAGTTTCTGTTGTTTTCCAACTCCGCCCTCACGGATGCGTTCACGCGCATTCTTGAGATGGAGGAAACCTGAAAAGGTGAAGCTCATCACTCCTTGAACATCATCATCAACGGGTGATGAAAACGTCTATACCACTGCAGGCAGATTGTGACTCAGATCGCGTATCAGCCGCAGAGGCTCATCGGCCTAGACTGACGTCAGATGCCAGTCAACGAAATCTTACGACATCGAACCTGGAGGATTCTCTGCGAAGCTTGAATTCCCAAGTCTTTCAGAGCCCAGACCTTCATCGCAAGTCATGACAGATCGCCCGGAAAGAAGCGAGACAAGCACCTTGATGTCTGTGCCTTCGTCACTCTTCGCCTCTGACAGGAGGCGATCGCGAAAGGAGAGGAGCTCAACTTCGAGATTCGGTTTCCTCTGCAGCAGAGTCTTGAAATCGAATCCTCCGACTTCATCCTCCAAGTCGTCCTCCAAGCTCGACCCCGCCTCCCCTTCCTTGTGCCGGTCATCCACAGCTTTATACTCCATGTTCTTGATCGCCAACTCGACGCCGTAACCCTGCAGCAGCATGTCTTGATGCGCCTTCTCCTCCTCCTCCCTCGCCCCCGGCCAGCTGTGGCGAAAAACGTACTTGACATCGCCAGCAGCAGCAGCCTGAGACAAATACTTGTGGAAGTTGACAAACGCCTGAGTGCCGATGGTAGCGTACAAGAAAGCAGTGGAGCAATGAGAGGGGCTGGAGGGGGATGGGTAGATATGATCGAACTCTTGAATGGAAGGAGCTGAAACTCCAGCTTTGGCTGGGTGACAGGACTCGATCGCGTCTCTCAAGAGGCTCGGATCGCTGACGCACTTCCCCCCGATAAGAACCACCGCGCCATCCTTGTCCTTGATCGAGCATCCGAAATTCAACGCTGCTTGCCACAGCTGCTTGTATGCTTGCAGCTTCGGGGAAAAATTCCTGATGGAAAGAGCAAACTTGATGAGACTAAGTTGAACATTAGAGACGATCTTGGAGGCCAGTTCGATCGAAGTGTCGTAGTGCTGCTTGTCCGTCTTCTCATAGATATCGTTGGGTAAGGACTCAACAAACTCCCAAAACTTCCCTTCATCCGCTTTATCCGCAAAGTATTCACTGGCCTCAATGATCAACGGAGTCGGCGCCCATGGTGCCACAACCGACACATCGACAAATTTGCTCTTGGAAGGAGAAGAGCACACGCTTTGAACAAGCAGGATGAGGCAAAGGACTATCGGAATCTTCAGTGCATTCTTGGGCATGGTCTCGCTCCTTGATTGAACCATGCGAGCTGATCTGAGAAGCAACCACTATGCCATCGACTCAGGTATTGCTGGGCAAAACATCAGTCGTGGTCAAGGCAACACAAAAGAGCTCGTCAGATATGATAATGCATCTCCCTGACTACTTGCTTCTTCCTTCATGCCGATGACACGCTCAAAAAATCATCTCTTAATCGTCTCCCACAACCCTCTTGTCTGTCCTCTGTCTATCCCATTCCCACCACTGCATGTATCGATCCTATCATTCATCTCTCAGGGTAAGCTGTCTTCCTTCCCTCCGCCTGACACCACTCCTGGCCAAGCTTCTTCTCTCCCTCCTCATGTGCATGTTACACTCGCCTGATAGTCCCCTCATATCTGCCTCCCTTCCATCCCTCGCTCCATTCGAAGTCCTTATCCTCTGCTTCCCTGCCATCGTTGTGTCCCTCACTCTCCCTCTCCTCCTCCCCCCTCCATCTTCTTCACATCCGCTCCTCCTCTTCTCTCCTCCTCTTCTCTCCTCCTCCTCTCTCCTCTCCTCCTCTCTCCTCCTCTTCTCTCCTCCTCTTCTCTCCTCCTCTTCTCTCTTCTCTTCTCTTCTCTTCTCCTCCTTCTATCCCCTGCCTCAAATCCTCCCATCTCGCCATATCCGCTGCTGACGAATTCCAGAAGCCATCACGTGAGCCCTCATCCCCTCCTTGCCCTTTCCACCTCGCCAGCTGTACCTGAGGCGGGCTTGTTCTTCATATGAATTTTACAGGGTTGGCCCGCCGACTCGTGGGAGGCCGTGGGGGGCGGGTAATGGCGATGCGAGGCAACGATGGGCGCGGATCAGGAACATCCGCAAGGCCCCTCCTCCTCCTCCTCCTCCTCCTCCTCCTCCTCGCTATCAAGATCGATCATACGATCGCTCTTGTATCCTCCTCAAGCATGCCTGCCAAGAGGAGCTCACTGCTGCCTCGGGAATGTAGCGCTCTCAGACTGACCGGCGGGCGACCCAAGGATGAGGACAGTGATGAGGAAGAGAGCAGAGAGAAGTCGACGTCATCTGCAAGGTCCGAAACGGCAGAGTCGCTCAGAGAGTCAGCTAGAAGAAGAGCAGAGCGGGCCAAGAAGGCTGGTGATCCGGGAAGGACCAGTATTTCGAGGACATTGAATCGGGTTTTCTTCTCTATGACCAACAAGTTGGGTCTGACGGGATCATCCACGACTGTGATAAGTAATATCAATTGCTTCTTTTCATCACATCTTGCATGGAACTCGTGACATGATCACCCAGCCTCGCTCAATCTGCGTACTGACCGCTTACACAGATGGAAGAGTGGTGGTGCGACGTAACATTATTCAGAAGTTCTTTCACTTCATCTACTTGTTCTTTCGCGCCTTGTACATGTTCTTCAAGACGCTCTTCATGGTACCGTGTCTATCTGTTGCGTGCTCGCCTGGTACTCACTGCATCGCCGCAGCCCACTGCAAGTTGGAATCCTCAGAAACCTTCTTCGGGAGGAGGGCGCGGCTCCTTCAGCTCGTTACGCGCCAAGGGGGCCAACCAGATGCGATTAGCCGATCTGCCGCCGATGCCTGGCGGCTGAGGTTAAGCCCACAGAGATCGAGAGGTGAGAGATATGCCGGAGTGACGTCAGTCTGAATCTTGACGGCAGGATGGCGCTAGCGGAAGGTGTTCCGCTGACCCTCCTCCTTCTCTGTGGGCGAAAAACTCGGCTCGTTGCAGAAACGATCCCGCAACGACGACATCGTCTTGTAGTCGCCCGCTGACGCGAGCGGAGGCAACCCATGAAGGATCTCCGCTGCTGAGGGTGCGAGGAAAGTCCTGCAGCATCAACTTTGTATGTTTGTCGATACTTTCGTATGTAAAGCAAGTACAGACACACACGTTCAAGATGAAAACTATCTTTAATCAACATATCGTTACGAGGGAAAAACACAGGAGCTAGTATAGTTTACTTGCCGAGGCGCTGGAGGGACTCAACAGGGTTGTAGAACTTGGCATCCTTGGGGATGTCGGAGCGAAGGTTCTGCTTAACCAAGCTGCGAACAGTGTTGAAGAGAAGCTTCAAGTCCTCGACGGGGCCCCCGGAAGTGACCTTCTTGTACAAGTAGGAGTCGAAGGTAACCTTCTGGACGTACTCGCTCTCACACATCTCAACAAAAGCCTCACGGGCCGGGTTGGAGCGGTAGAAGACCTGCTGCAACACGTCGAGGACGGCGTAGGTCGGTCCGTAGAGCTGGTCATAGCGTCTCAAGTAAGTATCCTCAATCTCCTCCTGGGTGGGAAGAACAGTTCCTCCCTGTGTGAGCTTGGTGATGGCCTCAGCAGCCATGCGGCCAGACTTCGCAGCAAAGTAGATTCCCTCTCCAGAGCACTTGGTGACGTAACCAGCAGCATCTCCAACAAGTGCAGCACGATTGAGAACACGCTTGGGTCTGTAGTGCTCAGGAATAGGGTGAGCCTCAACCTTGATAATCTTTCCTCCCTCGATCTTCTTGCCAGCGCGCTCGCGGATAGCGTTCTGGTATTGCTTGATAGCAGGTCTGTTCACAACAGTTCCAGTTCCGACACCAACGTGGTCGTACTTGGGGAACACCCAACCGTAGAAGTCAGGTGACACGTCATCGCCGACGTACATCTCAGCGAGCTCCTCATAGAAGGCCATCTGCTGATCATTGATCCTGATACGCTCCTGGAAGGCAATGGCATAGTTGTACTCGCCAGCATCGATCGCCTTGGCAACGCGAGAGTTGGCGCCATCAGCTCCAATGATGAGATCGACATCGAGCTCCTCGGGGGTTCCGACCTTCTGTCCGTTGTAGTTGGTGTAGTGAATCTTGTAGGGCTTGGTCTCGGAGTTGCCCTCGGGAAGGTCGATACCAGTGACAAGGCCATTGATGGGCTTGGCACCGAGCTTGATGGCGCGATCGCGGAGGAAACCATCGAGGATCTCACGCCTTCAGGTCAAGTTAGATCGAGATCCACAACGACATCCAGTAGCACCTGGTCATGCCGATATACTCGTCGTCTCTGAGAGTCTGACCAATGGGTGCCTCTTTGCCAGTGGGGGAGATCATAAGCATCTTGCGAACCTTGCGGTCGACCACCTCTTCAGGAATCTGGAACTCCTCGATCATGCACAGAGGGATAGCTCCACCGCATGGCTTGGCATTGTCCATCTTCCTCTCGAAGATGTAGGTGTCGATGTTGGGCTCCTGAGCGAAGATCTCCGCAGCGCAAGAGCCGGAGGGACCACCACCAACAATGGCTACTCTCATCTTGCGATCGCCGTCCCACTTGTGACCCATGGTAGGGGCAATGGAAGCACGTCCACGGCGGCTGACCATGGCAGCCCTGAACCTCGGTGTCAGAGACCAGTTACTCGATCGTGTAAGTTTGGCACTACCTTCGTGGAGCACCAATGGTAGAGGGAGAGCTCATGAAGGCATCAGTCTGAAGGATTTCGAGTCAGATTTCAGTCGGTTCACCATTATGCGGAAGAGAATGAATTGCACATCGCATCAAATTTGTAGCAAGTGAGCCAAAAGAAAAATTGTGACACACATCACAGACGGGGTCTTGGCACGATCCCGTCACAGAAACATGAGAGAAGGAACCCAGGAACAAGCAAGAAGGACTACAACAAGTAGATTCGAACAAGGTTGGGCAAGGATCACGACGTCACCTGAGCAGCAAAGCCAAGAGCAAAGGCAAGGGCGGTAGCTCTCAGCATGGCTGTGCGTCCTCGTCAGAGCAGCCGGCCCCCCGGACGCGTTTTCTAACAACCCAACCCCGACCCTACCCCACCCTGATACCCATCACTACCCACCCTTTGGGTATGATCTCAAACCAAGATCCAAGACCACCCTGGAATGCCTACCCCTACCCCCATACCTAGCATGTCGCATGCAACCACCCTAATGGAGATATCACCCCATCATCCTAAAGCTTACAGCGGCACCCCTGTAGCCCCCACCCCCCCCCTTGTGTGTATGTTGAAGGTGCTATGGGTAATACCGGTGCTACCTACCTACTAGACATGAGCAGCATTTTCACCCTACCCCAACGTTGAAACGGTACTACCCGACCCCTACCCGCGCAAACGGTTCTTTATGAAAATGACCCTTACCCGGTCGATACCTGAGAAAAAGACCGGTACTCAGCGAGCTCGGTGACTTTATGAGTAAACTTTTGAACCGCAAGAATACACACCTAACCCCACCCCCAGGACTTTCTTGTAGTACCCTACGACCTATACCGGAATGTATACCCCACCTATTGAGTCCCACCCAACTGCAACCCACCCTACAAAAGGTCCACCCATGTCTTACAAAGGGGGGTAGTTCTACCACCTCTGACACTTGTGACGCCTGCTAGTACTTTGGCATGGAGCTGCACGGAATTGCAAGTTTGTGGACGATAGCGGGGTGGGGAGGAATGCCGCCTCACCTCAGTGTAAGGAATAGAAACAAAATTGGGCAGAAATTCTGATATTCGATTTCCTTGAAAAATCGTTTAGACCATTCTGTGGGCAGCAAACAGCGCCGAAAATAACATGTTCGGGGTGCTGCTGGAGATGTACGGGCATGGCCTATCGGGATCGACCATGCATGCAGTGAACGCGGACATCCTTGACCTTTGCTACTCATCCTCGAAGACAGAAGCAGGAGCAGCAGCGTGCATAGCCAAGGGGCATGGGCTCAAAACCTATCAAGAAAAAAAGCAGTTCTTGCAAGGGCTGTCTGAAGGCCTGAAGAAGTGTCCTTACGTCACATGCATGATTTCTACTCCTGGAGATCCTGCTGTCAGCCCTGGTATCTCGACTGTATGAGACAAGACATCATCTTGCACATCTTCAGTCTCTTTGCCTTGCTCGCCACCCCAGCTCGCAGGATGGCCTGCTGCCATCAAACTGATCGTTGTACTATGGAGATTGTTGTTGATAATCAACATGTTTTTCTGTGTTAAAGTATCCAGATATACTTAATTGCTCTATCACATTTGCATGAGCAATGTGAGCTCGTTTTTTTGGTTATGCTCTGTGAATAAAACGACAGTGAGAAAGGCAACATGAAACAGTTGGTAGTCCGACGCTGCTGATTTGATAGATCCTATAATGCAACGGAAATAAGTAAATCAATCATGAAACACCTGATTGTTCTGCGACATCGAAAATTGGAGTTCTGGTCAAAAGGAGGGTTCTTTGTTGAACGAGTGATGCATTTCAGCAGGATACCTTGCGGCCAACCACAATTTGTCATCCAAGAAGGTCATGACTTGAGATGGCTTTAAGTTTGAGTGTTTCATGGTGGGTTTGCTAACTGCTGGTGCGTAATCACAGTAGCGAATGCCGCCCGGTATCATCCGATCATCACTACGGCACTCAGAGGCCTCAGTCTTCACTCAAAAGTTGTGTTGATAGTAACCAGTCCGATCAACGAGTCAGCCGTCAATCAGAACTTCGGCGAGGACAATCAGGAGAGTCGAGGAGGCTTGACCCTGACACTGTCGCACAGGCCATACGGCGAGAAGAGAAAAGACAGCGAGAACCAACGTCCCTAGGGCGGCTAGGCCCAGTATGGTGACCCTCCGCCGGATCACTGATGCCGAAGGCTGCGGCCCCCAACTTGAACTTCGGAACTTAACAGCAGTGAGACTAGCCTACGGTAGTTCCAGTGCTGCCAAGGACTCTCATCGCCTTTGACTCACGGTCCCGGGGCCGAGAGGCCCGACGGACTCGGCGGTGGGACTCAGCCGGGGCCGAGCCGACTCACTCCTGCCGCCTACCTGGTGCGGCGGACCCGGGCCGGCCCGATCGGCGGGACTCATGATCCCGGAGTCCCGCGTCCGGGGCACAGCACCGCCCGGGCCCGGCGGCCCGCCGGCGCCGGGTCGGACTCGGCCCGGAAATTTAACCGTGATTTGTCCACTTCCCCGCTCATACCTTCCTTTATAAGTGTGAAGGAATGCACGGTCGGTGGGTACTGGTCGCGAGCTTGCTGGGGGTCTCTCAAGCCTTCATGGCGTCACCACTGGTGGAGACAGTCAAGCCAAGAAGGTCGTCCTGCTTCCTCCAGCCCCATGCCCCTGCTCTGAGAGGTGCTCCGAGGAGAAGCAGCCGCACTATGATGGTGAGCACACATGCTTTCGAGATTTGAAAGCTGACTGTCTCTGTCTGATGCAGGCACAGGCCGATGCAACTGAAAGCCAAACCTACAAGTTCATTCGAAACTCGGCAGCACGAACCGCTTTCATCCTTAACAACTGGAAGGCTTACGCTGAGAACTCGAGGGCTCTTGGTTGGACATCGTCGTCGACAGAAGCTATGATTAAACTGCAGAGAGAAAGTGCGACAGCTGACGTTATGAAAGCTATGGTTCCGATGATCATGCAGAAAGCAGCTGCAGATAAGGCTGCCGAAGAGAATGGATCGATGCCTGCCAGCATCCCGCAAAACATCGCCAAGTTGAACGTCATCGCTGCCGTGAGCGTGGGGGCAGGTTCTTCGGCAGCCGTCTACACCAAGGGAGAGGGTTTCTACACCGTCGAGTACATCGTGGCAAACACGCAGATGACAGGACAGTTCGAGTCGCAGGTTGCACTGCTCAACGAGGTAGCGCGAGAGGCGAAGGAGGAGGGGGTGAAAGAGATCAGGTTGGCCTGCAATTCACTTCCTCCATCCTCAGGGAGCCTCACGTCCTTAGATTGCCTATACGGCTCTCTCGATACTTTTGGCTTCAAAGAGTCTGAGGCTGGAGTCCCATGGTATGTGAGACGTGTGAGCGAATGAGAGCGCGACTTTGAGAATGCTTGCAAATCATACATTATTGACAAGGGGCAGAATGAGATCAAGTTTGTGTGAGAAAGAATAAACAAAGATCACTGAGATCGTTATCGGCGCGTATACTTGTCCTTGCCTTTGGGCAACTTCCCGGTGGACTGCATTGGGCAATCACGAGAGAAGTGCCCTGATTCACCACATTTGAAACAAGCATTGCCATTCCCTGCTCCTCCCATCCCTCCTGTATTTCTTGGACAATCTTTTGCCATATGCCCTACCTCTCCGCACTTGAAGCAGGCCATTCCACTGCCTCCGCCTCCTGCTCCTGAGTTCATGCCAGGAGGCATGCCACCACGATCAGGTCGAGGCTGAGCCTCATCAACCCACTGAAAGAAATTGCATTTGTCGTCTCCTTCACGAGCACACTTGTAGAATTGACGACCGGAATTTCTATAGTTGAACAAGAAACATCAGGAACAGCAAAGTAACACAATCACAGAGTTACGCTTGGGTTCGCGATGTAAGCATCAGACAGGGTTCTTGGTGCCCCGAACAAAGCACGTTTGGATCAACATTTTGCTGCCGTGGAGGACCTAAGCACGGAAAAATCAAAATTACGACCGGTAGCAACTGAGCTATTGCCTGAATTTTGCTGATTATGTGTGGGAGGCATTGGATTCGGACTTGGACGTGTCATGACTGTTCCGAGGTTCGGCCGACTTGTCACACTCAGAAACTTGTCAAAGGCTGCAACGTCTGCTTTCGTCCCTTTCCCTAGATTCCGAGATGAATTTGCTGGTTCACCGCCACCTTTTGAAGTATTTAAAGGTCCATTCGGATCAGGCCAAGAATTTACCATTTAATCTTGCGCTTCCAAAAGGTATTGCGCCTAGAGATCTTTGCGAAAACTGCCAGATAATCTCAGAAAAACGCAAAAGAACGAGGATTGCAATATATATACTTCACTATCAAAGGTAGATTGACTATATTCAATCGAGGATGCCGGTGGCAGGTTTCGATGAATCGCAACAGATGGAGGACCTTGCTGCATGAAAATTTGGCCTGCATTTCTATTGCTCGAAACCAACAGCTCTCGAACAATAGGATCGCAGCCTCCAACGCAGCCAATATGCTGCAAAGAAATTTGGTATTGACTTTCAGAGAATTCATTGAATACCGTTAATGGAACTTCAGGAGGCACTGAACCACGTTTGAATTTGAACTCAAGAAGTCTACATCATACTTTAAGCAACAACATGGTGAAAGATGTGTTTACCTCAAAGGAGAACCGCCTTGACAAACTGAGCAAAAATTTTGAGTTGGCAAAATACTTGCATCGTTTCCCCCAGGTAGCCAAATCGAAGCTTTGCAAGTTGGATAGCCCTGCATTCAAGACATCAGTGTAAAAGCCCAACAAGCTTTCAAGCAAGCAACAGAGAAGGACACAGAGAGACAGAGAGACAGAGAGAGCACATATACCTCACAACCCAGATAGTATGATATCTTGCTTTTCTTCAACAACAATTGCTTATTTGCGCACATAAAACATGGTCTGATTGGGACATTGAGCCCAGGTCTTGAAGTTGCAAGGGAACAACGAGCATCTGAGCATTCGAAGCATCTGTGCGAACAGATTAAATCGCAGAGAAAAGCAGTTGAATGTTTGAAAACTTACCTAAAGCCCGATGCAAAAGTAACGCCGTCCCGCATCTGCTCTAACGGAGGCCTCTTGTTGCAATGAGGACAGATTTTGTAAGATTTTCCATTATTCGTAATTTCAACCACTTGAAAATTGCAAATTGGACAAGTTTTGTCATATCCACTGACAGAGCCTTTTGGCATTGTAAACGGCTCAGAGCAACTTCTGCAAACTAATGCTCGTGTTTCTCCATTTCTTTGCTTCTTCAAGTCCATGAGACCCGAACAAACTCCACACTGCGAAACGTTCCTCTGCAGAGTTTGCGACCATGATGAAGCATTCAATGGCTGAAAAAACACGGACATTTCCTGTGCCATCTGGGTTTGACCAGCGATACATCTTTGAAAAATTGGTTTCATGATTTCCATCCACTCTTCAATCACTACCCTCGCGGAAGTTTGACCGCTAGCAATCTTGGTCATGTCTTGCTCCATTCTTGCTCGAAAATGCGGCCTAGCAAGCTCAAGACCAATCGCCTCATAGCTAGTCACTAGCGATTTACCCAACGACGTGGGGCTAAATTGTTGTGAGTCGCTTTTGATTGCATAATCCCTTTGCTGTACCTTGGTGATGTGTTCTGCGATCGTCGCATCAGTTCCAATTCCATGACTGTCCATCAGTGAAATCAAATCAGCTTCAGAGAGAAGTGGAGGTGCTTGTGTTCTTCCTTCAGTCATTGCAAGCTCAGTAGGCTCAAATTGTTCCCCTTCTGTAAAAATCGGAATATCTTTATCTGACCACCTTTCATAAGGATAAACTTTAAGCCAATTCAATTCCTTAATCATGAGACCTTTCGAAACGAACTGCTCGACACCAATTGATATCTCGACAGTAGTTTCTGCACCTATGGCATTTTTAGAGCAACAGGCCAAGAAATGTCTTACGACCAATTCGTAAAGTTGTGCCTGCTTTCCGCTCAAAGAATTTGTGAACTGTGTTGGATGTATGGGAGGATGCGCCTGATCATCGTTCTGACCAGCACGGGGCCATTGAAACGACCCTGCCAGAAGCTCATTCGCATAATTCCCCCAATGTCCACTTTCGCATTGCTTCGAGATTAATTCCTGCAGGTTGGTCCCCTCTTTGAATTTCTCAGTCTCCGTACGAGGATAGCTGATGAACCCTTTATTGTACAGCTCTTCTGCAATTTGCATGGTCTCCTCGGAACTCATGCGGAGTTTGCGGGAAGCGATTGTTTGAAGATTGACAGTTGATAAAGGAAGAGGGCGCCATCGTTCTTTCAACCTCTCGTGAACGCTGTTCACTGTGGCGATGGGATCTTCCATCAACATTTCATAAATCAGCGTGCATGCCACGCGATCAAAAAGACGACCTCTGCGCCAGTCGAAGTGAGCAGTCTTACCATCACGTGACAGGTTGCAACGGAATGACCAAAAGTCCTCGGGCACAAATCGTTCTATCTTCCAAGCCCTGTCCACAATGAAGCCCAACGTTGCAAATTGACATGGTCCCCAACTTAACAGCTTATCACTGAGTTGTTCGAATCGTTTTCCCAACACCATCGTTTGAAACCTCGTAAAAGCTGCCCCCAATCGCAAATCAATTTCAGATCTCGCTTCCACAGCTTCAGACAGACTTTGATTGGGCAGGGTCAATGTCCGCATCGCTCGATGTATATCTCTGGGGATAAGAGCAGAGAAATGGGCTCTTCGCACACGGATCCGAGGGTTTGCTTTCTGACAAATCTCAATCACTTCGTACGAAATGTTTTCACCCTCTCGATCACAATCGAGAAAGCAAACCAGCTGACCGCACCTGCCTCACTGGTAAGATTGGGCCTCCAAGATTAATAGATTCACCTCCTCCCTTCTTCCAGCAGGTTTCTTTCCAGCCCCTTCTTGTCTTGCGGGATCATTTTGATGACTTGAATAGAAGGATCCAGTAGTTGGATCGGCTCGCATGTATGCCATTTTCTGTGAGATTCATCGAAATCTCGCTCCATAAGGTGGCCAGTCACACTGGTGACCACGAGCGTGCAGGGCCTGCCATCGAGCTCGTAGGAGAACTCAAACTTTCGGTTGTACTGCGAGTGAGTGTTGAAGGCCTGCGCATGTCCCTGCGACAGGATGGCAGCAAGCTCCTTGGCGACCGAAGGCTTCTCAGCTACGCATAGCACACGGTCCGCGGACATTCAATGCTCGAGCCTGCAGCAACCCTGTGAAGATATGGAAAGAAATCTTAGAGCATGAGCTATGGCGCGAGACAGTTGAAGAAGCGAGGCTGTGTCGATGCGCAGTGCTTCAAGCCGCCGCTACATGTCGCCTGCGTGACCAAGTTTGTGGCAACATTCCCGCCATTATCGCCACTGGGGCGGACTGGGTATTGGCCCGGGCGAATCTTCGTGTCACGGCGACAGCGGCCTCGGAGACCGGGCGGCCCGGGGAGTCCGAGGGAGGCAGTCACTGAGCCTGCCGGTCTTGACTCTGACTAGCCTGTATGACCGACTCTAGCCTCATGCCGCGGCTACACGTCGAAAATTCGTTTTTTCGAATACGGTGTTTTTAAAATGAAAAGATGATACTGTTCGAGTACAGTACTGAATTTTCCCGCGCAAATCTCCTCTATGGCGAGTGAACCTGCTTCAGCGATGATTGAGACTGTTTCTGACGAGCACAGACGAATGCACGTCAGAAACTTCATGAAACTTGCTGACTTGTACGTCACATACAGTCGAGATATTGGAAACGCTATGACACAACTACGTTATAGACTGCAAGGAGATTATTTCAGAAGGTATTATCGAGTTTCTTGGAATACCTTTCAAGTTATCTTAACGAGAATATCTCCCATGATTGACAAGGCAGATGTTTTTGCCAGTCGTGGATGCATAACCAGCGAGATCAGACTTGCATGTGTTCTGCGATGGTTGGCAGGAGGATCACATCTGGATATAACATCGGTTCATGGTATCAGCTCTACTGCATTCTGGGATGCTGTTGACTTGATCCTTGACTCCATCAACACGGGTTTTGATATAAGTTTTCCATTCAATGACGATCTGGAAATGCAGAAAATTGCACATGGATTTGCCAACTTGCATGCATCACCACTATTCCATCACTGTGTAGGTGCTGTAGATGGGATGCTGTTACAGATACAATCTCCCGCCAGCTCTGATACGCAGACACCATCCCGTTTTTGGTGCAGGAAAGGCTTTTACGCTTTGAATGTACAGGGAGTTTGTGATTCTACTATGCGGTTTGTGTATGTGGGAATCAATGCACCAGGTAGTGTACATGACTGTGCGGCATGGGCTCTGGGATCTGTTTCGCAATCCATTGCCAATGGTCTTCTCCCAGAACCATATTACATACTTCGCGATGCGGGCTACAAAGGTTGCGAGAGAGTCTTGACTCCTTTCGCTCAAGGAACACATTCAGCACACCTTAATGCTGATCAAATTCGGTTCAATTACTTGCATAGTAGTGCCAGGATAAAGATTGAAAGTGCATGGGGGTTGTTGGTTAACAGGTGGGAAATCTTGACAAAACTTGTTATTCATGAATTGCTGATATTGATGAACCACTTAGGTTCGGTATTATGTGGCGACCGTTGAAATGCTCCATCCAGAGAGATGCAATCATTGTGATGGTATGTGCGAAGCTGCATAATCTTTGTCTTCAACACAATTCCAAAGGCAACTACCTAGGTTTGGAAGAGGGTCCCGAGAGTGACCTTGATGAATCTGCACATCGGATTCTCAACTCCATGAGACCCGAGATGGTCGTTCCAGACAATGCTAGCTATCCTACCATCCAGAGCATTGCACTTGAGCAGTCTCAACAGCAGGAACACCACCCTCCGATTACATGTCAGTGGCAAGCTGACATCGACCAATGCCTTTCGATGAAGGAAATCAGACAAGTTTTACTGACCAACGTTAATGCAGTGTAATGGCCAATCAGACATCGTTCAGAAGCCTTACACTGTCTGGAATGCCATCCGATGGTAGCATAGTTCCAAGTACATCCTGGATTACTCGAGCGAAACGTCCGCAAACTTGCAGTGGCTTGTGCAATTCAGTTGTTACAGCCTGTACTTGATCAGATGATGTAGACATGGATGTGGCAGTAGCGTTGGACAACAAACAAGATTGGTCCGATCGAGGCTCCGTCCGCTCAGATTCAGAGTCGGGGCCCGGGGTTCCCGCGGCGGAACAAACACTGTGCAATCTCTTGATTAAAATACAAACATGACGTGAAACTTGACTGATTGAAATGAAGTCAAGAAACTTTGCGACACACGGTGAGGCCCACGGATAACGATAGCCCGGCCTCTTAGGTGCTAAAGGCCCCTCCTCCTTCAACACCTCTTCCTCCTGCTTCGACGCTTCTTCCCCCTCCTGCTTTGACGCTTCTTGTCCCTCCTGCTTCGACGCTTCTTCCCCCTCCTGCTTCGGTCCCTCCTCCTCCGATCTCGACCCCTCCTGACCAACGGTGCCTTCTCGCTTGCGATCGCGCTTCCTCTGTGAAGCGCGAGCCGCTGGTCGGATGTGAGACTCGCGGGCGTAGGGCCATCGTGCGATCCCGAGCCGCCTGCATGCTCCTTTGAAGGCTGTCAGCGATAAGCCCTGCAGACACAACACGTCACGGCTGAGTCAGTTAATGAAAAACTGCTGCTGTAATGGTTCATCCACTCCCTTGTAGCAATAGTACCATTGTATGCGGGATTGTTTGATGCTGTTCCATTGTAATATACCCATATTGTCCTTGTAGTAGAATATCCAGCGTTGTAATTCTCAATCAATATACTCACAAACGACTTGACGGGCATCACGGTACCAGGGAGGCAGCTGCCCTGGTCTGCGGGAGGTGGAAGAGAGCCTTCATCGTTGCGAGCCGGAGGTTGACGCCAGGTCTTCCTTTGTCGGCCACGAAAGATTGCTGGAAGGCTTTTCGCCTTGGGTAGACGCGGACGGAGGTGTTCATTGGGACGGCGATCGAGGAAGGGATGACGAACGGGGTGCATTGCTATCAACGGAAGATGGAGCACCTTTCAATTGCTATCCTGACTGAACCCGACAACCGTGACGTTGCATCTCATAGTATCCCGCTCGCACGCTCTCACGCTCGCTCGCACGCTCGCACGCACGCTCGCACGCCCGCCCCTCTCTCACATACACACACACACACACTCATCATCTCCTCCCTCCCCTTCCTCCCTCAGGTCAAGTTGCCCCTGGAGGTAACAGAGGTTTTACCGCACGATCATCGATGCTGATCAAATGCACTGTCAGAGCAATTTGCTGTCCAATGCACATCACGGCCTGAGGTTCGCCACAATGACCAAAGCAAGTGTGCACAAGAAACAACCCTTGAATGTTACTTCTTCGGATGTGTTTACGCAGGTCAAGGGAGGAGTGGGGGAGGGGGAAGAGAAACTGCGTCATAGTTGATGCTCTTCTAGAAGCATCATGAGCCATGCAGATTATGATCCAAATGATTTGTTAGATCCCTCTATGAGGTTAGCATAGGAATCGCTGACTTCATGTTGATCACACGTCATCGCTCTATCGACTGCTATCGGTCTGCCAGTATGTTGCTTGAGATGGGCATCATTTCACCAGAACGTTTCAATATTCTTTGAATGTTACAAAACTAAAATGACAAAATCGATGGCAGATTACCCTCCCCTTTTCACCTCTCTACATCACAATCTCACCATAGCCCGGCCTCTTCGCTCGCACGCATGTACCACTCGATCCACGCAGGTTCTAGAGGCCCCTCCTCCTTCGCCGATGATGTCGATCCCTCCTCCTCCTCCTCCTCCCGCTTGCGATCGCGCTTCCTCTGTGAAGCGCGAGCCGCTTGTCGGATGTGAGACTCGCGGGCGTAGGGCCATCGTGCGATCCCGAGCCGCCTGCATGCTCCTTTGAAGGCTGTCAGCGATAAGCCCTGCAGACACAACACGTCACGGCTGAGCACAAACGACTTGACGGGCATCACGGTACCAGGGAGGCAGCTGCCCTGGTCTGCGGGAGGTGGAAGAGAGCCTTCATCGTTGCGAGCCGGAGGTTGACGCCAGGTCTTCCTTTGTCGGCCACGAAAGATTGCTGAAAGGCTTTTCGCCTTGGGTAGACGCGGACGGAGGTGTTCATTGGGACGGCGATCGAGGAAGGCAGAAGAACCTAGCGAAGCAGAGAGTCAGGGGGGAGGAATGGGGATGCCAAAGAAAGTGTACTTCAAGACAAGTCGTGGGCTGTGTGGAGTGCACGTGGAAGCGGAGGAACGGGAGAGGAGGAGAAGAGGAAGTTCTTAGGGGGCAGAGTTATTGGTTGGTGTACCAGAACGTGATACGCTGACCCCACCCCCTCTTCACCGTGCCATAGTCCTCCGCTTCTCCTCCCTTCCGTCCGCTTTGGCAACCACCCACCCCCTGACATCCACCCCTATCCATACATCAGTGTGTCTCCAAGTGCGAGGAAAGAGACGCCAATGCGTCCGATGGGGGCAAGACGCGATGAGTATCTGGCTTACGGCTTTCAGCCTAGTCTGCCACTCGAAGAATCGATGCCCTTCACTACCTTCTCCAACAGCTCGAAGTGGGGGTGCTTAGTTGTATTATGAGACGGTATAATATAGTCACGGCTCCCGAGGGTCTCATAGTAAACAGAGACGAGACGGTCACCTCACAGAACGTGACTAGTCAGTGTGACTGTAGGCGTACCTGGCAATGGGAAGTAGGGGTAGGGGTTACATGCACCTCCATATGACCGTACCATCGGCGAGGTGACTGACTCGGAAATGTCACCGTGACCGGCCCTTTAGTTAAAAGTTAGGGGCCCGCCCGGGGTCGGCTGGGCCGCCCGGAGCGCGGCGCGAGTCTGTTAATGGAACTTGAAAAGGGTTGTTGCAGTGCCAGGAGGCGCAATATGCAACAAGCGCAACTGGCGAGGGGCGAGAAGGAGAGGCGATGAGGCGGAAGTGAGCAGAAACCTCTCGCAGACGAGAACCAGAGATGTGTGAGGGCTGAGACTGCAATCACATTCACAGTAGAGCAATGACGCGAGCTGCGCGTAGCAGTACACTGTGTGCGCTTGCCTTGCAGACATGCTTGACAGCATCGTGGGGATTCTCATTCTCAACTCGCTCTACCTTTCATCCAGTCACTGCGTCTTGTCTGATGAAACAATACTCCGATGTAAGGACTCGCAGAGCAAACAAGCTGGGAGTAGCCGGCTTGGACGCAAAGGCAAGGGACAGCGTCCCCTACCGACTGCTGAGCTCGCATGTGTCGCTTGCATTGTCCCTGGCTTTGATGTTCCAGCCCATAATGAGTGCAGCTCATGCGACCACATTGGATTCACGTCTTCACAGTGAACAGAAAACAGCAGAAAAACATCAGCCTGATACCGATGCATTCTTTCTAGTATCCAACAGTGACTTCGACAGATTGACAGCGAAGCTTCGTGACAATTCAGGTCGTCAATCAAGTAGGAAGCCTAGTAAAAAGCTTAGAGATCAAATGCGGGAAATTAGATTGCCAGAGTACAATCGATATCGGTCACTGAGCGATGAGCTCAGAGATCAGAATCGCCTTCTAGTGCTTGAAGCTTGGGACATTATTCATAGGGGATCATTCGGATATCCAGGATGGTATGATCCCAATGGAGGCTTGTTTGTGGATCCTGAAACATTCCAGTCAAGAGCGAGAAAGGAGCTTGTGGAGTCTCTTTCTGTCAAAGACCTTTCTTCCAAGGTTGCAGCTGAAGATGTCATCAGAACCATGGTTGCAGAGCTGCATGATCCCTACTCAAAGTTCCTCTCCAGCAGCGAATACCGAAGAGAGGCTGCTCCTCCTTCAGTGCTCTCTAACGTCAATCGGCTGGTCGGTGTTGGCGTTCAGCTTTTCGATCCCGTGGACGGGGAGGAGGACCTGGTGGTGGTCGCTCCTTCTCCTAACTCACCGGCTGAACGCGCTGGAATTAAACCCCTCGATCGGATCCTGCAGATCGACGGGCTAGACGTGGGAGGGGAAGCCGCCCTTACAGCAGGCGAGGCCATGAGCCTCATCCGAGGATGGGAAGGAACAGACGTGAAGTTGCTCGTCAAGAGGGCAAGGGACCCTTCAGGGACCATCATGTTCGGGGATGATGTTCTCGGCGATCGCATTCCTCGCATCGTCCCGCAGGTAGCTGGAGATGATCTTGGATTTGATCTTGCTAGGGATGTACAGCCTGAGCTGATCACACTCCGGAGGCAGCGGCTGAATGTTGCTCCTGCTCAAGCAGGAATTTTGGAAACTGTTGCATCAACTGGAGTCCCTCAAAAGATTGGCTACATTAGGATAAATTATTTCAACCTTGAGGGCACAAAGTTCTTGTCAGAAGCTATTCAGAAGATGGAGGATGATGGTGTAGGCGGCTACATCATTGACGTGCGAAATTGTTTGGGTGGAATTTTCAAGGAAGCGCTCATGACAGCAAGCATGTTTCAGGGAGGAGATGATAACTCCGATTCTGAAAAGGGAGAACCCGATGCCGTGCTGATTAACATACTGGATGCAAGTGGATTCATAAAGCCTGAAAAGCTTTCGAAACAGATTGATTGGATCAGGTGGCCGGAGAATGATGGACGGCCCTTGGCAAAACCTGTTCGGTCGGACAAACCGGTTCGGATCCTAACTAACCGAGGATCAGCTTCATCCAGCGAAGTCTTGGCCTTGTCTCTTGTCGGCAACAACAGAGCAGCGATTGTCGGTGAGAAAACATTTGGCAAAGCGCTGATTCAACACCCGTATTTTCTTGCAGATGGCTCCGTGTTGAAACTCACCGTCGCGGAGTATCTGAGCCCAAAGAACCAACATCTCGGCAGCGGCTTATTGCCAAACACTCTCTGTGCCAATGCCCCTGAGATGGGCCCCGGCGATGATTGTTTGAGGATAGCACAAGAGCAGATCGCGCAAGACACAACATCTGTGGCATCAACCATCACAGACTCAGCAAATGCAAACATGATACGAAACCGCCAATTAGAAGAAAGGCTGAGTTTCAAACCCAAATCCGCAGCAGCTATGCAGGTTGAACAAGGTGAGTTTGTAAGATTTGTGCGAATACTTCTGATCGGATTCATGACATAACATTCCCAGGTTCACAGATCAAATCAGATACATATCCATGGTTTGTTCGCTTTCTCCCATTGAATTAAATGTTAAATTAGGCAATATACTCGCTATCAAGTAGCAACTCAGAACATTTCCTGAACGATTCTTTTACTTCTTCTTTGTCTTTTTCGGCAGCGACGTGATCATTCATATTCGCCTTTCTTGAAGTTGTGAAATACTTGCAATGCACTGGGGGAGTCCAAGGCTCCTTGTACTTTGATAGTCTCTCAGCAGATTTCAATAACTCAAGCTCAGCTTGCTGGAGTGCCTGGGTCCTCATCAGAAAGAAGTTTCAAGAGAAACGAGCATTTGTACTTGTTTTGCCTTCAATGTTGCGTCAGAGAGTCCTGTAGGACATTCTCAATCATTCAGCGCAAGTGAAGTCGATTCTCCACCTGCAGAATCGATCGGCAGTTTCATCCATTTCTCCCCAATGTGAATATGCTTGAGCTCTTGCCACTTCAATGGGGTCTGATATCCTTCCTGCCATCAAATGTCACCTCGCAACTCTGTATTGAGGAAGTCAACTCACCTTGCAGTCATGGCCATGATCGGGTAGACGCACAATCTTTTCACGCGCTGCTTCCAGCTCTCTCCGCATCATTTCGTTCTCGTGACAAAGGAAAGCAAGGCAGGCGTCGTTCACTTCCTGGTGCGTTCGAAGAACTTCTTTGATCTTGTCCTTCTCTGCCTCTTCGACTTCCCTGGTCTTCAAGAAAATATTGATCCGATCCGCACAACGTCTCACTCTTTCTTCCATGTCTTCATCATCGGCGATGCTCATAGACGTTTCGCTCTTGAAGGGGAGGCATTCGTCAGAAGCAGGCAGTGACTGGTGGATCAGTTGTTACATGGTCGATGGTCTCAATCCGTACCTTGTCTAAAGATGGCTCTGCCTGTTTGCAGTGAATGACCACAGAGCAACAAGACTGAGATCAAGAAACTCACGTCGATCTCCATCACTTACATACATTCCAGAGGGTCCACGATGAAAACATAGTTGCAGCCGTCAAGGGAGAAAACTAAACATACTTCCCTGGGAGAGAGTTTAGCCTTGACGCTCAGGAAAGAAACTGATTCGGAAGCTTGTCATGATGGCATCATCTCTTCAACTTCATACATCCCATCAACATTATCACCGGGTCATCATATGCTACTTGCTTCTCTAACTTTCAGTCCATGTTCACCTCCTTGTTTCCTTAAGTTCCAGTATAATCCCGATCACTGTCATTCACATCATTTTCTGCATCATCAGGCTCCTGCTCTAGTGTAGCTACAGTAGCTACCAGCTTGAAATTTGAAGAGGCGAGGCGATGCGACTTGTACGGGTCCGACACTGATGAGAAAGAGTTTGGAGCCTGCCTCAGAGACCGATCGCACGGTCCGCCGCCCGGCGGCCGGGCCGGCCGGGCCCGGCCACGCGGCGCCCCCAGCCCGCCGGGCCCGTTCACCGCGGCTCAGTGGAGCCTCGGCCGCCGCCGGGAGGTCCGACCGCTGACAGTGCGGTGCCACCGGGTGACCGGTGAGTCACGGGGCGGCCCCGCGGGGCAGCCGGGGGGGCCGGTACGGCCCGGTACGGACGGTCCGACCGTCGGACGGCGCCGCCGGACCGTACCGCTCAGTACTGGCCGCGCCGGAGTCACCGGGTCGTCACCCGGGCCGCCACTGCTGCAGCGGCGCCGCGCGGCGGCCCGGGCGGCCCCGGTTTGCCCGGCCGGGCACGGTTGGCAGTGCGGCCCGACTCGGGCACGCCGCGGACCGGGTCGGCGGCCGTGGCCGCTGAGACCGGACGGTACTATGGTACTCAGTGACGGTCCGATCACCGCGACGGCCGGGTCCCGGCCACGGGCCGCCGGGCGGCACGCCCCGCTCACCGGGCCGAGCCACCCAGTCAAGAACAGCCGGGCGGCCTGTACGGTGGATGACGTGTCCGTGAGCTAGGGTGGGGCCCTGATAGGGGGTTAATCAGTGGGGAATGAAGGGTCCATTGCAGCGGGGGTACTAAATCACAGCCCGCCCCGCCTTTGATGAAATGGCCACGGACCCCTTCGTTCCCCTCTTAGTACCCCCATCTATCTAGCTGTCCAGAACATTCTGCTCAAAATGGTTTGGGCAATGGAAATTTGATTAAGGTGTATCTATAGACTTCAAATTTCAGAAAGAATGTTGGAAATTATCACATAAAGTGGACCTCTCCCCTGACGGCAGCAATCGGATTAGTGGACGGCATGCAGCGCGTGCTTCAGCTTGTCGCGCTTGTCGCGTGTTTTGCAGTTGTATCCTCGCTCAGCAATGGCGTCATCAGTCTCGACAAGTACACGTTTGACAAGATCGTCGGCAAGGAGAGACCTGTGCTTGTTCGCTTTGATCAGGATTATTCGGTATTCTCCCTCTGTACGTGATATACCCACATGCTCTCTAACATGTCTGCAGTATGGGGATGAGAATGATGCATATGAGTATGCAGCCAAGAATGCAACTTCATCTGAAATCCTCGTAGCAAGTGTGGGAATCAGTGAATGGGGAGAAAAGGAGAATCAGGATCTCGCTGATCGATTTGGTGTGAAGAAGGAGGATTGGCCGAGGTACATTTTCTTCCCCAAGGGATCGAAGGAGGGCGTGACCTTCTCCGGAAACAAGAAGGATACTTATGCCATTCTTCAGTTTATCCGCAAGCAGGTGAGATTTGGTTGAGGAGGTTGTTTCCAGCTGGAGGTGACGAAACTCTGCAGGGCGTCTGGGTTGGCCTTCCTGGCTGCCATGAGAAGTTCGATGAGCTTGCGTCGCAGTTCATGTCCTCCAAGGACAAGCGCGCTGACATCATCAAACAAGCTGAGAAGCTCTTGGCGGAGATCAAAGATGACAAAGAGAGAACTTCTGCTAAGTTTTACATTGCTGCAATGAGGAAGATCGAAGAGAAGGGAGATTCTTTTGTTGAGAACGAGTCCCAGCGCCTCAAGTCTATGCTGGACAAAGCTACTCTCAAGAAGAACAAGAAAGATGAGTTCCAGACGCGATTGAACGTGCTGTCATCGTTCAACCTCTAGAGTTGAAATGGAACTCTTGTCGCTCTTGCTCTGATGGACGAGGCAGAGGTTTGTTCCGAGGTGAATGTGCTTGAGCTATAAATATGAAGTTGTAATATGAGAATAAAGATACATTCGTTGCCCATTTTTCATCTTGAAATTCAAAGACATTGCTCAAAACTCGTTACGCATCTGCTGTGGTGCCAGTAGTACCTTCCGTGCCGGGAACATTTGTTTGCAGCTTTCTTAACATTTCCGCTCTTAATCTCAATCTTCCAACCTTGTTGTAGTGTAAGAGGGGGACAGTTTGGATGAACATTAAGAAATAACCTGCATCTGCAACTCCTTCAACTCTGTGAGAACCAATTCATCGTCGTCGTCATCACTCCTTGACTCCGTCTGAGGAGAATATGTCAATTACACAAAAGTCCTCTTCCCACAAACAGAATGAATCTTTCTACCTTGGTGGGAGCAGGACCAACAGGGCTCAAGAAATACTCATCCTTCCGTGCCCAATAATAAAGTGTCGGCCACAGGAAGACCTGCAAACGTGTCCAAATTGAATCAGAAGACGTAAGGGAACTGAGACAGATAGGGAACTAATGGGAGTTTCATAAGAGAGCCACGGGGGCGAAACAGGATATGGAGACTCACGTGCATCGTTAGCGTCACAACCCACGTTGGAAACAGAACCCAACGCAGAAAAACCTCATAGACAAGTGCGCTGTTGAGAATTCGCAAAATCTCAGCCCCCTGATAGATCTGAACGAGTCGCCACAGCGTAAATGGAATAGGAACAAGAGGCCAGACAGGAGATCCACTGAAAAGATCAAATTGATCATCAAAATGGTTACATTTTCGACTTTTCTCACCTGTACCCAACCAAACGCCAAGAGATGAGCTGCTCAACTATGCCCAGAAAGTATGGAGCAAACACTGCTAGGACCGTCGCTGATGCCAACCCAAAGAAGGGGCTGATGACGAAAAAGATCATGGGCAGGAGGATTCCCAAGGAGAGCATTACACTGATCCAAGTCTCTGCAAAGCAACATTAGAAGGGGACAACGCAACCAGTGGGGTTGCATTCATGATTGAGGATGGAGAAAAGCAACAGCAGATAAGGACTTGCCAGCAGCTTCAGGCAGCGGGTTTGGTAGTCTCCAGCTCGCATAATTCTTGTAGCGACCACAGAGGCTGATGAAATATGCAGTTGTGATCGCAATGAAGATCATCTCATTGCGGAAAATGAAGCCCATGAGCTCTTTCATCTGCAGAGAGAACGAGAGAGAAGCAGGGTTCAATGATAGCGACAGTGCGTATGCATTCTGAACAAAGAGCATGCTGAACCCGGTGAAGTAGAGAACGAGGAGATTCGGAAGCTTCAACATTGAGTTGAGAAATCTGACACCAGGGGGTCGTGGTTGAGTGTTGAGACGAGAGTTTTGTGCTCGGTCACCATGAGCGGTGGTATGGCATACAAGCTGGTGTTTGCGAATGAATTTTCGGTTGAGAGGCTCCAATCCTGCCAGCTGCCTTTGACCACCAGTCATGCTCGTTATGCATGGATAGCGCGGGACTTGGAATGACCCAGACATGTGAAAGCTCATGCTGAGCAGCAGCAGTGAGATCTTGGACATGGCAGTGAGATGACTTGTTGGCTCCACAACCTAATCGAGATCACAAGCGCTCAATTCTTCGTTTTAACCGCCATGAGCGCGAAGGACCGGCCAGGCACCTGCATGTTCCGTTGAGCGGCCTTCCTCTTTCCCTCTTGGGGGCAGCAACTTTCCTCAATAGACCAACAGGAGATGCCATTGGTCAAACGGTATTTATAACGGTCCGTCGTAGCAACGGACCGGACTGATGATGTGGGTCCCGGAGTCCGCCCAGGAACGCTATATGATAACCGTCGGCCCACCCAGCCGCACTACCCCCCGGTTCTAGACGAGTCGGACCCTACCCGTACTGGCGCCAGCCCCAGACAGGTAGTACCCCTCCTCACCCCCGGGAGTTCAGCGATGATTCTTGGCTGAGCGGCTGGGCTAGATGGCAACTAGGCCCGGGTGACCCCACCCCTCGGGAAATGACCCACCCCTTCAATCTCCTTCGCGCAGGTCCTCTACCAAGTCCAACGGCCGGCAGCATGACGGGAGGGAGCGGGCATCGCAAGAGCGCTATGGATAGGATCGGGTACTTCGGGGAGGAAGGATACATCTCTGTTGGCGATCCTTATGATAAGAAAACGAAAGGTGAGATTTCCTGTCAGAAATAGATGACATAGCATGTGCATGTAATTGCTGAATCCGACTTGTGCAAACGTGTTCACAAGGCAGCATCTTGTTGCTATATTGGTTGCAATACTGCCTGTTCGATGTTCCGCGGCAGAAACTCAAATCTGTCTGAGCACCAACTGATCGCATGCTCTCTCTCAACAGAAAGCTTGGATCGTGAACGAGGGTTACAGATGACGACGTCACCAATGTACAAAAACAACAAGTATGGCCTGAACAATGGCACCTTCAACAAGTTTGAAGGATTGTATAATGTAAGGAAAGTGACAGACCAAAATTTGTGTAACGAGTTGTGCTGCACAGGGCGAGCCGTACATCACATTGGAACAATACAGAAGACAACAAAGAAACAAAGAGAGCTCAAAGAATGTTTCTGACGTTCAGTTTAAACCATCGAATCCTCCCAAGAAGTCGTTAGGGAATCTGGGATCCTTCTATGGAACAGTTGGTTATGTCGATCGAAAATCACAACCATTTCCCGCCGGAGGTAGCATCACTTACATGCCCCAGGGAGATGGGATGAAGAAAAAGATAAAAGGGGAAGTTACACATGAACCTCTAAACATCGTAACCAACCCGACTCGGAAAGGAACTTTTGGGTATCCAAACCTTACCATTGGGGTGCCGGGAGCAGCGCAGGCGAAGAGAGCATGGAAGGGAGTGGCTGGTGAGTATGCATACACTCCGGATCCATACGATGCGTCAAGATTGCAGAGGAAGGAGGAGAGAGAAAAGTTCAAACACATGTATGACAACCCATGGAAACCTGCAAACCCAACGAAAAAGGGAGGGCCAGGAATGTGGGGAGGGCATCGGGCGTTATTTGATCATCCCAAAGATTGTGGAGGGACAATATCACAATATCATGAGTACATCCCAACGGGAACAGAAACGAAGAAGACTAAGCAAATGATTGAAAAAGAGGTGAGTGGTTTGAATGTCTTGCATGTTGGCAAGAAGACTAATCTGTGCTTCTCGTTTCATGGTAGAAATGGGCGGATCCTTATGATCGTGCAGCATTTAAGCCCCCTAGTCGCCTCAAACGGGGAGGACCAGGTTTTTGGGGCTGCGGGAAGAAGAGCGGAGGATCTCTTACCTTCAGTGAGTTTCCCGTCGCCTATCAAGATCCCTACGACACCTTAAGGTCAGACTGCACACGTTCGAGCAGACGACTTCGAGCTGAGCTGACACTTGAATGAAGGACCAAGGTGCTGATGGAGAAGAAGGCGATGAAGGAGAAACTTGGGCCTCTAGCTGAAAGAGTTGCATTCTTGCCCCCATCAGTAGGCAGATCGAAACGAACACCGAGCATTTTCACCATGAACATCAAAGTTTGATCTTCATGCCTCCTCCCTGTAATTTTTTTTGGTCTCTCCTAATCACAGCCATCCTAAGAGTTTTATTGAAGCACCATTTTCCAGAAAATTTGCAAAAGCTTAACCAGGTCGGCTCGACTTGGTGTACATCTGACAATAGACTAAATGGCTATAGCATGCGTTCTTGTACTCGAATCTTGCTCCACAGGACTGGCAGAACCATGGACCTCGATTCTCCTTCGTTCGCAGAGGACATAGATTGCGCATGTGGCGGAGAGCGCGGTCGAGGTCTCGGTAGCTCTTATTGCAGAGAGCAAACCTGCAATAAAACCTCTTGGTGTCGGGAGCGTTGGGGAAATGGTGGCAAAGATGTTGATTGAGGCGGCTGGCGCTGTTGAATTTTCTGCTGCACTTTGCAAGAGGACAAGTCCATGTCATCTCCACCTGAACCCTCCTCGTCAACGTCCTCTTCCTTTGCTTTGCAGCCTTCCGGTTCTCGATCAATCGTGCTCGCTCCTTGTCGAAGTCGATGAACAACTTGTACATCCTCTTCCAGATGTCAGCAGGCATGACGAGGGTGCGGAGAGAGATGGCGGAAAGTCTGTCGTGCCTCAAGCAGAGATATCTCCAGATTTCACCTGCATCCACGAGATTCCGACAAAACGTTGATGTCAACAATAAGTAACTGATGGACCGCAGGGGAAGAAATTTGACGACCAAACCAAGCACACAATCAGGCAACGAGAGGAGAAACAGTCTCCCGTGAGGTCTCCTTGCCATGCGAGCCACTGGACATTTCAAGATCTTGTTTGTCTTCACCTTTCGGGGTTGTTGCTTTGTAATCCAAGAAGTCTGCTGCAAATCCTTGGCATCAGCATTGTCGCATGATTGTTCCTTACAGCAGCTGCTGTATCTGTCTTCGTTGCCTGTACTCCCATGCTTTGGGTAAGATTTTGCTCCCTCAATCCTTATCTTGAGCTTTTTTTGCAATTGCACGATTTCCTCGCGCAGTCTCTCTTTTCTCTTCTGCAATCCAGAATCCATAGTGAGACCGGTATCGAGGTTACCTTGACGTTGAGTCCATGAAATCGTTTGCCATGACAATTCTCATATTCTAAACCCTACATTACGGAGTCTTTCCTTCATCGTAGATGGCGACAACACTGTTGCGAAATTTGTCAAATTTGTAGGATATAGTAGTAGAATCCCGACGATTCTGTAAATATGCACTTTTAGGATCGATGCGAAGGATGTCGTTTTTGAAAACAAACAAGCAGGGGAACGAGTTTGGGCTAAGCAACGACTCGTTGATTGCTATATCACACATGCACCCCACTCTCCCGCCATTGCGGCATTTTCCACGTGCTACTCGGAGCGGGCCAACCCCTTCAAGTCATGTGTCCAGGCCCTGGTCCAGGCCCGCGCAGGTTACTTCCTGGTTCGAGCAATGCTAGCAGCGGTGCTTCTAGGAATGGCAGTCAGCTTTCCTCTACCACCCGCCCTCCCCTTCTCCTCCTCCTCCTCTTCTCTTGCTCCAACATATCTCCCTCCCGCTCTCCGATGTCTCAGAGGAGGATCAGAAGCAGGAGCCTTGGCCATGCAGGTTTCGTCGACGTCCGTGGGTGAAAATCTCAAGGCTGTGAAAGAAAAGATCAGTACGTGTTGTTCTCAGCACAACCTGGCTCCTCCCAATCTCGTTGCCGTTAGCAAATTCCAGCCCGTTGAGACCATCCTTGAGGCCTACCAAGCTGGCCAGGTCTGTTGATTGTTGAATGAGGATCGGAGTGAGTTTGTGGAATGCAGAGAATGTTCGGAGAGAATTATGTACAAGAGATTGTGTCAAAGGCACCATCGCTTCCTGAAGACATTCAATGGCATTTCATTGGAATGTGAGGGTGGGAGGTCCTTTGCTTGTTTGGCTGACCCTCCTGTCTCAGGCTGCAGAGCAATAAAGCAAAGCAGCTCGTCTCTGGGGTGAAAAATCTCGAAGTCGTTGAAAGTGTCCATAGTGCGAAGACAGCGACAGCTTTGAACAATGCTTGCATGTCTGCAGAACGAAGGTCTCCTCTCAAGATCTACATACAGGTCTTGACGTCTGGAGAGGAAAGCAAGTCTGGTTGTCTTCCGGAGGAAGTGATCGAGATCGCTCAGCATGTGAAGAGCCATTGCCCTGCTCTTGAGCTGAAGGGGTTGATGACGATAGGAAAGCTAGGTGATCCCAACCCCGAGCCTTACTTTGCTCTCTTGCGCGAATGCAGGAAGAAACTGGCGGAATCGCTGCAGATGGAAGAGACCGATCTGCACCTGAGCATGGGAATGTCTGGGGATTTTGAGAAAGCAATCGCGGCTGGCAGCACGAGCGTACGTGTTGGCACAAGCATATTTGGTGAAAGGCCACCAAAGCAATAATCCATCATCTCACACAAGCTCGCGACGCTGCATACGAGAACATGAGCGGGAAAAGATGTTAATTTGATGAGGAATATAAGATGAGTCTGCAAGGATTAAAAACACTGCAAGGAGGAGAGAAGTTCACTGTGGGTCAAGAGTCTGATGTAGTTTGAGCTGTCCTTGAAAGTCCAACTTCCAAACCTTCACCTGCAGCCGGGGTTTACTTCATCGATAGAAGCGCACAGAACATGCTTGCCTGCCCATTCTCAGCCGAAGCAGCCAAAGTCGTTCCCGTCAAGTTCCATCCAACTCTCCAGTAGGGCATCACAGCTCCGCTGAAGAGACAATCAACAACTACCCTCCAGCTGAGATACACCTGTACCTCGCGTCTTCTTGAGGAGTTGGCAGCACCGAAGGCTTGTCCAAGTTTTCAATGCGATCTCCTGCTGATGTACATCAAAACTATCAAAGAGGAGGGATATCGAACCTGACGCCGAGCTCCATCCTGTGAACAGCGGAAGCCTCCACACCTTCAACCATATCAGACACAACAATCGCGCACCAACTAGATTGACCTGAACACTTGAGCCGATGGCTGCGGCTAGCAGATGCATTGGACGTCCCATGTTTGGAGCCCAATCAATGTCTCTCACCTACAAATGGGATGAGGAAACTCCTTTCGACCGTAGAGTATGTCATCAATACTTCTCCTCGTTCTCCTTTCTTGTCGGGCTCAATGTCTAGTTTGGTAATCATCTGCCACCTTTGTTGTTCATTGCAATATCCTATGGGTCATATTCAGTATGGTTTTTGAACAAACCTCCATGGATATTTAATACCCCAGACTGAAGCAGATGTGTGCAGCTGACGAGAAGAATCTGATTGATTAGAAGCAGGTCTCCAGCACCCTACAGCTAACATGGGTTGTTCGACTCTATTCTTATTCCAGCTGTACGTTTGTTATGAGACTACAACTTGACAGGAGAAAGAAATTTGACCTGACACAGGTAATGTATGAAGACAAACCAGCTCCATCGACATCGAATTCGCTTGAAAGCGTCCACTGGTTGAGATTTGTTGGGTTTCCTTGGTGTATTCTAACCTATCATCCTGGTCAAACAAACCTTTGCATTCACTCGGACTACCTTTCCGTCGTTGCATGCTGAAGCCAGCTGCAGTCCCAAGTGGCTTGGAGCAAACGCAATACTGTTCACTGCCTTCTGAAAGTCCATAAGTGTGGCTACAGGCTGTGAGAAAGTGTTCATTCCGGTAACTGTCATTCGATTCGCAATTTCAACCTCGAATTTGATCTTGAACTCGGAGTTCCCAGAGTATCCGAACTGTGAGGTCAATCAGAACATCTTAAAACGAGGAAAGACCAGAGAAGCAAACGCCAACCTCTTTCTCTCGCCAAATGATCACCTGAACTTGAAATCAGCCTCATACACCAACGCAAGAAAACAATAGCACCGTTCGATCATCCGAGCATGAAGCTAAAACTTGTCCAAACTCAGGATGAGCCCAATCCACCTGACCAATCATGTAAGATTCAGGCACAATCCTTGAAATTTCGAGGATTTGGATACGGAATTTCCTACCTTCCATATCGCAGATCTATGACCAGAACCGGATCCTCCAAACCTTACACGAGCTCATCAAGAAGTTTTCGAGCTAAGTGCAAGACAATCTCACGGAGGTGATATCAATCGCCATTGATCATCATCATCCTTGTCAAACACGCGAATGGTCTGCAACATCATTAGAGATAGTACTTGCTCCCGCGGCATCCTCTGTACCTTGTCACTGGAGCAAGTGGCAATGCGTTTTCCGTAGTAATCATGCGCAATATAGTGGATACATGCTGTATGACCGGTAGAAATCTGATCATCGGTCAGAACGACGCTCTTCACTCATGCTAGAAGTTGTACCTTATCAACTGGCCTGCGAGCAGTCGCCATCTGCATGGTTGAATTTAGAAGACAGGGATGTTCAAGTGAGCGAAAAATGCCCCAGCCGTGAAACAAGGGCAGTTTTACTGCGAGGCAACAACACTTTGATATCAAGTAAACTTGAGCGAGTTCAACAGTAAGACATCACATAGCTTTCTTGCTACAATCCCTGGTTGCTCCTACCAGTCCCACACTCAACTCCATGAAAACGCAGAACTTACACACGTTCTTCGCATATCAAAGATAATACTTGAACAAGCCTCTCTTTCCCTTCTCCTCTCTGAAGTAACCATCCCTCCTCGCACATCTCCACTGCAAGGTTATCAGCATGCATTCCGCCGCCCACGGGTGGGACGGGAAAAGGGTGGGGATGGTACTCCACCCCTGGTCTTCAGCCTCCTTCCGGTTACCAAAATGACCGGTATTTTTCTTTGAAAATTGAAGGGGGTTGGGTGGGGTGGAGTTGTGGGGTTGGAGGATTTTTGTATGGGCTGGCCTGACACTGCCTTTGAAATGTTGGGGTAGGGTGCTCAATTTTTCTGAAAATACCCCTCATTTCAAAGGTAAAGAGGGGGTAGGTGAAAAATCGAGAATGATCGTTGAAACGAGGGGTAGGGTGGTAAGGACATTGCAGATCATCTCAAGCCGAGAAGGGGATGAACGAGAGGCGAAAAACGACTTTGATGTAACACCTGTATCAAGATGTTGATGTAGCCATATGTTGATGTAGCCATGTGTCCATGTAGTCAGATGTTGATGTAGTCAGATGTTGATGTAGCCAAATGTAAATGTATCCTGATGATGTTGTAGCTTCCTGGGATCCTTTGGTTTTGATCAATAACAGAGGTTACGACTCGAATGTTGAGGCTAAATGCTGTGTCAGGTATGGTCATTACAGTCTTGTTGTATCCGATAAAGTTGTGGCCGAATTCTAGGTGTTAGCAAGCTCAGACACACATGAAACCATTCCGTTGAAGTTGTATGTGAGAGATAATTTCAGAGCGCTTACAACCTCGAGCCAACCGACCTTGTAGCTGAACCTGCAAGACAGAGAAATGGTTTCACTGAGGTGTAATCATCTTCTTTTATCAATATTCGAAAAATGCATCTATAGATTATTCTAGAATTTAATGGTGTTCCTTTGATGGATCGTGGAAGTGGAACTTCGATGCTCCAAGCAATCCCATGACATAATCGAAGATACCGAATTGTCCAGCTGTGAGGGTGCCGATCATGACACAACGAGCGCCCAAACCCTGAGTGCAGAGCTTGACGATTCCAGTTTCCTTTGCGATGTTGACCAAACGAGTCATAGTGCCACCACTGCCTCCGGCTCCAGCCTTGTTGATCTTGGAAAGAAGAGTGTCCGCAGGGTGAGAAATGATAGCTGCCGCAACACCAGCAATGACACCAGATCCCAAAGAAACAGACACATTTCCAGCCTTCGACATCTGCTCCGGAGAGCTTCCCATTGCTGCGTAGATCTTCTCTGCAGCTGCACCCTGAACAGCGAACTTCGCCATGGTGTACGGAACCTGCTTGAAGAGGATGGGTCCGAATCCAGCATAAAAACCACCAAGAATTCCCTCTTCTTTTCCCATCTTCATCATGGCGCTAGCCATGCTGGGCGCGTATGATGGGTTGGAAACAAGGCGGATACGTGTGGCCTCCAAGGGGCAAAGGAAGATATCAGCGATGAACTCAGCGAGGGCAGATGCTCCAAGATAAATGCCACTGCGCTGTGCCCAGGCCCTTTCAGGTCCAAGAGCCTCAGCGGTCTTGATCTTAAACAATTCAACACCACCAAACTTGAACCATCCTTGAATGAAATAACCTGTTGCCGTTGGTCCAAATCCAGTGAGAAGTGCACCAGCACCCTCACCTTCAATAACCTGCTTGAAACCAGCAATCATGCCCTTATTGTACTTGGCAGGATCAAGCTGCATGCGGGTCTTCACCACATCAACAGGGGTGAGAGCACCGTGGGTGATACCGCAACAGATGCCTCCAGACAAAGCACCCTTGATGTAGTACATCAAATTGTACTTATTGCTCTCCGCAGCAGATGGGATCCTCATGCTGGGTGGGAGGACGCTGCTGTAGACCTCGCGGGGGAGGTTGAGCGCTGCATTCTTGTTGGAGTTCGCCATGTTGCTCGTGCTCTCGTACGTGGTAGGGTGCCCACCTACCACTGAAGAATGCCCCAACAAAGACCCTACCCCAGGACGTACAGTCCTTGTCGTTTTGGGTAGGTAGGGGTGGAATTCAGTCTGAAAAGAGGAGGTTAGAGTAAGAGTAGTGGCATATTGAATATTGGAATATTAGAGAAAATTCCTTTCTATACCCATATCCTTATGTCTTAGTGTGTGCGGTGAACGCCACACCCCCCATGTAAATGTGTCATGGAGTCCCCTACCCACATTCGAGAACCCCCTGCTCTCCACACCCTGGGATGCTATCACCCCACCCGTGCTTAGACTTGAGACAGACCGCGGCACATACGACCTCTACACCCCCTACCCCACAAAACCCTCTATCTGAAATACCCACCCCTGTCTTTGTATCCACCCCCCTGCCTATAGTTCACCCTCCAGACACCTCGTTCTGTTGCTTGAAAAGTACTACCCCCTTGGTTGGACATTGACGGCATTGGTGGGTACCCACCCCCTCCGTCCGTTGCAGTCCTCCCAGGAGACGGCAGGGTCGCTTGGGAGAGGCGTAGCTGATCTATTCCCAGGGGTAGGGATGGATCAAGGATGTTTAACAGGCATGGCATCTAAGAGCTTCATTTACTTAGAGAAAGGTCTAAGTGATCAGGGGCATCCATGGAGGTGACAGCGTTCATGTCAGCCACTTTCTAGAAGCGCTTGCACCCATACATCCTTTAAAAAGTGGTTTTGTTTAAAGTTGACTAGAAAACTATTCTTTCTTGAAAGTTTCACTGAAGATTCTCCCATCCAAGCCCGCACCAAGGAAGCAAAGTTCATAACGGTTATTTTAACCGTCATCTCATTCTCATACAGCACCACCGGCACTGCCATGGCGCTTGCGCGTGCAGGAGGAGCGGTGAGATGGTGGATGATGGCGCTCATGGTAGCCATCATTCTGGTTGGAGATGTTTCATCGAAGAGTTTTGAGTCAGATGACGATGACGCTGATGAATGGTCATTATTTTTAGATCCGCCTGCTTCATTCTGACGAGGTTTCCACAGGAGCACAAAAAGTGACCAGCACACCGCTGTTGTCGATCTGGAGCATATGCTATCTGTGAGACTCATGTTCTGAAGTTTTATACATCATGATTGATTCCCATCCCCCCCGTTTCTCTCTGCTTCTTCATGCCGTCTCAATGTAGCTCATTTGAACTGAACAGGAGGAAGATGGGTTTGTATCAAGATCAAAACTTACTTACACGGGGCCAAAGTCAGGTTCGCTCAGGACCAAACGGCACGTCAGTGTTCATGTGCAGCAAGCAATTCTCTCAAGCGATGACATGGTGAAGTTTCAAAAGCTCATCGACAGTCATGGCTATTACAAGTTGCGGGTGCAGTCTGATGTAAATGACCCCAACTCAGAAAAAGTGATGGCTTCTCTACCTGCATGCCTGCTGGCTGCCTCGAACTTTCATGAGATGCTTCGATTCCATGTGGATCAACATGGCCACATCAGAAGCATCTGGTACCAGACGATGGTGACCGAGTGTCCGCCAAGTATCAAATTGAGTGGGGGGAAATCTCCGATAGTCACAAGTCTAACAGTTGACATGGAATCAAAGGGACCCAAGCTATCCATCGAACCAGTAGCAAAGATCGAGAAGGAAGCACAGGAGAAACAGCAACAGGATCAGCAGTCTTTCTTCAAGAAATATTGGTATTACATCATTGGAGGCGTTCTGATCATGAGCCTTCTGTCTGGACCGGAGGACGATCGAGGCCGGGGAGGAGCACGTGCAGCACGGTAATCTTAAGAGCAGAATCTCTCTCAACTCAAATCTACGTGAGGCTGCATTATCATCCTGTTTTCTCATGCACAATTCGGCATTTCATGTGTAAAATCAACAGTAAAAGTGAAAATAAATGCCTTTGGCACTCAATCTAAATGAATCACGATCCACCCAGGGGCCTCGCAAATCAAAATTTGCGATGCCAGTTGGCAGGCTGAGGTCTCGTTTTTTTACGGAATTAACCAGACAAACCACCAACTAAGACGGCCATGTACCACCATGCCTGATGTTAAATATGGAAACTAGCACTTTAAATCTAAAGTCGCTCGGCCCCCTTCATCGCCCGTTGCATCGCTTTCTGCGAACTTGGGACTGGATCCTGGTGGCGGCTTCGTCTTCAGTCAACATTCCTTCTTCGGGGTAGATCGAACCAATACTGCCATTTTTCAACTTGTGGTTCTTGATCAGCACAGAGTAAGACCCAAGAGTGAGATCGATGTCTTCTTGTCCAAACAGATGGCAAAGAGTGTAAAGTGCCAACTGCAATCAATCAACCAAAAAACTCATCTCAAGAATTCAAGAACCTCAAACTCGGGGGAAGCTCCGACGAAAGAGGTTCCCTTTGGTTTCAGATAACCGTTCCACTCAAATTGGATCGTGATCAGCTACACATTTCAAAACTTTTCAGACAAGTTTGAACTAGCATAGATCACCTGCTCCTCGTCCAAGCCAGACTTGAGACTGTTGGTCCCTCGCCTCCTTGGCTTGATGTAGCCGGCGTAGTCGAACTTTCCATTTCTTTCTTCATGAAAGAGCTGAATCCAATTGTGCATTCCGATGACAGAGCCATCCCGTATCTACTTCACGAGATCAAGAACGTGGTCAAAAATATTTGTTTAAGGTGTAACCTCTCCCACGAAGACATGTTCGAAAGGTGATGAGTCCCCGCGTACCTGATGGACTGTCAAGGTTCCATTCGATTTGTTCAATAGTTTGCTTAACCTCTCTGCTGTAGAGCTTGAACCACATGTTCTGAAGAAAAATCTTGAGGTCAGACTCCGATTTGACTTTCTGCTTCTTTAACAGATACTGGTAGAGGTACTGTCCGATTGGCGTCTCGATGACCGCCTTCAAGAAACTGTCCTCTTCATCTTTCTCCTCCTTTGTAACTACTTCTGCATTGCCAGTGTGAGCCTCGTAATTGTCCAAGAGAGATATGAAGTGCTTGAACGTTTCTCTCTCAAAGACTTCATCTTTCACCCAACGAAAGAGAGGATCTGGAGCAAGGTCGCCCTTGTGCCACGAGCTGTTCTTGCCTTTCTGCATGTTGACTGCATAATCCACGCCAGGTTGACACCGTTGCACGTCCAAGAGCCATAGCCGCTCGCAGGCCAATTTAAAGTCTTGTAGTTCATGAGTTGTCGGTGTCACAGAAGCTTTTCTTTCCTGCACGGGTGGCTGCTGCGACGGGAAGTGGCGCCGAATCAAGTCATTCAACCATGCTTGTAAATTTTGTAGATTAGGGGCGTTGCCCATTGGCTGTCGAGTCTCAAAGTCCCACGAGATGTCTTGAATGCTTCATTGATGCGATCTCCTACGATCTTCATTCCAGGTTTTTGGGTGAATGTTAGGATCTTAGCACACAAATTCTCCAGATAGGTGATCATTTGACTCTCACTTGGGAACTTTGCCTGCAAGCCCAGTCACACAGCAGCAGAGCAGCAAGGCTTCATCATCACCTGTCGCAAGCTCGCATTGATGAAAGCAAGCTCTGCCATCAGTCCTTTCCTCAAGCCCGCCAGGTAGCATGGGGGAACCTCCGCCATGGTCGTCATCAGGGCTGCCCACCTGAGGTGCTCCCGTGGCGCAGCTCGTCATGCTTTGTACCGGGCCTCCCGGAGAGTCCGGGCCCGTTTTTCCGGGCCCGGGCCGGGCCGTGGCAAGTTTGCCAGTTGTGTGCCAACGGTGTCAGTACGAGGCCCAGGAGAGTCGAGCCTCGGACTCCCCGGAGGCCCGGGCCGCTCAGTTGACTCCGGCCCGAGTAGCCGGGAGGCCGAGTAGCCGGGAGCCTCGCCGCCGAGGCCGAGTGAGCCTGCAACAGGAGCGCGGCACCCGCAATGATTCAGCGGCAGCCGCAGAAGGACAAGGAGGCCTTGAGCCCGGTGTCAAATGCCATCATGATGACTCATCATGGGGCCGGGGGGCGATACTAATACTTTCTTTACTCAAAGTTAAGTTAAAAATCAGTACGAAAACAATCAGGAGAGTCGAGGAGGCTTGACCCTGACACTGTCGCACCGACCAAACGGCGAAAAGAGAAAAGACTGCGAGAACCACTGACCTAATCCTGCCGACTAATACTTTGAGTAAATACTATGATAACTTGCAGACAGGCTGCCCGGCGGGTACGGTAACAATCGCTCCGAGGCCCTGAGGGCGCGGCTAGTGCACTGCCCGGCGGTTCACGGTTGGGCCCGACAACGGTTGCTTGCCAGGATCCGCAACTTGCGGTTCCTGCCAGTGCAGCGACTCGGAAAGAGGGAGCGGAGAGGAGGAGCGAGGTTGAGCGAGGAGACGATCCTTGGCTGCGTTGCAAGGCTCTACTGAGATGCCATGGTGACTGAGTCCGACTGATTTCTCGACATGCTGGACGGGATCAATTTCGCTGGATGCACCAACGACAGAGAGTTCTCTGAGATCGAGCTGATCAGCGAGCTCATCATCTCCTACTTCCCCAACACAAGGTTTGTCCGACATGCATGTCACCCCTGCGAATGGCGGCACTACCGAGAGATGATCTGCCGCAAGTACGGGTTCGAGCATGCGGGCGAGGGCTCGATCGTGTGGCAGCGAGACGGCAAGCTGATCGGGGGCCAAGGAGAGTTGAAGAGGATACTCGAAGAGAAGTATCAGATAGAGTGTAGCTCCCACATTCACAGCGACATGGTGCAACAACTCTTGGAGGAAAACCAGCGCCTAATGGACGAGCTCGTGGTGACAGACGGCTGGACGCCTTTCATAGGAGAGTTCCACAAGGTCTGGAAAGAGAGGAACGAGAGTTTTGAAGGATCATGGTTGAATCACAAACCGCACAGAGGAACGTATGTCTACCATGATGGCTCCAGGTTGACGATGAATTCTTGGACCGTTAGTTCTGATGAAGATGTAGATACGAAGGAGAATTCGTTGATGGGCATTTTGAGGGGAAAGGTCGGCAAACTTACAAAGATGGGTCGGAGTACGCTGGATCTTTTCAAAATGGCAGAAGACATGGAAAAGGTGATGGAACTATCAAGTAATGCCGGTGCTGACGGTTTTGTTTCAGGCTGGTATCGAGATGCTGAAGGGAATGTGTATGATGGAGAATTTCTGGAAGGAGTCTGTCAGGGAGTTGGAACGAAGACCTGGACTTTCGGAAGGACTTACAAAGGGGAATGGAAACACAACAAGGCAGATGGATTGGGAGAGGAGAGCATTCCTCAGGAGGGAGATTTTCTTTTCTACTCTGGAGAGTTCGTTGATGGCAAGCGGTAATGGAGATGTCTTACCCCCGTCACCATCTATCCTGATATCATGTAGGTGTGGGTATGGCCAATGTCATTATCCGAATGGTAATGTTTACAAGGGAGACTGGAAAGACAACAAGCGTGAAGGAAAAGGAGAACTGTTTATCTTCGGGCATCCCTTGAAGCTACAGGGAGTATTTGAGGACAACACTTTCATAGGCGGGACCTTCCGATATGATGACGTCACTACTCCCTACCCAGGAGAGGTAAGTGGATGTTGCCCAACAACTCCTCGCGACTGGCGGTGATTGTTGTCTTCAGGTGAGATTGAACCCTCAAGGGAGCTCGGATTACTTCGACTCATATGAGTTCAAGAAAGACATCCTGCAATGGTTCGACCATGTCCAACTTCGAGCTCCAAGGAATCAGAAGCATCCGCAGGCGTTGTGGCAGGACGGTTCCTTCTTGTCCAAGTACATCAGCAAGGAGCAAGCTGAGAGCCTGTCTTCAAGAGTCACCTCCTTGGGTCTTCAAGCGCATGATTGCATCTTGCGGGTCAAGGGCAAGCCATGTATCGTCGCTCCTGACTCTGGCGCCTTCCGGCTCTTTCCTGAGCTGCTCGTCCCTGCCATCAGAGAACGTCATGACCGGTTCGAATCGTCAGATCCACTGGAAGCAGATCGAGTGGACCCCTCGCAGCTGAAACCGTTTGACTTGTCGGAGATCAAAGCTGTCAAACGAGTCATGGTGAAGGTCTACCGCAACATCGACAGCTACGCGTTCATGTCCTCCATCAACCTAGATGAGCTCATCGAGATAGAGAAGCTCGTGCTGGAGTTCCTGGAAACAGAAGAGACATGCAGGGGAACATACTATCCGCTCTCGTCCGATGACATTCCTGTAGAAGACAAGAAGTGGCTTTTCTCAGGCAAGCAGCATGTGCTTTTAGTATTGCATAGCTGAAAATCATGGCAGAGAACATGTATCTGAACAAGTTCGATTGTGACTCCACCTTGGAATGGCCAAAATCTCGAGGGATTTTCATCAGTGAAGCAAGGAAGACGATGCTTCATGTTAATGGAAAAGAGCACCTTTGCTTCCTCTTCCTCTCCTCTCCCAGTCAACTCCCTGCCTACCTTGATTCGATGTTTGACCTCATAACTCGTTTTGAGGACTTTCTCAAGAGCAAGCAGCGTCAGTTTGCGAGCATGTACATGTTTATCCCGTGAAACCTTCACATGACGTTGTCGCCAGGAACCTGTTCGGATACCTGTACAACTCCATCGGCTTGTTGGGAACGGGCATGGAGATGAAGACGCAGGTGGTGTGTCCTGAGCTAGCGAAGCGAGAGGCTCTCTCAGCCATCTGCCGTTGCTTCGAGCTTGACTGTGACAAGCACGAGGGAGCCCTTCAGCTTCTCTCGCACAGCAGCATCAACGTCTCTGAGTCGACCATGATCTCCCGCCTGCTGCACGCTTGTCGACAGATCTCAAAGGCAGAGCTGATCCTCCAGCAGGACCATAGCAGCCTCGACGTTTGGGAGGTGAAGCCGATCTTTTCCCTGCTGTCAAGCTCGCTGGACGCGAAGAGTCTGTCTCGAGTGGCAGCTTTCATCTCACAGAAGCTGCGCGTCAGAACTTTCATCGGCGATGACAGAGAGGAGGTGGGAAGTTTTCAAACTGATCAGGCGGAAGTCGACTATGAGAGCATGTCCTCGTTCAGAGACGAAGGATGTATCTACATCAACTTTCCTTTTACAGCAAAACAGGTAAAACTCTCATCCGATGTGATGGATGACTTGCTGACGCTCCTTCAAGGTCGCAGCTCTTGCAGAGCGCCGCATCCTGCCTCGGAAGATTCTATTCATTGAAAGTTTGCAGGCACAAGACAATCCGAGGAGTGACAAAGTGAAATCAAAATTAGAAGAAGTTATGAGAAACAGAAGTTGCAAGATTGACATGATGAAGGCTCAGGTCGAATCCGATGAATTCTTGTATGACGTCTTGGAGGTTCTTGTGAATTGATTCACATGAGAATCTATGAGGGTTCTTCACATCTCAAATGACTTTTATGAACATCTTCTAAATCACATTGCATTAAAGACACAGACGCGAGAAAATGAGCGGAGTTGACATCTGACGACAAGTCTTCTAAAACGAGCTAAGAGAACTCTCTCGAGAGTGTCCTTGTGTACAAGAACTCCGAGAGGATGTCAGATCCCTGTGACAGGAGGAACTCAGCTTGCGAGGTGCTCTGCTCAAAGGCTCCTCGCCGAACGAGCGAGTCAGCTGACGAGTACATGGTTCGCTCACTCCAAGACTTGCGAGGCACGCCCTTCCTGCTCATGTCCTTGGTCTTCCTCAATGACACCACACTCTCCTCCTCATCGCACGTCTTGCTGAAGAACCCTTTCCTCTGCAGCTCCCGCCACATCCTCTCCACGTCTTCCTCGGGCTCTCTCTGCGCCGCATCCCACAGGTACTCCATCTTCTTTCCTCGGGCGGTGAACCCGGGCATCAGCTCGCCCGTCAGCTCGAAGAAGCTCGTCGGGCACTCGAACGGCTCATGGCCCAGGGCCCCGCACGCGTCGCATCGGATATGCCCCTTGTCCTTACCCGCCTTGAACCCTACCACCTCCGCGCTCGTCGGCTTGTGAACCCCCAACTTCATCTCCGGGCCCCACGCCTGCGCATGCTCCTTGGGCTGCGCGAGGACGCTCTCTATCCTCTCGTTGGACCGGATGCTCTGAATGCCCTCCAGCCGCCTTCGATCCGCGCTGCTCGTGTGCTCCCGCCTTTGCTCCTGCTCCCGCACCTCCGGTCTTCTCTCTGTCGAGAACGAGGCTCGAAAGTTCTCCTCGGCAACCAGACACATGCTCACTTGTAGCGAAGCGTCGCCAGCCGTCTCAACGCCTCTGTCTCGTGCTTCACAGGCTTGATTGATCCATGGTTGATTCGCAAAGATGTAAGCCTCTTGCAAGTTGGTTCTCACCAGAGACTCTACAAGATTCCCACGTGTCGAGTAGCCCACGTTGTTCAGCGCAAACAGAACCTTCAAGCTGTTGTTGAACCTCAAGGATTGCAGAATTCCTTTCAGGCCATGTTGAGTTATTCTCGTGTCATTGATGATCAATCTTTGTAGTTTCCTGTTCGACACAAGAAACTTTGCAAGGTGGTTCGCCCCGGCAACTCCGAGATCATTGGAAGAGACATCCAACAGCTCTACGGTAGTGTTTGCCATCATGCCCTCTAGCATGCATCGAATGCTCGCAGGTCCGATGTTGTTGTCGCTGAGATTCAGCGTCTTTAGCTGACAGCGATTCTCTTGCAAGACTTGTCCAAGGAGAGAAAACGACCTGAAGGACTGATTTCTTCTTTCCTCATCGTTCTCCTCAATGTACTTCATTTCTCCGATGTTGTTCTTCAGGCAGTGGAACGACTCAAGGTCTTCAGAAACCTTCATTCCGAGTACGAGCTTCTCGAAGCCGAATGGCCCAAGGGAGTTGTCAGCAAGGAACACAGTCTTCAAACATCGCCCTGCCCTCTTGTCGAGGGACAAGATGCCTTGCGGGAGACAAGGCTTGACAGTGAGAGTCATGCTCTCAGCAACTTCAAACTCGTTCACAAGACAAGAGATGCCCACAAACACGTCAGCTCCTCTGTCCACCAGCCTTAGCAAGCGCAAGTCATCCATCCCTCCCGGCTGTTGGGAGAAGAGGAGGATCTCACTTGTGGTGATAGGAATGACAATCTTCACATGCGCATCCTCATTGTCTCCCATATCTGCCTTCACACGAACATCAAGATACTCCATCTCCTCCCTTCTCATGCGCCTGCAGTGCATGACGCTGTCAGCGTATCCTGCCGGACCTTTCAAGTGCTGCACGTCTTCCTCGATCTCTCTCTTGGCTTCCTCGCAGTCAGCCAAGACTCTCGTCAGGTTGTCTATCGCTGAGCTCAGGTTGTCCGACCTGTCGCGGTAGAACTCAACGGTGAATGATTTGGACTTGTCTATGAATTCACTCAGGGAAGGTCTGCTGCCCTCGTCCAGTTTGTTGTACTCTCTCAGCACATCTCTCTTCGCCTTCGACAGGTTCATGCCCGTACGAAAGACATGCTCATGTGCTGGAACACAAGTCAGCTTCAACCACCCGCGCACTCTCGCTCCCTCCTCTCCTACCTCTGTACAACTTGTCCTCCTCATTGTCTGCCTTGTCCAGCAGTCGCTGGAAGGAGGTGTTGGGGATGTGCCATCCGTTGGTCTTGGCCATGTCAGCAGGCATGAACCTCAGCCCGTCATGCAGGTGCTGCCTGTCCCTTAGCGGCACTTCCTGCATCGACCGATGTGCGCTCGTCGACGGCCTGCTCGCCATCTCGTCGCTCCGTTACTGTCCGTTAGACCGTTAACCCTCAGACCGGGAAACACCAGTCTAGTAGGCTAGTAGATGATCGGGGAGTCCGGGCCGCTCAGCTAGTACGGTACACGTTTGGACTCGATCAGTCGGAGGCTAGTCGATCAGTCTAGTCGATCAGGTAGATCACTGATCTGGTGGATCAGTCTTGTGGAGAAGCGTGGGAGCATTCAAGTGGCGGACAAGAACATATGTAATGAGATCAGGTTATCATGGTGCTCATGAGCAGCTCGTACAAGTCGCCCAAGATGGCTTCTCTCGTCTGGTTCAAGGCAGACGACAGCTGCATCTGCAAGGCGAGATCGAGGTGGAGGTATCGACCTGAGGGATCTCAGCAACGGACCAGCTCCTCTCTCAAGCATACCTAGAAGGTTCCCGTCCAGGAAGTTCTTGGCATATCGGCGCTTCATGCACATGGCAGGTTTGTACAGCCTCCATGACCTTGGGTTCAGCCCCGCGTAGTGCGGCATGGCGGTCACAAGAAGGTTCTGGAGCGCAAGGAGGCGACGATAAGACTGAGCGGACGAGTCAGACAGCACCCGGACCTCGCACAGTCACCTGCTCGGGGATGGGGATGATAGCGCCTATCCCTCCATCTAGAGTCGTGTAATGAGCTGCTGTCCTGACGCCCAGGGTGGGACGGAAAGGAAGGGGCCAGCGGATGAACTTGTTGATGTGAGAGCCCACGTGGAGGTCAGCTCGGCAGATCAGCTGCTGCCTGCGGTACTCGGGGCTGTTGGGGTTGAAGACGAAGACCTGCACGTTCTTCTGCTCGTCCGACGCCAGCAGCCCGAAGTTGGAGCCCATGACTACAAACTCAGCGGCGTACACGGAGAGAGGCAGCGCGTCCTTGGCAAGCAGCTGTAACATCCGGATGTCCTCCCTCCATCGCAGCAGATGGACGGAGTGACGGATGTCTCCGAAGACGATGAAGAACTTGACGGTCTTGAGGGTCGTGATGTAGAGATGCGCGTCGAAGAAGGCTCGTCCCACCAGCTTCTCGTCCACCCACTCGTACACGTACAGCTTCGACCCCCCGATCATCCCCGGGTTCGGCCCCTGCGCCACCAGCAGGTAGCCCTCCAGCTGGCACAGGGCAGAGACCGGCGCCTTGATGTCCTGGATGTCTGCAGAGGTGAAAATCTGCGAGAAGATCAGAGCGAGCAAGTGATGAAGAGAGTGAGTGAGCAAGAGAGGGAGGGAGAGAGGGAAGGAGGGAGCGAAGGGAGCGAGACCTTCTTGATCTTGAAGGACGTTCTGCCTTCGTATCCTTCCTCTCCCACAACTGTGGTCACTTCGAACACGTAGATGCGACCAGTCGCCCTCGACGTCTCCGATTCCCCGTTCTGAAAACCAGTCCCGACAGCGACGAAGGGGAGGAGAGAATCTTTCACGCGCGTGTTCTTGAGATGAACGACCTGCAGGCAAAGCGCCTTCTCTCCGTTGGCAAAGTCAAACTCGTACGAGTCAAGCAGCTCCATGCTGTACGGTGCTCGCAGCTGCACCTCATACTTCTCCTCTGTGAGCGGAGGGATCGCTCCTTCTAGGGTCCCTTCTGGCCTGCCATGAGCGTCAGGTCAGGAGGAAGGGAAGGGACGTGCGTGCAGCTGCTCACTTGCGCTCATCTTCGATCTCCTGCTGGGAGGAGACGACCAGCACGTGGCAGCCTGTGGCTGCATGGAAGGCGACATGGTGGACTGTCATCCCGACGTGCTTCGTTCTCAGCGGCCATGGAGTATCGCCGGAGATGCCTTCGGGGATGTTGCAAATCTTCAAGACTCCCTTGGCTCGGTCTCTGCCCTTGTCAGCAATGCAGACTATCCCATCCTTGCACTGCAAGTTGTTGAACCGAGCCGCGCTCCTCACGCCCTCCCCTCTGTCGAGCTTCCACGGGTGGATGCGAGGAAGACCCCGTCCGAAGAGCACGACAGCGGGCTGTCGAGCAGCAATCAAGACCCCCTCCAGCCCTCCCGCTCCTCCTAGAGGCATCAGACGTGACGTTCGCAGCGTCTGCATGTCATAAATTAGGCAGACGAAGAAAGGAATGTTGTTTGTGGTGGAGCAGCTGGAGGTGGTAGTGATTGAGGAGGAGAAGGAGAGGGAGAAGGAGAAGGAGAGGGAGATGGAGATGGAGATGGAGAGAGAGATGGAGAGGGAGATGGAGATGGAGAGGGAGATGGAGAGGGAGATGGGGAGGGAGAAGAAGAAGGAGAAGAAGGAAGCAGCCGGTACCTTCAGCGTTGCCTCTCTCGTTGGGTCTTCTAGCTCCAACTCGTCGACGAAGAAGTCGTCGAAGACCTCCTCTCCTCGCAGCATGATCTCGTGATTCACCTTCTTGAACCTCAATTTGCTCCACTTCCTCACTGCCTTCTTCGCGTCCTCCTCCTGTTTCTCAGCTTCTAGTGCTGTCATCTGTTGCGTCTCACAAAACTCGAAGCTCTTGTAGAGCAGAATGTCTGCTGAGGATGTGATGGCAACGAGGCAGAGGATGTCAGCATCGCATTCCTTCTTGTGGGGGAATGGGATCGGCTCGATACACATGTCGAGGATGAAAGGGACTTCTGGCAGGTCGGCTGGATCGAGAGCGACCGCTCCGCTTCTCTCTTCGACAAGTAGCGGAGGTGCAAGGACGAAATCTGCTGCATCGTACACGAGCTCGAGTGACGGGAGCGTGTAGAGCTGGAAATGACCATTGCGAGGAGCAGCAGCAAGCATCACGTCCCGCTGCTGAGGATCGTCGTTTGCCTCGCCGTCGGGGATGGGATCGAGGAAGAAGCAAGCAGCAGTAATGTTGTGAATCTCATGGCTGACATAGTTGACTTGCATGCTCGAAGCATCTCCAACCAGGAGATTCAAACGTCCATCCTGGGCAGAAGAGGTCAGGACTTCCATGCCCTCCTCCCTCCTCCCTTTCCCTTGCCGCTTACCTGCAGGATCAGAGCTATGTAGGGGTCGCGTATGTAGGCTGCCACGATCTGCAATCCATTCCCTGCAACCACTGGCAACTCTTGCTCCTTTCGTGGTCCGTTGAGGACATAGACGTTCCAAGGAGTAACCTACGAGAGGAGGAGGGAGAGGAGGAGGAGGAGGAGGAGGAGGAGGAGGAGGAGGAGGAGTCAGTCAAAATTGGACAGCAGTACAACAAAGCAGAGCACACCTGGACGATCCTCTGATTGCCGAAGATGTTGCCTACACACACTGTCTTGGCATCTACTTCGAAATCAACTTGCTCGTCCTCATCGAACTCCTCCAGCTCTCTCCCCTTGAGCACGATTGTTCCTTTATCATTTCCCTGGCTGATCACCATATACGCATGCATTCCTGCACTCTGCTCTTCTTCCTCATTGCCATCCTCCTCCATGTCCTCGTCCGCTGCCTTGGCAGTTGGCCCAAACACTGTCCACACAGCTTGCGCATCAGGTAGGGGGACTGCTGTCATCACTACAGGATTGAGCGATCGCTGCAGCACCCCGAGCTTGCCATACTGCAGGCCGCCGCTGGCAGTCACCAGCTCCACACTGTCCTTCTTGACCTGTCAGGATAGCGGATCAACACCTCCTCTTCCTCATTTGCAACTTCGTCACCTCATCCATCGACGAGCGATGAGAGCAAAGGGAGAAATCTCCTGCATTGTTGTTAGCTCACAGCACCCGCGTCAAGTCGCGAACCTATCGGCCCGATGTTCGTCAATGTATCGCAGAGCTCAAACCTGTAGAACCCGTCTGGCATGCCCTCTTTCGACAATCCGTTTGCAGCGTTCCTCGGATTCAATCCCAGATACCTGGAGGAAGTTTTCTCAATGACTTCATCGACCAACCTCATTGCAAGACAAAGGCAATCAAAACATCAATGGCATCATCTAGCACATCCATTATCGATCCTACATGGCAGCGTCTTCGTCGTCCATTTCAACCTCGGCGTTCATCGCAGGAGCCTGTTCGGCTTTCACTGTCGTGGCTTCACGCGTTGGTGCAGCGTCAGTCGTGGGAGCACCACCATACAGGTCATCATCTGAATCACTGTTTTCCTCCTTCATCTGTACAAGACCGTCAGACATCAAACCAAGAAGCACGACTCAACACTTACTTCTGGACCTCCAGCTGGCTTGGGCGCGTCATTCCCGTAAAGCTCGTCTTCCGACGAATCTTCTTCCTTAGATGACGGCTCGGCTTCTGACTTGACAGGGGCTGACGGCAGACTATCGTTGACTTCTTGCTTCACAGGGTCGGCACCCTGGGAACTCGAACCATTCTCCACACCATTCGATTGACCATGTTCCGACACGTCGCCTTCATCGTCTACTTCCTTGGAGCGTTTGATCATCTTCACCAACGACGAGTCTCCAAGACGAGAGCCCAGGAACAGGTATGAATCTCCCACCCTGCACATAATGGACGCGAAACCCCCAGACGGACTGAGTTTGACGTCAACGAGGTCCAGTGTGAGCGCTTTAATGGTGTTGCCATCGGTATCAAGCTGCACGCCCATGATGTAGCTCTCGCCGGTAACAAGACTGAAGAGCATCTGATACCCCTCGAGCCTCACCGGATGCACCGTATCGAAGCAGATGATATCTCCGGCAGTATCGAACCGGTTCCCTCCATCGCCGGCGGCTATCGCGTATTCGTTCAGTTTCAAGGCGCATTTCTGTTCGTGATTGCGGTAGATAAGAGCATTAGATGAAACTACAACCACTCCTCCCGCAGGTGCAGGCAGTGCTACGATGTGACGAGAGTTGTGCGGAAGCTTCGAGGCGCTCCAAATAATCGGTTGTCGTCTCTGGGAGATGTTTAGAGATACTGTCGTTATCATCCCCGTGAAGTTGGACACAGCAAGCCTTCCCGCCCACGTTCGAGAGTTCTCATGCAAGAAGCTGATGGTGGGCTCGTAATATCCATCAAGGAATGTGAAGTCCACCACGTGCTTTATCCCTGCCTCATCAAGGTCTACCACGTAGGTGGGCAGGATGCCGAGCTTATTGTCAGAGGGAGCGCCTAACCTGGTCACGGTGTTGGACGAAGCAGATTCACTCTTGAATTTCTTGTTAGGTTGCGTGAGAATTTCATCGTCTTCCTCGAGATCTGAACCCTTGTGCTTGAACGGGATGACAACCATTTTTGATTCGTACACAAGCAATGCCGCACATCTCTGCAAAGGATCCACCCGTAGAAGAGGAGCTCGCCCGAAACTTACTCTCCCCTTCCTGATCTCGTCGTCTTCAAAGAGATGCAGAGAGACGTTAACAATGTCGTCGATTGAGTTGTCATACTCCAGAATCGACAACTTCGCATCTCTAAAAACCAAGAAGAGATGATCTCGATTCCGTCCAGGCAGCCTGACGAACGCCATGGATTCGACATTTCCATTCAGATCGTATCTACCAACACATTGCAGCGTCGCTCCGCCATGACCATGACCCGAATCCCCTGCAGCTTTCTGACCATTCTGCTTACCATTGCATGTTTTTGAGTGCTTCTTCTCCTCTTCCTTGAGGACATACAGCTCGAGCTGGGTGCCCTTGACAACAGCAAGATTATCTTCATCTTCACTGCGGAACCTTCCTCCTCCTCCCGCCGTCACCGTCGTCGGTGCATGGCTCTCCCGCAGCGCAGCGTAGAGCGCCATGCGCTCCTCCCCCCCACCCCTACCCGGAGAACACACATTCTTGTACCTGTACCCCTACTTTTCCCTTTGCTCATACCCTACACAGGATCACCCTACCCTGTATTCAGACTAGATTGGAGAAATGATTTTGGGTCTGAGGGGGGAGGTGGACCCGATCATGGCCAAGGTGGCTCATAACCAATAAAGTTCTGAGTCCGGGCCCGACCGGCCGGGTTGGGTTCTTCACTACTCCGCCTCAGAGTCCTTGGCCTCCATTGTTTACTCAACTATTTGAGGGTGGGTGGTGGGAGTCAGGTAGGGGTCCAATGATAGCCGCTTCTGGTGCTACAGCAAGCCATTTCAAAGTGGGGGTAGGGTACTAGAGCAACGGGGGGACGCTCTGGTCCCAACAGTTGCAGAAATGCAGGTGAAGCGGTCGGTAGCACTCATGCTCCTGGGCCTGTGTGCACAGGCAGCAGCCGTTCCTATGAAGGCCGAGCAGCACAAGGAAGCCTTGTCGGCTGACAAGTCCGCAGCTCTCGCGCATCAGAAGTACCTCAGTGCCTGGAGCTCGTGGGTGAAGGAGTACAACAAAGAGCACTGGGTAGATCCGTATAGCTCTCCAGAGTCCACGCGGGCGTTTGAAGTGTTCCAGAAGAACCTAGACATGATCATGAAGCACAATGAGGAGTACAACCAGGGACTTCAGTCTTACGAGATGGGCTTGAATGGGTTTGCACACTTGACTTTCGAGGAGTTCAGCGCTCAATATCTTGGCTATGGCGGTGCAGAGGTGGAGCAACCGAAGACCAGGAGGGCAGGCAAGCATGAGAGGAAGAGCAGGAGCGAGATCCCAGCCTCTGTAGATTGGAGAGAGAAAGGAGCTGTGGCTGAAGTGAAGAACCAAGGAGCCTGTGGCAGCTGCTGGGCCTTTTCAGCCGTTGCCGCCCTGGAAGGAGCGCACTTCCTGAACAGCGGAGAGCTGATCTCGCTCTCTGAGCAGCAGGTGAGATCTTGTCCTGCCTTGTTGCTTGACACGTGAGATTCTGGTCCTGCAGCTCGTGGATTGCTCGAAGAAGTTCGGGAACCATGGATGCGCTGGAGGGTACATGGACAACGCCTTTGAGTATTGGATGAACAACACCGGCCATGGAGACGATTCTGAGAAGGACTATCCTTACAAGGGAATGGACGGCAAGTGCAAGTTCAGTGCTGACGGAGTGAGGGCGACGATCAGCGGATACAACGACGTGAAGCAAGGGAACGAGACTGACCTTCTCGATGCTGTGGCCAACGTTGGCCCGGTATCAGTCGCCATCCATGCCGGAGCTGCGCTACAGTTCTACTTGCGGTGAGACGAGAGGAGGAGAGGAAGTGGTGTTGTGCTGATGTGTGATGGCAGAGGAGTCTTCAACGGAGTCGCCGGCACTTGCTTCGGGCCCCTCAATCATGGCGTTACAGCCGTGGGCTATGGAACAGCGAGCTTGCGGTTTGGAAGGAAGATGGACTATTGGATCATCAAGAACTCATGGGGAATGGGATGGGGAGAGAAAGGTAAGGAGAATATTACGATGAGCTGTCGTTGTTGCAATGAGATGTCTTTGTTGCGTTGACGACAGTTTGACAATAGTGGTTGCAGGTTTCGTGAGGTTCGCAAGGGGAAAGAACCTTTGCGGAGTTGCCAATGGAGCCTCTTACCCTCTTGTGTAGGAAAGAGAAGTTGAGAATTCATGTAGAGGAGAATTGAATGAGAATGCAAAATTTGCTGACCAGCAAGAGCTGTTCGCTGACATCTTCTATTCTCTCCCGTTAAAATTGATGAAGCAATGTGACGATGTTCCGTTGCTGGCAAAGATTGCTGTACCATCACAGATCTCCAGTTTCAAATCTCTGTGATCCTCCAGCTCCTCCTCTGACTGCCTCCCCTTTGCCTCCTCCACCTCTGCTCCTGTATATCACAGCCACTATGCTCAGCAGAATGCCGGAGAAGATAACCCATGCAGCGAAAGTGGCTGAAACCAAGACGTCAGGGACAAGTGGAGAGGTGGGGGCAAAGGGGAAAGGAGAGGCAAGAGCAGAGGGAAGAGGAGAGAAGGGAAGAGGAGAGGGAGGCGGGGAGGGAGGAGGAGAAGATAAGATGAAGAAGGGACACTAGGAGCGGGTTGACGTACTGAGAGCCCAATGGAAGCTCCATATGCAAGATTCAACACGCCCAGCTGGTGTCGCTGACAGCAGAGCCGTGTGGTTGCTGCAAGGGACCTCACGGCTAGGGGGAAGAGACTGAAGGAGATATCCTCCTGTGCGCAGAGTTAGAGCATGTGAGAGGGGAGGAGAAGAGGTGACCGAGGGGAGGGCCCATGAGCTCGCCTGCGATTTGCGATTAGAGAAATCAAGGCATGCATCGAGGAAGAGGAGGTGCGCGAGCTGGCACTGTTGATGGGGAGGAGGAGGAGGAGGGGAAGGAGGGGGAGGAGGAGGAGGAAGAGGAGGAAGAGGAGGACAGGAGGAAGACAGAGACGGTGAGGGGGGACGCACCAATAGACCAGATGGCACTGTAGAGGCCGGAGAGGCTGTCTTCGGTTGCTCGCTGATCGAGGATTGCGAGATCCGATTCGCTATCATGCTCTACAGCAGTGAGAAAGTTGTCTCCTCTTCATCTCCCTCCTCCCCTCCTTCTACAACATCTCAACTCTTCCAATCTCCTCCTCTTGTTCCTCTTGCTTTTCCTCCTCGTTTATCTTCCTGTCCTCCTCTCCTCCAACTCACCTGGAGGCCAAAAATGGAGAGTGACACTCAACATGTAGGGAACCGAGGGAACCAAAATGGCAGCACTGCCACGAGGTCAGGATGGGACACAGCACGAGAAGTGGGGAGGAGAAGGAGCGGGAGGAAGGGACGGAGGAGGAGGATAGAACCTGCCTATCCCCATAAGCAGCAAAGAGCAGATGTCAAGAATCCATTCCGAGAAAACTGTGAGTTGGATGGGAACGAAGTCTCCCAACGGTCCTGCTGCAGCTGATTTTGCTCCTGACCCCCCCCCTGCTCCAAGGCCTTCGAGATTCTGCAGGCTGAGCGCAAAAATGTCCGGAGTAGCTGAGAATGAAGTCAGAGGAGGAGAGGAGGAAAGGAGGGGAAGAGAGGAGGAGGTGGTGGAGCAGAGGAGAGATTGAGGTGGAGGAGAGGAGGTGATGGAGATAAACTCCCTTTCTTGTGTATCCAGACCTAAGAGGTAGACTCCGATGCCGTACAAGAAAAGTCCGACGATGACTCTTCTTACCTCCTTGACCTTGTTCTTAGTGAAACAGATTCAGACTGATGCAGTCATCGACAATGATTGAGGAATCTTGGTTGATCACCATAGGACGACAGGAATATTGAGGAGCAGGAGGATGAGGGCGAAAACAAGACAACGAGGAAGAGAAGAAGGAGAAGGAGAAGGAGAAGGAGAAGGAGAAGAAGAAGGAGAAGGAGAAGGAGAAGAAGAAGAAGAAGAAGAAGGGCTAAAGTGAGAATGAGAATGGATACGCATTGTTACCTCGCTCGAATGTTTACCGAAGACAAAGCTGAAGATGCTGTACATTATGGGTTCAATCTACCAGCAGCGCATGTGAGAAATCCTCCCAGGCTCTTTCCTGCATGCTTCACCATGAACACCATGCCGGCAGTTGAAGAGTCGGCTCCTGCAGTCGAGGGTGAGAGCAAGTGCGCAGCGAGAGCAAGACAAGAAATGTTAACACGATCGGAAGAACTCACCGAGGGCGATTTTAAGATGGCGGGCAAGAGCAAGCTCTTTGAACCCCTGATCATGCTCTAGATCACATCCATGAAGTCAGAGGAGGCACCTACCTGAGCCGCCGCATGGGCGACGATCCCAAAACAAATGCAGAGGACAGGAGGATTCGTCAGCCTGGGGGAGGAAAGAGAAGAACATCTCAATCACAAACTGCAAATGGCAGAGAATAGGAGGGAGGGAGGGGAGGGAGGGAGGGAGGGAGGGAGGGAGGGAGGGAGGCAGGCAGGCAGGGATGGAGGTAGGGAGGAAAGTAGGCAGGGAGGCAGGGGGAGGAGGGACGGAGGGAGGGAAGTAGGCAGGGAGGCAGGTGGAGGAGGGAGGCAGGGAGGGAAGCAGGGAGGGAAGCAGGCAGGGAGGCAGGGAGATAGGGGAGGGAGATAGGAGAAGGGAGGGAAAACATCACCTCTTCCATGATTGCCAGAGAGCATCTTTATCAACAATCGTGTCCCCCGGTTGCGATTCCGAACCCCCTCCTGCAGAAACTTGGGAGCATCCTTCCCCAACGTTGGCCGTGGATCTTATTTCTCCCTCTCCCTCCTCTTCTTGCGGGACTATCAAGTACTCGTTGGAGGCACTTCGTATCAGAGTCTGCAGGCACCATGTAAAGAGGAGAACGTGGGAAGGCGATACATCAGACCTCTCGGTGTTGGAATGATAGTTTGACTGCACAGGCGATCAGGACACAAATCACGGCGGGCAGCATGACCTGAAAGCAAAGGCATTAGCTGTTCTGAATGCTGCAAAAGAATAATGCCAAAGAAGGGGAGGGAAGGATGGGGAGGGGCTGAGAGGAAGAGGGAGGGAGAGGGAGGGCGATAGGACGAGACAGGGGCCGGTGGGATTGAAAGGATAACACATGATCTTCTTACAGCTATCTGAAACCCGAAATATCTGTAAGAGATTCCTCCAACCGCTGGACCAATCATGTAGCCAACCCCAACAATGAATTCGATAAGACCCAAATCCCTCTGCCGCAGTGTTACTGGGATGTAGCCAGAGAAGAGAAGAAGAGAAGAAGGGAAGAAATGACAGCACAAGGCAGATACGAGTATGACGCAGGGAAGGAGGATCAAGGCAAAGAACTTGGGATCAAAGTATGAGAGAGAAACAGATTCGGGAAGTAGAATGCAGATGGAGGCACTGCTGCAGGCAGGTGTTGCTAAAAAAAAAGGCGATGACGTGGAAGAGAGCAGGGAGGATTGCTTCTTGCGCAAGACAGGAGAAGAACATCTTTCTTGCCTGAAGGCTGTCAGAAACCTCAATCACCAACGCTAAAGCAGCACTATTGCTGCCTTGCGAGCCGATCCCTGAGATAAGATTGTCAGAGCAAGGTGGAGAGGTAGAGAGGGAAAGGAATTGGAGGAGCAGGGCTTTCGTACCTTGAAGGGCTCGAGCAATCATAAAGGTGGTAACTTGATTTGAATAAGCAAACATGATGGTTCCTGAGGAGAAAAATGTGAGACAAACACAACACATTCCTCTCTTCATACCGATAGCCAAGATTGATAATCCCAAACTCAACCTGTCTGATCGGCTACGGAGAACGCGCTCACATGATGGTGAATTGAAAACGACGAGGAAACCTGATCTTGGTAGAAAGAAAGCTCCACAGGGGTGTGCTCATGACTTGTGCGAAAGGGTTGCAAGCGACAATCAACCCGATCACCGTTTCTAATCACAGTCAAATCTCCCCGAAAGCAAGCGGCACAACCTGGAGCGTCCAGATTCTCCTTAGCGTACCCAGGAAAGAAAGGAGCGATGAGACTGACTACAAAGAAGATGAGCATTGCACAAACAAAGTCAGCTCGCACCTGTCATCATCGTCGACAGCGTCGCAACCAGAGCCAAGTTCCGAACGAAATGTTCATGGCCGTGCGAGTGGAGCCAGGCGACTAAAGGATAGAAGCCGATGCAGTGAGCAAAGATGTGAAGGGACTCACATCCCTGCATCTGCGACCCTCGTCAGCTCAACGGCTCTCTTCTCCTCCAGCACGCATCCCAGTACCTCTGGATACGAGAGCGGGGACCCTGGTCCGAAGGTTGACATGGGGGATGTGAGGGAAAGGCTCTGGAGTTTTGAAGAGAGATGCTACATCTGCATCGTTATTGTACTTGTTTTCTCTGACTTCTCTTCTCCCTTTCTTGACACTTTTCACGCCAATATCGCGGCAAAAACCTCAGGATCCATTGCCATTGCGCCCGGTCAACCGGCTTTATTGCTATTCCCCCGCCCCTGTAAAAGAAACAAAAAAGCAAAAAGAATAGAACCTCAAGCTGCTAGTCAGAGGACAGTCACAGTACACTAAACTTTGACAATCAGGAGAGAGTAGTGTGGCTTGTCAAGGACCAGGAATGGATGGAATGAAGATGAACAGAAGGGACTGACCAAGTGATGTCCATCGGTACTTCATTACTTCAAGATCACTGAACGTACTGTGGACCAATATCTTCTTCTTAAAGAACATTGCAATTGCCAATTGAAAAAAAAAACAAACTGAAAAGGCTAGCATTGATGTCGGGGACATCCTCTACGATTTCATGCTTGAAAGGATCGTAGATCTGATGTGCAAAGACTGTAGATGAGCGCGGGAAACACGCGATTCTCCCAAGAAAAAACGTACACAAACCCATCATGTCAGCCTCAAGGATATGGCAGTTCAGAGTCGCCGAGGCCTGTGGAAGCGTCATGAGAGTCCTCAACTACATGAATGAGAGCAGGAGCAAGGAGAAAGGACGGAGATCTCACGGTGATGGGACTTGAGCCCCTCCCAGACATCTTCGATCTCTCCACGAGAGTGCGCCATCCAGACGAACGGGATGAGGGTTCCAGGTACCTGCCTTGCTTTCAGACCTGTACACCTGACCTCAAATTGAAAAGGACCAGGTAGATCATGGCTGGCTGCGCCCAATGAAACGTGCCCACAACAAATTCGCAAATTGTCAAGCCGATGCAATAACCGATCATGACAACGGCAAAGTAGCCCTGCAAACAGAGGATATTCACCCACAGGAGAATGAAGCATCACGATTCACCATCTTCTTGTCGATTCCCTTTGCGTCATCCAAGCGCAAGGCAAAGCACACGAGGAGACCCGGGAGGACGATGTCTCCGAGCCCGATGAGAGTGAACTGCATGTGCCGTCCGCTCGCCATCATTAGCGGCACCTAAACTTCCGTCACTACTCCTCTCCAGACATCTACGATGACATACCAAGATCTTGATTGGAACGTTGAGGCCCGTCGCCACCGTGACCATAACATTCTTGCCGAAAATAGATGAGGAGATAAAGACCCAGAAGATGTCGTAGAAGAACGCAAGAATCAGCAGAGAGCTGGCAACTTTCAGGCTGGAAAGTCTGCAAAATTGCAGAAAATCAGGCCTCCAGAATCTTTGCAAAATATTCAGCTCACCTGACGCTCGTCAAGAAAAAGATAATGAGTGAGAAGGCGAGGATGTTGTTCAACAACCAGCTCTTGGTGAAAAACCAACTGAGGAAGAGTTAATAACACGAATTCGAGGACAGGGCCACCCACGTCAAGACGGCCACGATGCACACGGGTGCTAAGATGAAGAACAAGATAGGCATCGGCCCAAGATATCTAAAAGTTCAATCAGATAGGAAGGAGATGTTGTTGCAAACATACGGGACGTCAACTTCTCGTGAGAATCTGTGATCAGTGTATCGATCCACATATGGGTATACAAGAGCTCCCAGAGCCAAAGATGAGATGAAGCAAAACAAGATCGTAACGAGCACAGACATAGCTGTAAGATGTCAGATACCGTGTTTGAAAGAAACAACAGAATCGTACCGGACATGAAATAGAAAATCATGACGAGCGAGCAAGATGCAACGATGACGAACATGAAAGTAGTGTGCAACTGCATCTCACCTGCATCATACAACAATCAATGTCGATCTACAAGCACCAAAACAAGGAAAGAAATCACCAGCTTCAGCAGCCTCCTCGTATGCCATGGCTTCTTGACTGGTTGGACTCATGTCCATGAAAGGAGGTCGTAGTGCTCTTGAAGCTCCATAGTAAAGGATCAGAGCCGCGATGATCACTACCAAGAAGTTTGAAGGGTCGAGATGAGAGTTCTTCGACGCTGTCCGCACTGGAGCGTTGCCCCGGTGAAGTTTGGCTGGCCTTGGATGGTTTACACCAGAGACACGGCTCTGTGCGGCGGCGGCGGCAATGAAGCACAGGATGAGTGCGAGAGCTAGGACCTTTTTGGAATTCATCCTTCCAGCGAAGATCTGGAGAGTAATAATCAAACATCTCTTAATGCTCGCAAACATGAATGTAGCGGTTGAGCAGCAAACTGTGACTGGCTTTGTACGCTCTCTGTTTCTGAACGTATTGCAATACGTTGAGACTGAACTAAAAAGAAGAGCGGAGGAGGGGAGGGAACGGAGGCAGAACGCAATGAGCCCTTTTTGTTGGTGATATTACAAGGCAGTGATGTGATGGAAGCTTGATACCCCCGAATCACTAAGGGAAATCAAGGGAAGAGTTGTCAAAGAGAATTGTGGAACGGAGCAGTAGCGGTGGGGTACAGGAAACGAAAAAAAGCAGGTTAAGAAATGTGTTCGAGACAGTGCATGGAAGAGGGAGGACCAGGGGCGGGGGGGAGGAAGGGGGGGAGGGGGGGTTGTAAGGGAGTGAGCAGGGACCCTGAAGGTAAGCCAAGAACTTGGTCATCGAGTGTAACGAGAACAAGAAATGAAGAGGACAGGGAGAGCGGGTGGTGAAGAGCGAGGCGAAGATGGTAAGAACATGGAAGGAAAGGAGAGAAGAGGACGAAGGGGAGGAGGAACAGAAGATGGCCTTGGATATGAAGCGGCTAGTCGCATGCGCAGCTGCCATAGTGAGTCAGCAGCAGGGGATGAGGGGGGAAGTGGGGTTGCAGGGTGGGCTGCCCTTGGGGTATTTCAAAGTACGGGTATATTTTGGCTGATAAGTACCGGTGCTGTTCATGCTTGCTGGGTTAATCGTATTGGTGTTCTCGGAAGGTACAGAGCGAAATATATTCAGAGATTTTGAATTTTACAAAGAACAATCTTTGAAAATGGAATTCGGTAAATCTGGAAAATAAATTTTAAGTAAAATATATTCTGTGGGCAGAAATTCCTGATTTCAACTTTAGACAATTATTCTTCCCGAAATGAGGGGCAGCGAAATTGCGTTGTCAATAAATTTTGCAGATTACAGAAGTCAAAGTATTGATGGATAATTGTTACCCTACCCCCTAATTTCCCAGATAGCATAGGTGGAGGGTATATCCATTATTACAGTATACTCCATGAAATATTCCTGGTTAGATGCATGCTCGACTTCGGTACGATGGAGGGAGAGAGGGTGATCAGGAAGGGAGAGGAGAGGAGAGGGTGAGGTTGTGTGAGAGAAAAGTGTGAGAAACGAGGGTTATAGAGGAAGGAGACAAGTGCTCAAGCAGAGACTGGTAGAGAAGCAAGAGAGGTTCAGACAGTTGTTGGACAATAAGATAGCACATGGAGTGAGTGAACGAGCTGAAGAAGATCAGATGGATGAAGGGGCTGCGAGAAATTGTTGTAGCGTGTACTTCGGATGGAAAATTCGAGTTAGTATATGGTGTTGTTTCGATCACAAATATTGGGAAACCAATGATGGTAACGAGATTCGTATAACGACTTTCGGCAACAGGCCAGGAACAATTCTCTTGATTTGTACAGCTCTCGTAGAAGCAAACCAACTATCGTGGACAAAAGATATTGAACGAGTCTTACCTGCTATGACATCAACAGTAGATATCAAGAAAGCGGATCCCTTGGCTCCAAAGATATTTCGGAAGGTAAAAGTGGATAACTTTCAGCAATCTTCCTTAGGATTCTTTGTTCAGGATGTTTGCGCATGTCAAATCCAGGAATGGTGGCCATCTTTTCGACCAGTCAGTGACTTCTTTTATATGATCCTCCATGGCTCTGACAGTTCATTCTTTCCAAGTGCACTATAAAGACAGCTTTCATCGACTTGAAGGAGGATTTTTTTGAATATTTGCTTCAAGATGGATTGGTCTTGCCAGAAGGGGTAGAACCTGTAACTGCGTGTAAGTATGAATCGTTTTTCGTTGTGAATTACTCCAACTTAAGAAATGCTGACACATGCTCTTAGCCAGTGGCAGAGTCAAGTCCAAGGATGATTACAGGTTTGAGCATTCTGCTTGGAGGATTGAGTCGATATGAAAAACAGCTCTTGACTTTCCCATCAGCGACTCGGATTTTTCAAGTTCATCTGAAAGTGAACAGGTTTGACTTTGTTTTCCTCTGTCGGCTCCTTAACATCATTCCAGGGGTCTAACCCTGATGAAGAACAAAGTGATCCGAACAATCCAGATGATCAAGAACAGGCGACAAGGTGAAGAACATACGACTGGAATTCTCTGACGATTGGATGCAGACCAAAGTTTGGAGAACTCATCGACGTGATTTCCAAAGCTATCGAAGATCTGGGTGGAGAGGTGTTTCCAAAACTGAATTGGAGTGCCCCAAAGTAAGCGCTTGAGGGATTCCTTTAAATAACTTCGCTTTTCAAACGTAACAATGTCTTTCAAGGGATGCAACTTGGATAAATGTAGGAGAGAACTTGAAATGTATTTCAGTTGCTGATGTCATCATTCTTTTGAAGAGCAGGTTCACATCCAATCATTCTTTCTGAGTACTGATGAGTGTGTGGCCAGTGATTTTGCTGTCCATGACCTCTGCCATGCCTTCGATGCGTGTGCAGATGGTCCGAATGAATCCGAGACGACTGTATCGGTGGAAAACCAAAGGCGACCCACCAAGGTTGTGCTCGCACTTCGCAAGTGGTTTGACATGAAGACTTCGATGGAATTCCGGTGCTTTGTAAAAGACGAGTTTCTCGTGGGTATTTCGCAAAGAGATTGCTCGAGCCATTACGACTTCTTGTTGGAATGGCGGAGTCAGGTCACTTTGCCTCTATCAACTTGACTCTTGACTGATGTTCAATGCTACAGATCGTTTCTGTTATGAGAGAATTTTACCTGAACACGATCCGAGGACGCTTTCCTCTCAAGACCTTCGTTTTCGATGCCTATATCCGACAGGTAACAATGCTTCCGCGTGCTCATATGGATGTGACAACAAGTTAATATCAGAGAGATTGGAAAGTCTTTTTAATCGATTTCAATCCCTATGGTGGATTCACACAACCATTGCTGTTTTCATGGAAGGAACTTGACGAGCTGCATGAATCCATGAGAGGTCATTTCTGATGTTTCTTTGGGTCAAGCTGAATTCTCTATAGCCGATGACGCAAGACCTCAAGGAGCGAATAGCGCAGATCAGGAGCCCGAGGATGCCGTGACCATGGCTTTCGAAGATCTTCTTCGCACTAGGGATGCAGAACTACGACTGGTAGACGAGGGAAGCGCGATGCGACCAGGGGTGGGGATGTACAGCAGGTATCCCTGTAGCTACTTGTATCATGCTATCTCTGAGCCTCTGTATCGATGTCCCGATCTTGGTTGACTTTTGGTGATTGCAGGCTACCTGCCGACCTGCGCGATCTTCCTGGAGATACGGTAGATGAACTGATACAACGGTGCCAAGCAGCGAGCAGAAGCCAAAGTACGCAAAACACATGATAGTTGTAAAGAGCCGGGACCTCAGCCTTCCCATCAGAGTCACATCCGTTGACTCCGGCCGACACGGAAGTTCTCTAGTCACGCCGGAGTACCGTACGGTCCGGTCCCCGGGCCCGGCGACTCCCGGCCGCCGCCGGGCGCCGTGTACAGTCGGTCAGAGGCCAACGCTGAGCCCGGGCCGCGCACTGGCTGCGTCAGCTGAAGAACCTGACAGTGACAGTGAGGGTCGGAGTTGCTGGCAACTTGATATGTTAATTTGAGCCAGCACTGAATAATGACAGCCGGGCCGCAGTGAAGGCTGCACCGGCGGGCCGCGGCGGGCCCAGCCGCCCGGCCGCCCGGCCGGGCCTCCGGGCCAAGCTCGGGGCCGCCGCACTCAGTGCACGTCGGTAACCGTCACATGACTGTAGTCACAAAAGTCACTTCTATCATCAGTACGGAAGTTTACTCAAAGTTAAGGAAAAAATCAGTACGAGGCAGTGGTACGGTCTATGGTTTAAAAGTAGTTTTATAGGCAGCTAGGCTTTAACTGATATCTTCAGTTAAATGTTGTTCCGTACTGTATGGCGTAGTAACAAGATTCTCCTGTACTTCTTCACTTGCCACAGACGGTGGGGTAGTAAGACCACCCACCCCGGGGGCCCCACTTACACTGGCATATGCCGCTCCTGACTCTAAATGGTATCCAACTGAAAAAGGGTGGGTGGTGCCTCACCGCAGTCCCTTTCCCTTCTACGCCTCGCTTTGTAGTAGTAGTACTTTGTTGCCCAACTCTGCTCATCTTCAAAGATAAACTGTAGGGTGGGGTAGTGTACCCTACCCCCACTTTGTCTGACAATCTTTTTTCACAAGTCGGACCTATTTACTAGCTACCATACACCCTACCCTTCAATCGGCACTACCCTATCGTCTCCAACTCCCCAACTGCCACAACCCCCGCAAATCCCCTTGGCCACCCCAGGTTGCTAGTATAACCCCCAGTGACTTTCTCAAGGGCTTTCCCTTTCTGGAGGACCGGTCCTCAAATATCTCATCGCTTTCTCACCCCACCCCACCTCAGATTTATTCCTCCAGGGTAAAGGGTACAGGGCTGGTCACCCCCTTCTTCCTTAGGAGAGAGGCAAAGGGGTGGGTTTGAGAGGAGATGGACCGGTTGATAGGGTGACCCAAAGGGGGTAGGGTACTACCGGTGGGATGATAGAAGGATATGGGACCGCACTCGTGAGAGGGAGAGGAGAGAAGGAAAGCAGGGGGAGGGGAGGAGGAGGGAAGGAGATCATGGAGAGCAAGAGGGGGATATAGCAAGGCACGCACTCTCATGGACAGAGATCAGTTCTGGAAAGAGAGAGGGAAGGGGGACAAGGGGGGCAGGGGGGGGGCAGAGGATTAAAGGGGGATTGGTCCGAATGAAGATGGCCAAGTAGCATAGATTGAGAGGGATTAAGCTCGAGTCAGCCCGATGACATGTAGGCTTTTTCGTACCCAACCTGTTCTCTGCCTTGTCATATTAGTGATAATTTACGGGCAATCGAATTTCGTGATGTTGGTGAGCTCAAAAGCAACATGTTGTTGTGTACCAGAAGCCATCAGCCCTAGCTTCCCCACAGCATTCTAACAAGATGTAGATTTCTTTGATACAAAGTCGTTTCGTTATGGTCTGTCCAAACCAATCTGACAACATTTCAACAGAACCGCGGCTTTTGATCATTCCACCGAAAGATGGAAAACGGAGCCGTCATGGAAACACCAGAAACGAGCCAAGTGGTGGATTCGCCATTGTCACCTTCATCGCAAGTCTACACTGATTTCCTGAAGCTCCATCGTGAGAAAAAATCATCCGTGAACAGTGAAGTGAGAGGATCTCCCAACAAAGCGATGCCTGCCACTCAAAACTACCACGAATTCATCGAGTCCCATCTTCAATCCAAGGCTTTGCTCAAGTCCCCTGTTGCACCAGGTGCAACTGAAGCGACCTTGGATCATAATGACGTAATGAATGGCAAGGTCTGACCCCCTGCCCTCTCTGGTATCGTACTGACGTCTGGTTCAGGATGACGACGTTTCCGACGTGACAGTGTCGACCCAGGTTGATCCGATCAATCTTGCCAATGGAACAGAGGAGGCAGAGAATGGGAATGCAGAGAGTCTTGAACAACCGGCAGAGGACCTGCTTGAACTAGAGAAGAAGAATCGTGAGCTGTTTTCTGCTTTGGATGAACACATGAGCAAAGAAGTCAAGACGGAGAACGGCGACGTGCAAGGAGTTGAGAATGGGCTGATGCAACTTCCAGAGCATAACAAAGCCAACCATGTTGGGCAAGACAACGAGGAACAAGGCGGAGATACAGACCTGAATCACAACGATCAGGCAGCGCAGGAGGATCCCACCCCGAACGATGAGGAGAAAGCAAGCGATCTCCCTCAAAACACTCTTGAGGTTAACGGTATCGAGCAGGTAGAAACGCACGTCGGGACAGAAGTTCAGACCAATCACATCCGCAAGAGCAAAGAGGGAAAGAGCTCAGTTGGTGGCATTCTGAATAACATTTGGCAAAGCCTGAATCCGTCAAAGAAGAAGAAGCAAAAAGAACTCCAGGATTTGGAGGCCCAAGGCAAAGGCAAGTTGAGAAGGAGAGTATCTTTGAAACCGGAATTGACAATTGCAATGCAGTTGAAAACCATGACACGAATGGTTCCAACACCATTCAAGGTGAGATTGAGGTGATCAATGCCAAGGAAGAAGCTTTCAACCAGATTCAAAACTTGGACATAGCAGAATCCCAGGAAAGGGATACGGTAGACTTGGAAAAGATGTCAGAAGAAGAAAGGAAAGAATTTGCAAGCAAGTTGAAGGATGACGTTGCCACACTGGAAACCTGCATTGACGAAATAACCAAGAACTCTGAGAACGATGAATCGAAGCCACCCCAGTTAGTCCCTCCCTCTGATGAGAAAGAGCCTTCTCAACGAGGGTCGGGCAGCAGCAACCAGAGCAGCTCCTTGAGGAACGCGATCAAACGGATCGAGCAAGCTCTTGACAACATCCGTTACGTCTCTCTGGGTTACATCTTAGTTGGTGTCACCGTCATTGGCTTGGGCATCTTCTCCATGTTGGGCATTCCTGCCTGGAGTGCAGGTTTGTTTCTCCTCCTCATCGGGCTGATCAACCTGCGAAGAAAGAGTGCTTCCTATATGCTTGTGGCCCCGAGAGGTTTCCGATATGCCTCTGTTTTTGCCGTCTTGCTCCTGCTTGCCTCTGCGGGGGTCTTCCTCTTCTCCACCATTGTGATCTCCTCGCTTGATGGAACTCCCACGTGCCCTGGAGACACAATCAACACCGTCTGCCTTCTGTCGCCCAGTGAGGCTGCGCCTGCAAACCTCGACTGCGACAAGAACATGACGCTCGCAGATTATGAGATGAAAGAATCTCTTTGCACTGCGGTGTTTCTCTGTGGCAATCATACGATGCTGTTTGCTCCGTGCCACACAAAGGCCACGATCAACATGTCAGGATTCATTCTCTGTGTTATCATGGCGTTCTGCATTTTCTTTATTTCGGGATGGATTCAAGTCGTTCTTGAAAGGTACATCTCATCTCGTTCGAACCCACATGTTGACGTTTTGCTCCAGGAGTGTCTCTGACTGCAACAGAGTTCGTAACGGTGGCAGGAGCATTCACTTTGCGGACCTGAGCTTCACTGCATACTTGCAACATGCCTTGTGTTGTGCCAAGACTCCTGAAGAACCGGAAACGACAGAGGTGTGAGGGGTAAAAGGTCAAGTAATGAAACTCTTACTAAGTAATTGGCTTCTGTTTGCACGTCAGAGCCATCTCGCTTTACATAAGAACATGATCTAGGATATATACATGTCTACACTGTGATGACCTCATAGCACGTGAGGCCTTTCTTGTTTCTCAGCTTGTCATCAGCACCTTTGGAGCGCAGGTAATCGCCAAGTTCCTTGTAGTTGAGCTGGTACGCCAGGTGGAGAGAGCTGTTCCCAGCTGAATTGGTTGCGTTAATGTTCGCCTTGTTCCGGAGCAGCAGCTGGCGATGCGTTTCTGCCCGTTCATGGCGCAAGTCAGCAGCATCGTGTTGTCCTCGGGGCCATGCCGGGTGTCCACCGCCAGGCCCTCTGCAAGAGCCTTCTCCACCTCTCGGTACTTGCCAAGCTTGCAATGCATGAACGCTGCCTCGACCTGCTGCTCGGCTGCGCTCTTGCTGCTCGACAAGTCCTTGAGCTTCGAACCGGCGGCACTGCTGGAGGGAGCAGGAACCGTGGCGGCAAGCGGGCGAGATGGGGCGGCATCCTTGGATCGAGATGCTTCAAGCTTGGGCTTGTCAGGCTGCACGGTCTCGCTCTTCTTCTTGAGAGGCTTCACGCCCTTGCTCTTTCCCCGCTGGTCGCTGTCGCTCGAGGGGTCCGGGCTGATGTCGTTCTTGTTGTAGTTGGACCGCCGGTGAACCATCACCGGGGCTCGAGGCTTCGGCGCCTCGTCCGAGGACCCGGACTCTCGCTCGCTGTCGCTTCCTCTGGCCTTGGGCCTCTTGCTCGCCGACGCAGCCTTGCTGCTCTTGCCTCCATCACTCGTCTTGGTAAACCGAGGAGGCAGGCGCGCCCGACCTGCTGTCTTGCTGGGCCCCATGGCGGTGCCGGGCGCTGACCTGGTGGCCGCCTGCTGGGAGTGTCGCATCATGGAGGCAGCAGGAGGAGGCTTCATCTGGCTCACCCCACCTGTTCCTCCAGCTGGAGGAGGCTTCATCTGCACCCTCTCAGCTGTCGCGCCTCTGCTGACCCCGCGGCCCTGCAGGTCGGAGAAGAAGGCCTGCACTTGAGGAGCAGACTTGAATGCCTTCACCGCCCGCTGCTGTCGCGACTCCCACGACTCCGAGGAGGCCTGCGCGATCTTGCCTGGCGTCGCCTCGGCTCTGAATCGCTTGCCTGCCGCCTTGCTCGGGCGACGGAGTTGCGTTCCTGGAGGCACCTTGTACCGGTCAGGGCGGAGGAGGTGAGGAGGGGTGTAGAGGCTGTCTCGCGAGAGGATCGCCCTGCGTGCTCGGCACTTCTTCTTGGCCTGGAGCATGCGAGCAAACGACTGGAGGGTCTCGATCGCCCTCCTCCTCCTCTCCTTCCTCGACCGCGACACGAACATCCTCACGTTGCATTGCAGCAACGTGGCATAGCAGTCCCGCATCAGCTCCCGCTCAGCCGCCTCTTCCTCTGCCTTGAGGAGGAGGAGACGCGCGATCTTCTGCCTGATACAGCACTGGATGATGATGCACTGCTGGACTTTGAACTCGTGCAGCAGCTCCACCTCTCTCCTCCTCCTCCTCGACTCCTTCCTTCCCAGCATCCCTCTTGCCACCGTCTGGATCTTCTTCGCCGACCTCTCCTCCAGCTTCTCCCACTGCCTGTCCCTCGCTCTGCTCCTCCCGATCATCCCCCTCGTGTACTTCTGCACCACCAACGCAGCAGTTTCTCTCCTCCGCTCCTCCCTCGCTTCCCTCAGCCTCTTCCTTCCCAGACGAGCTCGGTACGCTATCTCTACACGGAGGGCCGCGGTGCTCTGCCATAGGAACACCCTCCATGCCCGTGCCGCCTTTCTTCCCATATGCCCGCGCACCACGGACTGCAACCTTTCGGCCGCGTCGTTGAGTCGCTTCTCCGTCCTCCGCTGCTGCATCCTCCTCCTCGCCATCTTCCTCCTGCACTGCTGCTGCACGACCGTGATGGCGGCGTCTTTCTGCATGCCGTCCACGATCTTCCAGTATCTCGTCCGTTGCACATGCCGCCGCAGGACTGCCTGCAAACTTGCGATCGCTCGCTCCTCCTCTCGCACCCTCCACAGGACGCGGAACTTCCGCCTGCCCACATGCCCTCGGTACGCAGATTGCAGCGCGAGGAGGCAGCGGATGTGCCAGCGGTGTTGGAGGAGAGGCTTCTGGTTCGCTCGCACCCACCGCCTGTCGAGATGTCCTCTCATCACCGACTGGATGTGGACGGAAGCGGACCGGTAGCTCGCACGCCTCGTGGAGAGGATGGAGCGGAGGAGGAACGAGCTCAGCCGGCTCTCTGCATGGTAGCGGAGGAATCTCCTCCTCCAGAACTTCCTCTTGAGGTTAGCGCTGATGGTGGAAGTAGCCATCTCGAAGATCAGCTTCCTGTGCAGGAGGTTGCGGAGGAGGAAAGAGGAGATGTGCATCCCTGCGCGCTGCATCCTGAACTTGGGCACGATCAGCGATCGTTTCACTTGCGCCCGCAGCAAGTTGGCAGCAACGACGCGGCGCAGGAGCTCTTGCCGCATCCTGCCCCCTGCCCTCTGAGCGATGGACAAGGCTGCCTGCTGCCTCCTGTAGATCGACTGCAGCCGCCGCATCCTCGCGTGAGAGATCAGGATGTCTCCTGCTCGCTCAACAAACATGAGGCGAGCCACGTGTGCGAAGTAAGCATGCTGGATGCAGACGGCGGCCTGAAGCCTTCTCCTTTGCTCTTTGAGCACGGGGATCTTGGACGACAGGTCGATGGCTGTCCTGAGCATCAGCCTCGCCAGATGCTCGCGGTAGGCGCACTGGAGGATACGAACAGCTTCCAGCCTCCTCTGCATGTCCTACGTCAGTGGCGGGGCATGACAAGTCGTGTCCTCACCTCCGTCCTCCTCCCCTTGCAGTCTCTCCTCCCCGTGTGCCCCCGGTACACTCGCACGAGCACGGCAGCAGCGTCCAGCTCCCGCTGAGCTAGCAGGGGAGGGAGAGCGACGTGTCTCTGTATCCACATGCGGGTCGCTGCCTGTATCCTCTTGGCGGCATTGGATCGGATGATCAACTCCCTCGCCCTCCGCAGCCGACCTGCCTCCATCCAGAACTGCCAGGCAGACATCCCGTCATGTGGAGGGGAGAGAGGAAGAGGGAAAGGGAGCAAATAGGAGGCGAGGGGAGGAGAAGAGGAGTAGAGGAGAAGATGAGGAGAGAGGAGGGGTAAGGAAGAGAGGGGAGGGGAGGGAAGGGGAGGAGGAGAGGAGAGAAGGGAAGGGGAGGTGGAGAGGAAAAGAGAAGAGGAGAGGAGGAGGAGAGGAGGAGGAGAGGAGGAGGAGAGGAGGAGGAGAGGAGGAGGAGAGGAGAGGAGAGGAGCATACCATCTTCTGCCGCTTCAGCCCTTCTCGCGCTCTCCAGCATCGCACGACACACTGGATTTTCAGAGCGGCTCGCTGCATCTCCTTTCTCTGCTCCTTCTTCAAGACTTTGGCGAATGTTGACCGGCCGACGTGGCCGCGGAAGACAGCTTGCAGCAGGAGCGCTCCTGCTCTGCTCAGCACCTCGTCTCTCCTCTCCCTCATCCTCCTCCTCGCCAGGTGCATCTTGCAGGTGCCCACGAGTCGCTCGGCTGCCCGCTCGCGCTCTTTCTTCCAATACCTGAAAGTGGATGAGGCGAAGTGGCGGAGCGGAAGGTAAGTGGAGCGAGTACAGAAGTCAGGAGGATACAGGGGAAGCAGCATGAAGAGAGGAGAGAGAGAGGAAGGAGGGGGAGGGGGAGGGGGAGGGGGGAGCAGAGTAGGAGGAGATGGTTCGGGTAATTGGAAGCTGCAAGACTTTGAGGAGCTTCAAACCTGGCGATGGGTCGCTGGCGTGCAAAGGGGTTGGAGAAGCTCCAGGCCTGCAGGACGAGGGCAGAACAGCATCTCCTCCTCCCCATCACATCCATCGCATGCTCGTTGAACTCAGAGCGCGCGCGCCATGAGCGAGCGGCCGACTGGATCATAACGGCCGCCATGGCGCTGTCCCGCCAGAAAACTCGGCGGATAACGTTCCTCCTTGCTTGCCAGGAGCGGACGCAGCACTGAAGGCGGACGGCAAGCTGGTCCTTGCTGCTCGCCAGCCGCTGCTGGAGGTCGAGGAAGCAGATTCTTGCGCGGACTAGGTTTCGAGCGAGATGGCCAGCGAAGACTCGCTGGATGTCGATTGCTGAGTGATGCTGGATCTGTGAAGCAGGAGCGTTAGAGGAGGAAGGGAGATGAGAAGCAGGATAAGGAAAGATGTCAGAAATGGAGGAAGAGGAGAAGGAGGAGGAGGAGGAGGAGGAGGAGGAGGACATGTTGAAGCAAAAACGAGAAATGATGAAGAGGCGGAGGAGGGGAGAGGAGCAGGAGAGTTACCAGGGACAGTTTGCGATGACGAAGCAGCACGAGTCTCCTTCTCGACCAGTAGTTGAGCACAGCACGTTGAATGCAAGCAGCAGAGAAGTCGTGAAGCTTTACACTCCTGTTGCCAAACGTGAGATAAGAAGAGGGGGAGGGGGGAGGGAGGGAAAAGGGGGACAAGAGGGAGAGGGGGAGGGAGAGGGAGAGAGGCAGGGGAGAGACAGGAGAAGGGAAGGGAGGGGAAGGAAAGAGGAAGGCAAAGGGGCAGAAGTAGGGGTAGTGGGAAGGGTTGGAATGCAGAAGGGCCGATCGGGTGGGGAGTAAGTTGTACCAATCATCCTGGCAGCTGGTCCACATCGTCCTCGCAGCTACCCTCGCCATCCAGCACCTGACCGCTGACTGCACGACCATGACGCTCTCCTCCTCCTTCCTTCGGCACCGGTAGGCGATCAGCCGGCGGGAGAGTCTCTTCGTCATCTCCGTCATGTGCTGAGCTTGTAGCCGGAGCACGCAGCGCTCCTCGAGGTTCAGCCTCTGCTTCAGGCTGCCGATCGACAACCCCTGCCTCCTCCACACTGTCGATCCCGGGCAGCAGAGCAGCCTGCGATGCTCCCGGTGTAGCTCCGTCATGCTGCTCAGGCGAGTTAGCGCGATCCCCATCACTACCATACCCTCCTCCTCCCTCCTGTCCGTCTTCCTCACTGCCACTGACCTCACCCCTGCCCTGCCAACCCCCCTTCCCTCCTCCCCCTCCTCCTCCTCCTTCTCACAATTTTCGTGCCAGGTGGCTCCGATAGGCGCACTGGATGCGCTTCGTCCTGTCTTGCCTCAGCTGGTGACAGAAATTACCGACGCTTCGTGCTGCATGCTCGTAGAGATCGTTGCGGCGCCGCCGACATGTTCGCATCCGCCATGCGCTCTGTGATGAGAGTTGGAGTTAGAGCTAGAGTTAGAGGAGGTGGAGGAGACAGAGAACTCAGGAGGAGGAGAGAGGCAGTCTTACTTGTATGCAGGTAGCAGCAGGACCGTACTTCTTGTCCTCTCTTCTTCGCATCCTCTTCATATGCTGTGTGATTTTTACGAAGAAGGTCTGGATTATCAGCGCAGCTCTTCTCCTCCTGCACTTGCTCCGTCACTTCCTCCTCTTCTCTTCCACCCACGTCACCTCATTTGCCAGTCTCTTGTCTGCTTCGCTCGTTTCTCTGCTGCCAGCCTGCCAACCCTCAACCTTGCGAGCATACACCTGACGTTGCTCTGCAACAGAGCTGCGAAGGCATAGATCTGCAGGGAGTTGAGGGGAGATCAAGAGGCGAGGAGGAGGAGCAGAAGGAGGAGGAGCAGCAGCAGCCGCAAGGGGAGGGGGAGAGGAGGAGGAGTCACCTGATTGCGGTACATGCTCTCAAGGTGGACTGGTCTCCTCATCAACTGCGCTGCTTGTCGACGGGCAGCATGGCAGCGGTAGCAGCACTGGAGCAGGACAGCTCCATCCTCGTACACCCGCATTGCCTCCTGCGTGCGCAGCAGGTGCCGCTTGTAGGTTCTGTTGAGATGAGGAGGAAGGGAGTCCTCCGTCTCCCACGACTCGTCGGTCGAGAACGGCCTTCTCCTGCTCATCTCCTTCCTCCTGCTCTCTGCGGCTCTGCTCATGATGAGATCGCGGACTCGCTGCTCAGACAGGAAGTCTTCTCCAGCTCCGGAAGTGGCCGGTATCCCATCAAACTGCAAACACAGCAGCTCGTCAGGAGGGCGAGCACGTCTCGAGCAAGGGGAGCACCTGAGTCGACATCTCCTTTTGATGAGAGCTGTGGGTGGGGAAGGACGTTTGGAGGTAGTCAACCAGCCCCTTCTTGTTTCCCTTGGGGAGATACCTCAATGCACTCGAGCTGTTGCCGTGCTGCTGCTTCTCTTGAACCATGTGGAGCATGTCGAACATCGTGGGGTCCGTTGCTTCTCCCTTGTTAGAGATACTGTTGACATCTCCTCCCTCCCTCCTCTTGAAGATGTTGGAACCTCTCAGCCCCGCTCTCCCCTCCTCCTCCTCCTCCAGCGGCAGCGCCAGCATCGTCTGGACTTGCCGATCAGCTGTGGGGTTGCGCTTGAGATATTCGCTCTCATCCAGTCGTGAGGAGGAGAGGTGAAGCGGGAGCGACGCCTCCCCATCGCTCCCAAAGATCTCGCTGTCTCCATCCCTCCTCCTCTCCTCCTCTCCCTCGCTCTTCAGTTCCCACGCCCTTGTCCTTCTCGCTGACGCCGCCCAGGAACCTCGATGGATCGCGTGCAACGAGTGCAATCCGTTGGGCGTGATCATGCTCCTGCTCGCAGGAAATGAGGACGAGGAAGAGGACGAGGAAGAGGAAGAGGACGAGGAAGAGGACGAGGAAGAGGAGGGAAAGTTGGTGACATTCTGATAGTTCTATGATCCAGACTTTGTGAGACACAAGGAGGACCGAGAGGATCAACGATTGTCAAGTTGTGTGCAAACCTAAAATAGACAGACAAACAAGGGGAAACAGACAGAAATTATCAGGGGCATGTGTTGAAACACAACAAACAGTCAACGAGGAAGTCAACATGGAAGGAAAAGGAGGAAGTAAGTTGTCCTACTATACCTCTCGCTGTTCCAAGCTTCGGAGTTGGCTTTAGATCGATGGGAATGATCGACGTTGGGGTTCCATTGGTCGATCTTCTTCTGCTCTCTCATTACGCGTGAATCGCCAACATTCTGATCACAATGGACCCTCACAGTCAGTCGCAAGTTCGACGAACATCGCAAGCTCACCGTAGAGCTCAGCGCATGATCATCAACGGTCGACGAATCATTCGCAAGATGACGTGACCTCCCGTCCGACTCATTCAACTTCCACAGCTTCAGAGGAGAAACATCTGTTCCTTCATCCCTTGTCCTCTCTGCGTACGTCGGGTTGGTACCCTGCTGCTTCTGACTTCCCTTGCTTATGCTCTCCCTCGCCTGGATGTAAATCTTGTGGATAGATTCATACAGCGGGTCACTGAAATTCAAATATTTGGTGGCCGTTTCAAATGATCGCTGAATCCAGACCCAGCTCTCCTCCTGCCTCTTTAAATTCTTGTGCTCTGCACCCAGGTTGAAGTAGACGATCGTCAGCAGGCGGTACAGCCTCCTCTTGTCCGGTGTGTCCTTCACATCCTGTATCCTGTTGAGCAAGTCGTCTCTTGCGGACAGCAGCTGCCTCAAAGCACCCTCGTGTTGCCCTGCTTTGGACAAGGAGCCTGCGTACTGCAGCAGGACGTCCACCAGGTCGATCTCAACGTCCTCGGGTTGAGCTCTCAAGTCCAAGGACGAGCACAGCTGCAGCGACCTCTGAAAGTACTCCATGCTCTCTGCTACCTGCCCCAGATGCTTCAACAGTATCCCCACATGAAGGAACGTAAAGGCTGCCAACGAGGACGGGATGGAGTGGTGCTTGTTGACCAAGTCCAGCGCCTGATGCAGAGAGCTCTTGGCTTGCTCAAGGTTCCCCGCAGAGATCGCAAGGCGGCCCAGACGGACGTACTCCTTGACGAAATGCTCGCAGGCCAGCAGGTAGTCCTCCGACCTCATCGAGTTGTGGGGGTTGAGGATAGCACCTGATTCGCGAGAATCGCTTGTGCGATCGAGGCCACCCGAGACGTTCGGATCGTTCCATACGCGATTGCGCGAGGAAGAGTCGAAGGTGCTGGATGGGGTAACATGACGCTCTCTGTGCTTCTGGAAGGGAAGAGACGTGCTCGGCCTTGGCTGGGCGTCGGGTGAAGAAGAGAAATGAAAACCGTTGCCTCCTCTATCGAGCTCTACAGTCCTAGACTTCTTCTGGAAGTCATATCCGTCACTTCTTGATGTCCTAGATGACCCGAGGACATCAAAGTGACTCCCTACCACCTTCACCTCCGGCGCATGCCCGACTTCTTGCGTTGCGAGCGTAGAAAGCTCAGCCAAAGTCTTGATAGCCGAGTTTCTGGACGGGAGAGAGCGGGAGGTCAGGGAACTCACTGTCGACTGACTGATTGAATCGTTTGGGACCTTCAGCCGGGAGCTGAACCTGCTGGGCGTATTGTCCAGCAAGACGCCCTCCACCACCATGTTGCAAATCTAGGTCAACGGTCGACCCTTCCAACCGCACATCTGCATGTCTGAAGACACGGGAGACTGATCCTCTCGCGAAAAAGGCAGAAGTCAGAAGATCCTGTCCTTCACATGCTGTCTCCTCGTCCTCCTCGTCCTCCTCGTCCTCCGTGGTGGGCGCGTCGCCATACCCAGTTGCTGCATTGATCCACCAGGGGCTAACCGGAAGCGGATCCAGGGGGGTCATGTATGCACAGTGGTGGTTGAGAGCCCTTGGGTCCATATCAGACCACTAGGGGTAGTATCCACCTGGATGAGGTCAATTTCGCACATTTAGGTCAAGGACATAATGTCCTTTTCCAAATTGTTTTTGAAATTTCAAATTAAAAAACATTCTCCTTCATAAAAAATATAAATGTTTCAAAAGAATTCAAATCAAGCAGCTTTCGGAAAAGTCCTCAAGTTTCACATTCAAAGAATAAAAGGGGGTGGGAGTTACCAAGATGTCATTTGGACCTGGTAGGGGTACAATCGACGTTACACCTATAGGGTGGGGTACTTCAACCTAAAACTATCTGATCTAAACTAACCAAATCCGTTGAACGCCTTGCCTGATAGCTAGCTTGCACCCGGTAGATATTGGGGGAGACATTGGGAGGATACCGGGGTGGGGTACTTTGATCGTCCGTTGACTGCGGCATCAAGAACATGCTGCCGCAGTCGCAGGTCGAAGCGGAGGAGGCGGCTGCTCGGACGCTGCAGGCGGCAGTCAGGAGATGCAGGGCAGAGAGCAGAAGACTCACAAGAAACGTCAAGCACCTGGTCCTCGAGATCTTCGATCGAGCTTTCGTGATAGCAGTGAATCGAAGCATCAACAGATTTGCCAAGGAAAGAGCGAAGGGCGGGTGGTGGAGACGGGCTTCGAAGATCTCAGCATGCTCTATGTTGACGTATACTTCAGGTGATCATGATAGATCAGGTTCTGGCCTCTTCAAACAGACTGAGTGTTTGTTGTCATGCAGTTTATACAGATGGAAACTCTCCGTCAGTTTCGAATGTGATGGACGAGAAACTATGGAAAGGAGAAGGCATCCGACTGTTTGGATGGAATGCAGTGCAAGAAGTATTCACAGTCATGAACAGACCGATGATCCATCGCTCGTCGTCGGCTTCATCCCCCAACAGCGACGATTACTACACTATCTCCAGAAACATGCGACGTCGAGCTCGGAACAGTCAAGATAAATCGCAAACAGAGACGCCGGTCGTTGAGGAGCAGATTGTAGAAGAGGCTCCGACTGAGACTCAAGCACCTCCGAGTGTCTATAAGATCAGAGGAGACAACAAAGGAACAACAACGAAAGAGGAGGTATACACCTAATACTCTGTGTTTGCGCGATTTGAGTTTTTGATTTCTTAGGAAATCAATGCTTATATCAGAGAAAAAACGCAAGAGTACATTCATTCATCAGAACTCTATATCAAGGCGTATGAGTTGGTGAAAAGAAGGATTCTGAAAAATATGAAAAGAAAATACGAGAACTTAAAAGTGGCAATAACCCATTTTGAACAGCAATTTGAGAGAGAAAGGATTTATGATCTTCACAAGCCATACTGGAGTGGTTACAAACCAAATCCAGGCATGGGTGAATACGATCTTTATCAAAGACAGCAGGCTTGGTTTGATGCTCTCGAGTTTTCAATGTCAGGCACAAGAATGCCTTGCCACAAAGCTCAGATCAGGAGGATACTCGACCTGGGGTTTCAAGTCTCCATAATGCAAGGAGTCGGTAGGAGGATGGTTGCGATGGCAAAGGTGGAGCTGCAGCATGCGAGTCGTCATTATGATCTTTGGAAAGAGCTCTTTGATATCATCACCCAACGAAAAAGGCAGCTGGCTGCTACAAGAATACAAGCTTTCCGCCGCGGCATTCTGACAAGGAGACTCTTGAACAAGCTTCGGTCTGGGTCGAGCCGTCACACTAATCTAAAAGCCTATTCAAGGTCGAGCACGAGCAAGAAGTTCTCCAAAAGCTTCGTTGGTAGCAAGGGACAGAGCCTGGCAGACTTACCCAACAGCCGGCGGAGAAAGTCGTCATCTCAGACTGCAGTCAGCGGCAACATCTTGGGCCAAGAAGCCAAGGGACTGAGGAAGAGGTTGATACACGAATACGTTCCTATCTACTCTCTGCAGATGTCTCAGCCTCAACACCAAGAGGATGATGAAGTTGAAGATGTACTCCAAAGGACTACTCAATCAGCCGAGCCCAGGAAGTGGAGCTCAACTGCAGTGACATTGATCAGGTGATGATCCTCTTGTGTTCTTCTACACTGATAATTTCTTGAAGGGAGGATTCGATCAAGGGTGCTCTCAAGATTCCCTTTAGGAGAGGTTAAGAAGAATTTCGTTTTCTCAATTGCCTTCATATGTTTGTACAGGATTGGCTCGACCCAAGTCCTCCAAAGACCGTCTGCGAGTATCCTAACACCTTCTTCACGATTCTCTTCTGCAACAGTAAGTGATGATTAGAGTTTTGAGTCCTGTCTTTATGTTTAATGCTCAAGTTTCCTACAAGTACTCAGAATGTATGCTCAGCTGTCAGCAAACTTGATTTGAGTACATTTCACCTCTTTCGTCAGAGGCCACCATTTTCTCTATCGTTATCATTTTCTACCACACATTCACGCAGAAGACAGTCAACAGGCTCTTTCCTTCTCGTACGCTCTGGCGTCTCAGGCATCATGGCAACTGAGGAAGGGAGAAAAAGCGACCCAGCACATTCATCTGTAAAGTCATCGCATCAGTGGGGTAGAAACAGGGCATGCTCCACAGACTTCAGCTCCTCTTGATCCGAGGTTGGTTCCTCCTCGATGAACGAACGAGTGCAAGGATACCAATAACGAGGGCTCCGACTGCGATCACCAGGCTGCAACACAACGTCGACAAGCTCAGGACAATTGAACTACATACAATCCACGTTTAACACCTGATGATCGATGTGACCAGCGCTCCGACTGTCAGTGCGAAGGCGTCAACGTTCTCAATGTACAGGGCAGTGTCAAGATGGACTGGGGATTTGGGCGAGGATCCTGGAAAGAAACCCATTCCTGGAGACCAGAATTTCATTTTCTGGCATATGAAAGATGCAAAAAGGTTGTTTAGCGATGAAAATTTTTGGATAGAGAAGGAATCATGTTTTAATCGTGTGTAACCATTCAGCCCAAAAAATTCATACCTGGAGGCAGCATTGGACAACAATGTGTGGTCAATGCAAGTTAGGACCAAGCGTTGACTTGTTTTCAAAGTCCTTTCCTCTCATCTCATCTCATCTCATCTCATCTCATCTCATCTCATCTCATCTCATCTCATCTCATCTCATCTCATCTCATCTCATCTCATCTCATCTCATCTCATCTCATCTCATCTCATCTCATCTCCTCTCCTCTCCTCTCCTCTCCTCTCATCTCATCTGTGTTCTTTCTTCTGCTTCTTTGAAAACAGAAAAATCTCTTTGATCTCCATGATCTTCTCACCCTACATCGCTGTCTTATCATCTCATGTGTTTACGCTTTGCGACCATATCGCGAAGTCAATGGACCCCCTCGTCCCCCCGCTTGCATTTTGCTGAGTTCAACGCTTTGGTCGCGTGACTGATGAAGTTGCCACTGCCCGGGACCCCGCCCGCCGGGCGGGGCCGTACAGCCCCCGGGCCGGGCCCGTTCCGACTCGGCCCGAGTGACAGCAGCCCCCGGCGGCGGCGGTGAGCGCTAGGGCCCGGGCCGGGTGTTCGTGTAACTGTCATCGACCTTGTAGATGTTATCGAGCAGCGCCGCGGTGTCCGCCTTGACGCACACGCCAGGGGGCAACTTCAATGTGACTGCCAGAGGCGCGCGGCGCGGGGGCCGCCGGGGCCGCCGGGGGCTCCCGCGCCGCGGGCGGCATGCCGCCCCCGTGACTGTTGAGTACAGGCCCCGGCGGAGGGGCTTCCTAAATTGGCAGCCTGGCAGGGGCTACCGGTGACCACAACAAGTTTCAAGTTTAGCATCGCCCAGCATCAGTGCTCCAAACGGTGCCAGTGGCTTTCCGAACCCCTGAAACCGATGATGCAAGAGACTCAGACGAAGGACCACCACAAAGACTCCCCATCGAAGTGAAATCCGGCTGCCCGTGACGTATCTGATCATGCGCGAGATATCAAGTTTAACCGAGCTGGTCAAGATACTGGACAAGACGTTCCTCGAGGCCGAAAACTCGCAGGGGCAGCACGACTCGAGGTGCAGTACATCGGCGGGACCACCCTCCGGATGCTCCCGCCGCCACCCGGCGATCCAGCCCCTGCCGATCCCCCAGCCGCCCGGCCAACCCCGCCCCCGCCGCAAATCGCCAGAACATCGCCTCGCTCGACAAGGACACCATCCGGCTGGGCAAGTACCTCCTCGTCAAGCACCTCCTCGTCAAGTACCTCCTCGTCAAGTACCTCCTCATCCACCGCTTCCTCAACTCTACCCAGGGGCCCGACCCTCTCGACGCCGACAACGTGACCCGCTGCAACCAGTTGCAGGCAAGGCGCAAGGCTGCTGCAGCAGATGCGGGTCTCGTAGTGTACTTATTCGGAGTTACACTTAGAACTTTGGGTTGGAGCTGTAGTAGCCGGCGAGCTGCAGGGCGATGAAGACGTCGTCCTTCATGCCCCCCACCTTCCCGCTCAGCGCGAGCTGGTCCTTGTTGAAGACCGTCACCGCGCCCTTGACCTGGTAGGAGTAGGTCTCCAGCTGCTCCCGGAGCCTGCGCTTCATCCCGCGGGGTTCACGGCTCACAAAGTCCTCCCACAGGTGGACGCGCCGGTCCCGCAGCATCGCGTTGAGCATCGTGCACATGGCGTGCTTGATCTCCAGCGTCGTCACCACGCCGTACCGCTGCGCCCGGTGGTCGACGCGGAAGCGGACGTTGCGCAGGCCGTTGAAGTGCTGATGGTGGTACTCCGCCTCGAAGCCCCAGGAAACGATCAAAACCAGCCAGGCTTATGATTTCACGATCAGTGTCGATCACGATGAGAAGAGCGGCAAGTAAGTTTGCCTTCTCTACCCATAAAATGTAAGCCCTGCGATCTTGCTCGTCATTTTCAAGGTGACCATGAACGGGTTGAAATGGGGGCAGTGGCACTGCAACAGTGAAAATACCATGACTCGTTGTGGCGTGTGACAATAGATCAGACCAGGGGATAGATCTTTACGGCAGGCTTCAACACGACGGCAGTTTTGGTGATCAACTTCACTGTATATCATGAGGATGTTGTAGGTGAATTGCCACATGACCAATGGTGCGATCAAGAATCAGATTCAATAAAGCGAGCCTCCGGATCTAGAGTCACGGTATCCAGGAGGTCATTGAAGATGAAATCAATAGCCTTGAATGGCGGATTCGTGTGAGCCGCGCAAGTTGAATCCACAGCTTGAACAGCTGCTGTCACATACAACATGTCAGTGATACAGCATTGTTTTCAGGACGTTGTCTGATTGCGTGATCCAGTTTGTGAATCATTCGCCTCTAGTTGGATGGCACGGCGCTGACCACAAACCTCAAGGCAGGAAATCTGGGGAATGACACGCTCAACTGTCAACCACCCCTCCTTCCCCCCATATTGGAGTACCCACCGGTATCCTCTTCGCCGCGTGGGATCACTCATGGCACCTCAGCCGCTGGGAATACGGGGAATAACGGAGTACCCTACCCCCTCCCTTCAGGGCCCGTCAACGAGCAGGTAACCGGTGGACTCTCAGCCTCCGAATAATGCCGCGTCGCGAACTGAGACCTCGGTGTCCTCACCCGAAAGGACCCCCCACCCCCCAATCTCTCATCTTCATTCCCACACCCGTGGCCTCTTTTTGCTCGGGTCAGATTTCAGCTAGGAACCTCGGCGGGTGACCCTCACACCCCCTCATTCCCCTTGAAACAAGGACTACCGGTGGGCAGAGCGACTCCTTGGCAGTTTCCCCATTCAAGCCCCTCAGCAACACTCGCAATGCCGGCAATGGCAGCGATGAGCGAAGTCGATGAGGCTGACGTTGCTCGCCGAGAGACCGCGGTCCAACTCACATTAGTGCGATGCCTGTACGACCGTAGATGAGTCACAATGTGGATAGGCATGACCCTCAACACATCAATGATGAACTATGTCAGTGTTAGGGTAGCAAGCATGCACCAGAAGGTTCAATGCAGACGGTCAATTGCATACTACACCAGATCATACCCATCAAACATGTTCATCACAATTCAAAGCTATACGAGTCCAACATATTTGTCAAATGATTCTTGACCCCCCAAAAAGATGTTTGTTCTTTCATTTTGCTTGTAAATCTCTGGGTAATCTTTGAACCTTCATTGGCAGGACCAGAGGAAAGCAAGAAGCCATGCAAGTTCAACAGAACACGTCCGTCACTGTGCAGATCAAGCAGCAAGATGGCTGCTGCGGCATTGTAGGAAACATCCTGTTTTTGTTCTTCGGAGGAGGACTTTTCTGTGCTCTCTTCTACTTCTTGTTTGGTCTTGGCCTCTGTGCCTCCGTGGTTGGCATTCCGTTTGGGATCGCAACTTTCAAGATGGGCCTGATGGCCTTGTGGCCTTTCGGCGAGAAACTTGGAGGCTCGATGGTATGCAGATGCGAGACCAGCGGAGTTGGGCTGACCCACCTCATTCTCAACCTTATGTGGCTTTGCAGCGGGATAGGAATCATGGTGAGCATGATGCATTTCTTCTTCGGCATCATCAACGCCATGACGATTTGCGGGATTCCTTGCGCTTTGGCTCATTTCAAGCTTGCTCTCCGGGCTCTATGGCCATTCAACTTCGACACCATGACTGAGATAACCGTTAACACAAGCACTACGACGACAATGACGCCTATGCCACAGTACCCGCAAATGCCCATGCAACAACAAGGCTTTCAGCCGAGTTATCCTCAGGCTCAGGTGGCACAGCCTTATCCGCAGCCAGCGTACCCTCAAGCTCAACCAGTCACAGTGTCGCGGCAAGGCTGAGTCCGCCGGCGCTTGGGGCACGTCCGATATGTACCAGCATCATGTACGAGGCGGCCTCCGAGCTCCTGTCAAGTTCGGGCTGCTATGCAGATCATAATAGCGGCATAGCTGTAACACGAGTCAGTCTTTTGTTTTGCCAGGCTAGCTATAATTGAAGTATAAGTTAAATCGTATCGGTGGCAGCCGGGGCGCGAGTGCCAGTGGCAACTTTCAGCACTGACCCGTCCGCACACCTTGATCCCTGTCAAGGGTTTCAATATCATCCGATGATCCGCCGCACAGCACCTGTGCCGCGCTGTCAAGACTCCGACCCATGATCATCGGATGAAGGTTCGGCCGGACTCCGGGATTCAACCGTAACTCGGAACGAATATCCGATCGATTCAACTTTCACGAACGAATATCGCCGAACGAATATCGTCACCTTGCCTACTAGCTAGCTACCGTACCTGATATCAAATTCAAAGAGAAGGAGGGGGCACATCTATTACCCCACCCATGAAAGAACTAAGTTAATCAGTACAGACCAGGGGTAATTGGAATACCTCCACCCCCCTGGATATAGACTGGAACCTCCGGATGGCGGGAATGGAGTGAGAGAGATGGCGGTGCGAGTGCTGGCGACTTTCAGTGGGGAGGAGGAGGAGGATGGGGAGTCGACTCTGCTCACGACGTTCAAGGGAACGAAGACTGTAGAGACGAGCTTCCTTCGAAGGCCAGATCAGAGCTTCACCTTCACCTTCGATCGAGTCTTCCCACGAGGAAAACCAGATGAGCTGATCGCTTCTTGCGTTGATGAAGCATGGTACCAGCTATCGGCTGGGCAGAGCTGCTGTATCATGTGTTATGGACAGAAGGGGAGTGGGAAATTTTCGAGCCTGATAGGAAGTCAAGGGAAGCCAGGAATATTATTGAGCTTAGTGGGAAACATGTTGGCGAATTCCAGGGAGGTCGCAACATTGACCGCCTTCGACATCTACAAAGAGACGATCAGAGATCTGCTGAAACCTGGAAACCAATCAGCAGGATCGTCCAGCCTGAAGCTACGTGACAGTGCGTCTGCGGTTGTTGTTGATGGCAGCGTTGAGTTGGCAGTCAAGTCAATCGAAGACCTTGAGGAGAACTTGTCAGCTTTCCAGGCATGCAGGGGCCACTGTGTGATAACCGTCCGACGACCCTCGGGTTGCAAGCTGTTCATCGTCAAGCTGGTTGATAGCGATGCTGGTAGCACGTTGAAACAGGCGGGAGCCGAAGCGAACGAGACTCGGAAATGGGCGCTCAAGTCCTTTACAGCTCTTGCCAACTGCTTGAAGGTATGGACTTGTCATGCTCGACAATCATGTGATGGTGGGACGCGCAGGGCGCAGCTGAGAGGTCGAAAATCATCCCCGTGCGGGAGAGCACGCTTACACGCATGCTTCGGGAGTGTTTCAACAGCGCATTCATCACGTTTGTGGGTCATTGCCGGCAGGGCGAATCTACTCAGGTGAAGTATCAGCGATATGATGACGGCAATGATGATGATGCGATGATGATTTTTGTGTTCATATCCACGATGATGTTGTGGTTATTGTTTATATTTGTGATCGAGATGATGGATATGATGACAACACCACGATCACAACAATGAGGTGCTAATTGCAAGTGTCATGATATGTATGACAATTTATATTATGACAACGATCATTTGTGTCGTTTCAAGGTAACAAGAATGGCGCAGGATGAAGCGATGAATACTCTCCGCTTTGCCCACAGGATTTACACTGCAAGACCCCAAGGTATGAACGGTCAAGTTGTCAAACCTGCAGCGGGAAAGACAGAAAAGCCAGCAAAGCCAGCTGCGGAGGAAAGCGAAATCGAGCCGCGAGCGAGCTTGACTACTGTTCCTCCGCCTCCCGCACCTGCTTCTAAGGAGGCGCAGGTCAACCGAGAGCTTGGCAACGACGGTGCGGAAGAAAGAAAAACCTCGGCAGAGGAGCAAGAGGGTCTCAAGGAGCTGGCGCGAGCATGGGAGTATGCGTACCAGCTCGAGAACCTGATCGTGTGGATGGCGGAAGTGTTTCAAGTCGGAGCTTACGATCCTTCGAAGCTCGAGGCCATGCTCGACTCTAGCTGCAAGAAGTTCAACGGAGTCGGGTCGGGAGAGAACAGTAAGGACGCGTCGGCTATGATCCGAGACGTTCTTGCTAGTAGCAGCGAGGAGGTCCTGAAGCTTCCGGGGGGGCGAGACAAGATGGTCAACTTCAGGAGGAACTCGGTGTCCAGCCCATGGACAGGAGAGCTGCACCAGATTCTACTGAAGCACGGGGTTGTCTCGCGGCTTGAGAGCATAGAGCACGAGAGAATGTTCAAGTCGGACTGGAGAGGAGAAGGACGTGCGGAGGAGGGGAGAGAGGTCGACACGCTGTCCCTTTCCTCCAAACCAGTCCGAGGGCATGAGATATCGAAGCTGCAGAGCTACGAACCCCCTCGGGTCGTCTCTGAGGACGCCAAGTTCCTGCACCTGGACAGCAGGATCCTCGAGCTCGAGCAGAACGTAATCGGAGGAGCGGGGAATAGCCTGGATCTTCTAGATGCCCATATTGAGTCGTTGAGGAAGGACGTGGAAGACTCGTTGGACCACATCGACGACGAGCTGTTCGCCAACCTGCTCAGCCGCGTCTCCTACCTCAAGATGCGGAGGGAGTGGGCGCGGGAGAACGACAAGGGCCTTGACCTGGACGGCAGCTCGCACATGTTCCAACCCCTCCCCAAGATCCCCGAAGTGCAGAAGAGCAACGGGAACATCCTCCAGGACATTCAGAACATCCGCTCGAGGGTCGAGTCGAGCGCTGCAGACAGGTTCCTTCGCTACCTCTCTCCTCTCCTCTCCTTTCTCCTCCTCCCTTTCCTACTCTGATCTTCGTTTCTCCCCCTCTCCTCTCCTCCTTCCTTCCTCCATCTCACGCACTTCCTCCCTGCAGAAGCACACCGCTGGGGAAGGCTGCTGAACATGCTGGAGAGTCAAGAAAGAGGAGGGCGGAGAACGCGCATGTGCGATGGTCGGAGCAGAACGAGGTGATGGAGTTTCAGGTGACAACTCCGGACAAGTCGCAGGACGAGAGCGAGGAGGTCGAGCTGCCCCCGAGCTGGAGCAGCGCGAGCGAGGAGGAGCTCTGTGCTGAGAAGCTGCTGGACCTCCTGAGGGCCTCGTTGGAGACGCACGAGCGGCGGCACCAGAGCAAAGTCTATGACAAGTGCTTCAGTGGGAGCCAGGTGTGGAGACGTGTGGGGAGGAAGAGGAGGAGGAGAAGGAGGAGGTGGAGGGAAGCGAAGGGGGAAGAGGAGGGAGAGGAGTGGTAGGGGTGCTTTAGGGGAGGAGGAAGGGGTGCTGAATGGGAGGAGGTTGTGCTGGTGGTCTAACTTTTCTTCGTCCTCTTCGCTCTTGTTTCTCCTCCTTCACCTTTCCCTCCATCCTTTTGCTCCTCGCATTCTCAACCTGCAGCTGGTGGACTGGCTGGTGGAGACTATGGATCAGGACAACCTGAGCTACGTGACCAAAGTTTGGAGCTGCAGCATCCCCTCCCTCCTGCCTAACAGCAAGATATCCCGCGATCAAGCATGCATCATCGCTCAGGGCCTTATGAATGCGCAGGAACGACTTGCTCCTTTGCTCCTTGTCCTAACCTCTGCTCCCACCGTCTCTTTTTCTTTCTTGCTTTTCCTCCTCTTCATCTACCTCCCACCTTCTTCCTCCCTCCCTGGCCTTTGCCTCCTTCTCCTTCTTTACCCGCTTCTCTCCGACGTGTTTCTGGCTCATCACCTGCTCGTGAAGCCCTTGCGCCTACCTGTCTTCCTCCTCCTCATCTCACTTGTCCTCTCCTCAGGTCTTCGCACATCTTGGGTCTGCCGCAGACTTCAGCGACGACGACACGCTCTACCGCTTCCTGGATGGAGAGGAACAGGCTCTCGTCCTTAACCGCCAGATCCTCTGGGCCGGAAACGCAAGGAGTGCGTGCTCCGTCTCGCAGGCATGAGACACCTCTCCTCCTCTCTCCTTTCCTCCGCTCCTCCCTCCTGCCTTGCTCCCTCCTGCCTTGCTCCCTGCTCCCTGCTCCCTCCCTCACATGCAGTAGGAGCTTCTTCGGCAGGCGATCCTCCTGGCTCACGGCGATGGGCCGCGAGACTTTGCGACTGTGCAGGAGTTTCAGCAGCGAACCTGCGAGCTGCAGATGGTGAACTTGATCCAGGTCAGGAAGGAGGGAGCGGGAACGAGGATAGTGCAGAGAGCAAATGAGAAGGAGATTGGGAGTAGGGGAGAGAGGGAGAACTGAGGGAGGCGGGAAGAGCAGAGCAGAGGAGGGTTGGGGAGTGGGGTGCGGGCAATGGGAGTAGAAGTGGGACAGAAGGGAGTGGGATGCAGGAGGGAGGGACAAAGAGGAATGTAGGAAGTGGGAGAGATGGAGAAAGAGGAACGAAGGAAGGGGGAGGGAGGGAGAGGAACGAAGGAAGGGGGAGGAAGGAAGAGGGAGAGTGGGATGGAGAGGGACGAAGGGAGGTAGAGGAAGAGAGGGAGGGAAGGAGCTGACTCGCGCGCAGCTTCCCGTGGAGGAGCTGAGATGCTTCTTCATCAACATCTTTAACGTGCTCGTCCTACACGCCAAGATCACCTCCAAGTATCCCTCCAACGACAGTCACGTCGTTCCTCGATGCTCCTTCTTCCGCAACACCTCCTACCAGGTCTGAACCTCCTTCTCCTTCTGCCTGCCCTCTCCCTTCCACTCTGTCCCATCTCGACTCGGCCCCTCCCTTATGATTCTTCTCCGATAACTCAACTCCACAACTGCTCTCCTCCCGTCCCCCAATCCAAATCTCACTCACTCACTCTCCCTCCCTCTCCCCTCCCACTCCCTCTCCTCCTCCCCCTCTCTCTCCTCTTCTCTCCTCCTCTCCCTCTCCCTCCTCCCCTCAGGTCGGCAAGTACTTCTACTCTCTGGACGACATCTGCCGCGGCATCCTCCGAGCCAAGAAGTGTCTTTTCCTCGAGTGCGACCCTCGCGTCCACTTCGCCCTCTCCTACGGCACTTCCGCTACTCCTCCCGCCCGCGTGTTCACGCCGGAGAGCCTCGACAGGTCCCCAGCTGCTCCTCCACCTGCCCCTCTCTCCTCCAGCCTTCTGAGCCCTCCCACGACAGGCAGCTGGAGACGGCGACGAAGAAGTTCTGCACGGAGAGAGTGAAGGTAGACGTCAGTCAGGGAGAAATCACCTTGCCCGTCGTCTTTGACTGGTGAGGGGGAGGGGAGGAGGAGAGAGGAGAGAGGAGGGAGATGAGAGGGGGAAGCGGGGAGGAGGATAGTGGGCGATGGGAGCGGGAAAGGACGGGAAGGGAGTGAGTAGAAGAGAAGGACGTGACGGCTGGCAGGTATCGGAAAGACTTCAGCAACAATCCTTCGGGGCTACTAAGCTGGGTGAGAGCTGGAGTTGCGCGTGCTCTCGAGCTGCCATCTGACTGGGTGCTGCAGGTGGCGAGCAGGCTTCCTCCCTCGCTCTCCCACCAGATCGCCCAGCTGGCTCAGAGGAAGGATGTCAAGATTGCGTTTGAATGAAATTTATTGTTTGAGCATGGTGAGGTTACAGTGAGAGCAGGAGAAGAAACACACTTTACAGGCGAACGAGCAAAAAATCAGAGCATGGAGGAGGCGAGGGGGCAAGGCAAAACTGGCGCGTTAGGGTAGGACGGGGAGGAAGGAGAGTGGGAGAGGAGGAGGAGCCTGTCAGCTGGATGTTACACCTGCTGCTATGTCGATGTTCACTTCCTCTAACGCCTTCCCCTTCCCCTCAACAACCCAGAATGTCCTCATATCCTGCATGTCCTGTCAGTATCAGCCCTCCTCCTCCTCGTCCTCGTCCTCCTACCTCCTCCTCCTCCTCTACCACCTCCTTTTCCACCTGTTCTTCCCTAGCGCGCCAGGTTTGCCTTGCCTTTCTCCCTTCCCTCCCTCCCTCCCTCCTATCGCGCTTCCCTCTCCCTCCCCCGTTCCCATCTGATCCCCTGCTCCTCCTTCCCCTCCTTTTAGCACTCACCCCTTTGCCCTTGACTTCGATCACCCCCCTCTCCACCAGCTCAACCACCCCCCCGACGTCCTGAGCCCTCAGCAGCTCCGCAGCTGCTTCTGAGCACTGGATAGACCCTGGGCGAGAGCTGGACTCCATCCTGGAGGCTGTGTTCACCGTGTCTCCGAACAGACAGTAGCGCGGGTTCCTCGCTCCTACCACGCTGGCAACGACTGGGCCGGAGTGAAAGCCGACGCGGAGGTTGAGGAAGCCCCTGCTCGCGTCCTCCCGGTCGATGGGGATGCGGTGAGCGAGCTCGATGGCCTTGAGGGAGAAGGAGGCGATGCGGAGGGTGTGGTCCGAGCTCTGATCCTCCACTAGGTTCGTCACCGCCATGTACGCGTCCCCGACGGTTTCCACCTGTGCAAGGGGTGAGTGAGAGGAGAGAGGAGAGGAGAGAAGAAAGAGAGTTGTAGGACGAGGAGATGGGAAGAACAAGAGAAAGCAAGTGAGAAGGGCTGGATGAGAAAGAGAAGAGGAGGAGGACGACGAAGGGGTAGGAGGAGGAGGAGGAGGAGGACGAAGGGGTAGGAGGAGGAGAGCAAGGAGGAGGAGATGCATACCTTGAAGACCCCATATTCTTTGGAAAGCTCATCGAAGGACATGTAGAGGTTGTGAAGCATCTCAGATACTTTCTGAGGGTCGAGGGAGGAGCTGATGGTGGTGAAGCCGACGATGTCAGAGAAGAAGATCGTCACGCTCTCCTTCCTCTCAGGCTCCACCCTCTTCCCGGCCTTCAGCGCGTCCGCCACGTGCCTGGGGAAGACCTCGTACAAGATCCTAGTCGCGTCCGCCTCCTCCGCTCCCGCCTTCTTGACAGGCAGCAGGAGGTCTGCGGCTTTGGAGTCCATGGCCTGCAGTCGTCGATCGATCTCGCTGATGGAGGGCCGGCTCTCGGGGATCTTGTTCCAGCAGTTCCTCATCAGCACCGCCATCTGTGACGGGCAGTCGGCAGGTATCTCCGGCCTCTTCTCCTCCTCTCTCTCCAGATCCGCCACTTGCCGCAGCACCTGCCTGACGTCCTCGTTGAGGAACGGGTCCTGCCTGCTGTAAACCTCCGCCAGGAGGATGCCGAGCGCGTACACGTCGCTGGCGAGGGAGTTGCTGCCTCCTCGCAGCAGCTCCGGGGCCATCCACAAGGGTGTGCCGCATGGACCCGATTTCTTGGTGCTCAACCCGAAGTCCGCGATCTTGGCTCGGAAGCGAGAGTCGACCAGCACGTTGTGAGACTGAAGGAGGGAGAGCAAGCTGTTACAGTCGGCAGCGAGGAGGGGAGGGAGAGGGAGGAGAGAGTGGAGAGGGCGGGAAGGAAGCAGGGGCGATGGAGTAGGAGCAGCAGGAGGGGAGGGGAAGCGCGGCAGAGAAGGACGAGGAGATAGAGTACCTTGATGTCCCCGTGTATGATGGGAGGGTTCGCAGCGTGGAGGAAGTGTATCCCTTGTGTCACGTCGCAGAGCATGGGGAGGATGAGGTCTCCCTGGAGCTCGACCGTCTCGTTCCTCAAGAGCTCGTACAGGGACCCGTTCTCCATGAGCTCCATCACCAGCAACGGCTCCTTCTTGTCCTTCACCGCTCCGATCACCGTCGTGATGCAAGGGTGTCGCAGGCGCGAGATGACCCTCATCTCTTTGATGAAGTTGTTGTACATCCTGCTGCGGGACGCCGTCCGGGTCGTGCCCGAGAACAAGAAAGAAAGGAACGACGTCGTACGACTGCCGCTCCCCTGATTCCTCCTGTCTCCCCTGAGCACGTCCAGGCTATCCGAGTTGCTACCACTTCGCATTTGGATGTTCTTGTCGCCCCGGATGCTCACCTCCACGTCACTGCCCCCGCTGCCGTTCCTTGCTGGGGCCTGCCTTCCCTGACTGTCATTGAGCCGACGGGGGCCTCTACCGCTGAAATCAACGTCAGGCACAGAGCTCGCGCTCGTCTCGCCGTTGGTCCCCTCTCGCTGATCAGAGCCCCGACCCAGCGAGCCGCTCTTCGTTCCCGAGTGGCTCCTCAGCACGCCGTTCTGCGTCGACCCGCTCCCTTGCACCCTGATCGCCTCCAACACCGCGGGGTCCTGCATGGAGAACATCCCGGTGGAGACCGAGGCTTTCTTGGCCGTCTGTGACGAAGGGAGCACTCGTTTCACCGCCACGTAAGAGCCGCGGAAAGAGGCTCGGATGACAACGCCGTAGCTCCCCTTGCCGAGCACAAGAGGAGGGCTGTCGAAGACGAGCTCGTCCTTCCTGATCGTCCAGAAGGCATCCGAGTGTGTCATCTTGTACGTCGCGAACGCAGACATGGCGATCAAGACTACCACTCCAGCGCACAGCACGCCGATCATCCATGGCTGCAAGACGCTGTCTTGCACGCAGTCAGCGTCGGGGTGCTGCCTGGTGCGGTGTTTGCCAGCAGGACAGGGAGCGCATTTGTCGAGGGTATTTGACAAGAGGAAAGTGAGCTTGCAAGATAGGTTCTTGATGGTCGGGACGGCGGAGTCATCTGCCCCTAGCAAATAAGTGTTTACAGCTTCGAAGATGAGGTTTGAGTAGCCGTAGTGGTCTGGTCGAGTACCAAGGTCAAAGTAAGCTTCGTTGATAAATTCTTTTTGGTGAGTGATGAAGTTCAAGCTCTGCGCGTTCACGGTGCAGATGTCGGGATCAGGCAAGGTCGCACAGAGCTCCTTCTCAACATAGTCCTGAGCATTCAGCAGGGTTGGATAGTCTCCATTCCTTGCCTTGAAAACCTGCTGATTGTACGACGCGAGGTATTTCACCACCTTCTTCGTAGCCTCCAACGACTTGGTGTACCTGTTCACAGACCAGCCCCAGAACCACGGGTTTGTGCTGCTCTGGTCGCTTGAAAGATACCCGGGGATGCGCGTGTAAGACGAGCGATTGCCGAAGCTGTGCTCCTGGCACTTGAACACGTTGAAAGGCTCGATGCAACCGTCGGGCTTCCACGTGTGGATCTCTCCGATGATGTGAGTGAGGTCGATCATGAAAGCTGCTCTCTCAAGTAGGAAGTCGAGCTTCGTCAGCTGCAAGTCCTCGTTGATGACCACTGCCGGCGTGATCCAACCGATCCACTTCCTCATCCTCTCCAGCGCTGCGACGGCGTTGGGGTTGTCGATGTCCACCTCTCCCTTTGAATTCACGATCGCCCCGCCCCCATGGCTCGCGATGATCGACATGGTGATGACGGTGAGGTACTCGTTCGCCTGGCCCTGCCACATCAGCCCCCAGAAGCAAGTTTCTCCCGGACACAGGGCTTGTCGCTCGCCCTCCTGGATCTTCACTGCCATCGCCTCCATCTCATCCCAAGTCCGCGGCGGCTCATGGTAACCGTACTTGTGCAGCAGGTCTCGCCGGTAGTAGAGCAGGTTGTAGTCCATGAACGAGGGGATGGACAGAAGCTTGCCGTGCGCATATCCTGCTTGGAGGAACTTGGGGTCGAACTGCTTCAGCTCGTCTGCGGTGAAGAAGGAGGAGAGGTCCATGAGTGAGTCCTCGATGCTATGTATCCACGACGCCTCCATCCTGAAGATGTCGAGCGGGCTCGCTGCATCAGGCTTTGCGTATCTGTTCTTGATGTACAGAATCTCGTCCTCAAGGTTCGGCGGGCAAACCACCCTTCGAAGATTGATGCCCTGTGCGGCCATCTGCAGCTTGGCCTCGGTGAACTCAGTGTTGTGACGGATCATGTTGCTGCCAGGATTCCAGTATACATCCTCACTGCTGACGATGGGCAGGATGGCACAAGAGAGGATAACAGTGAACAAGCGTGTGATGTGTACAGGAGCAAGGGAGAGTAGAAGCATGCTAGCAAGCGAGAAGAGGGGTATTGTCAGGGGAGGAGGAGAGCTTATAGTGTGCTAAGCACTAGTGTACCGCTTCAATTTTTCATTTCATCTTGAGAATGCCATTCATGGAGCGAAGTCCTGAAAAGCGCGTAATTAGTACATTTGATGTGAAAGTGAGAGTTACTTGTAGTTATGAAACGATAGAAGTCCAGCTCTGAAAACATCTTCATATTCTCTATGTTCATTTCCCATCCATCTCTCTATCTCAACCCGCCCGCCATTGATCCGCACTTCTTCCGTACTTCCACAAGTCATCTGACCCCTGCATTTTGGCGCCCACCCCCGTTAAAGTTGCCCCACCCTTCTCACTCAAGGCAAGCACACCCGTTCACTGCAAAAAAGAACCAGCTATACCCCTGCAATCCACTTGAGTACCCCCAATATGTTCCTTCTCACTACCCCTACCTCAAACCACCCCACCTCTCAGTCTCGTACGTCTCCTTGCTTTAGTCATGCACCCTACCCCCTCCAGTCAGTCATCACAAAGGAAAGATATGGAGCCTTCGGGTACCACGGGTGCTCTCGTGACACACTTACTGAACCCCCGCTCCCCTGCTCTACCTGAAGTCATAATTGTACCAGAAATAACTAAAATTTCAATGGAAACCCCTTGATGAGTAAAACTGGTGACCCTTTTTATTTTAATGGTAAAAAAACCATTCAAGTTACAAGCAATCTCAAGGCAAGGCCTCTGAGGCGGGTCCGATCTCCATCTGCTCTAAAATACTAATAAAAATTTGTAAACCGACCAAATAAAATATTTTATAATTCTCCTGGGTCCCGGACAACGCCGGGTCCCCCCCTGCGGGCCGCCGGTGTGATGGCCGGCTGGCCGCCGGTCACTCAGCAATGCAGGGAGGCTGTTCTGGTAGGGTGTGACTTGATACGGAACCACAATGAAGGAGGGTGGGGTGGTGTGCTGACAATATCATTTGGGCACTACAGGGGTTGTTTTCTCAAGAATTTGTTGGAAATGGAGGGGTGGGTCCTGTATACCGATCTGCAGATACAGGAGGGAGATCCGACCACAAATGGCAGCAAGGAACAAGCAGCTCATGGCGGGTGGGATGCAAGACAAAGATGTCAAGAGAGGAGTGAATGAGCAGAGGACACTAGAAACATCTGCTACAAACAAGAATGCACAGCGCTGACGGGTTTCCCGGCATGAAATCGTGATGCTGCTTAGCACACTATCAGCTCTCCTCCTCCCCTGACAATACCCCTCTTCTCGCTTGCTAGCATGCTTCAACTCTCCCTTGCTCCTGGACACATCACACGCTTGTTCACTGTCATCCTCTCTTGCGCCATCCTGCCCATCGTCAGCAGTGAGGATGTGTACTGGAATCCTGGCAGCAACATGATCCGCCACAACACTGAGTTCACCGAGGCCAAGCTGCAGATGGCCGCACAGGGCATCAATCTTCGGAGGGTGGTTTGCCCGCCGAGCCTTGAGGACGAGATTCTGTACATCAAGAACAGATACGCAAAGCCTGATGCAGCGAGCCCGCTCGACATCTTCAGGATGGAGGCGTCGTGGATACATAGCATCGAGGACTCACTCATGGACCTCTCCTCCTTCTTCACCGCAGACGAGCTGAAGCAGTTCGACCCCAAGTTCCTCCAAGCAGGATATGCGCACGGCAAGCTTCTGTCCATCCCCTCGTTCATGGACTACAACCTGCTCTACTACCGGCGAGACCTGCTGCACAAGTACGGTTACCATGAGCCGCCGCGGACTTGGGATGAGATGGAGGCGATGGCAGTGAAGATCCAGGAGGGCGAGCGACAAGCCCTGTGTCCGGGAGAAACTTGCTTCTGGGGGCTGATGTGGCAGGGCCAGGCGAACGAGTACCTCACCGTCATCACCATGTCGATCATCGCGAGCCATGGGGGCGGGGCGATCGTGAATTCAAAGGGAGAGGTGGACATCGACAACCCCAACGCCGTCGCAGCGCTGGAGAGGATGAGGAAGTGGATCGGTTGGATCACGCCGGCAGTGGTCATCAACGAGGACTTGCAGCTGACGAAGCTCGACTTCCTACTTGAGAGAGCAGCTTTCATGATCGACCTCACTCACATCATCGGAGAGATCCACACGTGGAAGCCCGACGGTTGCATCGAGCCTTTCAACGTGTTCAAGTGCCAGGAGCACAGCTTCGGCAATCGCTCGTCTTACACGCGCATCCCCGGGTATCTTTCAAGCAACCAGAGCAGCACAAACCCGTGGTTCTGGGGCTGGTCTGTGAACAGGTACACCAAGTCGTTGGAGGCTACGAAGAAGGTGGTGAAATACCTCGCGTCGTACAATCAGCAGGTTTTCAAGGCAAGGAATGGAGACTATCCAACCCTGCTGAATGCTCAGGACTATGTTGAGAAGGAGCTCTGTGCGACCTTGCCTGATCCCGACATCTGCACTGTGAACGCACAGAGCTTGAACTTCATCACGCATCATGACGACCTCTTTGGAGACTTCTACCTTGATCTTGATACTCGACCAGACCACTACGGCTACTCAAACCTCATCTTCGAAGCTGTACACGAATATTTACTAGGGGCAGATGACTCCGCCGTCCCGACCATCAAGAACCTATCTTGCAAGCTCACTTTCCTCTTGTCAAATACCCTCGACAAATGCGCTCCCTGTCCTGCTGGCAAACACCGCACCAGGCAGCACCCCGAC